GCGTCGCCAGTAGTCCATAAACGATCTCGATTTCCAGCGACCCTGGGCAGCTACAATATCTGGTGGGTTCCCGCGGAGTAGCAGTTCAGTAGCCCCCCCGATGCGGAAGCAATGACCTGTAAGTGTGTCCAACCCCGACGCTCTCCATACGTCATTACATCTCGTTATGAACCAAGGCCTGGTGAGTGGTGCCCAACCCGAGTCTGTTTCAAATGCGAAGAGCGGGGCGAAGGATGGTACTGAAGAGTTGGCTGACAAGTGGTGCATGAGCGCGTCGTAGGGATTTGTGGGATCGTCGATCCTCGTTATAGACACTGCGTCACCTTCTCCTTGTGTGGTTTTAGACCACGGAATGCGCAGGGAGGCGAACTTGACACCGCCGTCAGTTGCGCGATGAGTGATTGGTGCGGAGCGTGATACGTGGCGAGAGGCGTCGAAGCCGTGAAGGGAAGGAATGATAAGTTCACCGAGTCTGTGAAACGAGTCAGTGAACGGTCAACAAGGACCATGCGAGTGTCGCACCTGCAGCAAGACCAAAAAGCGATACTGGCTACGCCATAAACAGCGGCGTCGAAAGAGTTGGAGAGGTCAAGATGACGGAAGAGCATGTGCATGTGGTCCAGAGAGACTGGAGGTCTGCGGGGACGCTTAGAAGTGTCTGGGACCACTTTAGCCAGACCTTGTTTAGCCCTGCGAACTATAGCGTGACCATGCCACTGCGCGCCGTTGAGTTGATGCCAGAAGTGAAGTCCCGCGAGCCAGTTGTCTGCGGTCGTTTCTGCTACGCGACCGGCCCAAGAAGATATGAATGCTGCTATAATGTATTCTGATGCTGGAAGGCGACGGTCCTCGGGAATAGAGATGGAGTCGCAGAATTGGTGAAACCTTAGGAGGCCTGCTCCATAGTTCTCCCTAGTCTTTGGCTCTACTGAAATTAAGAGGACGTCGAGGAGGCGTGATGCTGTCGCGAGTGGAAGATCGTTCAGAAGATTCGAATGGAATGAAGTTGAATGAGGCGCAGACCAGAGGCGAACCCTGTCGCGTGCAAGAACGTGAGGACGGAAGGTAGACGGTGCGATGATATTAGCTGGTTTAGGTTTACGGGGCTTAGGGATCTTGTGAGCAGCGGTGGGCGGCACTCCGATTTCGGGTGGCTTCTTCAAAGCGTTCCGAAGACGGACCAAGGCTGTCACCATGTCAGCATCGGCTGACTCTGACGAAGGGGCGTCAGACATGAGGAAGGATGAAGGGTTCCAGCTCTGGGGGCAGCTGGATTATGGGTAGACGAGTGCTCGCTGGACCCGTCTCGCCACGAGAAACGGGGTCTGCCTTGTTCGTGAGCGACTCGACGTAAGTCAAATGATAAAGCATGTTAGAGTCCATTGCAATGGCCTCCACGCGGCGGATGCAAGAGTTAACCTGGAAGTTCCTGCTCCGACCGTGCTTGAAGGCCCCAATGATTCCTTGGTTGTCTGAGTGGATCAGGACAGCCCGATCCTTCCAGCCGAAGGTGAGTAGTGTGATCACCGCCAGCTCGACGGCGATGGCCTCGAGCCATCCGATGTCACGTCCTTCTCCTTTCCAGCCCGCTGTGATACGCCATGCGCTCCACTTCTCGCCCAGGACGAGGCCAATACCCCAGTCCGTTGAGGCGTCGACCCAAAGGTCTATGTCTTGAGGTGGACCTCTGGGCGTGAGGTGACGTGCAGGAGGTGGTCGAGAAAGCGTGGATCTCCACCACTTCAGGTCTGAGAGCACTGATGGCGGTGGCTTTCTGCGCGCGAAACGAGAGTCTGATGGGAACTGGGAAATGAAGCGGCAGAGGTTGGACAGGTATGCCCTACCGTGAGGAATGACGAAGGCGACATGTGATAGTGTTCCGTTAATGCTCATGGCGTCCTTGTACGACATGAATGGTGACGTGGACAGAGCTAGCAGAACGCTCTCCAGCTTAGCGAGGTATTTGAGACGTTTGGGCTCAGGCAGAGACACCGACCGCTCGATGAGGTCCCAGAGGAAGCCAAGGTACGTGAAGATGGTGTCGAAGTCGGCGCACTTCTCTGGGTGCCATGGTACGCCCAGAGGGCTCGTTGCTGTGAACACGTCTAAGAGGTCGAATAGGTACTCGTACGGTGTGAAGAGGCCATTTGCGTCGATGACGCCGCCCGCTACGGGGAAACGAAAGATGGAGTGGTCGTCGACCCATTTTTTTATGGGAGTGATGTCCATACAGTGGAGAATGTCTACAGTAGCGTCTGCTATGTGGCCTTGAACGCCACCGGCGGTCGTGAGGCCGAAAGGAAAATTATGATCAACCCAAAACGAACCGTCAAAACCGACAACTAGAAACCTCTTGTGCGGCGGCCATACAGGCACGGTGCGATAGGCGGCTTCTATGTCAAGCGTTGCAGCTTGCGACCCGAGCGGAGCGGTAGCCACCTGTTGGCTGGTAAGTATGTGCTATGACATAATACCGTGCGTCCTTCGACGCGAAAAAGAGGTGATGGCGCGCTACGGGGCCTCACACGAGATAAAGAGCTCAGCGAGGCTCAAACGAGTGCCTCGCTGGCAAAGAAAGAGGCGGGCGACACCGCACAACGGAAGAGGCGGACGACACCGCGCAACGTAAAGAGGCGGACGACACCGCACAAGTAAAGAGCTTAGCTGGGCGCATATATGCGCCCAGCTTCGCAAGAAAAGGGGAGAAGAGGCGGGCGACACCGCACGAGGCAAACGAAGACACTTACGATCTCTGCTACTTGTGCTGCTGTGCCCCAGGCGGTTGGGAAGTCGTCAGCGTCGAGGTGCTTGTTGACTGAATATCCATCTTCCTTGTTGATGTATGAGAGGTCCCTAATGATGCGAAATTTTCCGGGCGAGCCGGCTTTCTCCACTAGGCCAAGCGGGGAGGAGACAAAGAAGCCCCCCAGTTTGGCTTCTACTTGAGCTGCTGAAAACGGTCCTGACATGCGATTGAGTGTGACTTCTTCTTCTAGGTATGAACGGATGACGTCTGGGTTATCTAAAGCTGATTTGTGGTTAGGTGGAGTGTACGAGCGGGTGAGAACTGGCATGTTGCCAATGGGAAAACCGTGTCTGATGTTATGCGCGAGGTCAGGGTATTGAGATGTAAGGTTGAACTTGAGTAAGAGTCTCTCGAAGGCGTCAGCACTGTACGGTGTGACGACGCGGTGCAGGATGTCATCAGCACAGTTTGGCTGAAGCGGCGTGTGATTTGCTGCCGCAGACGGAGCAGACGTGGATGATGTCTGCTCCGTGCTTGCCCGGGATGCAACGCCCGATGTTGTGTGAGATGCAGACGATGGCGGAGGATGACTTGAGAATGATCTTGTCCTGCCATACGCAGACGAGCGGAGCGTTCTTGGCTGAGTGTGTATAGGTACAGTCACTGGCTTTGTGGCCGTTCCGACCGCAGAGGAGGCAAAGGGGTCCGTCGGAGGAGGCCCCTTTGCCCCTTCGAAAGGGCTTTCCATCAGAGGACGATGGGGCTGGGGCGTCTGATCTTGGTTTGACTGCGCTCTGGTACGGATGGTAACGGTTCCCATTGCCGCCGCTAGAGCCTTCGAGGCGGGATGCTAACGCGGTGAGCCTATTGAGCTCTCTGTTGGCGTTAGCAGCTGCCTCGTCGGACTTATCCCTCGAGATTTTCGTCAGCGTGTCGTTCCAACGACGTTCGTAAGCTGCTTCAGTCAAGAAGGACTTGGTGTTGAAAAATATGCGGCGAGTCTCGATGTCGAACGTGAGCACAGCCGTGAAGTTCTCTTCAAACCTCTTGCGGGAGAGACAGAACAGTCGGTGCTTCTTGAACTTCTCCTTGATGGCTGCGCCTGCGATGTGGTTAAGTAGCTCCATGAAGTTTTCGTAAGCTTCGTAGAACTGCGCAGGAGACAAGGATGATTCCGGAGGGAAGCCCGAGGCGTCCATTACCGACTTCTTGGGATCGTCTAGAACGAGACCCTTTTTCATAATGATGCACGAGGGATCATTATGAATCTTCTCCATGGCTTCTGCCGTTAAGAGCGTGAGAGGCACGTGCATTTTTGAGTCTGCAAGATTAATGATCACGCGTGGGATTTCAAAAATGTCGTCTATGGATGAAACCATCTTGATCTCATCGTCGTTGTATGCGAGTTGTTTGACCGTAGATGTGGTGCTGGACACCGCTGGGGGTGCAGAAGTAGGAGCTTGTACGTCCTGATGACGTTCCACCATGAGAGAGTCGAAGGCTGATCGAGAATGCGGTGTAAGCGCGTTAACCGCCCTATATGCGTTGATTAATGGGGTATTGGTGTCAATAGGCCCCGGATCAGGCAAGGAACGCGGGTCGAGGCTTGGGACATCGAGCATAAGCTCGTCATCGGATACAGTACCCGAAGTCGTGTCTCTCCGATCTGCACGTTCGCTGTTACGAGCTGTACGCGCGTCATTTTCTCTCTGGAGCAGATCCCTCGGGGATAATTCCCGTCGGGACCTTGGCCTACCGAGGCTTTCTGCGATTCTGTCGACGTCTACGACATCCGCGTCAGTGTTTGGGACGAGCGCTGCGGTACTTTTTCCGCCAACGCCCCCTGGCAAACCAGAACGAGACACGATATTGGTCATGTCTAGTAATGGCTAGATCTGTACGGAATAACAATAAGGTGTCGAGTTCTCACTTAAGAAAAACGAGAGAGTGAGCGCGTAAAGAAAGCGAGATGAAAGACGCGTGTATCGGGACGCGTCTTAGTTACGCGATCACTCGATTAGTAAGCACTAGTTTGAGCTAAATGTTCTCAGGTTCACGTGTAGCTCAAACTGCACTCGTACATATTTGTATTTCTACCCTCTGCAATGCAATCCTCTTTCTGTCTACTAGCACATGCCTTGCCCAGCCAAGAAAATGAACTTCATGGGAAACCATTACCGGTCTCACGGCTTACTTGGTATGCTCTCACCTTGAAATAGCCTTCTCTTGGTTCATCTCTCCTCTCTTCCACACAATGGACACTGTATCCGCCCTCCAAGCGCTAGTAAACTCGGTGACGCGCCATGCTTGGAAGCTCGAAATGCTGGAAGGCTACCAGGGCGGCGTGAACCGCTTCCTCGCCTTCTGCTCTGCCAACAACATTCCCTTATCCTTCCCTTCGCCCGAATGGCTGGTATGCGCCTTTGCAGCCCATAGAGCGGGCTCCTGCTCAGGCTCTGCTGTAGCCAACGATGTCGCGGGTCTTCGGGCTTGGCACATCGCCAATGGTCTTCCTTGGCTCGGCGGGATTCGTCTGAAGTACGTTCTCCGCTCGGCGGTTCGTCTCACCCCCGACTCTTCCAAACGACCCCCGCGCCCTCCAGTAACCTCGGAGATGCTCGAGGCCTTGCACTCCTCCCTCGATGCCTCACTTCCTCTCCATGCATGCGTTCTGGCCTGTGCCGACGCGGTCTTCTGGGGGCAGGGACGCCTAGGCGAATTCCTCCCCACCTCTCAATCCCGCTGTCATGCATGAAACGAAGATCATGCATTGACATTCAATAGGATAAGGGTATACTAGTCCAAAAGCTTTCGCTTTAGACTAATTACTCTATGTTGAGGCAAGAGAAGTAAAAAGTGGCAGAAAGCTCGCGTTTCGTTTACTTCTGTTTACGTTTATCTTTGTTCACTTTCTTGCTTCTGTTTCTCTTGTTCTTTTTTATTTGTGCACGTTATGTGAGCTTCAGCCACAATCTGAGCTTACATAACATGTAATTAACCCAAGGAGAAGTCATGTGACTCCAGAATTGAGTCATTTGATCTTGGACGATGTCACTCGATGTCATAACTCCACAACGATGTCATTTGATGTCATAGCTCCACAATGATATCATTCAGCTCCACTTTGCTCCACAAATGCTCCACACTGCTCCACAGTGATGTCATTTGCTGTCAAATGAGTCAGAATGAGTCATTTTCCTCCTTTGGTGTTCTTTCCACTTCAATTCTGCATTTTATGCTACAACTACCTTATTTCTTCTGAGATTTGTGTCTCTTTCTATTTTCTTGGTACTATACAGTTCCTGGGATATTTCCCACACCAAATGTATATAAGGAGGCTCAATTCTCTGAGGAGAAAGGAGAGACTCCCCATATTGGAGATTTCCCACTTCACATCTATCATCTGAAGTGCAGGCTGAAACTGACAGCCTTACTACACTAAGATTTGATATAATCTTAGTCTTGTGTTATCTTTACTGTTGTTAGGGGCATTTAGTCACCCTAACCTTCTTTTCTAGTCCTTTGTTGGTCTAGAACTGCTGTTTCCTTGCTTTGATTAAGTCAGCAAGGATTTGTCTGGGAAAAGCTTAGTCAGCATCCCACACAACCCATATCTTTTGTCCAAAAGCTGTTTGGACAAAGAACTCTTCAGGAGATATTCTTGCTTTGATTACGTCAGCAAGGATCTGTCTGGGAAAAGCTTAGTCAGCTTCCCATTCACTGCCCCATTTGTCCAAGGATCATTCGGACAAACCTTCCACAAGTCATAACTTGCTTCGAGTAATCTCAGCAAGGACTTGCTTGGGTCAAGCTTAGTCAGCTTCCCAATTCCACACCACCAAGGACTTTTGCTCCATACCAAAGGTCCCTCGTTCATCAAAGGATCCACACACTTCAGCCAAGTGTTGTGTAGCGCATCCACTCGTATATTTGTCCAAGGACCATTCGGACAAACTATTCGTCAATGTAGTCTAGTCCATCTATTCTACGCAGTTCATCGTATCAGGCCTATCATCTAGGTCTATCATCCCATCCAAAACCAAACCCCATTCCAAGAACCAACGACAGACTGTATAGTCGAGCCTCCCACGAACGACACGTTATCAACCGAGAAAACTAGAAAATCCGTTGACCGTGTACTTGAGGAGTTGGCAACTCTTGTCTTATCAAAGTGTAGTTGTGGTGTCACTACATTTACACAAAAACATATAAGACCCTCAAGTAGTAAGACACCGCTTCTCGCACAACTTCTTCCCTACCCCTGCCTGCCTGCGCAGCACGTCCTCCGGCGAGTCGTTGATGTGCCACCTTCCCTGGACCAAAGTCTCGAAAGAGAAAGGGGAGGACATCTTCCTAGGTTGCCAGCTGGGTCCTTCAGATCCCATTTCATCCCTCCTCGCCCATCTTGCGGCAAGCCCAGACATCCTGGTCTCCCCCACGTCCTCTCACCTCTTCGCTTACAGTGGAGGCGCGGGTAGGCTGATCTCCCTCACAAAGCGCAAGTTCCTGCTGGTGTGTAACTCAGTCTGGACGGCTCAGGGTCTGCCTCGCATCTCCAGTCACTGTTTCCGCATCGGCGGGACCACCGAGCTGCTTCTACGCAACGTCCCCCCTCACATTGTCAAGGTGATGGGGCGGTGGTCGTCAGACTCTTTCCTTCGCTACTGGCGCAACTTGGAGCACATCGCTCCCTTGCATGCAGAGCTCTTGGGCCCCAAACTGTCCCCCCTCCTCGCTCGCGCCTCTCGATCTCACGGCGCGTAGTCTATGTTTTCGCCCTCCTCGTGTGTGGGTGGCGTCTGTTTCCTTCCTTCTGTCTCTCCTTCTTTCGGCCCTCGACGCGTTCTTCGTCTTGCTGTGTGTGGGTGGTCTTCGTGGCCTCCTCAGGGTTCACTCTCTCGGACCGATGGATTCAGACTGGTTCTAGTACTGTACGATCGTAGCATGCGCCGTCTGCACGCTAGTAGTCTGTCTCGTAGTTCTGTCCGATCCCCCCCAAAACACGCAGGCGGGACTTGCACCCCCATATCCATCTTACCTAAGAAGACACGTCAGCACGAGAATATTTATCTCACGCTAATTGTTTTATGTAAAATAATAGGCTATTATTAGTGACATGTCATTACGAGTTGCTTCCTCGGTCCTTCTATCATGATACCCCCAGGCCTAAAGTTCAGCCCAGTGGCATTCGTATTCTGCGACACAGAAAATACGCGCTGCAACTGCGTCGTTACATTCGTGATCGCGCCCAGTCCCACGTCCTTCCACGGGACGTACACCTCCACATTGACGGGGTTCGAAACGAGGAGCAAGTATGCAGTGTCGTTGTTCCAGAGACCAGCGTCCACGCCTAGGTAGCTCGCAAACGTCGCGTTCGGGCGGGCTGGCTGAAGTATGTGATGAGGTTCGTGAGGTTCGTCGCTGTCCTCTCGATGGTCGTGACGTTGCCAGTTGTGGTTGGGTGATGATTAGTAGGACTTGGAACCTGGCGATGCATGTCAGTTTTTGTTCATGTGCGCGATATCGGCATGAATTACCTAGAGCACCGTGGCTGAAGGATGTGAATCCAATAGCTGCCCATTGCTGCTTAGTGGGAGTGATGTTCCAGTATCCGGAGTGAGAGTCAAGACATGAATCGTAATGATGATTCGAGGGACTCCGAAAGTCTGGGGCGTGGTCCACGCAGATTTGGTGTGGTCAAGGCCCATAATGTTGAGCCTTTGTTTGTAGGTCTGAACACGAACCACCCAGGGCTGACATAGAAGACGGCGCTTCCATCGTGCTCGATTCAGACGGCGGGTATATGGTGCTGAGCTCAGACGGCGCCTCTATGGTGCTAGGCTCGGATCCTGCATGGCCAGAACCCCCTCAGCCCCGATCTCGCACTCCACGCCAAGCTGCACGTTTCCGCACCACTTCCCTTCTTGCACAGGGTTCCCCACACAGCTCACATTTCAGCAGCGATACGGAGTCCACTTCGGAAAGCACACCCCTCGTCATGCCCAGCTTGCACCTACCGCCTTCGCCGCTCCGGGAAAAGAGTTTTGCTCCTGAAGCTGCGCTTCTCACATCCACGACCGATACGTTTGGAGTTGGAAGGCGAGATAGTGATAGCGAAGAAGGGTTCACGCTCTCTCTCCCCGCTCCCAAGGCCCAGTCCCAATCGCAGCGATGATAAGCATGGGTTGCAGATGCCGTATCTCCCCTCTCCAAATTCATAATTGACGTCGATCCCCAAGAGCACTTTGTGGACCACCAAGAAATCGCAGAAGGCGAGAGTGGGTCCGTGTACGCCGTACGTGTAGTTTGCTTTGTTTTTGTGTACGTTCTTTTCATTAATACACGTTCCTCCATCCGCACGCATTCCTCGAAGTTCATAACTATCTATCAGATCGCTATCTATAACTACTCAAGTCATACTCATATCTCACTTATTCCCATTTCATCAGATCTGACAGGGTTTTTGCATATCATACTGCCGTGGCTTTTGTTGTGATTTGAGTGGTGGTGGAGAGGCCTTCGGCTCAAGCTTTCAAGGGCAGTGCGAGGTATGCAGGCATCCAGCAGTTGAAGCACACGAGCAGCCCAGCGGGAGGCAGTATGATGATAATTTGAAGACAGTCATAAAATTACATTGGCGAATCATGGGCCTTTTAGGCTGGTTTCCGATGACATAGAAACCTAGCCTGAAAGCTAACCTTTTGCCTCCGAAAACCGCTTCCTACCTGGGGTGTATCATACATAGCGACAGCCGGTTGTTTATTATAATGAACACAGTAACTCAACAGTATTTGATCAAGACGGTAGGGCACGCCACATTGCCCTGGGAGTAGCATCTTTCATAACGTCGGGGCTACTATGGCTTCCGCTGTGATCCAAGTGAGCTATACAGTCCAGTGAGCTGCACCGCTGAGCTTAAAGAAAATAAGGACATACAGATAACGTTAACTTGGCCCGCTTCGATGTGAATGGATTCCCGAACCGGAATCTCAAAGAAGGCTTCACATCCCTCAGGAGAAACAACGCGGAGTCTCGTGCCTTCTGGGCGCAAATACTTCTCCTCTCCTGGAAGAATCTCACGGAATTTTAAGCCACCCTCTCTTTCCATCGATGGCACCGGCATGCCTACTGGCATCACAAGGTCCATCATAGGTGCAAACGGCAAACGCTGAAGTATGCCAGGAGCAACAAAAATATTCCACTTAGGGGGCAGATTGACTGGATGACCTGTGCGGGGATCGACAAAATCGAAGTGATACATATGCTCGGACTCGAGTCCTACACCCCAGATACGGACCGAATAGTCGGGAAACAACTGATGGACCTGGACATCGTCGTCAAGCGAGTTGGGCAACGGTTTGAGCTGTGTGATAAAAAAACCTTTGAGCATATATTCTTTGCAATTAAGATAGGTACATACACCAAGGATATAAAACGGTTCCGCTTGACACGCCTGGTCCCACGAATCCTGCGCACATTGACGAGCAGCATCCTCAGACCCCATCATCGAGACAAGTCCTTGCATAGACTCAGGGGAACACCATGAATCATGCAAGTCTATTGTGCGGCCATCATCAACAGACACAGTGAAGTCGTGATTCGGAGTTGTGCGTGGCATGCTAGATGTTGATGTTGACGAAGTTCAAGTACTGATTAACCCCTAATGCACTCATCGGAGTTGTCAATGTTTAGGAGAAGGTTTTGATGTAGTACACTTATCTCACGCTAATGGTTTTAAAAGGATGGACCTGACATGGATGGCCCAGGCATGGATGGGTAAGTCGATCTCAGTACTTGTGCGCAACGGACGTCAATTCCAGTTTGACTGTGCTAGCGAGTCGCATGAGCGTAGTAGGTCCTTCATCCGGGTTTGATAAAGGTTCTTGAGACGTTGGACACCTAGCGAAGATAAGTGACTGTCATATATTATGAGCGTAGATATGAAGAATAGCTCCCAAGTCGCGACAGGTTGTAATGCGGCATGGGTGCTGCCGGTAATACTTTCGTCTGACTCCGAATTTTCTTTGCCATGATGCAACATTCACCTTCAACTAGTTTTTGAGCTAGCTCTACTTTCTGTGAGGTCGATCCAGACTAGTACTGTCCTTTGGCTTGGATTCTCTTAGCACGCACTGGTTTCCGCCGCTGCCAGTTCTGTCTTCCTCGTTTGTCACCCATCAGGCCGGACCACAGCCCTACCCATTCTCTGGGATTCTCTGTTCCCCTGCTTAACACCACCGAGATCAAATGACAGCATCCCTGAGCCAGGGACGAGTACAAGGTTTCGAGCGCTCAACGCAACTCTGAGTAGCGCATCGAACCAAATTGTTCGCGTCTTTCTATGTGCTACTATGTTGGACTCACTCATCTTTTAACTCGTTGTAGTAACTGTTGTCGCTATTGCTGTTTGTCGTCCCTACTCCCTTAAAGTTGTGGTTGTGGTTCTAGGCCTCCACAGCGTCCGTCTTGTAATCTTGCGTTCTCGTCAGGTTCCAGGGACCAGAACACGTCTCTCTCCGAGGAGTCCGTCTGCCGTCAGCCACGTCTTCCTGTGCCTTGGCATCTACTACTGGTTGAGGCTAGCTCTGTCTGCCTGCTTGTCAGCATCGGGTCTTACCACAGTGGCCCTCATCTATGGAAGGCTTGTTTGACGCACCTGTCTCCCTGGCATCATGCCACATGCTAGTAAAGGACCCTTCATCGTCGTGTTCGCTCCAGCGCTCCAGAACAAAGTGCCTACAAGAGGGAAATGCCCTCAGGTCAGCGCGCTTAGGAGCCCTGAAAGCCGATCAACACCGTAATATTTTATCCTCAAGAACTGTGATCTCCAGCGCTGAAATCCCACTTTGGAGAGGAATTTCAGGTTCCCACACGATAACATCTTGGCGTCCTGGCAATAGTAACAGATGCCTCTCGTTCTGGAAGTCGAGCCCTGCAGCAACTTCGCATCTCGATACTGGCATTCACCACTTCTGTGCTCTCATAAGTATGAAGAGCATCAAAGTCTTACGGCGATTTTCCAAAAGCACGATTTGCTGAAGGACCCGAGTCAATTGGCAATTTGGCTTCCTTTCCTCGGTGCTTGTTAAAAAAAATTACTCCAGGTTGTTACCGTCAGTATTCGATTTACGAGATCTGTGATGCATCTATAGCAGTCTAGATTGGCGTATGTCATGGACCCTGGTGAACTATCACTAGGCGCTTCCTGCGAGCTTTAAATCGCCGTGCATAACGCAGATACGATGTCTCTCTTGCCTCTGCCCACTGTGAGCACTTTGTTCGCTTTATCGTTCAATACTCCTTGACCAAACATTGTTGTTACCCAGCCGATGAATTTCCTGTCGACAACCACTGATCGGAAACAACCCGGGTGCTATAACAGCCAGCTCAAGCCCGCCTATCACGGAATAACACCACGATACACTAGCTCCTCTAGCGGAAAATGCAAGCAACTCACTGTGCAGTCCGTGAACCCCAGCTTGACAAGTGACTGGAACGAGCGCGATGTTCGCTCGAGCGCGCCGTTATCCACCCGGCTTGCTGGGTGGCTGACCAGGATGATGTTCAACCCATCCAGAGAGACCTTTTTGTGGTTATTCGTTTGGCTCTATTATATCATCGCAATATTGCTTCCGTCCAGAGAGCCTGCCTATGCCAGTAATTACAAGCCGTATTTGATGCGGTTTGTTGGTCAACTGTGGGCCGCACGCTCACCAAGGGAATTCTCTCTACGGGCACGGGCAGAAGGTGAAGACGATGCACTCGTCCGACGTGTCACCCACGCCCTCTACCCTCGCTTCCTTGTTGTATATAATGGACACAAGAGAGAGTGGACAAAAATCAATGTCGAGGCAATGGTGGAGCGAAAACCATATGTCGCCGTCACCTACTGCTACGCCGACATAGAGAAGTACGGAAGTACGGAGATGCTCATACAGCGGACGCGGAGTGCTACCTTGGATCAAGGATTCACCGCGTACTGGCTAGATCTCGAGTGCTTGTTCGAAGATCCCGTACAGAAAGCCCAAGACCTGTATCGCATGTCGGACGTCTACAGACTCGCCTCATTCACACTCATTATACTCACCAACGAGAGCGCTTGGCCCGCTTGGGGCGGCCGCGTTTGGACCCTGCCGGAAGCTCTCCTTAGTCGCGAACTGCGATACACGGCCGGAAACAACGCAGTCACCCCCATCAGTCTCATCCAAATCGCCTCTCTAGCTTACTCTCACCACAGTGAAGAGTCCCAGATCATCAACTCTTATGGCCTCGGGAAGGATCCGCTTGAGCGGTTGGACCGCAATCTCCAGCTCAAAGAAGCGATATGGCGCCGAGAAAGCTTTCAGGGGAGATATCGCGCAGAAAAGGTCTATGCGCTCATGGGATTTTTCGAGCATCGCATTCTCCCAAATGCGGAGGAGACAGAGCTGCAAGCGCTTGCGCGCCTGTTTATGGCGAACGATAACGACCGCATTGCTGATCGTATGATCTCAATGTTTCCGAGAGATCGAAGGGCCATAAATCAATGGTACACCAAAGAAGACGAATATGGTGCCAAGCTTTGGGACATCGAGCCCGCTGCGCAGGTTATCGGCATTACATCCAACGGTTCTCTTGTGTTGGATGGATGTCGAGCGGCAACCATTAGATGGAAGAATTTCCCATCTATCGCGTTCGCTACGAGGCGCTCTTTTCGGCGTCTTCTGGCACTCGGAGTTCCATACGTGGCCTTTTTCTTCTTCGTGCTGAGTTGCGCCTTGATTTCCATCGGCAACCAGACCGCTAGCACATCCGCCTCCGGATCTTCCGGGGGAACAACTGCAGGCGGCGGCGTCATGCTGGCCTTTTCACTCATCCTGCTAATATTCGCGCCAATCTTTACAACGTATGCGCACTCTGGACGAGTCGTCCTCGCTCGTCCATGGCTCATCGGAGTCAAAGGCGTCATCTCTGCCCAGGAAGCCTCTGACTACCTGTACGGCGGTCAGATCGGCAACTCTCGCCGTACTCTATACACGCCTTCAGGTTCGCCTCTGGCGAGACCGAAAGAACACGAGTCCAAGTTCCGCGAAGGCCATGCCTCGCAGTACGAAGCAGCACGTGCAGCCCCGCCATTTGACCCTATCGAAGGACACATGTTCACCCTCGTCGACACTATCTCGGGCACGATCTACTATTTCCGTGCGCATAGGCCGCCTACGGTGTGCCTTTTTACTGGATCGGAGGGCGGGCAAGGGAGGTTTGTGCTGAGTAGTGAGGAATGTGGGAGTAGCGAGCTGAGGCGCGAGACGGTGCTTCGCATGCCGAGCTTCATCTCTGGGTATATGAACACTTGTGATTGGGTGGCTTTGGGTGGTAAGCCTTGATCGAGGGGTTTTTGCGTTTTTGCTTTGCTTTCGTCAACCACACTCGTTTGTCGTCTCCTTTTTTATTTTGGTGTTTATTCATATCTCGACTATGCTCGTCGCTTTCGTGCTAAAAAATGGTTCGCACAGAACGTCCGGTCCTTTCGTTTGGGGTTATTTATTGTCTATGTAATGTTTGTTCGTCCTCGGGTGTACGCATAAATTATTGGATCTTGCTTTCTGTCTTCCTTCTATATGGTCTGGCTAGGGGAGGCTACGTGCCGTCGTTCCTTTTCATAAGTATCGTATGTACGTGCTGTCTGGAAATCGTGTTTCCTTTTTGTTGACGACGAACAATACAATCGAGTGAACCCTTTCTATAGTGCGTGTGCACATAATGTTAGACTCAAAAGAGCGCAAACCCGCCATCATAAAAGCAGCAAAACACATACATTATTCGTGTTATATATCCTGTATCTAAGATCAAAATAAGTAGGCTATTAACACGTACGCTTCCTCATCCTCATTCTAGCTTCCGCTTCCAACCACTCAAGGAGGAGTAGCAGTATAAATCCCAATTCCCCCCGGCCTAAAATTCAACCCCGTAGCATTAGTATTCTGCGAAACCGAAAACACGCGCTGCAACTGCGTCGTCGCATTCGTAATCGCGCCCAGCCCCACATCCTTCCACGGCACATACACCTCCGCATTCACCAAATTCGAAACCAACAACAAATACGCAGTGCCATTGTGCCACAACCCCGCATCCACGCCTTGGTAGTCGTAGCTCGCAAACGTCGCGTTGGGGTCGACGATGAAGGGTTGGATGAAGTCGCGGATTAGGATGGTGAGGTTTGTTGCTGTGCCTTCGATGGTTGTTACGCTGCCTGTTGTGGTTGGGTATTGGTAGGATTTGGAACCTGGTGTAATGTCATATCAGTTTTAGTTTTTGGGAGGGTGTGTTGGGGGGAGTTACCTAGTGCTCCGTGGCTAAAGGACGTGAATCCCATAGCTGCCCATTGTTGTCCAGTGGGAGTGGTGTTCCAGTATCTGGAAGGAGAGTCAAGACATGGATCGTGATGATAGTCGAGGGAACTTACGCGCCGCTCCCGAAAGCCTGGGGCGTGGTCCACACGGACTTGGTGCGGTCAAAGCCCATGATGTTGAGCCTTTCCTTGTACGTCTGAACTCGGGTCTTGACATCAGCCAAGTCGCCCTGGCAGTTGTCGCATCCACAGTGCCCAAAGTCCGGGGTACACGCTGTGTGCCACACAGGTGAATATGTGGCGTTGATACCGATAGGATAAGCATCCTATACCAGGGATCAGAAACGCGAGCAAAGCAATAAAGATGTGTGAATGGCTCACCTGCAGAACGATATCGGCACCCTTGACGTAGGGCGAGAAATTGTAGTCTTCGCAATTCAGGACGATAGAGATGGGGTGGTATCCGTCCATCTGGTAGATCAAGTCGTATGTCGCCCGCGCCGCGTTTTGGGGGTCGGAGTTGCCATCGGGCTCGTGTGCGGTCTCCCAGTTCAATAGGTTAGGAATTGAGGCGTATGTGTTTACTTGTTGAGCGACAGCGGTCAAGTTTTGATAGTTCCTGAATAGAAGATGTCAATAACCGTGCGATGCGGTGACAGAGTCTGACGTACGATCGCATATCATAAACGATGTACATGCCGGCACTGATGGTCTTGTTGATGACTTCTTGGAAAATAGTGAGGTTGTCATAAGGAGGAATTGGGTGAAGCTATGGCGGATGTTCAGTACGGGATATACCAGATGATCGCAAAACATACAGTGTTAAACCTGAAAAAAGAAGTTAGTAAATGCTTAAAAGGTGATAGAAATGCAAACGAACCCATCGGCTTTGAGCTGATCGATCATGGTTAAATTTTTCGCCAGATAGGTGTCGAAACTTATGTAGAAACCTTGAGGGACAAAGGGCGCAAACGCTCCGCCCTTGCCACTTGCGGGCCTCACCCAGAGTGCGCCAGTGCGCAGGTCAGTCTTAGTGACTGAGGCATTCGTATCAGGGAGATACAAAAGGGATGCGCTAGTCTTGAATTTCTGGTTGTATGAAGGCTGGGACTTGGAAGACGAAGGGGCAGAGTATTTGGCGGAGCAGCTGACATTGTACGCGGTCTTCTGAGCCTCGAGCTTGCTGATATCTACGGGAATTTGGAAGCCGGTAGCGTTCAGAGGGACGTTTGCGGTGACGTGGACGGAGCCGACGCTGATGGAGACGCTGAGGGTTCCTAGGCCAGTGGAGCCAGTAGTTGAGTTGGAAGGAAGGGAGATGGGCTGAGCACCGGTAATCCAGTCGTAGACAATTGTTGTGTCAACGACAAAGGCTGCGCTCTTCGCATCCTCTTCGAGGTATGGGCGGAAGACAGGGGCACAGCGGAATGACAGAAGGGGTTCAACACTTGGTGTAGGCAATATAAACTGTCCGCCAGGGGGCACGACAGACTGATTTGACATGAAGTTTTTTCCGCACCTGGAAAGAATGAGCAAGGGATGTATGGGATCGAGAGGGCACATACCATGTCTGAGCGAAGGAAGTTGGAAGCAGGGCGGCGGTAATGAAAGCCGCGAAGCTTTTGGTGAATTTCATCTTAACTCCCGAGTCCTCAGGCCTGGTGTGAGAGAGGGAGATCAAAATGAAAGAAAAGAAGGAAAAGTTGATGTGGAGCTGTGTGGGGATTTGAATTCTTGCCAGCTCAGCACAACTTATATAGGATCAAGTACGGGCTGTTCGCTGACCTTCACTAAGGCCGGCAAAGGTAATCAGAGAGAGCTAGGATCTTCCATTGCAACAGCGCTCTAAGTGCTAATGATGGCTTGTGACGAGTCAGGACAGATTTGGTTAGTTAGTCGAGGATAGCTGTGGTTCAGTTTGGGGGGTGATTCATGCCAAGGTTGCGATAGTTAAGGCGGCTGAGTGGAAGCGGGCGTTAGGATGACTGCTATTGGCTGGTGGGGGCGGTGGTAGATGACATATCGGTCATTTAATAGATTTTGTTGATCCAAGGCAATATCGCATCGCTTTTTAGCCGTCGTGAAGAAAAGTCGGGTAAAGTCTATAAGAGTGCAAAGTCTTGCCTTTCGCTTGACACGATGATTGAATTATGTTGTGGATATACATGTATCGAAATTGTAGCCTGTGAGGCAGCAAGTCTATGGAACAGGCTGCTAAAGATGGGTGTCATGTCATGGTAGGTGGATGACGCCGGCTGTCACAGGCGGCCTTAGTAGCAAGCTCTAGTGCGGGTTCCTGCAAGTTTGTTGTATGTTGGTCACCGGGAGAGGTTGTTACTTACATAAGTTTAGAGGTTGTGCCCAAATTTGACACCGGCGGCATCCATGTTGACGATTGCCCAAAGGCTGCCTAGTACAACGAGCACCGCAACCAAGTCCTCTGATATGCTGCATCGTTGATTCGCTGGTTGGGCCAAACTTCCGCGGAGCTAACGCTCTACGATGGATCGCATCAACCTGCTAGGTGCCGCCACCAGCCTAGTACCTTCCTCTGCCGGGATCGGCACGCTCAGCGGTGTTCCTGGGTCAACAAGCTCGTTCTTCCATGGAGTTAGTCGAGCAGTAGTGAGTGTGCGATGATCGGCGCCACTACTCCGAAGTGACCCCGAGCAGCATGCACTTCAAAGTCTAAATGGGACTACTATCAACTCGTCCACTACTCACTCTTGCAATCACCCAAGCCCAAGTCCTCCACCGGTGCGAACGGGCCCAAGCTCAACGGAATTGAATACAAGGGGAGGCAAGTTTCTCTTACCACCACTTTTCTCCGCTATAATTCAATACCCAAGCAGCCCAAGCCCAAGTCCTCCACCGTTACAAACGGGCCCAACTTACCAAGCTCAACGGAATTGATTACAGTTTCCCTCCGACGTAAACGCCATCACGGGGATCCATTCAAATATCAAATCGCTTATTTCTCAATCCCCGGCGTACTTTCATTGATCGCCATATCCAGCAGACTTATTCGAAAAGAAAACCCTCTTGAAAGCCCGCGGAGCCACCTGCACGATCAGCGTATTCATCAAGCAGAGTACAACTTCATTGCGCCCCAGCTTGCAGAGAAGGACACTAACATTGCATGTTCGCCGACGACGATCAGGCGCAGTTGGACGATGACCGAGACCGTGCATTTTGGATTAGGATTAGGTCTCGACAAACCCAATGTCCACTTTCCTCCAAGTACTTTCCCTGTAATATTTTACTGCAATAGGTTTTGTCGCTGGGGGTCCTGCATGTGTCTGTGTAGGCTACTAGTATGGGTAGAAGCGACGAACGTGCCGAACCCCCTAGGCCTCCCACCTGTCCCTGAACTTGATTGAGAACCGAGCAAAACAACGGCAGGAAAGGCATAGAGAACTACACGAGTTTGAAAATTTGACAACGAAGCATAGCAGATATTGCTTGCGGGCGCGCTTGTCCTGAGTCATGGGGTAATTACTTGGTCGCTGCACCTCCATTCCACCGTGACCATAGATGCATCATAAGCAGCAACAAAAACAGGCCAGCCTTGGAGCACATCATCGTAGCAGCAAGCACAACATAGAAGCGCGGGAGTCTTTGAGCGAAATGAGCTGTTATTTGCACAATTTTGAACGATAATACTTTTATGAACGGAATTCCCCAAACCCAACTGCGTCACCCAATGTAGTGAAAGAGATTCTCCAACTGATCAAGCAATCCGCGATTTTCCTAGCCAGGACAACACCATAAATAAACCATTAACATTTCCACAGCCTAATCGTCCATAGAATTAGATTCATCCAGACCACGTTCCTAGTAAACGTATGGGATAATACGGTAGGATACCAGCTTCTTGTACGTCTCCCAATCCTTACCGTACCTAGTATCAACCAGTCAGCACACTTCGTCATAGACCAGTGAGGAACAGCCGACTCACTTTTTCTCACAATTTTCATCATCGCGGCGCTGCCTGTGGACGAGCAGGACCGCAAAGTACACAACATAAAAGTATGTGATCGGGGTGTCGAACCCGGTAGGAAGCGACCATGCAACTGCCATCAACAAGTCACCACTGCACAACACAACACAAATCAGATCTCAAGAACAAAATCAAAAAGAAACGGAACTCACAAGTAGTTAGGGTGCCTTGATCGGCCCCACCACCCAGAAGTGAGAAGCTTCGAGCCGGTAGAAGTCGTAAAGTATTTCAAATCTAAACAGCAGTATGTCAGTACTGACGAAGGCGTCTATGAAAGGAAATGTTTCACTCTTGGGGTTGCGTCCATTTCTGAAATCATTCTTTTCCCCATTCGCATCGCGGAAAATGTAATACCCAAGGAGGTTGAGTCCAAGTACTCCAGCGGTACCAAGGGCCCCAAGCTCCACTTGCTTGAACACAAGGTAGCGCGCCTGCAGCGAGTACACAAAAGGCACCCAAGTGAGGTCGCCCACAGCAAGCATGAACCCAAACCCATCAGTCGTGATGTCCATAGTCGTTAAAATGGCAGGCTGCACATTGTATGAGTGCAAATCCGAAAATCGCGCAGAATGGGGAGACTAACCTCGTTATACAATCCATCGGCGACATACCAGGTCTGGAATGCGAGTACGAGCCACATCGAGTCGGTAACGTTCGCGAAACCCCCACGACGTACGGCTTGCTCGCAGACCATGCTCATGTTCACCAACACCCAAAGGATGAGGCCAGGGCGGAGCTCGTTGAAGGACTTGATGTCAAACGAACCAATAGATGGGTTCAACTCGCGGCCAATGTACCACTAGAGGTTACATCAATACGGATAGCACCAACAAGCGAACATGAAACGCACGTCATAGATGAAATTTCCCGAGTTGCCACCAAGTGCGAGGAGAGCGCCCGGGCGGTATGAGCTCGCGTACACGTAGAAAGCCTGCACCACGGACATGACGAGGGAAGCAGTGACGAATCCTATCCATTTTTTGTAGATGAAGGTGAAGGACTCAGGGCCGTTGCGAAGGATGTATCCACAGGAGATACCCATTGCAAGGAGGAATGTCGAAAAGGCTGCATAATGATAGCGTCAACACCGATGCTTGCCGCTATTGTCAGACACGAACCATTGATCTTGTACTTCTTTTTCTCCCCAGTGCGCATAGTCACACCTTCGACCCAATCCCCGGGCAACACTGCCCACGCAACAACGCAAAATGCGTACCATCCCAAATAAATCAAACTAGCCTCGGTGTCCCATAGACTCGCCCAAAAGGTTTTATCACTCAACGCTCCCACGAACCGGTCTGGAATAGATTGTAAAAGAGGAGGACAGCCGCCAGACTCCTCTGAGCAACCAAAGTAGAGGAGATACGTCATGAAAGGGACGCCGAATGAGATGAGAAAGGCACCCGGTGGGCCTAGGAACTCATAAGACGTCGAGCGCGGGTTCAACTCTGCCACGGGCTCTGACTTGGCTTTCGTTGGTGTCGACATTGTGCTTTGTGCGCGATGAAACGCGTTGGAAATGGTGGTTCAGTCGTATGATTGTTGCGTGGTCAATGCGCGCCTGTGCTTCCGACGGAATTGACTCTTATTTTGGTCCGATTGGCTTCCATATTTGTGTGATACTCTATGTTTTGGTCCTCCCTCATACAGCCTCAGGCGGAGTCAGGCCTACATGCTTGCACACTTGTACATTGGTTCTAATTCGAGAAGACAGCATGATAACATGTGTTCTACATAATTAGCATATGACATGCGAACGATCATGTTGCGTCCCCATCTAGGTTCCCAACCAACTTTGACAGCCTCTCCTTCCTCAGAGGTATCCACATCACCTCATTTCCACTAGTACCAGGCTGTGCTGCGCTAACCACAAGCCCATGGTCCCTGAACTCGCCAAGCAGAGCTCTGAGGGCAGTATCGTTCGTGGCGATGAACGCGTCCCGCGCCAAAGTAAAGAGAGCATCGTATGTCAGGCCAAGATGCTGCTGGTCATTAGGGTTATGTGCGGAGTTGGCCTCTGAGACGTCGGAAGACTCTGCATTTTCGAGTTGCTTTGCAGCAAGCAGGGAGAATAATTTCTTGGCTTTAGCGGTCACCGCCGCGAGGACGTGCATTGCCGCTGTTTCTGTCAGCGGGCCAGAGACAGGGTTGGTGATATCAACTCGTGCGCGGGATGACGAGGCACCAGAAATGGAGGTACGGTCAGCGAATGTGAGTTCGGAGGTGTATGGTGCAAGAGTGGTCAGGTCGTGCCAGAGCCAGCCGTATCCTACGTTTTTCGTGGCGTGATCCGAGGAAAAGAACGAACCCTTCCTAGCTGCGAGCTGAGACGCACTGAATAGCAGTGGTGCGTTAAGCCTGTCGATAGACGCTGCGATGTGGATGTGGGGACTGAGCGCGAGCGAAGAAATGGCACGTGCAAGTTTTGGAGAGCGGTCGAGGGAATGAACGATGAGGAACAGATGGGGGCTGTCTGAGCTTGCAAAGTGCTCTGCTACGCGCTCTAGGGTAGGAGCAGAAGTGGAGGTGGATTGTACGCCTGGGACGCGTGCAATGGATGCAAGCATGTCGCGCACGGTCACCGAAGGGTGAAAGGCATTGACTACGGCGACATGTCCACGTCCCGACACGTGTTTTGCAAAGTCGTTGAGGATACCGCGCTTCGAACCCAGTCCATAGAACAATAGATTAAAGCCTTCGTCGAGCTCGCGAGCCCATCTCTTGAAACTGGAATTATCAAAGGGAACTTTTGGCGTATATGCATGCGCAGAAGCTCGTGCGAGAGCAGCATTGTGCTCTTCAGGGCTGAGGGGCACGACACGCTGTGAAAAGACATTGGTGGATGTGCGAGTGCGCGAGGAGGCGTGCGTGAAATAAGCATCAAAGGACGGCTTGTAAGAGTCGATCAGACCGTCAGTCTCAGCTTCTTTGAAGATGGTAGCATAGTTGTGCTCGATGTCTGAGGCATAGAGCTCAGATCCTTCGTCGCTGTCCATCACGATGAGGTCCGTTTGTGGTTGTTTGCGTCAAGTTTGCGTTCAAAAGCAAACCAAACTTGCACCACCACTACTTCTCATTTCATTTCACAACCACAACATGCATTTTGAACAAGTGCTTTTGCACTGGTAAGTGATCTACATATGCATTAGCTGCAATCACATTGCACGCAAAAGACACGAAAGGAATGATCTTAGTATGGTCTATTCATTCTGTATCTTTTGTGTGTCAATATTGTCTTCTTCTCCTCGTACATCTCTTACGCCCAGCTCACCATACACAATAACAACGTATCTGGAGGCTTGTCAAAGGACGGTACGGGAATGAAAAAAGTGGGCGGTGAAGAAGTACAAATTCGCGAAGACTGCGTACCTATCAGTGTACAGAACCTTGGCCTGTTGCAACTCAAACACCACCAAGTATTAGATCTACTAGATTCAAGTTCTTCCAATAGATGGACTGCGTCTTGTCACAGTTGAAGCCTTCAAGCTTTAAGAACTAGTAGCTGAATGTTCAGGTCAGTTCTGAACTTGGGTCAGCCTCCACTTGTGTTGATCGTCAGTCTCAGCAAAACTTTGTTCACGGCGCTGAGCAGACAATACGCAACGCTCCCTCGCGTCACGGTTGAGGCGAGAGCTCGCTACGGCGGTGGCTGCCATTCATGTCAAACGCATCAGTAATCTTTGACACGCTAGTGCAAAGCGCAAGAGCTGGGAGAACGTTTCCGTCGGGTCTAGTGCAGAATCACGATATAGCACTGAAGAGTAAGTATCTTTTCTCGATGAATCAACATATGTTTACTCACCCGATACGAAAGGCCAAGCCGCCTTACACTGCCAGTGGACTTTGTCAATGTCATGCTACTTCTAGCTGAACTGGAACTTGCTGTTATCGAAGGTATGTTTTGCGGCCCCCGGTTATTTTTTCACGTGGTCTTCAGCACCAGATAGCTTGTCATTTTTTGCGTTTCGACAACATCAATGTGGCTCGGTCAGGTGCATTATGGAAAATAGGTCTTCTTGCTTCTTCGTCCATTGGACCACCACCAAGTACGGGGACATCGTAAGGGGAATGAAAGTTCACCCAGGGTGATAATTGCTAGCTAACGAACGAATGAACCAGTTATCTCTCCATGTGTAAACGTCTTACCAGCAAGAACCTCCAAACCGATTTGATCGTTCCGTTGTCACCGCGACCCTCCGCTTCGCTCTGATCTTGCGCAAGACGTACAGCATGCCCATTGTGGATAAATGGACGAAGGACTACGCTCAATGGTTTTCAGATCTTGGTCGAGTTGTTCTATGGCGCTCGGCGACCAAGGCAGACTCACACCGGTGCCTTTTGGTTTGGTCCTCAGGGTTCTCCTTCGATAATTCATCTCATAGTTCGCTATCACCGGCGACCTCAAGGCTCGCAAATGACCTTGGTGCGTGCTGCGCCCAAACCCATTTTCACATTTGCGCAAATACATCCCATGCTATATGATCATGCTGTTCAACTAATTGCTAGATGAAACGGGCATGTAGAACCGATCGTACGTCCGCCGTTGGATCTACTTCTGCCGATGGTCGTGACTTACCAAGGACCTAACCCAGGTCATCAGGGACGTCAATACTTGTTCTTCACTCCCCAAGACACGGGGTCTTGTCACTCATAGAGTACATTCTCTCAATGGACACAAATTGGACATAAAAAAGACACGGGGTCGATGGCAGATCCATTTACTCAGTTCTTCTGCCTCTGACAACTATTGCATCGTCATTCCTACTGAAGGACACTGGGCGGCGATCATCGGGCCCGTCCTCATCCAACCACGGAGCCCCCTGCGCACGATTCATATCATATTCATATACCACAGGCAACGATACTCAAGGAAATTCAACCGAGTAGTCGCAGACTGCATCTAGCCCATCGTCACCGTCCCTCCACTAACCATGCCAACTGTTACGTCTTTCCTACGAAGGTAGAATTACGGCCACATGGATATCTACAATGAATAAGCACGAACAACCGGTGGCTCGGTGTCTATGGTTGTCTACTGCATCCACCACGTCATGCTACGTTGATGCGCGTTTTGTCTATATTCATTGGTTTTCAGGTGAATCACACGAAAGGATGGATACACTCATATACCATATATCAATGTGGCCGTAGTTCTACCGCGTCTCCTTCTACTCATACAAGGACTCCCTTCGTTCGTTTGCCATAACGTGTCTCCGCGTTCTCACTCTTGATAATGCTGTTCATTATTGACCGTGACACGCGTACGGCGGTAACACAGTACATGGTCAAGACGTGGTGGAGCAATAGACACCAATAGACACCGATCTGCCGATTATCCGTGCTTATTCATTGTAGAACACACATGCTTTCCAATTGACGATTCAGTACGTAGATTGGGAGGGAAAGCAGCTGTCAAAAAACATCAGTTTTACCGCTTGAAACCAAGTTCAAGGGTCCACCTTTCGTAAGTACTAGTTAGCGCGACGCACCCGTATAATCGGGGAAGTACAATATTCGATGTCGTCCGTCATGGTCTAGTTCAGAGCTAAAGTCGTACGATACCAGATTGGGAGCTTACCGCAGGCTTGCCCAAGAAAGAGTTAGGCGTAAATTATTGATCCTGCCAGAAGAATGTAGCTCGGCAATGAGCTTCTGGCGGTGCCGCCACAATCTGTCAATGGAAGTGTGAAGACAAGGATCTATGAAGCGATATGTGTATATGCATTTAGCGCGATATATATGGAGCAAAGTTCCATATTTACGCACTTACTGATTCTTTGTCTGAAGGTACATAGGCTGAGAGTAGATTGGCATTATATAGCCTGAGCGTACCTTGTACTTATCATGATCAGCTAGTGTCGTCTTCCGTTGTGAAGAGCTCTGTGTCAACGGCTCCAAAAATCGTGACATTGCATGCTGAAGATCAATGTAAAGTGCATTGATTTAGTAGGGTGACTCGGGAGTCAGAGCCCTTGACCTTAACCCTATATCTGATCGATAAAGCCTGCCCTAATGGGATCAGATAGGCCTCGTTGCGATTATCTGACCTGTGTTTTGGTTCTGCTCCGATAAAATTTCAGGAGGTGCGCTAATCAAATCTGCCATCTCATCTTTCTCCCCATCTTCCACCATCTCCAAGTTTTCAAAATGGCATCTGTGGGCAAGCTCTATTGTTTCGAGACCATGCGCCAGACCAAGACGGTGATTAATGCACTTGCATCTTTTCGCGTTTTAATATGACTCATTAGTGCAACCTATAGATTAAAAGCGTCTGTGCACTAGCAGGTCTTGAGATTGAGATTGCTGCTGAGTACAAACACCATGAAGATAACAAGAAGCCAGAGTTTCTTGCCAAGTTCCCTCATGGAAAGATCCCCGCTTTTGAAGGCGCAAACGGCTTGAACCTCACGGAGGGTGCCCCGATTGCGCGGTATCGTGAGTCATACTATTTTCCATGTCGATCGTGATTTAGGATACCATAAGGATGAGAAGATCTACAGTTATCCCTGTCTTAATTCTATGTCGACAGCTTCATGTAATTCTGATCATGTTATCCGTTCTCACTTTCATGCACTGGCAGCATCGCTGTGGGGTTGAAACGTACGTGCTAATGTTTTCATTGCAGTTGCCAGCCTTGCTCCAAACTCTGGTCTTCTTGGCTCGACACCAGAGGATGCCGCAGTCGTTGATCAATGGGTTCACTTTGCCGAAACAGAAATTGCCGCACCCGTCCACCTTATTGGAGAGATGCTTATGAACTTCCTTCCCTACAGCAAAGGTGTAAGTTAGTTCCTCGCCACCTGACCGTTCACACTCAATGATCACATGCAGATCCACACCGTCGCCGCTGAGCGCCAATTGCGCAGCCTCATCACCCTCGAAGCTCATCTGAGCACCCGTACCTTCCTCGTCGGCGACCGCATCACTCTTGCTGACATTACTGCCGCCTCTGTTCTCCAGCGCGTCGTTGCCATCACCGCAGATGCCGCAGTGCGCGCCAATCTCGTCAACACTGTTCGCTTCTTGGAGACTATTGTGCATCAGCCCAAACTCGAGGCTATCTTCGGCCCTATTGAGTACACCGAGAAAGCATTGCAGTACGTCCCTCCCAAAAAGGAGAAGGCACCCGCTCCCCCAGCCGCCGCACCAAAAGAGAAGAAGGAGAAGCCGAAGAAAGTCGTCGAGGATGATGACGAGGATGATGGCAACCTCGTGCCTGAGGAGCCCAAGCAGAAAAGCCCCTTGGAACTGCTTCCCAAGAGCACATTCAACCTCGAGGACTGGAAACGTGCCTACAGCAACAAGGACACGCGGGGTGCTGATGGCGCGCTAGAGTGGTTCTACGCCAAGTAAGCACACATACTTCTCTTTCCTTGGATGTGCTAACCAAGGCACTCACAGCTTCGACAAGGAGGGCTTCTCCGTCTGGCGCGTAGACTTCAAATACAACGAAGAACTCACGCAAGTCTTCATGTCCTCCAACCAGATCGGTGGCTTCTTCAACCGCCTCGAGGCATCGCGCAAGTACCTTTTTGGATCGATGGGTGTGCTTGGCGAGAACAACGCCTCTGTTATTTCTGGCGTCCTCATCCTACGGGGCCAGGACTCAAAGTTAGCTGTAGACTGCGCACCAGACTTTGAGAGCTACGAATACACAAAGCTAGATGTGTTTGATAACCAGGAGGACAAAGCCTTCTTCGAGGGTGCACTCGCATGGGATCTGGAGGTCGCTGGCAAGAAATGGGCAGATGGAAAGAATGTGAGCTTTGATTTTTATCGTGTTTCAAGACCTTTCGCTGACGTTCGGGCCGCAGTTCAAGTAAAAGGTACCCGATGTCGGAGAGTGTGGGACTTTTGGGAAGCTGCAGTATCGATTTCGTGTATCATCGTGTTTCTTATATGTAGATCTTGTTGCTTCTTAACCAGCCCTTGAACTACGTTCGCGGAAGGTAGAGGGTAGTGGTTGCGATACATATCATATCATCCAGTGTCGCACTTCTAGGAAACCGAATAACAATAACCTACAACTCGGATGCTTTCAAAGATGCCGGCGGATGTCCAACTTGAAGCTTGAAGGTTCAATAACGTTCAACCCTTAGCTTGATGCATCGAGCAGGATTCTACGAAGCAGTACGAAGCAAGCAAGTACCCAGAGAAGGTTCAACTGTACGTTCTGATTCCACAGCAGCATAATTGAACTTTGTCGTCGGCACGAAGGTTCAATGTTCATAACTTAACACCAAAACCTTGATAGGTAACCGCCACTTAAGCATATGGACGACCAGAAGCAGCTCTCTTCGATTGTTGTCACTAGTCTCCCATGGCCAGGCCTCGAAGAAGAAGGAAGACGATCATTCCTGCTGTTCAAGTCGTTCTTGGCATCCCTTCAATGATGAAACATTTCCCAGCTATCATGTGTCCAACATCAAGAATCAAAATGCGGCAGGGCAGTACATCCCAATTCTAGAACCAGTAAAAAACTTTCAGCAATGGAAATTGTCAGATATCAGTACCTATCACTGATCAGCGAGCACTGCCAGTGCTTGTCAATCGCCAAGTGCGGAAAAAACGAGGCATGTCGCATGATAACGGTATGTACTCCTGCTATGTACTGGTACTACTCCACCATCAAGATCGCTAATGTTATTTTAATGTATTGCCATCCGGTGCTACTTGCTCGTTAATCTCCGAATCTGCGAGGAATACAACCTCGGTAGATGCTCGACCGCTCTAGGTTCAAGCCTCGGTGAGTTTATTTGCAAATCTTAATCCTGGCGTGCATACGAGCCAGGTATCGGGCGCGTCTCATGCATGTCATTTCTAGCCGGAGAAGACTGATGTTCGTGAGATGTATGGGCGTATAGATGATTCCATCAGGCAAAACAAGAAATCTTCTGAAAGTCCCCAGAATTTCTTCGACCAATTAAACTAGCCACGTTCAATAACAGATTACTATGGTACGTCCCTTCTTTCACCGCAATCATGTTTCTAAGCATACATAGACATATTCAGATCTAAATTTAAAAGGTATCTTTTCCCTTCTTATGCTTGCTTACGGTTGAACAAAGTACTTAATCATTCGAAGGCGGTCCTGATCTGTGATGTCCACTTGTCAAGTATTCAAACTACTGACTCCGGTCCCTGACAATCCCCGCACGTTCACTTCTGGAACATATATGCATGCTGAGGTTAGCAACACATGTGGAAGCCAGGGAGTATGCCAGCGACAAATGCTGGTTTAAGCCCTTTATTTTCGCTGGCTGAGCGTGTTGTTACAAAGCACAGGCCACGGCCGAGTAAAGCTCTTCGCTGGCAGGGACGACACTCGGGAACCCCTTTGAGCCTACGTAGCAGCTAGTATAAGAGGCTGTTGGACAAAATAATACTCACAAGTCCTCTTCATTACTCTCAGAACGTCTTGCAAGTGCTCTTATCTATCCCAATGGCTCCTATCGGTACTCTCTGGGGCGCTCCTTTTCAACGTCAAACTAAATGTGTCAGTTCGGTTTTGTTTTGCAGAGTTCTACTGACTGAATACAATCCAGATATTGAGCGCTGCTGCTATCGCAGGCCTTGAAGTGAAGTTTGAACTTTTTCGATTCGGTGTCACCAACAGGTCACCTGAATTCCTTGCCAAATTCCCCCTTGCAAAAATGCCTACCTTTGAGGACAAGGATGGGACCGCACTTATAGAGGGAGCCGCCATTGCACGTTATGGTCAGTGTGTCGTATTTCATAATTTATTATACAGACACTTCTTACCGTACGCCGTTGTGTAACTAGTTGCCTCCTTGGCCCCTGAGTCTGGGCTTCTTGGCCACAGTGTCAAAGATGCTGCACTTATTGACCAGTGGATTCACTTTGCGGAGCACGAGATCAATGCATACACCGACATCATATTCCAAATGATAGAGGGCTTCTTCCCAGAGAAGGCCTACGATGAACACGTCAGTCGTCCTTTGTACGCAGGAATTCAATGACTCACACCAACACTTTACAGATCCACGATGGTTTGGTTGCTCGTCAACAACGCTCGCTCAAGTTCCTCGAACAGAAAATCAACCTTCATGAATTCCTCATCAATGACGAGATTACCCTGGCAGATATCGTTTTGGCTGCTGTGATCCAACGCGCTGCCATAGTGACACTTGGTGCTGCTGAACGAGCACTCTACCCGAACATCTTCGCACACTATGCGAAGGTGACAGCTGATCCTCGCATCAAGGACATCCTCGGGGCAGTAAACTTTGTTGAAGTGCCCCTAACACCCAAGAAAGCTGAGTAGACTCTTGCGTGTGATTATGCGGGAAAGAGGGAAAGAAGGGGAAAGGAAGGGAAGCGTCTTCTGTAATCAAATAATATACTATACCTCGCTCGAGACCTCCTTCTGAATCAGGTACCAGAATGACTGTCGTAACATAAGAATGTAAGCTATTTGTGTTCTTGAAAGATTTGGGCTTAAACGTGGAGATACCATCCCTATGAAAGATAAGCCACCGAAGAAGTCAAGTTCGACTGACGAAACCTGCTATCCTCCCACTTGCTACTTTCTCGACATCGCGGCAAGTAAGACTGTACCTAGTCGTCCTCTCGATTGTCCCTCCCGATTCAATAATCCCCACTACAGCCTTGTCTTGAATCATGTAACGATTGCCGATCCGTGAGTGCGATCCATTTGAAAGAAGCAAGAAACCATCGCCGGTGAACGTGTCGGCGGCTACTTCGTTTATGCCATGCAGATGCGCTGTGTAAAGTTCTCCTGTCGTAACCACAACACTGCGAGGCTCCAAAAATAATGACAATATAGGCATTGGATCGACGCCACGTCCCATTGATCCAGGGTCAACACTCAAGCTGTCTTTATCCTTATATTGATAGTAATGAAAGATAGCATGTGATCCTAAGGAAATAGTTGCGACGACTGGGTGATATGAGGGACCGTCTGCGTGGGGCTTCGAATTGGACATCAATGATCGGTTTTTGAAACAGTGCTTCGGATCGTACCATGATGCCTTGTCCTGGATAATACTTTCACGACGGTGAGAAAGGGTAAGAAGTTATTTATGAGATGCGATGATCTCACTTCATTCAATATAACGTGATTGGGCCCTTTGTGTGGGGACTGATTGAAAGCTCCAAGGGATCTGAGACGTCCTAGAACATCAGGACTATAATCGGACCGAATGGTTGAGATAGGCTATGCAAAGCTTGATAAACGACTCACAAATCATTCAAGAATGCAGGTAAGTCCTGGCGAAACAGAATGTTCTTCTGGAGAACTTCACCCCCTGTATGGAACAAAGGAACCTGCGTGAGGGATCTCGACCAGTGGGATGACTTTACTCACCCCATAATTGTAGTCTAAACAAAAATAACGAATTAGCCTCCGTGCACGCATCGATAGTATGCATTACAAACCTACGATTGTTCAACGTCTTCCATTTCTGCTTTGGGGAATCTTCTATCTGACGAGACTAGCTAAGGAGCGCGCCTAAGATATCAATTTGTCCAGCTAAAACTCACCTTTCGCAGCAAATACCGTTCTTCATCTTCAGAGATGAAGTTTGGGATATAATATATGGCTGAAGTTCCCTGCAGGTGATGTTCAGCAAGGAGGTCCATATCGGTATCAGAGAAAGTGCCATGATTAGCTTGGGAATACTTCAAGTTGTTACGTCATGCATTTTTAAAACCACGTTTGTCCGGTCAACCATTTGGAGTGCGCAGGGTGTGCAGGATATTGGTTTTCTAAACCCACTTCACACACCGTTTTCGCTATAGACTGAGAAGACCTGTATCCACTCCGACTATGTCCTTGAGCAAACAGTTTTGCGCCACTCAGTTGGCAGGCTGGTCCACCCTACCCTCTGGATGCACTATTAACCTTCAGCCCACCCATCTGACGGCTTGGCCTTCGTGACAAGGTTCTTCGCGAGCTCGGAGACACGCCTATCTCCGTCAATGAATGTTGAACATCTATCGACTGGCTGAACATTTGAGGTACTTATTCGTGTGGCTACTGCTTCCACGATCCGTTCTCACCGCACCTCGTCAGAAATAACCGTGATGGCAAAACTGTATGACCTACTTATGTGGGCATGCGATCCGTGTTTATGGTTGACATAGGCTTCACAGCACTGCACTTCCAAATTCGTCAGCGAAACATAGCAAGTTTATCGCATGGCATGCTGACTGAGAGAGCTAACTTACCTTGGTTATTGTGGATCTCAAGCTCGGACCTGTAGATGCCCAAACCCAAACAACATCCTCGCAGAGCCTTGTCGATGACTGCGATAATCATATTTTGAGCAAAAGTCATGACAATGACCGTGCTCGAAAAGGAAATCCTCCATCATCGGGGATCTCGCAGACAGCTCAGACTTTCGTTCCCCGTTCATAACGTGTTGTAAGAGCCAAAGATTCATACATCAGATTCGAAGCCCTCAGTTGACCCCTCCATATCAACAGAACCCCTCGGGGCGCCGATAACTTGTTCCTCTCATTATTGGATAGCGCCAAAAGCGGTTCCGGGTGTTAATACCTGACGTGTCCAGCCAACCATAAGTTGAGTGTAAAGCTCTATCAAAAGTGTAGCTTCGATCAACATATCCAACTTGAAAGGCACTTTTAATTGTATAAAGTAGAGAGTCGAAATAAAACTTTCGAATCACCATACCCCAGTGAACTTCGTTGGGTATCTAACTATGCCCCATTGACAGCAGTTACAATTCATTACGATACAAGACAAGGAACAAGGTCCTTGAGAGATCCCGAGCCAGATCCGGAAGGTCGTGCATTATACATGGCATAGTACTGTCTGTCGGCTTTTCGTTTCATGCGACTGTCGCAATCCACCGCAATTTTGGTCGTCGGACTACGACAACCAAATTACAACCAGGTTGTCATTCGCACACCACTGTAAGCGCGAGTAAGTATGAAGTACCGTCGTACCGAGTGGTTGAACTTGCGATCGACGGGCCTATCGGGATCTGTCTCATTGATTGGTGCCGTCACTGCTGTGACAATGAAAATGAATGGCCAACGATACGATGTCGTGGTTTAAACGTGTCACCTAAATTCTCCCTGGTTCTCCTGGGTGACCTTCCCGCTCCAGATTACGAAGGTACGGTAATACATAATGGATGCCGTGGCAATTCTTCCGAAATGATCGTGCTTTTTATAAGTAATGCTCTTAAGGCGACGCAAGACAGCGCCAGGCGTTCGGTGGGTAAAACAGAACCAAAAGTAAATTTTAATAGACAAAATGCTTGATCAAATACTATAAACAGGAGGCTGCGTGCATATTACTCAGGTGTAGCCTATGTATATCTGATAAGTCCATGTCAAAGTGATGGTGACTTTTCCCCTTCAGGACCTCTTTCATTGTACGATTTGAAGAAGCGGAATTGGCCGGCAGAACGTTCCGCGACGAAGAAAGATATAGCCACGAAAGCGAAAACTGCGTAAGGCGAACAAACGCAACCTGTAAGAAGTATAGCGATGTGGGCTATTTTTGCTGTTCCGACCCGCTAGAAAGAGTTCATTAGAGGAGTTCTATCCTGAACGAGAACAAATCACATACACAGGGGTATAGACGCAGGGATAGCCCCGGCGGTTGCAGTTACCACAACTAGGTCGACTGCCATCACATTTTAGTTTGCGACCTTGACAAAGAAGTCTTAGTACGCGTACTGGTACTTTATATCACAAAAGCACCACCTCTACAAAACTGACAAGCCATAGCTGTCCTACGCGGGACCCGTGGACTTGAGTCGTCGTCCATAGGATTGTAATTATATTGACCACTAGTAGACTGAGGAGGGTCAAACGGGAACTGCTGCACGAACTGTGTGCACGTACATGTGAGGACATTGACATTAGGACGGTATTATCGTTTAACGAAGAGCGACGTCTACCAGAAGCAGAGAAGAGGAACGATGTAGAGAGGAGGGGTAGGAATAGGTGGTGCAATTTATGATAATCCCTGGCGAATTTAACGCAGAACCAGCCTCGTATAAGTCGGGTAAATACGTATTTCCAGCTGTACAGCCCGTATAGCCAGAAGCCGCTTCGGCGTTGTTATTTTAAATATCGCGCTAGTATGAAAACTCAGACGCTACATCGGGAAGAGATAGCAGAAGGCCCAAGATCTGACTGCGCTATCATGAGTTGCCCCAAAACGCCACGTGCCAACGAGACGATCAAGAAGACGTACATGTGTCCTGATTCCAGGCTGTTTCTACGAAGCTTCAATCAACCAATGAGAAGTTAATGGACCAAGTAACGAAAGGTCATGGAACCGGAAGATGAAACCGATCAAGGCAGAAAAGCCGAGGGTGGTGAGGACTGGCATGCCGAATCCCTGCAAGCCACGGAGAGGGTTGTGGTGTATCTATACCCGAGATTAAAGAAACTGCCGAGTTGGTCGAAGACCGTTCGAAGGGATTCAATGTGAACAAGCGATCTCAGATCGTCTCCTTACGAATTTGACAATTCAAGTTGGAGACATGCCGTGATGCCAGGTCTAGTCACCTGCTAGTAAGCAAACTTCCACAGCTCTTCCAAGTTGGCAGCAAACACGTTACTCGATTTAACTCAGCTTGATATGATTCCCCGGTCCCGGCTGACACGATTCAGGCTACTAATCGCGAGAGTTGAGACCCTACGAGTGCTCACGTATCATCATGGGACCGTTATCCCCGAAAGCAACATCGTGAGCAATGTTTTCTGAAACGCCGGTATCGTTTCCATTTCAAAACGAGCTTTTCGACGATGAAATTTCTGTAAGTGGCGTTGTGGTGACAATTGGGCGTTAATCATATCTACCTGGATCAAATGTTGGTGTCGTCGTCGCCGTCCAACCCGGTGAAAGATTTCATAGCGCTCTCGAGTCCTTGAAGTCAGTAAGTGCAGTACTAGTAGTACTAGTGGAAGGCGCTACTAAGGTACAAATAGAACCAAGCTTCTTCTGGGAAGCCTTTTCATCACAAGACGTCAACACGTATATGAACGTTAAGCATTTCCTCTTCCAGCCGATGCCGATTACGGAGGCATTGGTGCGGCCGTCAGGGGCTGTGCAGTGCCCGGTCACGAACTAGTGCTCCTTATCCATGACTGAACACCAGGGGCATGTCCAATATTCAAGAGGCACATCTGCACTAGAACGGTAGGGGAATCGGGGGGGACTTACGTTCAACCCAAAAAGTGCGGGGAAAAGTATGGTACTAATATTGATTTCTTTCTGATGCGCCGATGGACACTGCAAACTCCGCCATCACAGGGCTACACAGGGCTACCCTAGACCAGGCTACTACATAGTCCTCCTGAGGGTATAGCCTGGTATAGTCCGTTATTTCGCTGTCGTGCGGTGTCGTGAGTGTAACCAAGCTAAAACCACGTTGCGACCTCATTAAAGGCTATTAAAGGCCAGCGCCTGCCAGCGTTGGAACGTAGCGCATCATTACTCAACCTGACTTGTCGCATTTTGTCACCGATAATTATACATAGTCCACCTTGACTCCCCTCCCTCCGAGTCCGATTCTTCGCGCAGTAAGTAAGCCGTGCATTAGGTCCCTCAGCGCTAACTTGCAAACTTCCAATACAACGGTAATTGCGTGCTTTTCTCGATCTGTTCCCCCTTCTGTTCTGCTGGTCGTTCGAACCAATAGAAAACACATTCCCCCATTCCCTTTGAAGCCGCTGGCAATGATTTCGGCCCCGCGGTATGACCCATTTCGCAATTCATCTGATCCACGCGACAATCTGATAAACGCACTGACGACGGGGATCGACCGCTTTTGTTAATAGTATGTGGGGCAAGCACATGGAGTGCTTGGCTCGCCGCGGGATCACTCAACTCCAGACAACGTACATATTCATTGCATGCATACAATAGCACTAGGGTGCAGCACCAGCGGACACAAAACCCTCCTGCGGTACAGCGCTACCTGCCTGCTGCGGAGGCATGGTCCGTCTAAGCCGGGAACAAAGATTTCTTTTTCCTCTTAAGAATCTACATCTGGGTCCAGTTCGAAGAGGGTTCGAAGGTGGGAATGTTGATTTAATGTCGGAATTACGAGTCTCAAGTGCCATGGATGGATTTTTTTTGCTCGCCTCAGCCGCCGAGGGGATCGCGCATCCGCTGTAACGCATCATCTCAGATCATCTCGTGGGTGTTCTGTTGTTGCCAATCTATTGTTGGAGATCAAAATTTTCCAATATGACGCGACCAATCATCAGTTGCCTACAATGATTCTGATTCATGAAGTCGTAACGAGATGTATAATCGTGATCAGGTACAGTGGCGAGAGTACATATGATACTAAGATAATATCAGATAATAAGTATGTACATGACTTCAGCGTTTCCTATTAGTGATGAAAAGATGACAGCGAAGGTGTGAAGATGAGTTAGATGCTACCAAGGAGCAAAAGCGCGTTCGAGAAAGACATTAGTGCGAAGTACTTTACTAACTGCTTGCGTAACCCAAAAAAATCAGGAAGATAAATTCATGCCTTGTGAGGGGGCGGATATATTGCGAGATAGATAAGGTAGGTCGGAGTAGAGATGTCATGGGCCAGAGCGCAGCAAATGGCCATGATTCTGCGCCGGGAGCGATCAGGCTCTGATTCGCCACCCGTCGCCCTTTCTGCGCTCTCGGCCAACACCCCCGAATGCCTCTCGTACGACAAGCCACAAGGCCGTGGATGAAATTGAATCCTTGATCTCCTCAGCGGTGAGCGTCAACTCGCCCGAACTAGAGGCAGTTCGGTTAACCCCCTGGGTGGTAACCACACGACGGTGCACCGCAAGGCGTTCAACTTCTATGTCTGGTAACGGAAAGGGGACTTTCAGGAGGCCGACGACTTTGGGATGGTGTGGGGTCGGTGCAAGAGTGGCAACTTTCAGTCGTACGACATGATCTCGCTGCTCTGCGGAACGGTGCATTGATGGTGGATGACCTATCCGTTGTACCGTGAGAGTACACGTCCAAGGCGTCTCTGAATCCTCAGGTTCACTGTCGTCACCAGAATCGTCCGCACGGTGAGCGCTACTTTCGATGCTGGTGCTAGCATCTGAGCTAGCACTATGATGCGAGAACCTTGATCGACAATGGCTTGTTGGCGAAGCATCGGGACCCGATGGGGGGTCACACGAACGAGACGGCGATTTGTGAACCGACCTCGACAATGGAGGTTCTGACGTCACAACCGCGCTTCCGCGGCGGCTGACACTCCCGCTTTCGGGGCCTTGCGCCGGTGACCTCCTATCAGTACGGGACTTCCTACCCCGCTCCTTCTCCTTTTTCAATCCTCGCGACCACTCAAAACGCACCTCCACCTGCGGAGCACTGGCTCCACCGAGATCCCCGCGCCCATTTGCGCTCAATTTACCCATCATCCCGTTCAAAAGGCCCGTGTCTGTGCCCTTCAGCCATTTGCGGACAACCCAAACATACTTGGTAGGTCGGCCTTTGGGTGGAGATGTTGGCGGATAAAGGGAAGCTTGGATTCCAAGGACAGGAGGACAAAGTATGACAGTGGACGAAGTTCCTGACACGGAGGGGTGTGGGAGGTTATCATTAAAACGAGGTACATCGGCGACTTGAGAACTCGAAGGGGGTGGTATGTCATGTGATCGACGAGCTGCGAGACGAGCTATGCTCTGCAAACCCTGCACCTCGACAGCCGCTGTCGGCACTACTGCGAGCATTCGGGAAGACGCATCTTTCTTCTTGAACATCTTGGTGAACAGCTTTTTGGCGCCTCCGCGCTGGGGCTGTGCGTTACTAGTTATAGGTTCTTCTGTAGCAGCGGGGGAAAGGGTAAAGCTGGGTTTACGAGGGATGTCTGTGTGTGAGGGGAGCGAAAGGGCAGTGGATTGAGAATCGGGTGTAACGGGCCTACTGCTCGAGGAGTGGGTGCGGGGTCGAGGGAACAAGCCTAGTTCTCGTTTGGAATCGTCAACGCTAGTGCGTGCGCTGCTACTCGGCGGTAAGGCACCACCTGGCAATGCAACAGTGCCCCAGACTTCGATAGGCTCGAGGATGGCCAGACCAAGTATTTCCAAGCCTCTCTTGGCGAATTTGGCCACTTTGGCATCAGTGCCAGCATCCACTATAACATTGGTCATGACGTTGTGAGCTTGAAGATTGTAAAGTGGAATGATCATGCGACGTCCTGAGCTCGTAGTTGACGACGAATTGAATGATGATATAGAGGTTGCAGAGGTGTAACCTGAAGTCGTAGACGCTTCTGACTGGCCAGAAGGCGTTCTTCGAAGATCGGTGGAGTCAGAGGTGGAGTCACTTATGTCTGGGGCTGATTGGTCGAGGGCCTGGACAGTCGCATGAGGTCGATCATGTCGAGATTGAGGGGGTACAAGTTGAACCTGGAGATTGAGCGGGTGGTTTGATTTACTCGGTGGAGGTCGTACGACGATGAATGTCTATAGATACATTGTTAAGCCCCTCGAAGCCTGACCAGAATAGCATGAGACGCACCTCATTTACAAGTTTCTCCCTCTTGTCTTTTTTCTTCGACTTGGGGTCACCGGCAGTGTAGTCTACCGGCTGAGAATTGACATCTGGTTCGGGAGTGTCTTGGTTTGGTGTAGAAAGTGAATGGTGAGAGCGCTGCTCCTGGTTTGGTTGGAGAACGGATGGTAAAAAGGACGAGAAACTGGAGAACATGATCGTCGTTTACGAGCAAGGGCGAACCCGGAACGCTCAAAGGACCATCAAGGATCAGTTGGAAGAAGGTCTTGAATTTGTTGATAGGGCTTGCCAGCGACGTATCAGTTATGTATTACTTCATACTCCGTCGGCACTACGGCTCAAGACAAACACTGGTCACGTAACCGTCAATGATATCAAGAAAAAACTGTGCCCGCAGAATTACATGTCCAATTTATTCACCGTACGCGCACTGCGCAGACACGATCCACAGGAATCACATGGACTACGTTCACGGTGGCGGCCTCGACGAGAACCTTGCACCAAATTTTAGATACCTAGGTGCTTAAAGTAACACAGGCACATATTTATAGTACTGCGGCACCGACAGCTTGCATAGCATCGTGGTTTCCATCCCAGGCTATCCATAGCGCAGCACTCTGAGAGCAGAGGGATAATTGCTATCGCACTACCGAGATGGGGCTGCGGACCTCAACAGTGTTGACGCATCTAACGAGCCTAGGTGACGGTAGCAGGTGGATGAGATGTTAGCTGGAGGTCACGTCATCCAGCGACCCCTGCCCAGCCTTGATGACGTCAAACGGGGTCAAGCTACCTGGCAGGTGACAAATGGAGAGTGTCAACTCTCTCTGCCAAAGGACCCCTATCACGAGCTACCACGAATGATCAGATACAGGTCGTGCGCTTGGTCGGTACTCTTACCTATAACACGGTTGAGAATCACTTATCTGGCCACCGCTTACAGAATCGTTGCTTCTAGTCATCGCCAAGTCTCGCTAGGCGGGCCTTAGACTAATTCAATTATGAACTCCACCATCAATATTGTTGTTTGATACATTTCTGGTCTACGCACCTTGGGGAAACACAAACAGGTAACTCGGATAAACCATTTTACCCATGGACCACTGCAGGTTGCAGGGTGGTCTGCGCAGGTCCTCTTCAAGTGCCGCGGGTCCTGGTGCAGTGGCAGGAGTCCAGGCTCGCAGTCGGTTGTCGTTGTCATGCATGTTGTAGTGGGTCCTCGATCGATAGAGCCGTCTCCTCCCGCCATCAAGGTTTGACCTTTAGAGTTTCCTTGCATTCCGTGCCCGGCCCGCCGGTACAATGCATGCCCTCCGACGGCACAAGCTACTCAAGCCGGAAGTTGTCCTCCGATGTCTAATGGGATGTATTAGATGTTCCCCGCCGTACAAAACTTCCTGACAACGGTTTTCTCTACAAACGGCAGGGTCAACCATTTAGATCGGAAACATGCATGCGCGCCCAAGCCTCCGGAAGCGTGTAAATTCTATATTTCCTGCAGTCATTGTCAAGTGTATAAAACGGACGGACGGGTATACTGCTTACACAGATGGTCTAGAGCCTGCGGATCTGACAGATGAGTCAACCATTTGCTACCCGTAACTGGGCGTTTGTCCGCAATTCACCAAGGTCACTTCATTTTCTCCCATGCCAGGGAAAAGCGTAATTCCAATGTCCAGCTGTAACCAAGAGAAAGAGGTCGAATAATCCCAGCATTGATGTGCGTCCCTAAAAGAGTCAACGACTGATTGGCGAACACGCAGCAGCCAAGGTCCTGCGGAACTCACCATCTTCAATCGAAACCACGCCATCTCTACCGTAAATGAGGCACATCAGTTCAACCGCAGCCTGGACTCGCCAGGGATCCCACCGTGCGATTTGGAACAAAAGTACCCGAGACGTTCATCCGGGACCGCTGGCCAGGCGACGACACCGAGTCGGAATCGACAGTTGCGATGGCACTTCTATAGTTCTAGTTCCAGTCACTGAACAAAGATGCGCGCCACAAAGCTGGTTCGTCGCATTCCGCGAACACAAGTGTGTCGCTAAGAACAAGGCAGACGTAATGGTTCCGGAAGGGCGCATAGGGGTCGATGTAGGGTCAGGCAGCTGTTACCGATTCAGGACACGGTCGTTCATGTTGTCACCGGACCTCGCGAGGAGTGCTTGGATTGGCTGCGCCCATGTGGACACGAGGCTATTGAAGTTGCCTAGTACCCAGGTCCTTGCATTCTACCATAGGTAATGGTCTTTATCCTCTAGGGTTTCGGAATCACCGAAATTAAGACCCAGGGATGGGCGGTATCCTACAGTATCACGATCGATAGTAAGCATTTGGTCATAGGTCCGCGTAACCATATGCTAAATCCCAGAAATTGTCAATTTGCCTTTGGATCGATGTTTCTATTGATTGAGGGTAATGACTAGTTGAAGAAAAAACTGAACCGCGGACTTGCAACCTGATGCAGAAGTTGGGAGCTTTCGGGAAAGACAGTGGACGGAACCCACATAGTCATACTGCGAAAACGTCAGATCAAGTAATGCTGAAACAATAAGCTTACGTGGTAGTTAACCCCTGCTCCACCAGTTCTATTGCGTTCTCTGGGTAACCCTTAACATTTGCTCAGCCAGAACGCAAACTTTCAGTGAACAACACCAACTCACTTGTCGTCCGTTCGCAACAATATGGAACTTGCAAGCCAACTTCATAGTACACGAGTGCCTCACAGTGGCTTATCCATCCCTCGATGTTCAGGGACCGACGCAGGCACAAGGGATGTGGTGATGTCATTTCCATCTGAGGTGTTCGGTAGAACCCGTCTTAGGTCTGAGATGGCTTCCTGCAAAAGCGCAGCATCGGTGACTGAAATCGCATAATCGCCAGGCCCGCACACACGAGTGTATATGATTTCAAACGGCTGTCCACGTTTGGCACCCATGACTCGAAAATTATGGGACGTTTCGTTTGCGAACACTCCAATCTCGAAGACCAGAACCAAAAGATGTGCCATTCAACTCTCGAAAAAGGATTCGGTCTTGCATGTTAAGCATTTCGGAGTAGATCGCATGACGGGTTCCTGGAAAATGAAAGCCGTGGGCATCTCTGCATGATTCCATAAAATCGCCCACCCCGTGCCTATCTAAACATTAGCGTCAGCCACGAAATATAGCAAACGCTGGGAAGTGGACGTACCGGGTCTTCTACCTAGCCCTTTCGATGTCGCAACAAAGTCGGTGGCAGTAGGTGTACGTCATGCTAATCGTCTGGAAGGAAGTACACCGGCCTGGATGCATCATATGCGACTAAAGGAAACAATAATGTACAGAGGAAGAGTCAAAGGATATAGGCGTCACCTATCAAGGCTATAGTAGCAGGCCTTGGATAGCTTGAAACATCAGCATACTGTCCGAAGACACGAAGTTGCAAGCGCAATGCGCATGCTCTCGTGACAAGTTCAAGATACCAGGGTGCGTATGGCGAGATTAACCATTCGAAAGATTGTCGTTCCAGGCATCCGTATGTTCATTGTGTCTTTGAAGTTTGAATGTTCGGCTGGAATGAGGCCCGTGGGTGACCAAGAGCGACCACTGCACGTCAGATACGGGAAATTTCGACACATGATGAAGGCTATCGCATAAGCCAATAGTAAAAGCAAGGTCCACTAGCTGTCTCGGAAATATGGAATACTGACAGACTTTAGAAAAGGCCAGCTAATCCAGTGTCAAAATAGATAATATGCATTATCGTCCCCAAGGTAGAACAAAGTGGTGACGTGCGTTTTACGAGGGGGAGCCAGGCTGGACAGAAGGTAGGGTGACAATCCCCTCAGTTCTTAGTCGTTCTTCGTCTCGCTGACCCAGGACCACACCATCATCTATTATCCCGAGATCTTCGTCGTCTCCATCAACCAAGAACTCGGTAGCAGATGGACCGTCGTCCTCGGATAGGCGAATTTGGCCCTCCGTCCTCGTCCACGTTTGTAGTCTGTGTCTGAATAAGTTCGATTCGTGTGAAATGACCTTGATGAACGCACTGGTGTGATACTACTGCACGCAAGGCACTTGCACGACGCCAAAGCAAGTAAAGCAAACACAACGTCGAAGTGGTGAGGATGAATATCAGGGCAAAGTTTCCCAATGGCTCTGGCTTATTGCCTTCGTGAGGCTCTGTTTGAAGAAGCGAGATTAGGGATTGGGAGACATGAAAGTCTGATCATGTGGCTGACCTCCAGGTGCTACGAAAGGTGCCATTTGAATGTTCAGAAATGAAAACTAAGCCAGTTCTCCCAATTGACGAGACGAGCAGGACAGGAGACGATGGGAAGAAGTCGATAAATGTGTATTACTCAGTTACTCCCACTGTGGACAGCATTGAAAAATCAAGCTCTCTAGCTAGACTTTTTAGACTGTGAGTTAGTTCACCAAACTGACATCATGTGACCACATGGGCACATACAAGTTTACTGATTCTATGTTACTGCACGCATGCCATGGACTCTGGAGCGTCGACATATATACATGTATAAGACCTATGGTGTGTAGAGATTTTAATTGAACCACTTGCAACAAACCGCAACGACACAAATATCTTGCTCTCTGAATCAGGCTCTCGGTTTCTAAGTATCTCTTCCCAGATGATCCCTCAGTCCGCTCCGGAAGACTGAGGTATCCACCTTGGTTATATTTTATAGGGAAGTGCCCAAGGCCGGCCCACAAGTTCGACATGAAGTTCTGTCCAGGGATTGGCGGGCATCTTCGAGCTGTCTGGCCCCAAGCGAAATTGTGGCGCCTTCAATCCTGCAACGGATTATTGGCCACAGGTTTGACTCCTCCGCGGACTATAGCATCCTGCAGAGGCTCCCCATTGAATATCGGTGCCTTAATTTTCCCCCGCGGAGCATCCATTCAGGGAAACTTGTTGTAAAGGGACAATTTAATTCAAGACACACTTACCGCGCGTCCGTCATACGTAGGGGTATATGGGCGCCACTAGTACTGATGACATGACAACCTGGCGCAAGTGGGTCCAAGGCATCCAGATAAGTAATCATGCAGATTTGGCAAGTCAGCAGGAAATCATTAAATTACCAGTATACGTGCAAAAATACAGAAGCATATGGGCGGCATGCTGTGAATGAATAAGTACGTACGTAGGGCCCATCAGTAGTAGTGGTACATACATCGTACAATGCTTTATCGTATAGTAGACCTCAAGGTCATGTCACTGTCCTCACTTTTTTCCTTATCATCGGGCGCGGACCAAACCCTAAACATCTTGATGGTCTCCTCTATGGGACTTACAGTGAATACAGAACATCCGTCGGGGCCCATACAAGAGTGGCCCACAGGAGCGGAGTGTGCTTTGACGTTAACAACTCGTTGGCAGGAAGGGTAAGAATGAACGGCGAGTGAGTTTTCTACACATGGGGCTGATGCCTGGGCGATCGGGCGCAAGTTACTTTGAGGTACAGCCGGGTGAACATTACTTTGAGGTGCGGCCCACGAGGATCCGTGGGTGCTCAGGAGCTCCTTGCAGTGCGGGGACCAGTGCAAAGATGTGATAGTTGTCTGTAACGAGATGGTATGCATTGGGCCAGAGGATGGTGTCATCTTGCCGGTATTCCAAACGTGGATTTCACCATCGGGGGAACCTCCTCCACTTGCCAATAGGCCGGACTGCCACGGACTCCACGACAAGGCCTTGAAAGGCAAAAAAAATGTGATGACTGCCGCAGAAGGGGTAATCTAATTTTGCTACATACCTTGACTGGACCTTTGTGTTTCATGCGGATATTTTTATCGCCGTTCGTAAGCAGATCATTTGCTCTATGGTCCCATACATGGACAATACCACTGTCATCTCCCGTGGCAAGATGACGCCCATCGGCCGACCATTTGACGCCGTGTACTCGTCGTTTATGGCCCATGATCTTCGTTATCTCAGCCCGCGTCCGGATATCGAACAGGGACACATTGCCACCGGTCCTGCCAACAGCGAGGACATCGCCATTCCAGTGCATGCCCCCCATGCCATGGCTACCATCGACCCAGTCTACAAGCTGCATTTTTTTCTCAGCATCCATAACTCTGACATCACCGGCTGTCGTCCCGAGTGCGAGGAGATAGGGGTTGGCCTTGCCACCCCAATCGATGCTGTGGACTGTCCCGTCTGAAAGCGACGAACGACACAGGTGAACTACTGCCCGCGATTCAAGGTTCTGAAAATACACATCATATTTGAAAGCAACTCCGATGCAGTTGGCGTGTGACCATGCCATTGGAGAGGCGAAAAGGTCCGTAGACATCCCAGGTCCATCGAGGGCCATTACAAAATGTTTCCGAGTCCCTAAATTGGCCTTTGCTGAGAGCAAAGATGCAGCACGCGGCGTTGAAAACAATTCGGAAGCACTTCGGCGGAGCAATGAACGGAAAAAAGGGTCTGAAGAACGTGAGGGCGAGTCGTTGGGACTTAATACACGGTCGTCAAGTAGACCAAACGTTTTGGCGATACGATTTGTTCTCGGTGTTATGTTCAACGGCAGTGACGTTGAAGTTCGGACTGTTACGAATCGATCTGCCTAAAACAGCTATGTGTAGCAAGTTCTGTTGGCCAAGCGACGTTCTTACATTTGTCTCCTCGATGGGAGTCGCCGGTACTAACGGTGTTGCCAAATCTCGTCCCAAGTCGAACGAAGCCACAGAAACCCGCCTTCGCTTCCGAGTTGAGTATGTGCTCGAAACATTAGCGCGTGATGGAGTGCGCTTTAACGTGGTACACGTCGGGGTGATAGCATCTGCGACACTGCTATATTCACTATGGATTCCATCAGTTCCGCCTCATAGATAAGACACGAATACAGACGAGGACATGATAGTTTTCGGCGGTGTGAAAAAGGAAATCCTGAGAGTGTATAGGCAACTTCTCCTCACTCCAGTCAAAATCCAGTGGCTCTTGATCGTGAGGTCGTGACGCGTCGTCGGCCGTTGTTACGGTCAGAAAGGCAACTCAGTGGACGCATCAGTGTTTTGTTTGAGTCTAAAGGTACAGCCAAACAACCGCCTTCTATATCCGACTTACCGTCGGTTGTTACGTACTAGGAATACTGGGGCGTCCGACGAGGTCCGACGTTGATGCAATCGAGCGCAATCGAATGCAGGCTGATTGGTGGGCGCGCTGTGGTGATTTGAAACTGTTACCATGTGCTACCATACTATCACCACGCCACTATACCGACGGTACCCACCAAGTTGAGTCCAACGCATCACAACGCATTTTTAGCAAAGGGCGCTGGTTAACGGCCTTCGGGCCACTTTCTTTTGTTAAATGTTTTAAACATAAGTCCTCGGATGCGTATTTCTCTTTCCTTGATGTCGTTACGTACGGTATACCACAAGGATCAGCACGCCACTTTCACAGCCCCACCGCCATTATGTGTACTCCGACAATCGTTGGTTAAAAAATGCAACTTCTCTCTTGGGCGCACTTCTATGCTGGTATCGATTGCTGTGGCGGCAGTCGATGGTTTTTGGCCCGTCCTCGAGAGTTTATAAAATGTTGCAACCGGGACCGCTTCTGTGAGCCGCGGCTTTCATAGGTATATAGAGAGCTGAATGGCAGTCTGCTAGTGCTCATCTGAAATGACAGTGACGCGTTCAAAGATACTTGCCCCTAGCCCATATCTAATCAGTATCTCCGAAATTTGACAAGTTATGTAAAATGACCATCAGAAACCACCATGGCATCATCAAAACAGTAAAACGCCGTTTGCCTCATCGAGTTATCCCCCTGGGCCTGCAAAGGTGGGTGCTTCCTGTGCTTCCTAGTACTTGGTTGGTCCATAGCCTGGATTGAGCGAGTTCTGAAAATGACTGTTCATTCCGAGCTAGGCCCCTGTGTAGAAAGTGTCATGGAACAATAGAACAGCCACTTGGGCATTTCCTGGTAGAGTTGTGTTTTAAGATAGGGACAACTATAGGTACACTATATGTTTTTTTAGAAAAAAAGGCATCGCGAAAACAATATCAATATTAGCTCCTCGTGCCCGCCACCCCAGATCATTGGCACGAGTAGCGGTTTGATTAACCCTTCATTATACGGCACTGCGCAATGTAACAGTATGAAAACAAACAAAAAACATGGCAACGCTATCGACAACAAACAAAAAATTCCAGAGCCGCTTAGAAAGCAGAAAAGCACGAACGGATTAAAGAATTTCCTTGAGATCAAATATCACGGTGAATGTGATGCGTGGACCTGGACCCTCCCAGATGGAGCGTGAACTGATCCGCCGACATAAGTTCTGCGAGTCACAGCCCATAGATCACTCATCATCCCTCGGGAGAAGCAGTTTCTTGTTTGGGCGCTTATACGGGGTGCGTGATGAAGAATGGCACTTTGGGTTGTAGGGTGCGTCATCAGCAGGGGCGATCTCGTCAAATTCTTCAAAGCGGGCAGGGACGATCTGGTCAAGTTCTTCAAAGCGGTCCTCCGAATAATCAAGAGGTGCGATGAGGACTTTGCGATTTTTGAAACGATTTCCGTGTTTCGGATCGTCGGCAATGGCGAGTTTCCCTTTCCGCTGCTGCTGCTTATCTCTGAACTTGAGCAGTGGCCGAACGTCTGAACGAGCGTACTCTCTTGGTGATGTTACCACCGACCAAACAAACCGCATCATGGCTTGTTCGGGAGTGCTGAAAACTGGACGCCCAGGGGAAGGCAGACGAGGTATCACGTATGATAAGGAGTCACGGCCTCTAGAGCCAAGTGGGACGTAGGGCGTTATCATTCCTGATCCAAAGGTCTTCGCCAGGTCACCCCAGTGACTTGTCTCGGCCTCGGCTGCTAGTTTGTCGTGATCCTTGTGAAAGCGAACAGCGGAGATATTTAGGAAGCGAACGCCTTCTTCAGTGATGAGAATATCGTGAGGGACAAGAGATCCCAACAAAATTCCGTGTTTCTGGATATCAGCTACTGCTGCGAAAACAGCAGCACGGTCGGTAGGACACACTCGGCCTATATGACATGAGCGCGAATGACAGTATCGCGAATAACGTTAGCTTACGTCCGATGATAGGCTCACTCATGACACCGATGATCATTCCGCTTTTGTAGACGTGGGCAAGTAGCTTGAAGGTGTAATGGCTGACGCCAGCCTCGTTCATGAGCTTATGCCCAAGACTCTCCGCAGCCACAAACTGTGACCAGTGCGGGTCTACGCCCATGAAGAGATCAACTTCCGTTCCTGCCGGAGAGGTTATGAGAATCGTGCGCTAGAGGACATAGCACGACAAAACCTTCGTAAATTCCTTCCCATAACGCACAGTGCACGATGCGAGTCACTTCTATATCATCCAAGTTTACCTTCTTCGTCCAAACCGGGCATTTCAAACGTACAAACTCCTTTCTAGTGTAGATCAGACTGTAGGTATTGTCCTTGGCGATTGTTTGTGAATAAGGACAGGAGGACGATTTCAGATGCTCTTACCTTTTGCCTCACAAGATGTGCCCAATTGTTCTCTGTACCGAATTGTAGATTGTCGAGCATCGTCTGTAGCACTTCTTGCAGGTAATAAAAGGCCTCGTTGTCGGATGAAAAGTTCGACCGGCCGCATGATGGTTCAGAATAGTCGATGCCAGGACGACGGTATGGTTCTGCTTGAATAGACAGGACTTCACCATTCTTCCACAGATGATAGAAGCGCCCTTCATCTTGTTCGTAATAGCCACCTATGCGGAAAGTGAGATTTGCGAAATCTGTTGTTCGCCTGAGCTTGCGGATGGTGAGATCCTTCTACAGGCATGATTCAGTTATGCAGAAAATGTGGCGCGAGCGCTGGACCTACACTCGCATACTCCATGCTGGTTCAAAACACGTTCTTTCTTGCTGTGCTGCATCGATATTGATGAATGAATACTAGAGCTTCCAAAAATGGATGGTAGGTGAAGCACGTGGCGGTACTCTTACGTTCCCTCGGCTTCCAGGAGGAGATCTTCAATGATTTTACTACTTGTCGAGATCGGGCTTATACCGGCCTCGCTCAAAGTCTTCCCCCGAGACCATTTTGGTTCAACCGTTTTTTTTGTTGGCTTGCTCACCAAGTCAGTCTATCCTCAGTGGGCGCAATCCAGCGCTACCTGTATTCTCGCCAGAGTTATGGTAGTTGAATGTCTTGCAACTTTCCCTATCCTCGAAACCTTGCCGAACATTTCCAACCCGCGCCACTCGTCGTCCAACGTCACCGCCCCTGTGAGTTCCAAAAATTATCCGTTTTAAATCGTGTTACATCTGTCTTCAAACAAATAATTGCTTTAATTCTAGGCAAAGCAGTTCCGAGGATCGTATCTCTTTAAATGATGTCGGTAAGTCGATAGTACACTTCATTATTCCTCGCAGAAATATTTAACGATGTGCGTCTCTCAAGCCTACTACTGTACACTCCACGAGGTACGATTCTACGTACTCGAGCTTTGCTCCAAGGGGATGAGTGGACGACCTTGTCCCGCCCCTCGGGTATCAGAGGATGCCAAACACAACCTGCCCTGCAACAAATGCTCAGGCCGCTAAGTAAATCTTCCCTACTGACCTCGTACCCGTGACATTTATTCACGCACTTGCCTTTTCCCAGTGGGGGCCCCATTATTTAGCAGCGGACGTTCAGGCCGAAAGGGTCCATAACGAGGCATAAATTTCTCTGGCGAGAATGATCTACATTCGATCCTGCACGATGGCTAACATCTCAAGCTGACTACATGTCATCGGGAACACGCCACCCGTCATCTGTGTGGCGGTTAAATTGATCTCATTTATTCTTATTTCAGGCTCCTATTTTCGCCAGCATTAACATTAACGGTCTAGCAGCAATGTAGCTTACCGCCCATGCCTCAGACCCGATCAGTGAGTGCGTATCCTTATTTGAATGCACATTGACTGACATACGGCCTTTACAAGAGATGGACAATGCCAACATTGTCATGCGGTCTCAGACCTCGAACCGCTTGCCTGTCAATGGATAATCTGCCGTATCTCCTCACTTCCTATTTAACTAATGCTATAAACAGCATCTGCAGTGTATACATAATATCTTACCTACTCGTCCGTCAATCATTAATCAAGCACCCTTTTACTATTTCACAAAGATCTTCGTTCGGTCACTCAACAACGCCACACAGTCGGAATAATCCAGTGTGGACTAGTGATCGCTGTTCGGTCACTCAACAAAGCTACACAGTCGGGATAATCCTATGTGGACTAGCGATCGCTGTTGAAACGCTATCGTTCGGTCACTCAACAAAGCCACACAGTCGGAATAATCCTGAATGCCAGGCGAGACGCACAATGTTTTATTTCCCTCAAACTTTGTAGAAACTAATCATGTCAGTAAAGAAACCTATATCCAGAAAATCAGTTCACAACTCCGTCATCTCCGCCTCCTCATCGCGAAACACCCCTCATAACCATTAGCTTCAGGGAGACTGAGCGTGTCTCGCCAGCGCCCAGAGAGGCTCCCATTGATACTCCCGACAAGATAACCACGATAAAGCCATTGTCCCCGATCGCCTTCGACCTAAGAAAAAAAGAGGCATTCATGCACGGTACATCATATAAATTGCAATAGACCCACATATTCCTTCAAAAGACTAACAAAGCCATCGCAAGGTCGTACCCTACCAATGATATTGAATTGACCCCAAGCAGAATGACCCTAGACCAAAACAAACAAAAAAACAAATGAGAACAGTTTTGAGAAAGAGTAAATCATTAATAACCTCTCCGACGACAATGATATCTCGAACATCGGCCCCCTCGGTTTCCGCGTCACACCGCTTGTAGGACAGTGTAGCCACTTTACCGGGCTCATGCACCTCTGCACTGCCTACGTGCTCGTGAATGCGGATACCAGGCGGAAAGAACGCCTTGAGCGGATCACCCGAGCTCAATGATGGCGATGGCGATTTTGCTCCGTCGGCTCCGCCATCAGCCTCCCTAGAAACAATCAAGTGGTACTCCCGCAACTTCCACGTTTGACGATGCTGCGCAACCGAACAATTATGAAGAATCGAAGGGGATCGTCCAGACAGAAGCGCAGCATAGGTAGTGAATTCCGTGTACTATGGATAAGCTTTGTTTAACGGAGGGTTTCAGAGCTCGACGCTTTTGAAATCAATCCACTTACCGTAAAGACACCTTCCCACACACCTTGTAGACTGCCGGCTATGTATGCACCTGAGAATTGGCTGGTGAGAGGGGTTTGGGCGAGATTTATGCATCTCTGCCAATCAGCTTCCCACTCAAGGCTTTGACTTAGAGATGATGGAAAACTGTTCGGCGCGTGATGTGGTCCTTTGTAGGCAACCCTTGTTGGGCCTACAAGGGGACCCATCAAGCTTAGATAAGAGAGGATTGCAGGAATAGCCATCGTCGGTGGCGTCAGGTGATATGAATTAGAATAGTGTTGTATGCTCGTAGGTTCAAGCAGACAGGACCTGGGAACGAAGGCCTCCCATGGGATTTGGCATATGTCATACTTGGATTATCAGCACCTACGCACGAACATACAACTAAGGAGACATACCTTATTGGCCGCTAGAGCCGTCGGTTTCAAAACAGTCGTAAAAGTCCGATAGTTCCTTTCGGTACGCTGGAAACGGTCTGTGAAACGAGGGGTTGGATCGCAGTACCTGAGGGAGCAGAAGACAAAGCATACGACATACCGGGTTTGAGAAACAACCAAAACAACCACATCGCCAGAGCATTATGCTCATTATCGAGCGGCCACTCATCTGCCAAGAGCGCCTTCGTAGCTTGCGACGCGCCCTCGTCATCAAACCAGTACTCCGTCAACCACTGCTCCATCCCTGCGTACTCTCTCAGCTGCTTCACATTCTTTCCGTCGTTCTCGAGCACCATTAGGTACGCGAGCCAGAGCAACTCGCCAAGGATCGGCGAATTTGTATTTGGCGCGCAGATGCGAGAATCTGTCCGTGCGCGTATCCGCTTCAGGTAAACGAATCTCTTGCGTAGCTCCTTGGACAAGACGTCAGGGGTGGCAATCTGCTGGCCCATACGGCGAACGGCGGCGCTGAGATCGAATTTATGCTCGAATATGCGGGCGCAGAGATGTGGGTTTGTGTCGAGGGAGAGAGCGAGGTAGATGCTCTTGCAGCTTAGAAGTAGAGGGATCAGATCAGAGGGAGGTCCTACGTCTGTCGTGGTTGCTGAGAAGAAAGCGATGTTCTCCATTACCTCCTGAGGGAGCCAGTCGAACGCGGCGGTTTGAGTGGACATGGTGTCGGTCGTGGTAGAGAGCATAGATTGCTTAGAGACATTCCTGTACATGTCAGCCGGGCCGGCGTCGGGAGCTCTCAGTTGCCCAGTCCTTTTCCTTAGTAGGTGAAGTTAACACAAAAGTCAGGCGGGTGAGAGCAAGTAAGGTATAATTGGTGTATTGGTAAATTATACTATAGCTAGATATACACATTTTACGAGAGCGTACATCACATCAGTGGGTCAATGTGACAACTATTCCCGTGACACATCTTTGCACAAACTGAATATCGATTCCCATTCGGCAGGATGAACGGCGCTGGAGATAAATTTCCAGCGACCCACAAAGTTGCGAGAGGAGACGACTAACACGATCTTGTCAGCATACACAATAGTTATTTGAATCAACTTAACACACTGTAGCCTCTGAATAACGCTCGCCCAAGCTCGACCATTTGAGGGTTCAGCTACATACCAGTTGAGTTTAGAAAAAGTAAACAGAGTGGGATTCCTTACTGGTTCACGGAGTAGAACGATTAGACCATCTGAGGGCCGTATCCGTCCCATGTACCGGTAGCCGCCCCAAGCAGCTGCGTAGCGATCCTCCGTCTGTTATAAAAATTAGACATGTAACATCAGGGATGATATAGCATATACCACTCCTGTGATGATGACATCAAAAACGCCATGCGCACTTGGCCTCGACTCGCAGGCAGTGCGCCCAACAAAGCCAATATCGAGGTGTTCTTGCCTTGGCAGAGAATAATAGGCCTTGAACGACATGTTTTCTCCGGTAAATTCAATTCCTGCCTGTTTAAATGTCAACTTTTGCACTGGAATTAATGAGAAGACTGGCCTCAGTCTCATGCCACCGACAACCGATTGGCAAAAAAGCATTTTCAAACGCGCCTTCATTTTCTTCCAAGGGGAGGGGAATTGATGGGGAGTAACAGTAAAGCTCTCTGAATGTGACATAAAGAGGGAATCGGCCAAATGTTGGAAATGGTGATGGAGCAGTGGGAGATGACAACATGTCCTTGTACACATTATAATACGGGGCCTATTCATATTAGTCCACGCGGGGGATGAACAGGTACGAAAACTCAACGATGAAAGATCCCTGCCAACGACCGGAGATTGTGCCAGGGATATACTGTCCAGGTAAGGAAGAAGGGGAGCGATAGAGAGGATCACGAATGGAACGCGTCCAATCTGGGTCATGACGCCGACTCTTGAGTAGAGTGTCGAAGTTGTTGCCGTACATAGTGCCCGGAAAGTGAGTCTTGCAACGAGTATTAAAGTACACTATGTCCTCCTTCGTAGGACCTGAAATACCATTCGCGACAGCGACCGCTCGAGTCTCTGGTAGGTGCGGAGGGATCATGAGAGGCCGGGTCTCCAGACGGGAAAAGTGAACGAGGATAGCGTATGGTGCAAGTGGTGGCAGATTGAACGGTATCAGTCGCCCAAAGTAGTTTATGGTAATTGAAACTGGGCGGTTGGGAGGATATGCACCATGAGCAGATGTAGTAACAGTCTTACGAGAATTTTCCGAAGGACAAAAATTGTACTCGATCCCAGTGAAGCATGGATACTAGGAAAGATGTGGTGAGAACATAAAAAGCGTGATGAACAGAGAACGAACTCGAAAGCCGGCAAAGGAGTATGGTGACAGTAGTTCCACAAACTCTCTCCTGAGCTCATCTGTTTCATCGCGTATAGACTCTGGGAAGGCGTAATGATGACAAATGGGGGTATATGAAGACTGGGAGGGTGACCACGAACCTGTGCAAGACATTAACCAGAAAATGGAAACCGCTAACACATTGACCTCATTCTCTGTGGGCCAGCCGTTGTTGGTCTCGGAACCCACCATCAAGCGTTCCCGAAGGAAGCGGGTCATGAAACTGGGAAGTTGAGCCCAAAGCAACTGGTCCCAGTTCCGACCATCATCCTCCAGTATCATGATATATATAGTGGAAAGGGATTCCAAAATTTCAGGATCAGTAATATCACCTCGGCGAATGCGCTGGAGTGCTCGAAAACGTTTCCTCAACTCATGCTCTATATTGTGAACTGCGAAGTGACCGCCCGGAAACTGCCGCCAAGGAGAAAATCTGTCCATGAACAACATGAAGTATAGGTATGAGTTTGATTGAGGTGAAAGTGCATTGTTGGACATGCGGCACGTTAATCGTAAGGAGCGTAAAGCACTGGGAGGGCCTTGGTGATGCTGGCGAGTTGTGATTAGAATGATTTGTTCTAAGAGCTCAGCAGGAGTTGTGGTAAGAGAGGCGGGCATACTCAAGGAGGGACGAAAGAACTTTTGAAAATGGTCATGGTTTTCATCGAAACGGCGACTTGCGAATCATTACTTGGAAGGGTATAGATTGGCACGAGATTCTCACGTGAACAAGATGATGGTTTGAGAGAAGTCACAAGTAGGTCGGACGCGGCGCTGATATCATTGGAAGGCGAAAGTAAGCCCGTTCATTTGAAGTAAGTCAATATGTCGAGTCCAACTCACCGGTTATATCCGGGATGTGATCGCGCCAATATACTGGAACTTATAATTACCTAAATGGGTAAATGAATCTCAGATTAAAGCTGACGTACAGTCGCATGTCATCCATTATCTCGGGTTATACCGCCCAACACTTGTTTGTATTTATTTGTTCACAAAACATACCATCGCGGACTCCGCACTCTTTCCAACCCTACGGTATCAGAACAGAATCATTGAGACCGCTCAGGTCTCTTACGACAAGGATCACGTCAAATCTCTCTACCGTACGTGAAATTATAGAAGGCGGAGGTGCATACAAGCATTGGCAGGCGGAATTGCTCAAGCGAAAGTGACAAGTGAAACACTTTACATCATGCCTGCTCGGGCCCACAGCGGCGGCACCCCGGCGTTGGCGTTCAAAACAATTCTGTCTGTACCTTGGGCCTGGTCATCCCTTCAGCGAAGTGGAGCCCAAGCTTCGAAGATCTCGAATCCGTAGAATCCTGGAACACCTGTCAAGGCGTACAATGTTACACTCTTCTTAGTAGACATGGGTTCCCCCCACGGGGGCTTCGCTTCTATCGAATTAAGCTCCGCGCGCCGTGTGTGAAGCTAACAGACTTCATTTGTTGGTACAGACGGGGACTCGATTGCCAGGGCCGCGCTCAGAGATAAGCTATAAGGAAGAACGGGGTGATTGACTCAAACAGAAACACTTAGTGCACTTTTAGTCGGCGCACGAACTTTTACGGGATGTCAATTCTGACCCGTCACGGGAAGTTACATGGCATCAAATTCACCGATCAGTTTGCACAGTTCCTGAGGCCTGAGGCAGGTAACTCATTGAATGAGTCGCGTTCGACAAGCTAACCTCACCGCTGTCTGGCAAGTCATGTGAGCCACATGTCCCGTGACTCGGATTGAGACGCGTCTATATGTGCAAGCTAATTAATGCTATATAATATCTTCTACGATTATCACTAATCACATAGGATATTCCATTCTTCGATTGATCATTATTCCACGACTCCTGCAGGGCACCTCCTCATGTTCTCTTATTACCCTTTACATCATCTCAGGCCTCCATTCCTTTCCCCGTCCGAGTTTTCCACACCCGGGCTTCATTCCGCCAGCTCCACGCAACAAACGTTCTCCCCACCGCATTCTCAATGTCTTCGTGTCCGAGTCGGTACTTCAGTGCTTGCAAGTTTTCGTAGATACCAATCAGCAAAAGGCTGCACACGCGATTCAGGGCAGACGAACTCACCATGTGTCATATCGCATTGGCTGGAGGATCCCAACTAAACGCTCGTTTACTACATCAATATGTATTCCGTGTTCCCGACGGCAACAATTTGATCCTCTCATAGGCATGCTGCTGCTGTGCCCCATTCCCGCGTCCGGGAAAAAATGACTCCTTCTGCTATCCTTGATGCATGGCTATGCGCCGAGGTGCCAGTGAACGGAACAAGATGTCCAGTTCTCATTGATGCGTTCTGTGATCACTGATTATAGAAACATGACATCTATGCGCGCTGCTCTCACGTCATTCGCCGTCCAGCTCGCAAGAACAGGACTTTGTCGTGAAGGTGAGATCGCTGTCATTCCCACAAACAGAATTTCCAACTTTCAACCAGGCATGACAGCCTCTCGTACGGCTGGCCTGGGCGGCCCCAGGGTCAATAACAGCACAGTATCGGTCCTTACGCTACGACTTCGTGATGCCCATCTCAGCCGCAAGGTCACCGTTAAACGCACAAGGTATCTAGCTGAACAGAATAACACATCATTACTAGAGTTTTTTTTATCTCACGAAGAAGTTGCAGGTAAGACTATGGCGATGCCCAGACAAACCTGGCTGAAAACGATCACCCCTGCTGTTCTCGTTGGCTTCGACACTTCGACACTTTTGAATTTCATCGACACTCAATTTTGTCAACGTCCATGGCTTTGGGCCACTGTGAGTCCGGCTGCTGTTCTTCTATGTTTCTTGTTGAGATGTTTCCTTCGTGTTCCACGACAGGGTCTTTCCCTAAGACTCACCATACCTATTTCGAGTACTTTCGTGGGACAGACCTACCAACATTGCGGGGTCACGACGCAAGGTTTTGGTCCAAGCCTTAGTGCAATTCGTGACTTCTGGACAATGCACATTCAAACATGCTTCTAGTCGCAGTTATGGATAAAACGTTCTGGTTCCAGCAGGTTTGTGATAGCCGCCATCTGGTAATCGTGCGTCAAATAGCATGCATCGATACGCCGACCGTACGTATCACCAAATTCCGAGGTGATTGCGAGTCCCAGCGCGCCCTCAATGTTAGGTATGAAGGCTCCCCGCACTGATAGGCTTAATACCACACATCATTTATCATATTGGTAAGTAGGAGTACGAAAAAAATACTGCGAAATGCTGTACAACAGGCCTAGGATCTCCCAAGATCTAGGATGCAAAAAGTATACTCCTCCATTGACGTGGGACTTACGAAAGGTCTTTATCAAACCGGCGCTCCTGCGATTCTCATGTCAGATCTGATGACCCATCCTCCCTTCATATCAAAAGGAGGTGTGGCCCATCCGTCTCTCTCATAACCACGCCAAATACAATGTTTACCGTCCTTATCACCCCCTTCGCACGTCTCCTCCCCCTGCAAGCACATGCTGCAGACGTCAAGACGCCATTCACACGACTTCCCGCAAAGGGTCAGATGGTCAGTGTATCCTTTCCAGGATTCGAAGTGATGTAATCCCGACGCTAGTAGTGAAGCCCCGACGAATTCGGAACCCCGCGCGACACCAAGTATGCATCGCATGTCACTGACAGCTGGGCTTTAGCCTTATATACGCTTATGCACATTGAACACAAGGCACCTGTGGTTACTAGTAGCTCTCACCGAGCGTGAATCGCAGCAGATTTTGCCTATATAGAGGGCATGCAGCCTTGACGGCATCCACATGTTTCACACAGTATTCAAATGTACTGTGCTAGCCTATAAGTACAGCAAACGTTGTTTGACATGCTGCGGTCAACAGGCAAGGACTCCGGAAGGATCACAGTGTTGTGTGGGTACGCTTAGTGGAACATGCATGGATTGAATTGACCACCCATTAGCCGAGAACTGGGTAGGTCTTGCAGGAACATCGTTACACTCACGGCGGCCTGTGCCGCAGCTTTCAATCGTTGCGGGCGCTGGTAAGAACACCGAAATCATCACTAGTGGACATGCACCAAACGGCTTGCGAACCCTCGATCTCATAATTGAATATAATAGCGTTTGCATCATCAAAATCATCAATCAGTGTAATCAAAGCGCGACGGTGTAACAGGTGTCAAAGACGGATACGAGTAAGTAGCGGGAAAAAAAATGATGACATATAGTTTGGCGGCCTTCATATGAATACCCGAGGAACGACGGAAGCGCATAGCATGCGAACCTCAGGCGAGGAACGTCGATGCTCTTCTCTAAATGGCCAAGGGCCCCATCGCGGGGAAGACGGCCCTTCTGCGAGACCAGGACGGGTGCCTATTTCATTTTTTTTGCAAGGGAGGGGCATGGATGTCATGCTCTGAATCAAACTAGGGCTTGTGGGGCTAAGATATCGAGATCAAGCGGCATTCCATAAAGGAACTTCGACTAGTCAATTTCCGTCTTATGAACTGAGACAGACAGAGGGATTCGGGCAGCTATAGGCAGGGTCCTGTCTGGTATCGTCACCCCAACAATTGATTTCGCCTGTTCTGGCATGCGATATGAGCAACCGTTACTGCCTTGGCAAGCACTCACGGAAGAATCAGAGAGAATTCGCAACAGAAATGTCTAACTATAGGCAAGACGGCAGTGCAGCTGCTTTGCATCAATATGGGGCAAATATCAATATTCCTGCTGCGCAATTACTAGCTATTACATGAATTGAGAGAAACTTTATAATGGGGTAAACATTCACTCACCTCGTGTGTCATTAGTTTCGTCACTCGGGCAAATTAATGTCGTCCTTGAGAGTCAAGATCTTGTTGGACGAAGAAGGAATCGCTTCAACACCAAGGCAACTTCCAGCTGGGCCCCATCAGTTGCCAATAGGAGCTTGCGGGTTATCCCATTCAGCAGGCATGTTGCACTAATATTCACGTACGATCGGGAATAGCCTGGAGTACGACAGCAATGTCATTGAATGGTCCATGTCACTATGGAAAAAAAGATAAAACATTTGAAAGTCATAAATGAAAGTCACCCATTTGAACCAATGGGATTGATCCTCCCGGTCCATTTCGTCTACTCCAAAGGTGCAAGCAGATCTGTTTGCGTCCTGATAGAAAGTTCATATATTATTTCTATTTCACAGGGAAGCCATGAGGCAATGGCGTTTTTGAGTATGGTGGATGGTTTTAGGTCTGTAAAATGCCGGAGTACCATATTCAACAACGTTAGCAATCACATCACCACATGATAAGAATAAGACGTACAAACGCGCAGCGCTGGAGAAATTCGTGGAAGTCTGTGAGAAGCTGCAACCTTCATACTTGTACAGAAAAAAAATTACTTCGGGTCAGCTGCTGGTCTGGGTGTCGTCCGGCACTGCATTCGATGGATATCGATAAGCAACGAGCAGTGGCCTGCAGGGTAGGGGTAAAAGCACCAAGAAAATCGTCGTCGATACTTCAAGTTACGAGTTCGAGTCTTACTTACTACTTATGTTTGTAGCAGCACTTGCTTGTTCAACACGTGGGCCGGCCCTAAAGAGGTATCTCGAAAGAAACTTTAAATTTTAAGCTTATCGATCAGCCTCAACCATCCATCGCTGCAGTCTCGACGAACAACATGTCTCTCAACCTCGTCGCCCTTGAGCAGCACCTGACCACCAGGTCTTACATCGAAGGGTGAGCTATTTTCCATACTTCAAATTTTTCCCATCGCGATGATCACTATGCTATGGTCCGTGTTTCCAAGAAGCGACTAGACACCGCTGCTCAGATATGCCGATAACTCTTTAACCTAGCCTTCTGATTCTTATTTCAATGACTTGTCATGTTTTCTTTTGGATTGAGCTAATTATCTTGACCCCAGATACACGCCCTCTCAGGCAGACGTCCACGTTTTCGGCTTGCTCACGGTACCAGAACCATCGAAATACCCGCACTCTGCTAGATGGTACTCTCACATCAAGTCTTATAGCGCGGAGCATGCAGATTTGCCTGGCACCAGCACTGCTGGCCAGGCTTTCGTTCAATCGGCATCGGCGGCTACACCTGCACCTGCTGCCGCTGACGACGACGATGAAGTTGATCTCTTCGGTGATGATGACGAAGAAGAAGACGCAGAAGCGGAGAGGCTTAAAGCAGAGCGTGTTGCCGCTTACACGGCTAAGAAAGCTGGTAAACCCAAAGCAGCTGCCAAGGTCAGTTTCTTCATTTGATTAATTATTGCCATGCTTAGGACGGCTGCTGCCATACAGTCTGTTGTGACGTTGGAGGTTAAACCTTGGGATGACGAAACCGACATGCAAGCACTTGAGGATTCTGTGCGTTCCATCGAGCAGGAAGGTCTTGTGTGGGGTGCCAGCAAACTGGTCGCTGTCGGCTACGGTATCAGGAAGCTCCAGATCACCGTGGTTGTTGGTGAGTTACCATCCGTCGTCGCAATCAAGAAGGGGTCATGACTATTATGAACAGAGGATGAACTTGTTTCACTGGATGATCTGCAGGAGAAGGTCGCTGAATTCGAGGACTACGTCCAGAGTTCTGATATTGCTGCCATGCAGAGTAAGCATCCTTCCGCGTCTTGCATACCCGAGATTAGCATCTAATATTTCCCCCCAGAACTGTGATCATACTGGGGTGTTAATAGTGCGATTTTGTAAGCTGTGATAAAGAAGTTAAGAGGAGGAAACGTCATTGTAGGAAATGAAATGGTTTTGTGCGATCCAATCATTGTAAATGTGCGTGACGAAAGTGCTAGCGTTGTCTCGGTGAGCCAATTAAACGAACGCACGCATCAGACGCTCCTGGGGAGGCAATGTCACAACTATATGATACCTTACCCAGTTGACTTGCCTGCACTGCTATAACTGCACAGTATTGTCCTAATCATATGCAAAACACGCATCAAGATTGATTGTAAATTCCAGATTGTTTACATACAGAGAAATAGTGCTGCGCACAGCACAGTGCGTAGGCAATGCGTGGGTTCACAGTTCGGTTCACCCACGCACAACTTTGTGAGTGGTTGTCACGCTAGATCGGTCAGTGGACAAGGTTAACTTCAAGCAGATGGGGGAATGCATAGAAGGCGGTGCGAAACTTAAGTTGCCTTTCTTGGCGCAACTTAGGAAATGTGTTTTGCCACTGCCATTTGACCGTTATCAATTCACCATCGGAGTACTTGGATGCTCGGAACGCTCGTTGCCATCTGACAACAAGGATTTGTGGATTGTTCATCTCCGTGCTTGGGGTAGTTTAGCGACAGGTCTCCATGAGGCACTCTTGCCCTCGTGTCAGATACTTGAAGCTCAGTATCCATTGAGTGGGTAGCGTCGAAAGCTTTCATCACGTGCAACGTTCGGTTGGCCCTTATTCAGCAGAGGACAGCAGTTGCACAATCAACGCCACATATATTGCCCCGTGCTAGATTCGGAAACTATTTGACCAAGAATTACGGTGCGCTTCCGATAGCACTTGCTGTGAAGACGGATATATGAATTCGACCAGGCACACGGGTATGTGGCCACGATTACAATCAAGATCTGATCTGGAGAACGTGTGTTTACCTCTCTTTCAGACCTTTCAATTTTCTCAATGAGAAAACCAAACCTCCGCTTAGTTCGCGCGGCGATCTCATTGCTCAAACGGCACTCCGCCACTCACCTGCCTTTTAGTTTAAAAAGCGCTTGCGGTTATGGTGGCACATAGACTATGATGCTTCCTCACCTCGAATCAATCCCTGTCGATGTTCTGTCCCAGATAGCTTTCTTCACTGTTGCCTCCGCCCCGTTCAATGGCCTCGGTCCTATTCTTCACCTACTTTTATCTAGCCGCAGCATACACGACGCCCTCTCCTTCAAATCTTGCCCCCAGCTCTATGCCCGGGTGTTTCGCAGCAGATTTGACCTAGTTGCCCATCACCGTCGCAGCAAACTAGCATCCCCTACGACTACGAACCTCGCATTGGAGTTACAGCGTCGATGCGCGGTACTTCAACGCATCCGGCGTCGCCATATTGCCGATCACGGTATCCTTCCTGATCTATGGACAATATACCTCATGCTATTGGAGAGCGACGGGATGAACGAATGTCAGCTTCACTCTGCCGGCATCTCGCAATATATACGTATCCTATTGAAACGATGCCTTGGCCAGCAAGGGGACGCGGCTCGCGCGTTAGCTATATCTGTCGCATGTTTGGTTTGGTCTCACAGTGAGGCTATTGTGCACTTTTCTGGTATATAGGCGTTCCTGATTTGCGTCGTCCAGAGTTTATTACCGATATGCCGTTGGAGGAACGCAGTCAGACGCTTTTGGAACTTAGACCGTTTGTCACAGGGTCGATAAATGTGATGAAGTAACCGCGCCCACATATCAAACCAACACTGACATCATTTTAGGTTCTTTCACTCAATGTAAACAGCGGGATGGGAACACGACGTCCTTTATCATTCGACGGATCGTGCAACCGAGCACCAGAAGTAACGTCTGGCGCTTGTATCGAAAATAAATACCGGGCGCTCATCTCCTCAATTTACACCAGCGAATACACGCTAACTGCTCCTAGCCTTCTTTCTGCATCAATTTTCTTAACTTTCGCACTGAAGGAGGCGATTGCTCTCCAACTGCCCAAACATTTACCACAAACTCAAGCGGTTGCGCGCCCGACGGAACTTGATGGTCCCACTATAGAAGACTTCTTTGCCATCACAAGAAGAAGGACACCACTTGTCGCTGATTCGGGTCATCAAAGCCCCTCCCGTGAACCCTTCGCGGATCGTGCGGGAAGGAAGATACGGGCATCAAGAAGTCTCGCTCATGATGAAGAGTTCTATCGTATTGCCCATCGCCTGGGTTTACCGGATGACACTTGGGAACTTCGGTCGTGCATTGGGTTGCTAAGTGGAACTTGGGAAGGGACATACATGTGAGTACTCGATATCGTTGACTAGTCCTAATTGATGAAGGATTTCACAGGGTAGGCGACGGTCAACGGCTTCGAGAACTCGACTAATACTTCCATAGACATCACCGTCATCGTTCTGTCGATGTCCTTCCCAGAAATCGGATCCCGCGGTTTCGCCTGATTTCGTGTCCAGACAGCCTATCCAATGCCGGCTCGAGGAACACCTATGCTTCACACCATGTATACCATTGCCCAGCGTTCCGCGGAATGGTGATTTTGGAGAGTCGGCGTTCCAACATTTATTCATGAATGATTGTGAAGGCGCCACTGTGCGTATAGTTCTCACTGTATTCCAGAGTTGGTGACACGACTGTCATGCCTTCCCACCTCAGACAGCAAATGAATTTTCGGACGCCACAAGATCATCAAAACATCGATATGAACTTTTTCGCCCAACCGATACCTCCGAGAACTACAGGGACCCACGGCATGCCCTGGATGTCGTGATCACTGGCGAAGTGAGTATTCCGTTATGATAGGGTTTTTCGGATCGTTCACGCATTCCGTTCAGACTCCACGCAGGTTGGAAGCTACCTGGGGTGCTTTTATCTTTTTTGGAAGGATCCGCTTGTCTGATGGACTTGTCACACTGACGAGAAAACCAGTTAGTTCTGCTTCGCTCGACGTATTTTTCACATCCTCATGACGTACGATTCGTGCAGAAATACTCGGGTGATGAGGGACGTGGGACGTGGATCTTTGAAGGCTACATCCATAACAGACGTTCCTTCGTCGGACGCTGGAAATCTTTTGGTTTGTCCGAACGTGAGAGCTTACACGGCATTTTCAGCCTGGCCAAGGTGGAAGATCCGCCTTCCCATCTTTACTGTGGACCATAGGCGAAACATTATGCAAAATACATTGTAATTCTTATTTAGGGAGATAACACGGAAGTCCGCGCACATTTGAGGTTAGTTGTGGGAAGGGGGAAGGAGCGTGGACAGAACTTCCCGCTGTAAGAGCCCTTGAAGTTCCTGAACGGTTTGATCCCTGACCTTGTACTGATGGGCAGAAGGTGTTTCAATGCATCATTTGACCACCGATACTTTTAGTTTGCTTTTAGTCATGGTCCTTTCCACCAATGAGAGAACTTGGCCTCCGTGCTAATGTCAATTTTACTTAAAAGAAGTGGTACATGAACTGTGATAAGATCACATTCAGTTGGGTGACTTTTCGCTTGCTCAGACATTGAGGAATAAAATAATTTGGTTTTGAAGGTGTGCCGCGATGCCGCCCGGCAGGACTGAGGATGTACCATCAATATGCCGTCAATTTGAACTGCAACCTGTATTCAAACGGGGCAACCATAAACATTAATTGCGGGGTGCTCTACAGGTGTGGTTACACGAGTAGGTGTGATATCCCCTGACGTAAGTATAGCCGACCTTACTATGTACAAGATCACCGGTGCCCGACACCTCTATTTTCACGGCAAGGGCTAGTCGCAAGGGTTTGCGTGGATATTATCTGGTTGCGCATCAATCCGACTGACTGTCTTCTATTCCTCGAATTCACGGTGCCGAACTTAGAACACGAGCATGTCAATCTCCGATTTCCGATGATTTTTCAATAGTAAATACAGACACACCAGCTTAGCGCTCTGCCATGATATGCAGTCACGATTCGCGATATCCCGCGCAGCTATAACCTCTTCCGCGATTTCCAATTGATTTCCAATAGCTTTTCGGCATTAATGATGTATTTCGCCCATTCGGAAGGTCATCCGTCCACTCATTTCATTCCAATACAAAAAGGCGTGGGCTGCAGAGCAGTTACGTGTCATTAAAACGGCGCTCCCGATATTATACACTGGTGGCGACATTGGTGACGATATATCATGAGCGCATGTTCATGCAGCACCTCAACGGAAATGAGTTATTATGATCGCAACGGACCCGAATGCGAGTTATTTCACTGATCTATTTGACCAGGTTCGAACTCGATATGGTTGTGGCCAGACCGACATACTGGCTCTTGAACGTCCATGTATATTCACTATAATCCTACGACAAAGACTTTGAGGGCGGAAAGCGATTATTGGTGAAACGTGTACTATACCATTTTACATGGTATTTAATGCCATATACAGATAGGTCAGGGTTCGCTGACGAGCAGCACCTTCTCCGGCGGAGCAGATGCGACCACGACTGGGGGCATCGAAGCCAAGGGAGCTCATTGGTTACTAGATGGACTAACGCGGCAAAAAAGTGGTCATCACGATAAGCAATTAAGGGAGACACCCGGTGCTTACCGCTTTGTGGAGATGAACTCTTGACGGTAGAATATCAGCTGGCCTTGCCGCATGTCCAACCTAGCGCAGATAAGAGGATTCGCAACCTGAACTGAGCGGAGTTCCGGGAGTCTGGTCAAGCAACTTGCTGTAACGAGTACGATCCAATCCGAGTGTCCTTGTGCTCTCGAAGTGCTTTCCTTGTATGTACATACCATGTATTTGTCTGCAGAAGTGACTTAACTGAACAAGAATCCCGATAGGTTTGGGATATGTGAAGAGAAGCAGGTCAGCACGACAATGCGGATCCTGAGGGTGACATCACCTGAGCCGGGCGAGGTTAAGCGGCGATAGACTTGATGGAGGGAAACGTAGACTCGTTCATGTCCGTACTAGTAGGTTTTCCTGGAACAGGGAGAGAACAGGAGAGAACAGGAGAGAACAGCCTTCTGGACTAGGAATTCTTATCACTAACCCTAGTGTGTGAGAAAGAAGCGGACGCAAATCCAAGGTGCATACTTCAGGTAGGACATCAATTGTGATGAGTCCCATGCAGCCGTGTGGGCCACTCGGCAGGTGTGTACAAGATCCGTGTTCGATCGGATATGGGTAAGCTCTGTCACAACTTACCAGAAAATTTATTACGAGCTCCTTGAAAGTGTGCGGACGCCAAGTTGCGGCCCGATCAGCCAACTGATGTGTGGAGTGAGACTCGGGAGGAACAGATGAATGTTAGATTTAGTCAGGTACCGAGGTAAATGGTTCACTCACACTCGTGGAGGCCGACCGATAAGGTGAAAGAAAACAAGCGGAGCAGTGCCTCGATTGGTCCCCGCATCCAGGCTACGACCAAAGGTACATTAAAAGGGTGCGTAGGCAGGGACAGATCCCATGCATAAAACTGGGGCTAGCGGCGGCGGGATGCCGTATTTCGAGATCAAAGGTGATGAGGGCGAGATAGCTGGGAAGGATCATATTCGACAATCCCAGGATATCGGATATCATAGTAGTTGCATGTTTTTTGATCCAACCGTTGCTAGCTCCCTACGCTGACCATGGCAGCAAATTGGCAGCAAACATCTTGGCAGAATTTGCAAGGGTAACCTCACCACGTGCGTTTTGTATTTGGCTTTGTTTACAGGTAAGCAAGGGTCTTTTCCCATGATTGTTTTCTTTCACAACAGAAACTTCGTCGCCATCGTCGCCATCGACTCCAAAGAACACGTCCACTCGTTGATATCTATCATACCCACCTTGCAATGAAGTCATTTGCTATTCTGTCCTTATTTATTTCCGCTTCTTTGGCACAATCTGTAAGCGCAAAGTTTGGTGAAATTATCGATTGCTAGACTGATACCCCAACCCTCAGTCTTCCAGTTCAAATCCATTTATTCCGTCAGGAATCAGTCAAGGTTGTTCAGACTATTTAGTTAGCCTGAACAGCAATAGCAGCTTTGCCGCCTGCACAACCCCAATCACATCTGCGACATCGCAGTTCGCACCGGGAGTTAACTCGAGCAGCATTACCACGAGCACCATCAACTCTGCATTAAACAACCTCTGTTCGACATCTGCGTTTGCTGCATGCTCTGACAGCACTGTTCGCGCTCAGTTGATGGCCTACTACTCGGCATGCTCAGCAGAACTTACGACGAATGTCAATACCGATGTCCTCAGGACTTATGATGTCCTCTATGTCCTGACGCCACTCAGAGAAGCCATATGTTCAAAGTCTGATAACGGGCAATACTGTGTCACACAGCTGAACACCACGTCTGGTAGCTCTGCTACTGGAAATGTGGCTTTGGTGACCTCCAGCAAGCAAGAGGCGCTGCAGCAATACCTATATACAACGCCTAACAGCGGTGTTTCCGCACGTCGGGACGTCAGCAACACCACTACTGCGCTCATTCCCAACACCACCACATATCAGGATACCAACCTCGTGTTCCTCTTCCTTGATTCCAAAATGAATACGACTCAACTCTGCACCACTTGCACACGCAACATTCTCACATCATACATCACGTTCGAGTCCAGTCTCCCGTACGCCCCAGGTCTGAACAACAGCTTGCTGCTCCGCGGCCAGCCTGCTCTCTACAATGCCACCGTGTCAACTTGCCCTAGTGGCTTCCTGAGCGGCGCTGTTCAGGCCGCCGGTGGCCTGTCTAGCGGCGTTCTCAAGAGCAGCGCTCCCCAGTCAATCCGTGCGGATGTGTCGTTGCTTGTCAGCGCTATTTTGGGTGCTGCAGGTCTCGCAATCACAGCCTTCTGATAGGTTTTACGTTATGCAGGTTTGGTGGGACTCTCGTATTTGATAGTTGTGGAATTTAGATGATTGTTAATGGTGACTGGAACGGAACTGTCTTCTATTATACCTCTTGCGATCCCTCTTTAGACAAATACCCTCCAGGCATCATCGATCATCTACGAAGTTGTTTTGTCTTCTTTTCTTTCACCTTTTGATCCGTGTGGGCATGGTATGCTTGGAATCATTTCAGTCGTGTCGCCCGGTAACGAGTCGACTCAATAATACCAACGTACTCATCTCATTAATTGATACAATCAGATTGTTGGCTGCGCCGATTATTTTCATGTAGAATCCAGTTATTGAGGCCCTCATTTAACCCACGAGGGCTTCCAGTTGTCGAGCCTTGACTGTAACTTACAGCTGTTATTTCTAATGTGACCCCTTGTGTTGGATTGTTCGAAATAGACAGGCGTTAATGCTGGCGCGAAAACCGCCAAGAGCTCCTAAAATTAGGGATACCGCATTGACCATGTGAATGTATTTGATGCGATAGTTACGATACATCAACACTAGTAGATGGCGTATCGAAGGCTCTGCGTTCCCAGGCTGAAACAGCGAAGGATAGAAGTGCGGGTATGAATAACACTTGGCCAGCAGAGCTGCCATACAATTTAGTTCAGGTGGAGCTAGCAAGGTAAAACATCGCACCGTACCTAATGTGTGAGGATGTTGCCGCACAGGCAAGAGTCACATTTGAAGTACAAACGCAAGCAACAGGATCTCCACCATCATCACGAGAGCACCAACAGCAACAACATCACGTCCGGCCGTTATGAATGGACGTCCATATTCTCGTCTGTCTTCCTGCCCGACAGTAGGGAGCGCCTCATCAAAAAGAGTGCTAGTTTTCGATCGGTCGGAAAAGTCGTGCCGTGACTTTCGAGCACGAATAAACCCGAGAGCAAAGAGGAGAATAGAGAGGACGAGATAGAGAATACCGACTGTCCGATGTTATGGAAAACAGCGGGTGACGGTGGGGAGGGCAAGGAACAATCATCATGGAATAAGTCAAAGAGGGAGGATAGCAGACTCACTTTTAAGAAAACGCGAATCAAACAGTCGGAGGGCCGTTAGTGCGTACCCAAGGGTAGCAATGGCGGTACGGCGATAAGCACCATTAAATGTGCGGTTGCGCGCCCTAAGTTCGTTGAGCTCAAGGACGTCAATTGGCCTGAACGAATCTGCTCTGTGACCTCTATTATAATATTCAACCACGTTTATGAGATCGTAAGTTATTTTCGCGAAGTTGTAATAGATCAAGCTCACCTGTATGTATGCATGATGGAGGTGAGGCGGAGAGTGAGCCGACAAACTGGCTCAATTGGTATTATGACAAGTGGTGAGAAACTGGTTTGGCTCGGTTCGTCACATTTTATTCTTTGACTTATTCTTTCCACTGAAGCTCAAGTTGCGAGTGAAGGGGTGGTCCGAGTAGCTTGAGCAGAGTATTAATATTGATGGTCCTGTCTTCGACGGTGCGCGTAGGCATTCGCCTGAGTCCAAGGGTTCCTGGTGCAAGGTACGTTTCCAATGAGTCTACTGTCATAACACTGCTAATAGATACTACAGAATATGGCCCCAAGTGTCTCAGAACCAAGCGCGGTTTTTAACTTTGCCGGTGCGCGTTATTATGCGTAATAAATGTTCGTTTACTCAGTCTTACTGCAGCACTCAAAATTTGCGCCGAGGGTGCTCTCTTCCCAGCGCATACCGCATACTCGTAATTACTGGTGGTCAAAATCGGCGATACCTGAGCAGCAGGCAGCATCTGCAGTGGAGTCAACACCAGCTTCCAGTAGCAACATTTCTGCTGTTGTGGACTCGGAACCGGCAGCAGCGGTCGATGCGGTGACACTAGACTCTGCACCGATACCAGAAACCACCACGCAGGATAGTGTAACAGGCATTACTGGCACTGATGCGGGTATTGATATTCCTGCGTTTGACATCGCGATCCCACCCCTTCAATATGGTGATTTAGCGGAACTAGGCCTCGCTGGCTGGTCACCGGCTGGGATCATAAGATGGACATTCGAAATTCTACAGGTCAGCAGTGGAATGCCTTGGTTTTACACGATCATCGCTGGTACACTGCTGTGGCGTGTAGTCATTCTACCTGCCAACATCATGAGCCTTCGCAACTCGTCACGCTTACTTCCCTATACCGACAAACTGCAGGCCGTGACGGCGGAATGGAAACAAATCGACACTAGCGACCGCCTTGCATTGCAGCGTATATCTCTGAAGAGACAGAAGATTTACGAACAAGCGGGAGCGCGGGTGCTTCCTTCCATTATCATGCCCTTTGTTCAAATACCAGTCACATTGGGTTTGTTCTTTGCTGTCAGGAAGATGACCATGCTTCCTGTAGAGCAGCTCAAGGAGAGCGGTGTCTTTTTTCTGCCTGATTTGACTGTGGCAGACCCATACTATATCCTGCCCATCTTGTCCACTGTCGCCATCAACATTCAAATGTCGGTACGTGTATTCAGAGAGGTTATGCATTAGGGAATTGATGCTAAACGGTGGTCACAGGTGATGAAGGGAGACGTTAATTTTGCTGAGCGTCCCGATATGGCCCATATCATGAATTACATGCGCATCTTTTCGTTCTTGAGCGTTCCTCTCATGGGCTCACTGCCTAGCGTAGGCTGTCCTTGTCAACTCTTGCATATTCGATTCTAATAATTATTCAGGGTTTGTGGTTATCCATCCTGACTGGTGTGATGGTGTCGAGCCTGCAATCCTTCATCCTACAACGCGCAACGGTGCGCAATTGGCTCAAGATAACTCCCCGTGTCGAACCAAAGGTCAAACCACCCACCATGATGGAATCCATGCAGTACGCGAAAGCGTGGTACGTGAGCAAGAGGAGTGAGATAATCGCTGCTCGAAGTCAGGCGGCAAAGACACAAAGGAGATGAAATAAGCAGGGAGACAGCATGCATATAGGGTCCTATTATATATCTCATTAATACACCAATGCTCTGCTCGTTCAAGTTTGAAGCGATAGTATTACGTAACGCCAACGTCCCTGTGCGGGTAAAGTGGCAGTACCCGTGACCCTGTTAGAGCCGTGGCACTTCTGGCTACGCACTTCATGGCCTTCAAGTTGAGCTCAATTACAGTACAGGCGCCATCCGCAGTGCCGTCTGAAGTTCCCATTCCAGAAGACGAAGAGTACTATTCGTCGTGGTCTCTGTTTCTTGTTTGCTTGCTACTTATCCTCTCGTTATGGACGTCTTATTACCTGCAAATCAGGAAAATCCGGGCCATCCATGAGACTACCATCTCTATCTGTGCAGGGATGTTCGTCGGGTTGGTGGTTAGGCTTGCACCGGGGACCATGATTCGAGGAATGTTGGTCAGTATCCACTTGTTGCTTCGCTGGCGCGCATCTCCGAGCTCCTTCAAACCTGCGACTGTCTGTGGCTAAAACTTTATTCATAGACCTTCAAACATACTCTGTTCTTCAACTTGCTACTTCCTCCCATCATTCTCAACTCTGGGTATGAACTCAAGCAGGCGAGCAATGCGTATATTGTCAATACAGAGTCTGACATATAACCTTGCTGCAGGAGAATTTTTTCCGCAATTTTGGTTCCATCCTTACTTTCGCATTTTTAGGCACATTAATATCAGCTGTCGGTGTCGGGTGCGTCACATGCGATACCGCTTCGTGCATTATCAATACTTTGCTTAACTGTTCTAGGACAGGGTGCTCGTGTATATCTACTCATTCCTGGGACTAGAAGGCTTGGATATTACACTGCTGGAGTGCTTGATCTACGGCTCTACACTATCTGCAACTGATCCAGTGACTATTCTTGCCATATTCAATCAGTATAAGGTGGACCCAAAACTCTACACCATCATCTTTGGCGAGAGTCTGCTAAATGATGCGGTCAGTATTGTCATGTACGAGTAAGTTCAAACTGTCTTTCTCCCTTTAGGTTGCGCATACTTAGCTTCTAATTTTCAGAACTCTCGCCCGATTCGACGGCACAGAGATATATATCTCGTCCATATTCCATGGCATAGGAATTTTCTTGCTTTCATTCAGCGTATCCATGGCCCTTGGCGTTAGTTTCGGCCTAGGAATGTCTCTCATCCTCAAACACTCATCGATGAGTCTATATCCTTCCATCGAATCTTGTCTTGTTGCCCTCTGCGCATACACATGCTATTTCTTGTCGAACGGCTTGGAGATGTCTGGCATCGTATCCCTCCTTTTCTGCGGTATCACCTTGAAACACTACGCATATCACACCATGTCCCGGCGAACGCAGCGAACAACAAAATATATATTCTCGACTCTAGCTCAGCTCTCCGAAAATTTCATCTTCATTTACCTCGGTCTCTCACTTTTCACAAGCCCTCCGTCCACTGAGCGCGTTACCAACTACGTCAAGCCCCTCTTCATTACGTTCACGACGATTGCAGTCGTGTTTACCCGATACGCAGCCGTCTTCCCTCTATCTGAAGCGATCAACTTCTTCGCTCGCCATGCTCGGGGACAGCGAACAGAAGAGCTTCCACACTCTTACCAGATGATGTTGTTCTGGGCTGGCTTGCGAGGTGCAGTGGGTGTGGCACTTGCGGCTGGCTTCAAGGGCGATAACGCACAGACGCTGCGGACAACTGTGCTTGTTGTAGTGGTCCTTACCGTTTTCGTCTTTGGGGGTACCACTGCACGCATGCTAGAGATCCTTGGTATTCGCACAGGTGTTGAAGACGAAGCCGCTAGCAGCGACGATGACGCAGAGGCACCTCCGGGACGCAATCCATGGCAAAATCGCCGCAATAGTGGCGTATGGAACAGATACACCGACGATTCTGAGCCCTTGCCCTATTTCTCGCCATCGCAGCACGGATATGGAAGGGCTGCAGGCAGAATAGGGTCACACTATGCAGCGCGCAATTATAATCACCACCCGGGAGCACCACCATCGCCGATCGGCAACACTATGTTTTCTGCAGCATCATCGGAGTCCTTCGAGTCGGAAGCAGAAGTGCTCCCTATGGCCACGCCCTCAGCGGATGCCGGTCCGTCCGTGGAGAGACCTGATGCAAGACTGGCCAACGAGGACGGCAAATGGTTCCAGGCGTTGGATGAGAGATACCTTCTTCCTTTGTTCTCGAATGCTACTGCCAGCCGCACGTTTCACGCCAGACGTGCGCGGAGGAATGTCTCAATATCCGGTCAACCCGCAGGTGCGAATGCAAGCGCACTGGATACGCCGCATGACAGTGAAGACGAGGCTGAGAGCCCAGAGATAGAGCTTGGAGCAGTGGGGACAACGTCGCCTGCAAGGCAGTTTTCAAGTCCAAGGACACAATCTCCGGAAGAGCAAATGCGTTCTGAAAGGGGACTCGCCACACCCGTGCTGCGGACCAGCAACGGTAGAGATGAGGGACAGAGCCGAGCAGGTCTCTAAGGTTTGATTTGTCTCACAGTTTTCACGTATTATATATTTTATTAGAGTGTTTTTGCTAAGTGATCTATCAGGGATTTCACTCAATTGAGAGTCGTTGATATGCCACTAGGCTAGTCCTGAACCACGTCACTAGTAAGTCAAAAATAGCGGTGAACGTTGGCCAGGCAGGTACCACTAGTAGATCCCCTGCTAGCAGCTAGCACTGTTCCAAAGGAGAACTTGCCAACTACAGTACTAGCCTAGGAGTGTTCCACAAGAAGACTTCTGACCGGTGACCTCCTTTAGCTTGAAAGCAAACAAATATTATGATTGACTTGGATATTCACCAACGTAATTTCTGATCTGCATTGCACAGGATCTATTTTTAGATGGGTGCTGCGTCACCAAGGCCTAGCTTGTTTCAATTGCAATAGATCTCCCAACATATTTTTTCATTAAAAATGCAGTGTAGTGGTAATCTTGCAAATTGCAAACAAGTGTGTCAACCATCTTGAATGTCTGAATCACCTACCCTTTAATTATTACCAGAGTGGGTGGGGTCGTTGCAAGGATAATATCGACATTGGGTACAGACATATTAGTAAAGTGGTGGTACAACACGTGTAGAAAACATCGACAGCGATGAGTAGGGGAGTATAGTAAGGTTTGTGATAAAATAACACGGCGATATTACAGAAGATCCGCATTCCGTAAATGAGTACGAAGGATACTTTCTTCGACTAAGAGCGTCTATGTGAGAAATCGAGACACCGTAAGCTCGTGTGGACAACTCACCTACGCTCAGCGTGGCTGCGGTTGCCTTGGTATCCTAAAAGAAAAAAACTAGTCAGCCATCCTCCGTGCCAGCTTTGCCTTGGGTAAGCGATTCCTCAACGGAGGAACGTTCTCAAGGAACCCAGGCACGTCAAACAGTGGGATAGACTCACAATTACCGATGTGAAATGAATGAAGAACGGCCGTGGCTCCGGGGAATATTGTTTAGAAATTTCCTTGAAATGTTGTTGGAAGTCTGGAAAAGAAGAGAATGATTGCGTGAGTATCGACGTATAGCCATGACCTATTCGCAAACTTTGAGAAAAATAGAACCTACATCTCATCACTGTGATGGTGTCGTTTTTCCGACTGCCGTAACTCGGGATATGATCCTTTATACACAACCCTCGCTTGATCTTATTGTTCAAGAGGTCGCACTTGTTAAGAAAGAGAATGATCTCGGTCTTGGATAGAATACGAGACGAGCAGACTGATTTCCATAGGAGATAGCTATCTTCCAGGCGGTTTATGCGACGATCTTCACGGAGCTGCTCGTCAAAGCAAGAGATCGGACAAAGAAAAATGATGGCATCGACGTCGTCGAAATACGACGCCCATGCTACACGCTTCATAGGACGGTTGTAAGTTCCATGACATGACTAGATAAGTGATCGAAATTACCGAGGACCTCGTTCCGCCAACATCGTACAATAACCACTCTTTACCGTTACCTGCGGAATGCTGCTTAATCGAAATGTCTGGAAGTAATCGAACGACTCACTTTCGTCCATCACAACTTTGTGTTCTTGAACGCCAACCGTTCGTAGACGCGCACGAACAATGTCGTTGTCGCTGGGTTCATAGTCATACGACACGATACGATCAATGTCGTTCATAAAGCTTCGATTACCCGATGAGTATGGACATTAAAGTATAGGATAGGGAATACTCACAAGCCCGGAGAGTCTTCAATCTTTGTCTTGCGATGAGATAAAACTTGCTGGACAACAGGATCTTGCCACAAGTTTAGCATGGTTTCCTTGCACGCAACGAGCACATCAGTAATCTCATTGTGATCATTATCATTCCGTTTTTGAAGACGGGGACTGGCCATCATCGACGGGCGTAGCTTTTCCAAGGCGGATTTCCATCCATTGGTTGAATTGATGCCGAAGTCTCGCGAGGGGCGTTTAGGTAGTGGTTGAGAGCCTGCAGAATCAAATGGTGTGGCGGATATGGAAGTTGTTGATCGAACTTCTTGCGATTCAGGACCGAGCTTGTTCTCGAGGTCAGTCTGAATGCTGCGCAAAGGGCCGAGACGCCGTTGCATGAAACGGTGCTTGTCCAAGAAACGATAAGCAAACCCGCGAACGACTGTTTCGTCGTCAGAATCGCTAAGATAATCCATGGATGTAGACCCAGGGCGCTTTTCGCCCTCGACTAGGGCCATCTCTCGACCGAGGATATCCAGGACCTTTATAATGTTGCGAATGAGATTTAAATAAATGACCGTCCGCCATGAGGCTCGCTCCTCCGCCCACTCGCGTCGTGCATGTTGCAATTGGAAGTCTGTGAAACGAGATCTTAATCCCTCAGTACTCCATGAGTGCCCTCGATACGCACTTTTGAGTGTAGCGGATTTTCCTGTTTGACCGGGATCAGCACACTTCCGGAATAATACTCTGATGAACGCACCGCTCTCGCTCTGTCCGAGGAGAAGTACTTTGACAGATTTCTTCTTCTTCTTGAGTGCGGTTCTTTCTTGACGGATTTGCTCGTCGATAGCCTCACTTATTCGACGAGCTTCGATCTCAGCCTGCTCGCGTGTTTCTTTCTCTTCGGGTGTTTCATCTTTGGGAGGTGCGATGGCAAGTGTAAGAGGGTCTTCCACAGAGATGCGCATCGTCACTAATCAGACGATGAAACAAACGAGAGGTTACCGCAGATTAAAAGAAAAGGATAAACACGAGAGAAAGAGAAGGATGAATTGTCACTCCGCCGAAGGAGAGACGACCAAATGGATCAATATAGGCGCCGTCCGTACGGCACATGGATAAGTAGCCTGGGGCCGTTCACAAGCCAAGCATTATGACCCGTGGCTGCATAGCCTCCCCTGAAGGGTCCTGGTAAGTTAGCCAAATTGATAAACCGTGTTTATGAATGATTGTATGGGATTAACTATGTGGACCAAATTTCAGTGGCGAGACTTGCGGCAGTAGTAAAAGTGCTATGTCAAGCTTGTCAGGGCCTGCAGGACTGGCGTAGCACCAGGGTAGCCAAGCGAGGATAATAATGATGGTCGGACTCAAAACCCACCCAACCTTGAAACAATTCAGTTGCGTGGGTTTATTGCCGTAACATGTGGCGTGATATATTTGTTTATATTTGTAATATTCAGTTTCGCGATATAAGAGGCGACATGTGACTTTCCCGTGACTTTGACCTCCTTACCCCGTGACCAGCACGACCTTCTGCAGACCGCTTGCTCCCAAACTCATCCTGCATATATCCTGCTGTAATTGTAAGTCAACAAATCCTCAGTCAATATTCCACAAAATAAGTCCAGTAACATGGCTAGTTGTTTAGCTTACTGGCGACTCCAGCCCTCGTCATGACTTCTGCTCAACATTCTTCTATTCCCGCCGGCGCATCTACCAGCGTTAGTCAGAATTCACCTGTACCAGTTACAGTTTCTGCTTCAAATGGCGATCGCATTCCCTTGCAAATAGAGGGTATGGATGCTACTCAAGTCTCTAATCTTCTCAAGACCCTACCCAGTCTATTCCACAAGGTATGTGAGCAACAACTATTCTATCCTTGAACGCCATATCGGATTACCCTCGTCCGGTCGATGACCTACGGGCGTTCAAGTTGACCCTGTTTCTGCTGTCATTCGTCAATTTTCACTTCATGCTCCGCTAACACCATTTTTGCTACAAAAATAGTCTCCTGCTCAGGGCGATATGACCGGGGAGGCCGCTCAATCTTTGCAGGCTCTCGCTCAAGCCGGATTGTTCCCCCTTCAAAATCAACTTCAGCACCCCATACCATTCCCCGGCGACCCTGGCCCTTCTTCACATCCCCGCGGTCCTCCTAACCTTGGACACTTGTCTGCGGCCGCGGCAGCTGCAGGTCAAACCCCTCCGGATGCTTCTCACACACAGGATGGAGGCGATCCTCTCAGTGATACAGATATGGGAGAACAGTCAGCTCCACAACCGGCGTCTGGATCCACAGGAAGATCCCGGGCCGCCAGGAGCGCTGCGATGGGCACCGATGAATGGACCCGCCAGCGTAAAGATAATCATGTAGGTATCTTCGACGAGTCCTACTGTGTTCTGGTCATTGATGCCGATGTAATGTTTTCAGAAAGAAGTCGAGCGTCGACGCCGAGGGAATATCAACGAAGGCATTAACGAACTCGGTCGCATAGTACCAAACAGTTCTGGCGAGAAGGCAAAAGGCGCAATTCTTCAGCGTGCTGTGCAGTATATCCATCATTTGAAAGAAAATGAGGCGCGCAACATTGAGAAATGGACACTAGAGAAGTTGCTCATGGATCAAGCAATGGGTGACCTACAAGCACAGTTGGAGGACATGAGGAGGTTATGGGAGGAGGAACGCATCGCACGACAAAGAGCAGAGAACGAGCTCGATGTGTTGAGGGGTGTATCGGGCCAGGCTCCAACCATTCCATATAAATCTCGGTCACGTTCAGTTGAGCGAGGTCAGGATGCGCCGTCCAACAGAGGTCCATTTGGTGAGAGTGAAGTGCGAACAGAGCTTGGGAATCGACCAGAGGAAGGCGGTGGTGATGACTCAGAAGGCAGGCCCGGGAAACGTGCGAGGGTTGATTGAGGTCATGTAGTTCACATTTTCTTTTTCAGCTGTATTGATAGCACCCATAAATCTTATCTCTCTTTGTCTAGTGCCTTTTCTAGACATTCCGAGTCCTATCATATTATCAACGTACACCTGGTGTACGGAGGCAAAATTCATGCGTGGAAGAAACTCCGTATAATTCGTTGTCCCCGGGTCTTGGCAGTGGGGAAGTTGCCGCTTCTTGGCGCTATATCTCCTGTCGCATGAGCGGCGAACCCTCGGTTCTAGCCTTCGCGGGAAAGCCTGCGCTTCTTGCATAAGACTCATTGGTGCAAAGATTTCTGTCATGCTACCATATTGATCTTGATCCAACAGTATGCTAATCTATTCCAATCACCGCGTTCCCGCCAGCGCCCGATAGTAATTTCCTTGTACGTGACACGGAAAGATCCTGGGTGACATCCCATGGGATAATTACTGACTTGCAGGCGTACAAAAACCCCTGGTCTTGATTAAAGGCATTTGTTCAACTATCATGTATTATGTCTATCTGTTGTTGTGCGCTGTGGGGTCAATTTTCTATGCCATTTGGTATAGCTACTTCGCGAGAAACCCGCTGGATAACATTTCTGGGCCCCCTCGCCAGCATTGGTGGACAGGTAAGTGCACAAGTCTCAACGAGTCAATGTACTGACAAAATTGAACAGGTAACTTGAGTCAGGTTTTTGCGCGGTATTCATGGGATTTCCATGATATGCTCGCAGAACGCCACGGTCCAGTATCGAAGTTCTATGGGATTTTTGGGGTATGTCAATCGCAGTCACTCTAGACCAAGCAAGAGCATAGATACTTTCTGAGAGCGTCATTCACAGGCAAGGCATTTGTATGTGTTTGATCCAAAGGCCATGTACCACATCATGGTCAAAGATCAGCACAATTTTGAAGCAGCCCCTTCTTTTTTAGCGTAGGGAATTTCATTGTGCTTGATGTTTCACTTTACTGGACAGCCCTGCAGGACAAGCAAAGTTCTTTTCGGGGACGGCCTTCTCGCAACGTCGGGTACGGTGACACTATTTATTGTGTGTCCCTGTATCTTATTTCTCATGCAGGCGAGCACCATCGAAAGCAGCGTAAGCTGCTCAACCCTGTCTTTTCTCTCAGTCACGTGCGAGACATGGTACCTACTTTCATTAAAGTGACGACATGCGTAAGTGCCTAGGCCCTAGCTTATCTATCTGGCGTCGGCGGGGTTATTGATTGTACCTGTCTAATAGCTCCGAGACGGCATTGCAGCGGAAGTAGAGCATGGACCTCGTGAAATCAATATGTTGGAATGGCTCAATCGCACCGCTCTTGAACTTGTAGGGCAGAGCGGACTGGGGTACTCTTTTGACTGTCTGAAAGAAGGTGATGTCAATCCATATAGCATCGCCGTCAAGAATCTCCTGTAAGCATCCTGGCAATTCCTTTCAGTTTGATGGGTGAAGGTTAACGAGAACTCCAGGCCATCGATATATAAATTGTCTGTCGTGAGGCAGTTCCTCCCACTCCTTATCAATGTCGGTACTCCTAACCTCAGGAGATTCGTCGTAAAGATATTTCCATGGAAGGCAGTGAAAGAGATCAGCGATATTGTTGACGTCATGCACAAGACATCGATGGAAGTCTTCGAGGAAAAGAAGCGTGCAATTTCTGAGGGAGACGACGCGGTATTGCACCAGGTTGGAGAAGGCAAAGATATCATGAGCATACTGCGTGCGTTCATGAAGGTTTCTTTGTTGTAATCGAGTCCCTAACCACGGAGCCATCTATTGTAATAGTTCGGGCCAACATGGATGCCTCAGCGGAAGATCGTCTTCCGGATTCAGAGCTTGTGGCTCAGATGAGGTGGGCGTGGTTGTATCCACTTAATTGTCTAACACTGCTTTTAGCACGCTTGTTTTTGCTGCAACGCATACGACTGCAGGTGCCCTGTGTCGCACGCTTTTGACTCTTGCTCATCAGCAAGATGCACAAGACAGACTGCGCAAGGAGATTCAACAGGTAATGGCTGAACCTAGCGAGCTTGACTACGATGCCCTGGCCAATCTTCCCTACCTCGATGCAGTATGTAGAGAGACACTGCGCTTGTAAGAGTTCATCTTTAATTACTTGTATATACTCACGGTGGCGTAGGTACCCTCCAGCTACCTTCGCAATGCGTGTGTATGTCCCTCACAGATGCTACTAGACGCACCCGAACCAACTTTTCTATTTCCAGTGCCCGTGAAGATATAGTCCTCCCCTTCTCGCGTCCCGTCAAAGGGAATGATGGGACATATATGCGCGAGGTCCTTGTGCCCAAAAACACGAATGTTATGATGTCGATCCTGAACTCCAATCGAGACCCTGAAATCTGGGGGGACGACGTGCTTCAGTGGAAACCAGAAAGATGGCTGTCTCCACTTCCAAAAAGTGTTATTGATGCCGAGATTCCAGGGGTTTACTCTCACCTGTGAGCGATATTTGGGAATACCAATGCCCGAGATGCTGAACCGTCTTTTCTCTAGAATGACATTCATTGGCGGCGGAAGAGCGTGCATGTGAGATGCAAACTTTACAACATTTATTGGTTTCTGATGAGAACATACACAGTGGATTTAAGTTTTCAGAACTAGAGATGAGTTCGTAGGTTTTGTTCCTGATTAAATTCCGGCTGACGACTTCGTCAGAGGTTGTACTTTACATGCTCGTCCGGACATTCAAGTTCACTGCCACGCAAGAGATCGAGTGGACCGCGCAGGTGTCATCTCCGAATGTCAAAGGTTCTGGGTCCAAGTGGCAGATGCCGCTCCGAGTCGAGATGATAGCAACCTGATGCGTATGGCGCTGGATAGTATGTCGCCGAGAAAATCTTTCGTCGTGGAAATAAAGCAAAGGGTCCTACGTTCTCGGTCTCGACTCACTGGATCATCTGGCGTTTCAACCAAGTACATGATGTGTTATAGTTTCTTTAAAGAATCAATTATGTAATTCCACGTGAACTCATCTTATTTGATGCTAGTAGTGCATTGGTGAGTACTACTACCAGTACGCCCTGTCAGCACGACGTCCATGAGCTCTCCTCGATTACTTGTCGCCGCCATCTTGGGTGGCGAAAGCAAGACCCAAGATTGAGACATCCTCTATCGTCGCGGAGCTATCGTGGAAGCTGCTAGCATTCAATATTCAGGACAAAAATGTTTGAGTCCGAGAAGCCCCTTCGCGAAATCCGCGTGGTCGAACCCCTTAGTTTGTGCTTCATCAAGACGGCACAGGTCAATTGATGCGAGAAAGTGTCCCATGCATATAGAGGTGTGTAGCATGATATTGCTACTGGCAACCATCCTCCCGAGTTTGCAATGTGCATGGTCGGTAAAGTTGAAATTCTACGTAGTCTTGATCATCACGATCCGCGCGGCGCGTATGAAGTTAGTCTCCAGTAGGCAGACCTTAAGGAAACCGTGACGTAGTCTCCTGAGTAGTCATCTAAAGTCAGGAGCAGTGACACAGTCGTTTGACTCGTTTCTTCTTGATTACCAAGGTGTAGTTCTGTGTAGTTGGTCTCGACGGAATCAACAACCATGTCCACTGGCAGAAGCGTCGTCCCCACCGAAGACGAAGTCCGAAAGGCCGTTATCAAGCTAAAACAGAGTAACCCTGCCTCTGGCGTCGCCAAAATCCACAGCCTCGTACTTGACGCCAATCCATCATGGACGGTCAGCGAAAAACGCGTTCGAAAGATCTTGCAGAGTGAAGGCCTCGTCGGGACGCCCAGTAGCACAACCAACACCATCCATCCGTCATCTCGCCTCAACAAGAGCCTTGATGTCAACAAGTTAACCAGTCGGGTGGAAGTCAAGTACTTTGACGCAATCAAGGGGAAGGGTCTCATTGCTAAAGAAAAGATATCAAAAGGGGATGTTTTGTGGAAAGAGGATCCCTTCATCCTGGCCCCAGAATGGTGAGCACCCCTACGAGTTTTGTCGCTCGAATCGAAGAGTAAGTTATGTTTGAAAAGGGATATATACGATCTCCAGCACTCATCTGAGGCATGCTCCCTCTGCTCGTCCATCATCCGCGATCATTCCCCGTTGCATATATCCTGTGAGGCCTCCACAACTGCAACTCCCTGCACAGCAAGATACTGCAATAGACTCTGTCGTCTGCAGGCGGAAAAAGTGCACCCTCTCCTATGTTCTGCACGCAATCCTGCATCTGTACCACTCCTTGCCTTCGCAAGAGATGCGCAGTGGATGGCCCTGCATGCTCTCGCGCAATGTACCAGCCGACTTTTACTTGCTTCTCAGCAAGATGCTGCAACGTTCGAGCTGGACTGGGAAGTAGTTCAGGGCCTCGCTGAGCTTGGGATGGAAGAACGCGCTCAGTGTCTTCGGTGAGCCATTGGACTCCAACACTCCGATGGCGGATGGCCATTGACTCTCTAATAGCGAGCAGGGACTGGAGCCCGATCGCACAAATTGGCGGAAAGCCTTTGAGTTGTACTTGCAAGCATTCAAAGATCCTCGGACCCCTGCTGAGCAGAAAAAACTGGCACGCATCTTGAAGAAGCCAATCCCCGAAGTGCTGCAGCAAGTCACTTTCGAATATCAGGCCTTCTTACGTGGCTTGGGTCGTATGAGTCTCAGTAAGCTGTTCCATAACTATCATATTTTTGTTCGCTGTTTTACACCAGTTCGTAGATCTGGAGGCTCATGGTGGACTGTACAGACTACACTCTCACCTTAATCACAGTTGCACTCCTAACGTCTCCATAAGGCACTTGGACCAGCGCACCGCCCTCTCGCGCATCACGGTGATCGCGAAGGAGGATTTCGAAGTAGGACAGGAGCTTCTAATCACGTACACTAACCCCCAGAGCAATCTCAGGGATCGGCGCCGGAGATTATCAGAGTGGGGGTTCGGAGCTTGCCAGTGCGAGCGTTGTGTGGCAGAAGAGAAGGTTTGGAAAGAAACAGATAACAACACGCAGGAAACAGATGATCTCGCAGATCAGCTTAAAGCCAGCCTAGGGGTGTTATAGGATGGGCTCATCAAATCAGCGATTAGGATTAATTTCCGTTCTGCAAGCGTTCGTGGTCCCCGTTCTCCTTTGCAGGCATGCTGGCATGATCTCAACGATCTTTCTCCACCGTCACCATTGCAGGGATTCATAATGATTTTGCTCCAAGCTTTAAGATTTGGATCTTTCGGCTTTGTTCCATTGTATCGGATGTATCATTTCCATCAGAACAAGTACGTGGTCGGCGACTGCAACGGTAAAACTCGTGCGGCGCAATATATTTCGTCAGCGGGGGGAGATCTCATTCAGATCAGTGACTATACCATTACACATGTGGCACTGTCTGGGTCAATTGAATTCGATCTGCTCAGATCCGCAAAACCACCGGAGTGTCATAAATTGCGACCTGTTTTTTTGAGCATCGGTGTCAGTGATCCCAAACCTAAGTTTGATTTTTAGCCAAAGGGGTCGCTCATCGTAATAACGCGCCTGATCGTAATATGTCACCTTTTCCATTCAATGACCACATTCACCGGAGTTCAAGGAACTCTGATATCGATAAGCACGTTCCACTCACTCCATAGATGGCACATAAAAAGGCAATGAATCGGTAACGGCGTCATTTTGTACATACGTTATGCGCCGCACGGGCAATTGTGAATATTTTCGGAGTCCCGGTATAGGTGCAATCAGAACTAAATCTCGTAAATATCATCATAGAAAGCTCTGGAATACTCGTGAAATTTCCGTACCTAAACGGTGACTTCAAGATCTCGCTGCCATTCAAGTGACCGATCACACGTACAGCATGAACGTGTAGGATACTGACGAGGGTAAAATATTGAGAATTCCTGAAGTTAGATCCCCCTTTAGATCTGGGGGAAATTACATACTTTGACGATACTTAATGAACCCAGAGGTACTTCATTCCCGCTTGAACCTTTTTTTACCCGAGCACACACCTCCCTGTCACTGTCAGCCCCCAGATTGGCTCTGCTCCTTCCGATGCGGATGCTACTCGGAGCCAACAAGTCATTATATTATACCTGCGGACATTCGACGATGGACAAAAATAGTAAGTCCCATACGTACTGAGGCCCTGCATAGGGCTGTGCCCCAAGTAGACGAGCGTTTGTTACATTCCTATTGGTCTGATCATTGACAACTTGGGCTAGAAGATCGACGGATATTGACCACACGGCGAGGTGTAAGATGCGAGCATTGGCAATGTGCAGGGAAGGAACTCGAAGCTGATCGCACTGGGAAATTAACGATTTCGAGAAGAAGGTTTCAAGAATACTAGCAGAGGCGAGGTGGCACATATGGATCCATAGCTTTAGATCAAAATGAGTATGGTGAAGTCATCATACATATGGGCAATGCAACGAGAGGTGCGCAGGCGTAGGGGCCAGCGGGTGGCCCACTGGCAGATGGGCCAAGCACGGCGCCTGGTCCCTGGTCATTTTTCTCGCAATTGGTGAACGGGAAATACCGGATAGTATTAAGTACAAGAGCGCAGGGTTGGGCGAAAACTGCTAAGCCATCTCGTGATTAATGACAAAATGATAAATATAACATGATTAATATCTGTGGATTTCGATGTAGCCACCGACCGCTTACCTGCTTTGTGGTCATCGCGCCCACTGAGTTGTCAAACAGATGGCGGCCCTAGAAGAGATGTTATGAGGAACCCAAGAGGAACCTAAATATAGTCTCCAATTGGCAAAGTCAGTACGCATCACAAAGATTGCTGAACTCCGCTGATGCAAGATTGCAGGGCAAAAGGAACGGGTTAGGTCACGGTCACTTTGCCCGCAGACGGACGGCGCATCACCACTTGTTCCAACGAAGCTTCGCTGAGAGTATAGGACTTGGAGAGTAGCCGCGGCAGGCAAAAAGGCGAAGAGGGACACTGTGGACCATAGCTTTATCGCCTGGCGACAAGGACGTAGCGAGCGGGAGTGATGGTGGCCTACTAGTGCGATTACTGACACAGGCAAAGGTCTGTCTGCTGGGGTGCAAGGCTCGCGAGAGACCATCCTTGGACTGCCATATGTACGTGCGCTGTTCACTGTTAATACTCTCCGATGCTAACGATGACTGCGACAGGCCTCGACCATATATAATGGCGTCGACAAGTCTTCAATTAAAGCATGTGATGATGTATAGTCCTCAAGTTCGTGCCTGGCTAAGGCAGCGCTAGCCTGGTCCAGCTAGTCCTCGGATATCTAAACACGCTTATCTCCGATCGCTCTGTCGTCGAGAATATTCCGAAGCCAAAAAATGGTACTTCAAGTTATTCTTGATTGATCATCATCCAGGCGCAGCCCAGTGCACGGATTTCATGATGGAATTGTGTTTTCCTTCTTCTAAGTGACTACAGTGACCACTAGGTCTGCAGCTGTGACTACCTCGGGTTCCGGGGCAGGTCCCGGGTGAACGATAACTCCAACTTGAAGGTACATATTAAATTGTGCATGTGGATGCAGCGTATTGGCTGCCGTTGTGTAGGTTGCTCTCGCGACTTACATCCTTTTTGATGGCTTTTAGCAGGGGGGAATACGTCACCAACCTGGACCGGCGGGCATATCTGTGCCAGCGATGCGCAAAATTTAGACGCATAAAAAGATGTAAATAGGCGAGTTAACTTCCGCTGGGCCCCACAACTTGCGCGCAGCGAAGTTATGGTTACATCTCCACGTCCTCTCAAACCGACTTCGGAATCCTCTAGTGTTGTACCCAGGGACAAGAAACATGCAGGGGTCTTTTTGTCGACCAAGGATGTTGACACTGGTGCCCAGCTCGTTGCTGGGTTAACTTCAACTCTTGATCCAGACGAGGCTTTGAGATTAAGGTGCGCTGTGAAAACTGCATGTACATCGACCTCGTTCAATTTCGTTTCAGGAGGAAGATCGATAGACATATCATGCCTCTGATGTGTGGTGAGTTGAATACTGTACTCAATTATTTAAATAGATTGTGGCTGATGACCACTGTTCAGCTATGTACTGGTAGGTTGACTGTATTCACTACGAGTCAGCGCTTACTCCAACATAGGATTCAATTCATGGACAAGACAACCCTGGGTTATGCGGCCGTCCTTGGAATTCAGTAAGGACTAGGTATCGAGACTAATTCAACCCAATACTGACGTGCATCATCAGACAGGCCACGAAGCTGACTACGAACGAGTAAGTTGTTGTTGTTTTTGGAGTCGAAAGTCTGAAAGTCAATTGAATTGTCCGAAGGTACAATTGGTGAGCTATATGTATTACTCGACTTTGCATCATGGTCCTTACACTATCGTCCAGGCTTGGCACTGTATTCTATCTCAGTTATCTTTTCTTCGAGTATCCCCAGAACCTTGCCCTTCAGAGATTCCCAGTCGGGAAGTGGATGAGGTAGGCTTCACAGGCGTTATCGATGTGAATGTCAATAACGGCTTGTATCAGTATCAATATCTTCATCTGGGCAGTTGCACTTGCATGTCATGCAGCATGCAAAAACTTCACTGGGCTTCTTGTTGTACGCCTGTTGCTAGGCGCATGTGAGGGGTCGATCACTGCCGGATTCTTGATTGTTAGCTCCATGTTCTACACACGGACGGAACAGACGCTACGGGTTGGTTATTGGTGTGAGTTCCCATTCGCAAATGATCGCCAAAGCCAACTAATCGAAGTTTAGTTCTGATGAATGGCTTTGGTGCGCCTACCGAAATATATGCTCGATGTTGCTGCCTAAGCCAGTGAACTCTAGCACAAATCATAGCTGGTTTCATCAGCTTTGGTGTTTTGCACATTGATACAAAAGGGTTTGAACCATGGCAATGGTCTGACATTTATTTTCATAACTTTTACTCCCTCTGATAGATCACAGGCTCATGATCATCACCGGTATAATGACGGTGATCCTTGCCATCTTATTCTGGTGGGTCCATGAAGCAAACGTTCCTAGTTCCTAGTCTCCATAACTAAGACATCTCCGCCTGATTTGAAGGTTCTTGTTCCCTGATTCGCCTACGAACGCCTGGTTCCTTACTCCCGACGAACGGGTGAAAGCCGTGCAGCGCATAAAGGTACGTTTGTTTACCAAATCGGTATCAGCCCTTGTCTGACAATTAGCACAGGAAAACCAAACAGGGGTAGAAAACAAACACTTCAAGACGGAGCAGTACGTATTCAATACAATTGTGGTCTTTGATTTCTCACATACACATCTCTAGGTTGATCGAAGCCCTGACTGACCCTAAGACATGGCTCTTCGCCCTCTTCTCAGCTCTAGACAATGTGCCTAACTCATTGACAAACCAGCAAGCACTCATCATCGCGTCGTTTGGATTCAACGATGTACAGACGACTCTATTGTCTTGTGTTGGTGGTGTAATCGAAATCTTGACAATTTTCACTGGTGTTCAACTTGCTACACGATGGCCCAATTCCAGAGCATATATTGCCGTTATATACTTCGTCCCGACGTGGTGTGGGATCTTGCTGGTCAACCTACTTCCTTGGTCTGATCAGGTATGTGGTTTACTTCTGCGAGTCTATTTAATTGTCCTTAATATCACGGATCACCCGATATTAGGTTGGACTTCTCATCAGCCAGTTCCTGAGTGAGTTTCACATCCGTAGTGCGTTTGTATGCTCATCGCTCCACAGCTAGCGTCAGTGTGCCTGGATTCGTGCTGGCGTTGTCGTGGCTCAATAGCGTGACTGCTGGTCATACGAAGAAGGTAGGTACTCCGCCAGTTATTGAAGCCGATCTTCAAGTGAAAATCAACCTGCAGATTGTTACTAACGCCATTATGCTCTCGGCTTACTGCATTGGTAACGCAGCTGGACCCTTCATGTGGAAGACACAATACAAGCCGCGGTAGGTCTTTCTTCGCCTGACTCTAGGAAGGTTCGGAGTGATCATGATTAATGTACAGTTACCACATTCCATGGGCTGTAATTGGCGCATGCTACGTCGCCTGCCCGGTACTTCTCCTCGTCATCCGCACCGTTCTCGTCCGAGAGAACCGAATCCGTGATGCAGAACCTGTTGAAAATAGCGAAGAATATGTTATCGAGCGCTTCACAGAGGATGGGAAGTGTGTAGAAGTCAAGGTCGACAAGGTGGGTTCTCTGAATCGGTAATCGCTTTTCGAGTACAAGGCTGATAAATCTGCCTGCACTAGGAATACCTGGATTTGACAGATAGACAGAACAGGGACTTCAGATATGTTTTGTAACATAAAGCAAGCTTTATCCCTACTCTGGTCACATATGTTACTGAGAGTTACATTTTCTCTGATTCCCCAAACGGCGATCATTGTGCTCGTTTATGGCATCAATTATGAGATCATATCCTGTGGCGACGCTCAAAAAATGATCAAAAATTGAGCAGATTATAGACAATGCGTCTCAACGCCGAAAATTTCCACGATGCCAACGCAGAGCTGAAGGCCGCAGACCGCACGAATTGATCTAGCGCGCATCAATGATTAGCGTGATATAGGAGAATATAGGTGGAAGAGCGTGGGTCACCGCTGATGCTGATAAAATTAATGTCCAGGGACAGCAGACATATTTCCATGGGTCAAAGGGAGCCAAAGGCTGAGGATCGATGGGCCGCGGGATCCGAACGTGCTGCGGTAACATGAAACTCTTGGAATGGACTTTCTATGCGATTCATTACCGCATTTTGGGCCAAGCTCGCCAATAAATACGTTTGTGTTGAGTCATCATTACTCTCGAACGAACGAACACCTCATAAATTATGGTGCTTGGACATGGACAATCTTCCGGCTTCAGATGTATCGCAGAGATACTATGATAAAATTCCCGGTCGCCATATGCACGTGTTTGACTCTGCTGGTTCGACAGTGCACCGTGGACATATGCCAACGAAATCTATGCCAAGGGCCGTCTTGTTATTTGCATGGAGTCCATAGAAGTACTGCGTGGAGCGGTGCCGATGACGAGGGTTGGAGCTTGGCCACGCTTGGTCTGCACAGCTTACACTTATGTAGTGTGGTGCACGGAAAGTACCTGACGTTTAGGTGACCAGAAACAAACGCTATCCAAACTCGCCTCTGCAGCTGAGTTCAACAAAACACTGCTTCAATTCGGTTTTTCGTTCCAAGTGTGCAGGCATAGTTCCGTTGAAAAGTGTTTACTGGTAAGTGATAACATGTGTTGTACGCTTGTCGCAACAAGAATTGATGCGAAGATCCCTGACCCCAGCAAGACATCCGTGCTCTTGAAGACTGTCATAGCAAAGGGTTCTGGAATACACGGTCTCCCAGACTACTAGATCGAAATGGCACGCACCAACCCACACTACTGAGAAACGAGACATGTCAACGGTCAAGCCCCAACGGAGGATTGCAGGACAAAAAGAACAAGTTTGGGGCATTGTGCACCTGCCGGACGGACAGTGCATCATCACCTGTTATGGCGACGGTTCGCTGCGAGTATGGAACTTGGAGAGTGGCAAACAGAAAGGCGAAAAGTGGGAGGACAAAGGCAGCGGAACAGTGTGGGCCATAGCGTTGTCGCCGGGCGGCAAGGAAATAGCAACCGGTTCTAATGATGGAATAGTGAGATTGTGGGACATCGAGACAGGGAAAGTCACTGCAAGATGGACGGGCCATAGTTCGGGGGTGTCGTCTATCTGCTGGAGTACAGATGGAGGTCAGTTGGTGAGCGCATCACACGATGGAACGGCAAGAGTGTGGAATGTCGAGAGCGGCGAAACCATCCTTGGACCCATCGAAACTGGGCATGCAAACTTGCGCGCGGTTCACTATTCACCCGATGCAACGATGATTGCGACGGGCGGGAATGACAGCAGCGACGAGTCCATAGTGAAACTCTGGGATACCAAGACAGGTGAACTGCTGAAAACGCTCAAGGGAAACATTGGCGAAGTTTTATGCTTGGCTTGGTGCTCAGATGTCAACACGCTTATCTCCGGGTCATTTGGCGGATCGATTAGAAAATTCGACACAGCCACTGGGTCACAAACCGCCGTGCTCGAAGGATACACGCATCTTGTTAAAGCCATTTCATTATCTCCCAATGACCGTATCCTTGCAAGCGCATCATCCGACAAGACTGCCCGACTTTGGAATATCGAAAATAATCAACCTATAGGACCACCCCTCTTCCATGATGTTGCAGTGTACTGTGCAGCCTTTTCTGCTGACGGAAAGCTGCTAGCCACTGCCTCCAGCGACCACCACATATACACATGGGATGTCGCTGCTATTGTCAGGGAAGCTGGCCTTGATGAACTTTTGACTGTGAGTTCTTAATTTCCAACTTACAGAAATCATGTGCACTAATCTGTTATTTCAGTTTGGCGGCAAGTCAATATTAGAGGTGTGGCTCTTTTTTAATGCGCCATACTTTCATTCATCTTTGTGCCAGGCGGATGCCACACAACGTCGAAACCAGAAATTCGCGAATCCACATCGATTGCCGCCAGGCTTTTTTGATGATGCACGAGAGCATGTTGGCGTGAGTTTCCGAAATCATCGCCTACCATTTTTCCTAATATATATGGTCTCAGTCTTCTGCAACACGTCGTCCTCCTCCCCGCCATGGACGTGGTAGTCGTGCAACACCCTCATCATCACGTACTCTCCTTGGTCGGCTTTCCTCGCTCTTCCCCCGTTCTCACCACACCACGCCTCGTGTTGTAGAGGTACCTACCGTCCAGGACAGAAAGGTATATTTACCTCCAAGGTCTGCTTAGTTTTGTGCTAATCTGCTTCAAAGGCCTTGTATGTCGCCCCACCGCGCCAGACAAAACAACTCCCGCAAGGCACCCACACTCAAAGCCAACAGCAGCAACAAGGTCAATCCCATGACCAGGGATCATCGTCCCATCCCCCGGGAACATCTGCTACCGCGACATCCGCATCTGCAGCCGCAACACCTGCGTCTGCAACTGCAACAGCGTCGCGCCCTGCCCCCGTCATAAATAATCCCAGCCTGTGGACTCGCATAGTACTCCGCATCTGCTGCGTCTCTGTTGACTATACATATGACCATCACTGATGAAGCAGCTTTTCATCAACTCGCATCACTTTGCATTATGTGCTGACGTTTTTGTCCTCGTATCGTACTGCTATTTTCACCCTGCAGGTCCCCTTTACTCCATCGAGTGTAAACGGCCATATAATTTTTCCAATATAATACCAAGTGTTTATGGTGGATGTTTGGGGAAGGTTCGATTTACCGTCATGCTGCATACTTTTTTTACGTTGCGAACCCTTCGTGCAAGAGAAGGGATCGCATCGCCCTTAACATCACAAAATCATCCGTTTATAGTACTACCGAATTTAATCCAATAATGAGGGGCGACAGGGTTGGATGAAATGTGACTGAGGTAAGTGGTTGTCTGCAGGCTGTGGAGATATTGTGCTAGCTACTCACTATGACTCAAGAGGACATATAGGTGGTTTAAGGGAATGATGCCGGGCTCCATTGGTGTCATATTGGCTGCTTAAATGGGCAAACTTGAAATACCTGTGTGGCTCTCGCATAAATTTTTCATCGTAATTGTTCATGTTCTATGCCGACCCTGGGTTTGCTTTCTTGACACAATTCTGCCGCGCGTGCTAGATCTGCCCACAATCCGCGCAGAGTGGGTTTAATTTGAATGCCGTAAGTCCCAAATCCTCAAGAACAATTGCCTCGTCTACAGTGAGTATTCCCAGTGAGTCTTGAAGCTTGAAGACTTATGCAACTTGAACATTTCACATTTAGATCTTCCTGGACGTGCCACTATTAATACGGATGCGCACACGGTACCACACAACCAAACCCTGACGGTGGGTGGTTTCTAGGAACTGACGGACATCACTGACACATACTAGATGCCATGAAAATCCAGTTCACCTACCTCACCATCTTTGCCGCTGCCGCTTGATTGCCTGGATAGTGGCGCTTCCGCTCCCTGCGAGACCTACCGGAAACCCGTCTAGGACAGTAGCCAAGATCGCTACATCTGCTGCACTGCCCAGGTTGTACTTGCAATTGAGTTTGTACAGGTGATGTATTTCATCTAGTTACCTGTCAACGCACTCGATAGCATTTACGCCCTCGTCTTGCTCCATGCGCACGCTTCAGATATTCACCCAACTTTGTGTCAGTATGATTACCACACAGGTCCTCTTTAGCGCAGGACACATCACTCATAAGGAACCTATGCAAAAATTATTGATCACTCCTACGAAGACACCTATCACAGACGTGCTTGAGAACTTTTCTATGACGGCTCACATGGTCTCCGTTCAATACCCAGGTCGTCAGCGATGATCATTGCAGCCTTCTCTCCAATGAGAAGCGCTGTCGAATATGTGTTCTAGAGAGATCGGTCAGACTGTACGTCAATAATCCCCGATAAGTACCCACCGTGCCAACATTTTTCGGCGCGATAGACATGTCAGCAACTTTGAGGTTTGTCACGCCGTACACGTTTAACCAGGCATCAATGACCCCTCGATCTGCCCTCGGTTTCATGGCGCAAGTCCCGAGCTACACACGCAAGGATTATGTATCTCATGTAACAACGTAAAGGTTTCAGCTATACATACCGAGTGCGATGTCATGTGCACTGAGTGTCGATTCAGTATTTTGACATCACAATGGGGATGCGACATACTGTAGTCACGATGGTATCGATCGATCGCCTCGTCATCTTCTGCAGTGTAGATCAAGTCAGGCGCATTCAAGTCCACTGGCCCAGTCGTTTCTCCGCAGACTGCAGCGCTTCCCTCTGGGAAACGAGGATGACCGGCGGGGACTTCACCTCTGTATGAAGGCATGCGTCGATAGATTTCGCGCATCTTTTTGTACCCAAAGTTAAGAGGTACAATATCCGATGGACTGTGTGGATCATCGTAGTCACATCACTGGGAGATGAAATTGACTACTCACTCATTCAGATAGCCTGTATCGAAGTCAATTGCTTCCTGTCCGTTCTCGTCCAATTTGATATGAACGCTGCCAGCAGACGCGGGGTACAGCTATGGGAAAATTCAGAACAAAATCCACGGGGTAGTAGATGGGGAATAGTACTGTATAATAGAAGGCAATTAAATAATTGCGAGGGGGAAGGATACTTGAGAATGATCCAATGCATCTGGTCATCATAAGCACTCGCATGTCATCAAAGCAAAGTAATGTGCAGGCACCCCTCAAAAAGGCTGAATATTGCAACAGCCTTGTCTGGGCGGTCCTGGAAGAATTCTTTCCATCGTGGTTGAAAAGCTGATCCCATAGCTTTCAGCTCGTCGCCGTCAGGACGCCATTTGATTTTTGCATCGCTGCCACTGAAATGCTAATCAACACATCACCAGCAACAACGGGTTTATACCAACTTTTGGGCAATGAGTGATTTGCCATTAATTTTCCATTGCGCCAGGTTTTCTACAAAATTTGGGCGGTTAAATGGACTTGGAATATAGAAAGTTCGCTTACCCTGTACAACACTCTCCTTCCCACGCCAGAGGGGGTCCATAGTCACAGCTCCGTCGGCAGCGAAGTATGGAACAAAGATGCCGTTGTGATCTCATAACCCTAAGTCAGCATCATGAAATAAATGGTGGAACGCGAACCTCGATAATTTTCTCCAACGCCAGGCAAGTCCACCAGTTGCTGGATACCACACCGTTTGAGAACCTCCTCGGCACCAATCCCAGACCTCTCGAGAATGGCCGGCGAACCGAATGCCCCAGCAGAGATAACAACAAGCTTTGATGCCCTCACGGTGCTCGATGACTGATCCGCATCTGGGCAAGACACTGGATCGCTGGTGAACTCGACACCTACGGCACGCATATCTCTTTCATTCGGAAAAAACATCAGCAGTTGGGCACGATTGCAATCCAAGGTGCAACACTGACTCGAAAATCACGCGTGTCACGCGTTTGCCGACCCATATTTGTAAATTCTGGTTGTGAGCTTGGTTGTAGACATAGTGGTGCGCCGCATCATAACGCCTTCCGGTTGTCCCGTCAATATACCTTCTCACAATGAGCGCAATTTGCAACAGACGACGAGCACCGGCTCACTTCGCCCATGGCTGAAACAGATCTCATTAGTGGACGCCGAATACGGGGAAAGCAAATCGGTGGCGCACGCTGTATGTGTTGCATGTTTCTAAATCATTCGTGTCTTCGGCATATTGCCTCTCGTCATACGTCGTGCCAACACGGATGAACTCTTCGCTGGCACCTAGTTTGCATCCACCAGAGGACACTTTGATAGGTCCACTGTACCCGTGGGTTGGGCGATCGGGCTGCACCTCATATGTTTCTAGCTAAAATAATGGATAGTTCAGCTTGAAAAAGATAAGAACGGTTCAATCGGGGACCTTCTTCATGAGGGGAATCAAATTCTTAGATTCCCAACCATCGACTCCCCAATCATCAAAATCTGAGGCAGGCGCACGAGTGTATACCATAACTGTCCGAGTCAATGCATCGGAGCCATGCTAGTCGGTGCAAAAATACTACGAACAATTAATACTTGAGCCTCCACTAACGCAATGGGCGGACGGAACGACCGGAGCACGGCCGTTGAGACGTGGACTGGGATTTCCAACGTTGAATGTCACAGTGGTGCTCGTCGACGCAAGATGGCTGAGATATCGGTAGGGCTGCACATGAGCAGCTTGATTGAGGGTGTGTTGACCCCCTTCGAGAATCAAGATCCTAAGCGAGGGGTCTAATGAAGCCAGGCGACCGGCGACAACACAAGCCGTGGTACCGCCTGCCGCACCGTGAAATAGCGTCAACAAGAAAATCACTGCAATACGGAAGATGTTATCATTCACCTCCAGCAAAGATGATATCGAATTCTGGTGGGACTGCATTGGACATTAGTATAATTGAGGGGTGGTGCTTCGAGCAGGAAAACAATCGTCGATGCGTCCAAATTTATATCCTTCCGAGTCGCTGAAGCGGAAATAATGATGACAGCACACTGGTGTTAGTACGTTGTATAGAAGGCTTTTGAATGACTCGGGCCGAGTTGTGCAATTACACAACTACTTGCCAGTAAGTGGCGATTGATGATATGAGCATCGGTATGTGATCACGCGGAGTTTCGGCCACAAATACATCGCGGTGAGTCGTGACGCGGTTTGTTTCTTTGTTGAGCAAGGATAAATGACAAGGTGGTCTGCGCCAGATCACTACAATCCTTCATGGAGCTACGAAGGCAAGCATTAATATTGCTGCATTTGCAGGTTTGTACAGGTTTGTACTGACGAAGTCGGCGCTTCCCGAGCTACTAAATGTTATACCCTTTATGGAAGTCACGATCTCATTCACTGGCTCACTCCGAGAGTCCGAATAGTTGATATCTTGGGCCCCTGCTGCATAGTTGCTGCCAGGACTGCTTGCCGTCATAATAGCGTCTCCCCGCGGGACCTCAATCCCAACTATGTATTGTGTACATTATTCTTGTCAATACAACAAATATCGAAAAAAAAACCTCTATATCCGTATTGCGCATGAAATCAAATAAGAGAATGTCGAAGAACAAAACCACAAGATAAACAATTCCCAGTATAGAGAGCAACATCCCGCATAACACCCCCTACAAAGGGAGATACCCCGTCGGACGCACCGTCACCCCCGTCTCTGACTCCGCATACATACCATACGCCATCTGCATCGTCTCCCCGTCAAGCCCCCTCACCCTAAGACACTTCCCAAACAACTTCTTATCGACCGGGTACTGAACCCGACTCGCAAGATGCTGCCCACTCACCAAATCCTTGATCACGCCCGCAATAAGCCGCTGCTTATGCACGTTTATCAAAGGCTCCAGCTGCATCGAAGGCGGGAGAGGCGTCAGCGAATCGAATACTTCTGGGTGGGCTGGGGACTCGAAGTTGACGGTTTGGGAGTCGATGCCGACGGGGTCATGAGGTGAGGTTGGGTCGATTAGGTCAGGGAGTCTGCTATAACGGTATAGTTGGGAAAGATAGACCCCGATGAATGGGACGCAGGCTGATGGCGTCTTGGTATCGTTGGCACCTCTTGATTTCCCCGATGGTAGGTCTGTACTGCTGTTACTCAAGACCGTAGACGTCCGCGTCGTCACATTCAGGGTCTTTGAGTCTACCATGGAAGCGATAGCGTCGCGCATAGCCTTGAAATCATCGTGCGGCAAAACGAATTGCTTTAGCTTTTGAAACACCCCATTCTCCCACAACCTCACGCGCGCCCAATGCCGATGCATAGCCTTCGCAGCCCACTCGTTTTGCAGACCAGCGATGATAGCCGCCAATGTGTTGAAATTACTCTGGACATACGCTTTCTGAAACACATCGGACAAAGTCAGAGTCTGTCCCCCTCACAAAAACCATGGCCAAAAAGCAACTCACAAAGGCGACACGAATAAACTTGCTCACTAACATCGCTCTGTCGTTCGGATGCGTCATCACGATCTCGGCGACCACGAAATTCGCAAGCAGGTTAAACCGCCCACGAACAGCAGCCAATGCGCTCGTCTTCTGGCTCCACCGCGACTCGGCTTTCCAACGCGCCCGGTCCTTGAGATACTGTGCCCAGTCCAACACATTCACCTCCTGACACGACATCCAATCGTCCAAGATTAATTCTTCAGGCTTCACCCCCAAGAAAAGCTCTCGGTCGATCATCGAAAAATGTTGTACGATCGTGTCGGCGCTCACGTTCAGGATCCAGCTCCGGTGCTGTTTTCGACCAGGGGATATGAATTTGGATGGAGAGGATATTATGAAGGGGGACGCTGTAGGTGAGCCATGGGACGTAGACGGTCTTGATGGTACCCTGCTCTGCAAAATCTCCAATGGAACAGCATCTTCAGGCGCAGGTTTCAAATCGCTCAGCCTTACAGGAGGCGAGCTTGGTCCTGATCCTCCAAACATGGATTCAAACGTTCCGGGCGCCAACTCCAACCCTCCCGAGCGGAAAAAGTCCTCCGTCGTCGTAGCCCCCGAATTCGTCACCTGCGATGCAGTGCCAACAAGCGTCTGTTCATCCACACTCAATGCCCCAGTCTCATGTTGATCGATCTCATAATCTTCCTCTTCCTCCTCATCCTCACTATCCAACCCAAAAAACCTCGGCTGCTCATCCCCAAAATCACCCACAGCCAACCGCTCCTGAATAGTGCGCACCCACCCATCCACCTTCTTCGCTTTTTCCTTCCGTTTTTGAGGATTGATCTGGCCTTCAAGACGCCTCAGTGCTTCTTCAACGCCTCCATTGTCCTCATCGTCGCTCAACGAATCCACGAGCGCATTCATCTGCCACTGCTGGATACCATTCCCCAGTGCAGCTCCAGCAGACGCAGACGACACAGCAGATCCACCCGAGGCTACCGAGTCCCGCGAGCGGATCCCCATCGAGGAAACGCTTTCCACCGACCGGCGTATGAACTCGAAGTCCCGTCTTAGCGGTAGTCGACGCGGGGGCTTGCGCAGACCTGGTGGTGCGGGTGGGTTCTCAGCGTGCGCCTCGGAAGAGGTATCTGAAAGATCGAGGTCGTCGATGGAGACAACGTCGAATCGCCATGGTGGCTGGGCTTGTACTTGCGCTACGAGCGGGTTGATTCGTGATCGTGAGGATAAGATGGAGCCGAAGGAGTCCGTTGAGTGCGTGCGCGTGGACGTGCGGGAGACTGACGATATGGATAAGCGCTTCTCTTGCATGGATTGGCGTCTCTCCTGAGTGGATTGACGCTTCTCCTGCGTCGATAGACGTCTCTCCTGCATGGATTGGCGTCTCTCCTGCGTGGATTGGCGTTTTTCCTGTATTGACACGCGCTTATCACCCAAAGAACCCACCTCTGCACTCTCCCGTTCCTCCTCCTCCTCAACTTCCGTAACAGCCCGTAAAAGTGTCTGCGTCGACGGTAGATCCAGCTTCGCCTCAAGCCCCTTGACCGCACTCTCCACCACACTCTGACTCTGACTCCCAAGCACAGAATACGCACCCCCATCCAATGCCTTCTCCACCTTACACACACCCCCCGCCGGCTCAATCATCTTCAGATACTGCTCAACACCACCCCTGACCATCAATAAATCCCCCGTCGCATTCAACTCCAAATCAAATGCGGACACATTCGCAGGAACCGCAAGGCCCGTATCCACAGTCTGTCTCGAGTTTAACACTCTTTTCCACCTTCCCAAACGCCCGATCGTCTTCACGAACGCGCGAGATAGCGCACTCTGCGGGAACATAATGGGAGGGGGGGAGCCGTTCGTAGGGGTGGTATCGTTTGTGTTGGAAGAAGCTGCAGAGATAGAAGCTCGACTTTGTTGGAGTATGTTTATTTGCAACGGCTGTTGTAGAATTGCAGCAGCTCTAGGCGGAGAAGACACGCTGCCAGAGTTGAACGAAAAAGCGTTGCTGTTGTCGCTGTGGAAGATAGATTGAGGTTGTGCGGGTGGTTCGTCGGGTGCGAAATCGAGGTCTACGTCAGAATCGTCTTGCTGTTTGGAGGAAATGGCTTCTGCGAATTTTTCGCCTAGGACGTGCGTGGGTCGGGGTTTGGTGGGGATGTTTAGGCTTTGGCGCGCGGAGACGGAGCCAGAGCGGTGTCTGCGGGTGTGGGCTTCTTTGCAGTCTTTGACGACTTTTATGAGTTTCCGTACGATGTTCTATTTAGCTTTCTTGAGCTGAGAAACACCATAAAAGATAAAAGACTCACTAGACCATCCTGATGTTTCTTCAAAATAGGATCCTTCACAAGCGTATTCAACCAACTTGCCAACAAAAGCCTTAACTCTTGATTCGGCAAAAAGTCCATGACGAAGAACGTCAACAGCCAGTATCTGATAGCAACGAACGTCCGCACGCGGACAATCTTCCGTATCATATCGTCTTTACCGCTCAGCGCCCAGTGGAAACGGCAGATGAGGAGATGGCAGAGGTCGACGGCAGAGATGTATGTTCGGTAGGTGAGGAAGAAGTTGAGTAGTTCGTCGTAATCGAGATCGCTTGTTAGTTGGGCGATCCATCGTTCGATTGTTGCTGCAATGAGCACCTTGCTTGTCGTGCCTTCCCCATCGATACGAACAGTAGGCACATCTGTAGGTCCACGACCACGGCGGGAGTTAGAAGGGGAAGACAAGCCACCGCGGCTACTCTGTGACGCGGAGACATCATCACCATCCTGATCAGACGACACGTGTATTTCCCCCCACAGGACGAAGCGGGGGTCATTACGCGGTGCAGCACTATCCTCTGCACGGAGGGACATCTTGATAGTCGTCTCCCCTGCAGAATCTGAAAACAGTCTATCCAGTTGTGGAAGACCGCGGTAAGTCTGGAGAACGTCGAACACCTCTGTCGAATACCGCGAATGCATGCTCGTTTCTGCAAGTGGGGTGAGTTCTGGGTCGGGTGGGACGATACATGGGGGTGGAGAGGGGGAATAATCTTGAACGAAGTCGGGCGAGACGCTGAGAGGGAGGATGGAGTCCGGAGTATCGGCTCGTTGTGTAGTATCTCCTGCGCGCGCGGTGAGACCGGACTCGAACGACTGCATCTCCCTTAGGGCACGGGGCATAGGCAAAAACCCATTAGAAGACGGTCTAGTGGGCGATTCAAAAGTGGCGCTGAGTCCAAACGGATTTGGAATGAAACCTGGTAATGCGTTGCCTTCAGATACAGTGCTCGAAAATGGCGAGGGGGGTATGGAGCCGTTTGACCACTGCATGACATCTGCAAAGATGTCTGTGGTAGGCTGTTTGGGCGGATCAGAGAAAAGAGTAGCTGGTTGCGGACGTGGCATATCTGCACCAGTGACACTGTGTGAATGAGTCCTACCGGTGGGAGTGGGTTGTACCGAAGGGCCTGCAACAGATGAGCTGGCAGCCATGCCGAACATGTCTGGGATTGAGCGGGTTCTTCGTACCAACTTACGCGTCTGGGTGGTGGAAATGTGGTGAGATTCCTGGGCGGTGGACTTTGCTTTATTCTGTGTGAGGAAACTCATGCGCGAACGGGTCTTGGAGGCACGGGTACGAGAGGCATCAACGGACATGGACACCTTGTGGGTCATTTGCTCTGCTTCCTCAGCAGCAGCAGCGGGAGCGCCTGCATCGCGACGACTTTAAATAAATAAGTAACGAAATTAGCAGTGCATAGTGGCGATGATACACAGGAGGAACCGCACCTGACGCGATACATCTGCTTTCCGTGTTGATTGACAAAGGCGGTGATGGCGTACGGAGAACGGACATCTTTGCCTACACCGAGAAACTGATCGTAGCGCCTCTTTAGTTCTCTGGCAGCGGAACCGGATGAAGTCTCGACGAAGCTGCCATCAGCTGGTGAAGGATGAGAAGCAAGCAGGCGAATGGCAAAGAAAGGGCATACGAGCTATTGAGATGTCTGCAGAAGCTACTTCCGGTGGGAGTGAGTTCCATTCTGTATCTGATGGACGGGAGAATGAGAACGAAGACTGTGAGTTATTCAGGGAAGGTGCGGGAATGGGGAGCAAGAGATTTGCTGGTGCGAGTTCGTCTGTGGGTGTCTCTGAGTCGGCCGTCGACATCACGCTAGTCATCGTCGATGTCGTATTCGGCGCCGTCATCACTGTCGTAGTGGTCGTAGTCGCCGTTCAAGTCGTAGTCTGTCAGTAAGACATGAGTGGCATAGAAGAAACAAAAGCACTGTGACACCGCATGCAAACCACGTGCTTTACCCCGCATCATCCTCTTCCACGATGTCGATAGTAACAATCCGCGTGCGTCCAATTCAACTAGGAAAAAACCACTGAAAATCATCAACAAAAACCGTAGAATGTCGAATTCTTTAACAATCCAGCTAGATTCCTAGACCCTTTTCACTTTCGCGTCACTTTTGAGTGCATAGCACCTCTCAAAGATGGTCTGCACAATGTTCAATTCGTAGCTTCACCTGCTAACTTGGCGCAAACGTAGATCTAGAATGGAAGCTCATTTATGTCTCATCACCAGGGAATGAAGAACTAGACCAAGAACTAGACGACTGCCTCGTAGGTCCAGTACCAGTCGGCGTAAACTCTTTCGAGTTCGAGGGTCTCGCTCCTGACCCTGCAAAAATACCAGCAGAGGACGTCCTCGGCGTCGCTGCTCTCATCCTCACAGGCTCTTATCGTGATCAAGAGTTTGTACGCGTTGGGTACTATCAGAACACGGAGTACGATAACGAGGAAATGAAAGCCACTCCTCCAGAGAAAATCCAGTTTGATAAACTCGTACGCGAATTAAGCACAAAGCTACGCGTCACCCGGTTTCAAATCAAGTGGTTTGTCTTATTTTTCATCTTGATGTTCTGATTCTCATCTACCCAAAGGGACGTCGCGCCCCAATCACAAGGTCACGCCGCTGCAGGCGCTGCTGCATCAGCTGCTGTTCCCTCTGCAAACGACCTAGATGGTGACGATGCGAGTGGTAGTACTTAGATTCACTGTATTCTTCTTGCACTATACCTACGCACTATCGTTTATGCCAATGGCTTGCTCCTGTACAAAAGCACATACGCAGAGGCATCCTCCCCTCCTCCGTCAATCGTCCCAAGCTTCTCTTTGGGAAACACTGACACCTTGTCATCATCAAACTTGTACCAATCCTCATCATCCTCGTCAAACGCAGATCCATCAGCAGATTTTGCGTGGAACACGCTCTTCTTCACGAACCCAATATAATGCCCCGCATCAGCATCTGCTCCCTTGTGCGTAACAATGGCTGTCCACAATTCAGTTCGCACCCACAGGCCGTAGAGTAACAACACTTACCAACCAGGTCATACAACCCAGTCACGCTGCACCCATAATCACTCTTCACATCCGAATCGACCAATCCCTCCAGCTCCTCCAGCTCCCGCGCACGGTACACACTCTCCTCCTCTAGGTCTCCCGGAACCTCAGAACTCGCAGGCGCCATCTCAACGTCTGTGTTCTCCTCTGCGGGCCTAGACGACGATGACGCCTCCTGCGCCACCTTTGTCCGCTTACGCACCTTCCGCCGCTCTGCACGTTCTTTCTCAATAGCCTTTAGCCGGCTGGACACCGGCGTGAGCTTCGATTTCAGCTCATCGGTGGCTACTTCCAGCGCATCAAACTCTGATGCAAACTTCACTTTGCGCTGGGGGGATTGTGAGACGTGAAGCCAAATTAGACAAAATAGATACTCACCATGATCTTGGCCTTCTTGCCGATATCGCGCCTCCATGCAAAACGTACCATGTGCACAGTCATGTAACTCGGTAGGCGTGAAAGACGCGATGTCTGGCTGTAAACTGCCTGACGTCCAAGCGAAGGAGAGTTCTTCTCCAATTGAGAGTTCAATGCCTGCGTTCGCGTAAGCAGCGATCAACCTAAGCACAGAAAAAGGGCGCATACATCCTTGATACCAGTATGCATATAATTTGTCGTTGCCGAAATGTTGCACTCGACTTTGAGCACCTTTTCTATAGTGACGGTGCTAGGTTCTTCCGGCGCTTCGTCGCATTTCAATCTATTGAGTCAAATCAGTCAGCTGATGCCGAGCAAAAAAGGAAAAATACAATTACTCTCTGCGCATCTCCGCCATCATGAACTGATCGACGAATCTCCTTCCCCCAGTTACTGTATTACCCGTAGCATCGATCCCAGGAACCTCTTTCAAGCCGTTCGCAAGCTGCGTCCAACACTCCTCAGCATCTATGCTTCAAGTTAAAACTCAGCAAAATACACGGCAGAAAGATGCTCGCCTTGCTGCGCATACCCCACCCCACTCTTGCCTGATCTATCAATTTCCCCAAACTGAGGCACAGCCTGGCGCAACACACTCAAAAATGCCGTAGGAATATATCCCTCCGTTGTACGAGACATGTTGTTGTACAAGTCTCTCAGCGAACGAGGGAGGACGTCCAAATGCGGTGACCTATCAGACGTGATTGGAGTCATGAGCAACGCGTGTGAGAAATAGGAGCCTACGTCGATAGAGCTGTTTGAAGCTCTGGTATGGCACGCATCGCTTGGACGGTGGCATTCATGTAGCAGGTATTTCCAAGGCTGTGAGCATGTGCTTGTTACTTCACGGTACGCAGTGAATCGTGGTGGCACCCACTTTTTCAATCCAACTGGTAAAGAGAGCTACAAGATCAAAAACATGAGTGACCCCGTACGAGCACAAAAAAGCACACGCACGGCTTCTGCGATTGCCGATTCATCCATATCTGCACACAAACGGTCACTACAACCCATAAATTACATTCATACGGAGAAACTCGCCCTCGAGAAAAACGATCGGTTTTTCAGGTGGCTTCGGGAGCTCTCCCGCAGCGCCAATAACCATGAACGTCTGTCCCTAACCACACATTCAATACATGCCCTCCCACTGAAACAAAACAAAACCGCACTCACCACTTTAGGAGCTACCTTCTTCCAATCCGTATCATCCTACACAAATCAATCATCTATCAAAAACACCCACTCAACACGAAAAGTACGCACCTTGAGCACGCCGCCTTTGATCATAACTTTCATACGCTCCGGCGGCACACCCGTAACCTGATAAACCGCATCTTTGAACACGGCAGGTGGGAGCGAGGGATCTAAGTCGACATCGAGAGTTTTGCCTGCGTGTTTGACGTGTACTTGGAGTGGGGCCATTGATTTGAATGAGTTGCAGGGTCTGCGTAATCGCGAGTGATCAGACTGACGCGTTCAAGGGGTAGATGGGAATCGATTATGTAATGATTGGGACGTGTTTGTGACGTCACGCTGAACACGTTCCACAGTACGCAGTGCACCACATTTGCTTTAAAACCTGGCTCCAAGTTTGACCACGACTTTAATCTTTGACTTCAACGTTGACAACGACGACATCGACCTCAAGCACAATGACCATCTAGTACGTATCCAACAAATCAAGCTCGACTAGCACTAATGATCTCGCAGTTACTCGCTCACATTCCTGCTCCTAGCAGCAGAAGTAAGTCCCGCAGCACACTGAATTCGATTCACAATCCATAACGCGTCCAAACTAGATGGTAACATTCTGCCTTCTCGTATCACCACTCCCTTTCACGATCCGCAAAAAACTCTTCCGGTTCCTCTCTGAAAGCCCCATTATCGCCAAAGTCGCGTATGCGCTCAAGATTTCCTTCATGTCCGTTCTCCACTCCCTCAATATCTCGCTCGCTTGCTTATATCATGTTACTCACACCTCCACAGCTTCGTAGGCATTCTCTTCCTAGACGCCATGCAACGCATGTACCGCGTAACAGCCGAAACCGAAATGGCCAAAACAGGCAGCCAGGGCATGCACGACGTGCGAACCGAAAGCAATTTCGCTGCTCGCAAGTTCTAGTGCGCACCCCACGCTCTTGTCGTAGCGCACAATTTAATTTAACGCGTTTTGTTTTCTCTTTAGCGCTCAACGAAACACGTACCTAACAGGTTTCTGCCTCTTCCTCTCTCTCGTCCTCACGCGCACGTTCTCCATCATCTTGGATCTCATCCACACGCAGGAGGAATACGCAAAGTTGAAGAAAGCTGTGAGTATGCTCTATTTGGTATTCTAGCTCCTGTTTATATATCATTGGTTTTGCAGGCTGGCGCCGGCGCCAAGGGTGACCAAACGAAGGAAATCGAAGAACTTAAGAAGAAATTGGCCGCGGGCGAAGCAAAGGATCGCGACTTTGGTGAGCCTATTCCTTGTTATTTATTTATTATTCGTTCTAAATTGAAGATGCGTCCCGCAGCAACCCTTAAGAAGCAGGCCGCACAACAGGCTGCCGAGTTTGATCGCCTCGCGACTAAGTATAACGAGGTGACTGGGGCTGTTTCGGACAAGAAATCGGACTAGGGGTTCTTTGTGTAATTGTGATGCGTACCGGCTTTCATCATTTTTTTTTTGTTCTTGTTCACAATCAGTAACCTATCTTTGCCTTTGCCTATCCTAACGCTCACCAAGGTTTTCAAAAAAATGCTCAGTGTTTCATGTGTAGCGCGTTCGTCAAGACGTGTTTTTCCTGTTTCTTGGCAAATCAGTGCAAAATGAATGTTGTATACTCGGTCACACCCAGGGCCTGATGCCTGAGGTTGAATCAAATTTGTTTGTACGTCGGAATAATTCCTTGTTATTGATTAGTTACCCCCTGCCCTTGGCTGTGTGGCATCTGGGTGATTATACCATGCCGGTAGTGCCTCAATGAATGTCAATTGCTTGGCGTGATCCCAAGTTTTGTGTCAGTGTGCACAACATGCACTGTCACTTCGGTTAGCCTGAGCGCTGAAAGGTCCGTGCCGATCAGTTATCAATGATCTCTGCCTTTCAATTGGCCCTCGGTGCATTTCCATTAAACCTGAACACAACTGGGAGTTCTGTGGCCATTGGCATATGGGAAGTGCATGTTGAGCGTACAAGCAGCGGAATCCTCCCGCCCGACGCACTCCTTTGGCACCACATCAAGCTGCCTTCAAGTCCCCAAAAACAAGGAGTGAGCCGCCAACATGAAGAGATGCAAGTGAAAAATAGTTTGTCTGTATATCCGAGTACTACCTGTCCATCGTGACCTCTAAATCAGTCATCGAGATCTATTAACTCCTCATTACATTCGTCTCCATCTCCAGTGCTGATATTATTATCTCCATAATCATCATCATCCGGTTCATGTTCCAGCATGAACGCAGGAACAGTCACTCCAGAACGAATTCTAGGGCCTGGTCGCGGACCAAGCCTAATTTCCTTCCGGGACTCACGGACAGCTGCGAGAGCTGCAATCTAAGAAACAAGCATCAAGTCTCTGAGTCAGAGCAGAGCAAAGTATACATTTATGACAAACGCACCTTATCTTGCACCGCAGACTGCACTGCTCGCTTCTGCCCCGTTTTCGCTGCAGGGTCGAAGCCAAGCTTCTTGATGATATCTGCAGAATACGCCAGTTTCGTCTGGGGCGCCTTCGATGCCCCCGCACCATCAGATTCTGAAACATCATCTGATTCTCTCGCCTTTTGCTTTCCCTTTGCGGACTTCGTATCCTGAGCGCCATGCGAGGCTCGCTTAGCCGTCATCGTGCCTATTTCCCTAGCCTTGGCGACAGCACGCATACCCTCCTTATCCCGCTCGAGCAGTCCCTTCAGCTCGCGATCAGCATCCTGAACCAGCTTTCGCTTCGCCCGCGCCTGGCCTTCGCGCCCCATGTTCTCAGCGACAAACATCGACGAGACATCTTGATTCGACCCGCTCACGACATGCCCCGAGACAACGTACGTAGTGTTGCCTCCGCGTGAGCCGGACGCTTCAGAAGGCTGCAATCCCCACTGGCGTTGTGGATCGTAATCCGCTTTGCGCTTCTTTGTCGACGAGGTGGTCATTCCAGAGGTCCTGAGGAACGGAGTTGTGAGTCGGAGCGAAGATAGAGTCATCGCATAACCCACCCTGCAGAAAACTCGGCTCGCCCGGCTCTTTGCCTTTGCACAGCGTTCGTCAAATGCCAGTCACATACGTCACTGACTCGCTTGTCTGTCCAGCTTCCGCATATTTTGCCGTCGCGTTTGAGTACCTTGCACATGCCTAAGTCTTGTGCGCGTCCGATCATGGCGATGGATTCGGCGGATTCAGGTGTCACAGCGAGTATATTGTCCGTTGGGTGAGGTTTCCCGTTTTTGTTATTCCGCTGAGCGAGTTGTTCACTATGATGGGTCATACTACACGCGCACACTCACCTGGAAGGGTTTGAGGACCTTGGGATTGAGAAGAGCGATGACGTCCCCTTCTTTAAGCTTTGACATTGCTTCAAAAGCACCTTTGCTGCCTCCAGTGTAGACTTTCTTGACTTTGCCATCGTCATTCGTGACACGGTCAAACCTATCGGATTCGAACAGCAAGAGAGTCAAAAACGCATCTCCTCGTATGGACGCTCCACCCGTAGAAGACGGTCGTGAACGTGCCCCAAAGTCAATTAATTTCATGTTGACATATTTTTTGCCGTGAGATTTCGAGGGCATTTGTTTCTGCGAGTCCTGGGCACGAGAATCCTTGCCAGCTTTACGATCGTTGCCATTAGTAGTGCCTCCTTCATCACCGGAGGCACGTCCATCGTCACCGGGAGCGATATCAACGGGTGCACGTGTAGTCCTTACAGGGCCCCGCTCTGCGACAACGGCGATTGTGATCCAGTCACCTTCGACGGGCACATCATAGCCTGACTGGTTGGGTAGCAGTCGTACGCAAGAGTAAAATGTAGATGGTGAGAGGTAATATCGACCTCGGAGATATTCCTGTACATCATCATGTGGTAACGAACGAGACCTGCACGCGATTCTTAAGTTCTATTGGGTTTTAATTGCGATGACAAGACGTACGAAAGTCTAATGCCAGAATTTGGCTCGAGTCGCTCGAAGTGAGGGTCGTCAAGTGGCGGTTTATGATCCACGGGACCGACTTCAAGTTGCTCGATGATGGCCAGTCGGTCATCTCTGTTCGGCACGATACCCGAAGCGGAGGCACTAGGTGGCACTGCATTCATCTTGGGATTTGAAGCAATGGAAGGCTCAGGTTCGGGCCGAGCCAGTAAGCTGTGGGACCTCTGAACAGATTTTACTTGTTCTTGCTTTGCTGTGCCGCCCGATAATTTAGAAAGCTTGCTGAGGAGATTCGAAGGAGCAGGTTTCCGATATTGCTCTGTAGTGATCGGACCTTTACCCGAAGGACGGGGATTCGCACTCCGAGCTCCAGATGCTGGGAGGGACCCTGAGTTGGCACTCGTCCCGCCAAGTAATGAGCGCTGTGTATGGCCTGCATGATCGACCTTCCTCTTCTTCTCTGCCATCAGCGTTCATATGATAAAACCTCTAGAGCACACGCGCGTACTTACTAGGAGACGGAGTAGCGGGTGCGAGTAAAGTCTCAGATGGCTGTTTCCTCTTGGGAGACCCGATTATAGCATTGGCGGAGTCGGGAAGAGAGGTAAGCTGAGCCTGCAAGCGCTTGATCTCTCTCCGAATTTCTAGCTGTTTCTGTATCTCTTCTTCTGTTCTACGCGTAGATGATTCCATCGCCTTGGTTGGATGCGCGGTGGTTGCTCACATGTACAGCCAAGTATTTAGTCACAACGCTGTAACACTCCATAAGTTTGTGGCAAAGTTGTGGTTTGTAGACGTGTTATTTGGTAATTGTGTACGTAATGTGACAGGTTTGTGCGTGTTTCACACGATCATTTTAGAAATCCTGCCCCAGAAGCAGAGCATGGTGCTTGCCACTGCGGCCAGAGGGCACGAAGTTCGAACGAGGTGAAGCAAATGTGCTAGAATGCAGCGAATTATGCCACTAGACATAGTTGCGGTACATCCGGGGAACAATGGCCATCCACAGGTGACACCGGGCTTGTGATGCATATCTATATTTGTTCTTTTGATGTACATTGCCTGCACTGGCAAGGCCACTAATATTTGTGGACGAGTCAAAGGATCCAAGCTGTGTCACATTAATATTACTACATATTCTGTGTTGGCTGTATTTCTCCTCTTTACACATCTTTCCATCTCTCCCTTCACTCACACCTACTCCCTACTAATTATGAACAACGACATCCCCCCTGCACTCGGTCGTCGAAGAGTCACTCTTGAACTGACTGAACGTCTTTGTTCTCAAAAGCATTTCCTGGACGGTATTAATGACCTCCTGAAGTTCGGTCACTCGCAAGATTCAGAATTACAGCGTCACGGTCGAAAGGTCTTGTCTTTGCTGTCGACAATGTTTTATAGTCGACTGACGATCTTTCCGTGCAGATCATCGCCCTGACTGAGGTGAATAAATTCAATAATCGCAAGCCCTTTCAATAACGCTCTCGGTAATTAAGGTCGCACGCAGCACTCTTACGCGTGTGGGAGTGAAATTGTACCTGTTCGTTATTTGTTCACAGACTTTCCTGCCGCTGAAGTCGGCGTACTTCAAAATGCTGGTTTTCATAAGAAGCCGCAAACACGCCTTTCCTTCCGAGTTGGACGGTAAACATGTTCCGGTAAATTATTAAATTTCCTTCTCACAATCCGTACAGATAGAATAAACCGGCTCTTGCATCCACTACGTACTCATCTCGTCATACGCTGCGGGGGAGTTGACACCCGTGTCCAACTGGGCATCGACGAATTACTAGTCTCTCCTACCGCACCAGCTGTTGGCAAAGGGACTTGCCTGCCGGCAGCGTCTGCTGCTAATGTTATGCCACGTATGTGAACCTACTATAATATCGAGGAGCCCTAGATTGATAACGATTTTTAGCACCGGATGCTTTCATGAACAAAAGAGAGAGAATAAATAGGTTCGGGGAATTTATAAAGCAGCAATCTACCGGGGGGTCCCATGCACGAAAACATCTAGTGCCTAGGCAATACCCAGCGGGCGCTGTTGATTCGAGCGACAGCGAGGAGGAACGTTTAGTGGCTGCACAATACCCCGTGGGCGACCCGGGTTACAACAGGGCAAACCCTCCAGTGCCTAAGCAATACCTAGCGGCTGACGTTATACCGGGCGACGAGGGACCTTCTCGCCCTCGAAGGGTGTTTGCTCGAACAAACACCCAAAACTTTGGCATTTTTTGCACTGGGAAGCGGCCAGTTTCTTCTGCTAAGACTGCTCGTCTTTACTAATGGCTACCGCATTGTACCTCATTTCAACCTGCGTTCTCGGTCACCTGATAAATATGGGATGTATCTACGTGGTAATCTGCATCGCATCTAGTGGATATGACATTCTCACATTTAGTCACACGGTTATCCTTCAAAGTTTCATATCTGTAATGATACATACATTGCCCATCATCCTTTCAGTCGACGAACAACCCACCTTCCTCGGCTGCCGCACCACTGATAATTGAACTTTGGAGTCCTTTGCCTCCCCCTGCCCGTAGATTCGCAATATCATCCCTCCACCCCTTCAACTTCTCTTTCATTTGTACCTCTCGGCTGGAGGCGCCTTGGGATGACATCTCCTCATCAATGATATTAATCACCTCTCCAATCGAACCGTCCAGCTTCTCCAAAGCACGTTCAAGACAATAGGGGTTTCCTATGATAAAGCTGGGGTCTTGAGCCGAACCTGTACCTGGCACGGACCCAGCTGGTGCAGCTAGAAAGAGAGTTGGAAGCACGAAGATGTAAGCAACAAGGAGTTATTTAAGTACCTATGGGATCCGACTTTGGATATACCTACATAATACAATCAAACGATGAGCTGATATCATCAGCGAGAAATGTAAGGCTCACCTGCCCAGGGTTTTCTATACTCGGGGACGGTGGTATGGATTCGACTTTCTGAGCCGGAAGCTTGTTGTCCGCTATGGATTGTATCATAGGAAGAACGGCAGTGTTGTGAATTTTCAAACGGTTGCCTGCCTACGCTCGGATCTTACCTTGACCCGTGAACATGATAGATGTTTGATTTATATGTTCAGGATTATTTTTTCGCGCTGTAGAGATCGTCACGAAGATGCAAGTTAAAATGACGTCGCTGCAGCTGAAGCGCACTGCCACTGGGGCGTCGAGGCTCGACCCCATCGGTCAGAGATTTACAATCATGATGGATTTTGGTGTCTGGGCCCGCGGGTTGCAATTGTATGTGCACTAAATGGGTCCATTGATTTTGTCATATTATAGCCTTCATGCAGTTTCGTACGAAGGAACGATCATCTTGCAAGGGTCAAGGCGTCGGAGTCTCCCGATCGGAGTTTCAAGACAAATACTTCATACAAGGATCTGCCCAGGGGTGACTACGTTTGACCTGCTTTACTGACTTGTTGGGTCTTCGAGTTCAGCTCCGGGACTTGATCTCGCAACATGTCAGTTAACGAGATAAAAAAACGCCTGGAATCACCAGATTCTGATGAGGGCGACCAGCTGGAGATGCCCCAAAGATTGACATTGTCGGTGGAATTGATCAAGTTCGCCTGAAGCTGTCAAAATAGGTACGCAAACAACTCTCATTGATCTGAGCTAATTCCGTGATGACGATTTCCAGACTTCAGTCAACTTTTGTGCGCGTAGCTCTCTGAGGGGATCCAATTTAACAACCGTATCTGTATAGGATTCGCAACGATCGGACATTGTCACGCCCTGTGGACACGTTCAAATCTGCTTTATTAGCAGTACATATGTTACATACACATAATGTATATCAAAGACGCGCTTGAGCAGTTTCTCACAACAATCATCATGTTCAGCAGCTAATACCTAAGTCTTCAGCGATGATCATCGCAGCCTTCTCTCCAATGAGGAGCGCCGTCGAATAAGTATTCTGGAAGACAGTTAGACGGCAGGTCAAAGAATGTCCCGTTCACTACTCACAGTACCAACATTCTTCGGCACGATAGACAAGTCCGCAACCTTGAGGTTTGTTACACCATAGACGTTTAGCCGAGCGTCAACGACTCCTTGATCTGTCCTCGGCTTCATGGCACAAGTCCCGAGCTGCACACCCAGGGATCAGATGTCTAATGTGGATTAATGAAAGTTTGAGCTGCACATACCGAATGCCATGTCGTTTGCACTACCAGCAGGATTCGATCAAGATGTTACTGTAATAATGGGAAATTCAGGACATACTGCCGTCACGGTGAAATTGTTCAATCGCCTCGTCATCTTCGGCTGTGTAGATGATGTCGGGTGCATTCAAGTCCACTGGCCCGGTCGCTTCTCTGCAAACTGCAGCACTTCCCTCCGGGAAACGAGGATGACGGGTGGAGACTTCACCTCGGTAGGAAGGCATGCGTCGACAGATTTCGCGCACCCTTTTGTACCCAATGTTGAGAGGTACAATATCAGATGGACTGGGGAGATTGTTGTGGTCAGACGAGTGCAGTGGCTGAAATGAAATGTAGTTACTCACTCATCTAAGTAGCCTGTAGTGAAGTCGAGTTCTTCCTTGCCATTCTCTCCTAATTTGATATGAACGCTGCCGACAGACAAGGGGTAAAGCTACAGAAATTTTCAGAACTGAAATCACGAAGCATATGAGGAGGAGTACAGTAACAACTTCGGCAGTTAAGTAGTTGCGAGCGGGAAGGCCACTTGACCCGATGTATCTGGCTTTCGTGAGCATTCCCACGTCATGAAAGCAAAGGATATGAACACACCCCGCGACGACCGCCAATATTGCAACAGCCTTATCCGGGCGGTCCTGGAAAAACTCCTTCCATCGCAGCTCAAAAGCCGAACCCATGGCTTTCAGTTCTTCGTCGTCAGGACGCCACTTGATCTTTGCATCCTTGCCACTGAAATACTAATCAGTGCGTTGACAAAGGCGACTACTTGTACCAACGTTTGTGCAATGAGGGATTGTCCATTGAGTTTCCATTGCGCAAGGTGTTCTGCGTGCGGGAACTTCAAGTTGAAAGGTACTGAGAGCACAGAGAGAACATGTTTGCTTACCCTGTAGAATACTCTCCTCCCCACGCCAGAGCTTGTCCATGGTAACAGATTCGTCAGCAGCGAAGTATGGACTAAAGGCGACATTGTGGTCTGATAACCCTAAGCCAGAATCATAGGATCAATGGATAAACGCAAACCTCCATAATTCTCTCCAACACCAGGCAAGTTCACCAGTTGCTCGACACCGCACCGCTTGAGGACCGCCTCGGCACCGACACCAGATCTCTCGAGGATGGCTGGTGAACCGAACGCCCCAGCGGAGATAACAACAAGCTTTGACGCTCTCACGGTGCTCGATAACTGATCCGCATCCGGGCAAGACACTAGGTCACTGGTGAACTCGACACCTACAGCACGCTTGTCCCTTTCGTTCAGCAACGGCGTGAGCATTTGGGCACAATTGCGATCCAAGATGCACCACTCACTCGAAGATCACACGTTTCACGCGCTTTCCAACCCACAACTGTAAATTGGGGTTGTGAGCTTGGTTGTATATATAGTGATGGGCCGCGTCGGAACGCCTTCCAGTTGTTCCATCAATGTACCTTTTCAATCATGAGCCTAAGTCACAATAGACTATGAGCACAGGCTCACTTCTCCCATGGCTGAAGGGGATCTCGTTAGTGGACTCCGCACATGGGGAAGGAACATTAGTGGCGCACGCTATAGGTATTGCATGTTTCTAAATCATTAGTGTCGTCGGCAAATGGCCTCTTGTGATATGTCGTGCCAACGTGGATGAACTCATCGCCGATACTTAATTTATGCCCACCAGAAGACACTTTGATAGGTCCAGCATACCCATGGGATGGACGATCAGGCTGCACCTCGTATGTCTCCGGCTATGCAGTAACAGTTCAGCGTGACACATATACCGACGACGCATTTGAGGACCTTCTTCATGAGGGGAATCAAGTTCTTTGATTCCCAACCACCGACCCCCCAATCATCGAAATCTGAGGCAGGCGCACGAGTGTATGCCGCATCTGGAACATAAGGACCATGCTAGTCAGTACAAGAATGGTACGAACAATTCACACTCGAGCCTCCACCAACGCAATGGGCGCACGAAACGATTGGTGCACGGCCATTGAGACGCGGAGTAGGATTTCCAACGATGACTGTCATCGTAGTACTCGTCGATGCCTGATGGGTGGGATATTTATAAGGCTGAACATGCGCAGCTTTATCGAGGGTATGTTGACCCCCTTCCAGAACTAATATCTTCAACGAGGGATCCCATGCGGCCAGGCGACCTGCGACAACGCAAGCAGTAGTACCGCCTGCACACAGAGCGCCATGTTAAGAGAAATTCACTAGATCCAGAATGTTGTCGCTCACCTCCAGCAAAAATTATATCGAATTCCGATAACACTGGGTTAGACATTGAGGGGCACTTGGAGTCAAGCAGAACATTGATGCATCAGTAAGTCCACATTTTATATTTCTTCTACTAAAGATAAAGGCGTATGGATCGTCGTGGATTCTGATAACAAGAATAGGTCAAGGGTTTCTCGACATCTTGCACTGTTGTCAGCTAGTCCAATAGATGACAGGTCACGAGATGCTACGCTTCGAATCAATCATACCGCGTTTTCACATTCTAGGTAGCCTACTCAGTATGCCATGGTTTATGATAAGACAGGTTCTGGCATGGCCTGGTGTAACAAGCAGACATGTCACAATCCGTTGGCCAAAATGCGAGGACCTGCGTCAAATTATACATCAATGTTTTCCGGCACATCGCAACGGACAGACCTTTGTTTGAATCCCCTGGGAGTGAAAAGGAAGCAAACCAACTGCGGAGTTGGTTCTGGCGAGATCGCTTTTTCTACACCAGCCATATATCATCGATTTATCTCCATCGGCAGAGGAGAAACTGTCGGACTAAATTATTGCCTCATGAGGCTCTGTGAAACGATGATCACTGTAGTGTGAAAATGTGAATAATGACGGGACACATAGATTTCACTGGATGTGCACCTGCTGGCAATGCAAACATAACTTTAAGCTTGGGGTGGCGTAGTAGAGTGCCATCATGCCTCTCCTCCCTGTAAATGACAATTGGGACTCGGATGCAGGGCCCGGGGAGGTTTGCTGATGTGATTTTGACACTCCGACTTGACTCCGATTCAGGACCATCGAAGCACTACCAGGCTCCAACAGAACTGACATCATGATATTAATGACCGGTTCTGCCAAATGGCATAACTCTAACGGTGACATATCGCCATTCATCATCTTCGCCGTTGTGATCCACGACATCAACCTCGTCTATAGCAGCTTGGGGTACTATCCCTCAGTCAACCCGCTCCAATTCGGCAACATCAAATTCCTTCCCTCCAAGGACCTCCACGTTATTAATACTCACAAATTCTTCCAGATTATCCTGCGCTTCGATAGCAATAAATGCTTCAGCAGTTTTTTTTAGCTGATATGGTCTCGGTACGTGCAACTTGCAAGTTACTATACTATGCATACATGTACACATGCTGCTTTGAAATGGAAACTCATCCGAAATGAGACTTTGAAACGATTCGTGTACGCCTCGTGCCAGTACCGGTGTGCCCATTGCCCACTGGATTAGGGCGCTCTCCACAATAGTACTAGTGGTTATAAACCTACTCGCAGTGCTACACAGTCATCATTGCTCAGTCCCAGTATCATCTACCTTCATCCATGGATCCTTCAAAGATAAAAGAGAAAATCGTTCGCTTTCGAATCCTCATCATAGGAAGAGCGAACGCAGGAAAAACGACCATCCTAAAGAGGGTTTGTAACACCAGCGAGAACCCAGAGATATTGAATAGTGCTGGGGAAAAGGTGCGCATCGTGATGCTAGTACGGTACGGATAGTGATGACTGTCCATCGACATCAGATCGATGTCGATGTTTTGAAGGAATCCAGAGGGGTAACGTCTACTATCGTCAGTTAGCAACATGAACTAACGTGTTCTCAGCGTGGAGAACACGACATCAAGAACGAAATGGTGTTTCGTAAAAATCCAGGCTTCATCTTTCACGATTCACGTGGTTTTGAAGCAGGCGGCGAATCCGAGTATCACAAGGTGAACGCATTTATCGCAGCCCGTTCGGAGGAAAAAAACATAAAGGATCGTATTCACACAATATGGTAATGAGCCAAGTTGGTGATACGCAATGGCTCACTTCTTTGACATAGGTACTGTATCCCAATGGATGAAGCAAGCAGGGCGTTCACCGAAGCCGAACTCAAATTTTTCTCCCACTGTGATACCGGAAGCAGTAAGCTTTCGCGTCTGTCCTTTGATTGACTGATTTACAACTTCCAATTCTCAGTCCCAGTAATCGTAATATTTACGAAATTCGATGCCCTTTACGACGTTGCATTCGCCCAACTAAGAAAGAAAGGAAAATCAAGGATAGACGCTAAGAAACTTTCTCCGAAGCGCGCCGAGGAGACATTTGCGAACGGGTCGCAATTGAAGTTTCTGTACCACTCTAAGGACATTCGACGGCCACCAAAATGCCATGTATGCCTCCCTGGTAAGCTGTGAATTGTTGAATTGCGAGGCATGATGACCATTGATCCATCAGACATGGACAAGGATGATGCAGACTGTGGGCTACTCATCGAGCGCACAGCTGAAACTTTGGACAGTGAAGTGCTTCAGCAATTGTTTGTCTCAACTCAGCAAACGAACTTGGAGCTCTGTGTGAAATGGGCAGTAGAACGGTAATTGCTCATAAGCTCATTTGACTGCCGCGAATGTTGTTGACTATTGTCCAGCGCACTTGAAAAAATTGTTGTCTCTGATGAGAAAATCTCATCTGAGAATGCAATAGCGAGCTTGGGTAGCTGGTTTCCACATATTTGGGTAAGATCATATGAATGTTTGAAAGTTGCTCTCATTCGTGTTGGGCGTTTGCTTGCAGGTAGTACGTCTGTTGATCCTCGTTGGAGCTCGAGTTATGCTGATCTAAGACATTGCCCGCTGTTCGCAGTCTGTGAGTGTCTTGATCCTCGTCGGAGCTCAAGCCATGCTGATCCAAGCCGTTGCCCACTGTTCGCAGGTTGTGAGTGCCTCGATCCTCGTTGGAGCTCGAGCCATGCTGATCCAAGCCATTGCCCACTGTTCGCAGGGTGTGAGTGTCTCGACCCTCGTTCGAGCTCGAGCCATGCTGATCCAAGCCATTGCCCACTGTTCGCAGTATGTGAGTGTCTCGATCCTCGTTCAAGCTCGAGCGATGCTGATCCAAGCCATTGCCCACTCTTCGCAGGTTGTGAGTGTCTCGATCCTTGTTCGAGCTCGAGCCATGCTGATCCAAGCCATTGCCCACTGTTCGCAGTATGTGAGTGTCTTGATCCTCGTTGGAGCTCGATCCATGCTGATCCAAGCCATTGCCCACTGTTCGCAGAGTGTGAGTGTCTTGATCCTCGTTGGAGCTCGAGCCATGCTGATACAAGCCATTGCCCACCGTTCGCAGTATGTGAGTGTCTTGATCCTCGTTGGAGCTCGATCCATGCTGATCCAAGCCATTGCCCACTGTTCGCAGGGTGTGAGTGTCTTGATCCTCGTTCGAGCTCGAGCCATGTTGATCCAAGCCATTGCCCACTCTTCGCAGGAAGTGAGTGCCTCGCTCCTCGTTCGAGCTCGAGCCATGCTGATCCAAGCCATTTCCCACTGTTCGCAGGGTGTGAGTGTCTTGATCCTCATTGGAGCTCGATCCATGCTGATCCAAGCCATTGCCCACTGTTCGCAGCGTGTGAGTGTCTTGACCCTCGTTGGAGCTCGATCCATGCTGATCCAAGCCATTGCCCACTGTTCGCAGGGTGTGAGTGTCTCGGTCCTCGTTCGAGCTCGATCCATACTGATCCAAGCCATTGCCCACTGTTCGCAGGATGTGAGTGTCTTGATCCTCATTGGAGCTCGAGCCATGCTGATACAAGCCATTGCCCACTGTTCGCAGGGTGTGAGTGTCTTGATCATTTCTCGCGTTCGAGCCTTGGTAACTGAAGACATTGTCCATCCGTTGACAGTTAGTGAGTGCGGTGATCCTTTGTCGAGTTCGAGGCTTGCTGACTGAAGAAATTGCTGATCCATTGGCAGAATGTCAGTATATTCATCCTCCACAGACCTTGAGCCATATTCACCAATAAATTGCTCATCCCGGGCCGTTGATAGCTTGTAAGCGTGTTCGTCCTCTGTCGACCTAGACCCTTGCTCATTCAGGTGTTTTCAGGGTGTGAGCTCATTCTCCGTCGTCCTCGAGTCATGCTGACCGAAGGCATTGCTGATCCGTTGGCAGATTGTGAGTGGGTTGATTTGCTGTTTGTGTCTAACTAATCTTATCACTGACGTTGCACACATCGCTTCTCAGACTGTGAGTGTTTGATTATCGAGCTTGACTCACCAATTGCATTCCTCATCCTTTGACAGAAATTAGTGTGTCTATCCTCCGTCAAGGAGCTTGACTTACCACTGACATTGCGCATCCCTTAACAGCCAGTGAGTATTTGATCCCTGAACCTTGCTCACGAACGATATCACCGATCCATCAATAGGACGTATGTTTGTTCATCCCCCTTTGACCTTGGGCCATGCTGACCGAAGATATTATTCATTGACAGTATGTGAGTGTTGATCCTCAGCAGAGGGAGACGATTTTCAACTTTCCATCGTAATTCCACCAGCTTGAGAGACATCATTGTGTACAAATGAGGTCTAGGTTACTCTCTGTGGTATGTCCAATTGGTCACAGACTACACAATTCGCATGTTGAAAATTTGCCAGGCCTCTGCCTCATCACCATTGGAGACAGATGTTCAGATTAGCTCTGGTGAATTTTCAGGCGAAATTGCAATGAACCTGCTTATCATTGATCATTTAGCTGCTCTCATCATTTTCGAACACTCTTTTTACATTTTCGACAAGCGGCAGTATCTTCAGGACCAGCAGCAGTCTGTTCCCTGTTTTTTTGACGCCCTCGAGCAGTACATGGCGTCTCCACATACTCATGCTGTCAGAGAAGCTGTGAGCGCTGCCGTCCTCACATATGAAGAAGCTGAGAGCACTGCCGTCCTCACATATGAAGAGGCTAAGCGCACTGCCTTCCATGAACGTGAAGAAGCTGAGAGGACTGACGTCCACGCTTATGAAGAAGCTCAGAGCGCTGCCGTCCACGCATATGAAGAAGCTGTGAGCGCCGCCGTCCATCAATATCAAGGAAACCGGTCTACTTGGATGGCGAAGTTGCCGTTCGAGCGCTTCTGGAGGAAGGAGAGGAGGGCAAAAGAATCTTTTGAACGCTCTCAGGCCAAGATGAAACAAGATTTCGAACGTTCTCAGGAGGAAGCGAAACAGGCTTTTGGGCTTTCTCGGGAGAAAGCGAAACAAGCTTTTGAAAGTTCTCAGGAGGCACTGAAACTAGTGTTTGAACTACGTTCTCCGAAGGAAGTAAAACGTCTTGTTCGTCGTTTATTTTATTCTCAGTGGCGCTCATACAAACGTGTGTCTATTTGCTCTCAGGCGAGGGCAGAGTTACGACAAAGAATTCTTCAAATCGTTTTACAGCATCGCCTGCGTATGTTTCAACTCTGAGGATTGTAGCGATTCCGCTGACCTCTTTGTAGCAAGACCTTAAGGCAATGCAACATAGTGTCCGGTTCGAAGTGGAGTCGAGGTGTCTCGGCGGTGAACGCGGGTTTCTTGAATGTGGTCTGTCGAGGTAGTTTCAGGAGGTGGAATTGTACGAAATAGCTGCATGATCATGCAATCTGGCGTTTTTTCTGGTATGGGGTATACGTCTTTGAATGATGTCGGTCACCCTGAGCCGAGACGGTGGCAAGACCGATTGGGCTTGATTGTCAGTTGTACTCCCAAGTATCCGTGGTCTGATTGCAAGTCTTGCATGTTACCATTCTCCTCCGCAACTTTTCTCGATGTGTCTTTGAGAAAAGAAAGAAAATCACGTTTATTATGATTTCAGAGCTACACTCTATGTAGACACATGCGACGTATATGACAATGTTAGTCGCTCTAGCTAGTGGATGCTGTATAAGATCTCTCGGAAGACTTGGTTGTCGGCAGATAATAGCCTTCGAACTGGATGGAGTTCAAGCAGCGGATGCGCTTTGAAAATTTCCAACTTTCATTTTTAAGGGACAGCGTGCAGGTTATCAAGAGTAGATATCCCTTGTGCGTCAACCGTTTGGCTACCGCCCTATGCATACCACAGTCAGAGTTCCGTGGTTCTCAATTCCACTAAATATGATTCAGATAAGTGTATGGACCGTGTTGATCATAAACTTACTCTGGACCGAGGGATGACATGATGTAAAGGAGGGGATGGGTAGCAGAATATCTGTATAAACTTGCGGCGCTGGGTGTCACCTATGCCATGGTCTCTGGCGGATACCAGCACGATGACCGCTCATGCGTACCTTACAAATGTACGAGTGAGGTTATGATCATGAATAAACCTGAAACACTTGCCTGTCCGATCCGTTTAACGATGAAGTCTTGTGTCTGGGAGTTTGTAGCGACCAAAATTAATAATAATAATAGTGTCAGGATCCCGGCGTGCGGTGGAAGACATAGATATCGTCGATCCATTGCAGGGCGTGGTGTCGATTCTTCAACTGACCCAGGATTTTGCCAAGCTGCCAATTGGTTTGTAGTGGAACAAGTGCTATACTTACTGAGAGAATAAATATCCCTTGCTTAAAGTTTTGAAAGGGATGCGTTGATTACAATGCCTTCATGATAAGAACGTAGTGGGGTGGAGGATGAAAAAAGTGCAAGCCTGAAGACATAACTGTTGGCACCATCCGAAATCACACTCACCACATTTCTTTCCGGCTGTCCCACCCACCAGCGCACCATGATGCAACGGCGCGCGCAGCAGCTGAATCAGCAGGTAAGTATGTCCCTCCCAAAAATTGGTAGCTTTAGTTCTTTGAGACCCACTTAGCTGCCTTGCGAGTTGAACATGGAAGCAGGGGATCAAAAGATGCAAGCCGCCATGGAGGGTGACGACGTGTTAGATGAAAATGAGAACGAAGACGCGAATCGTTGGGGTGAGGAACGACGGGTATTGGATGGTTGGTTTGGGTGGGGTTGTTGAACGTCGACTCGTTGAATCTTGAGAGCTTGATGGTTAATTAAACTCGTATAATATGGGACTCCAACGCTGCAAGGAGGTTGTCTACATCTTGTGGTTCTGCTGCAAGTGGAGCCTATGCAAAATTGGCTTCCGGATACTAGGCAAGGACTGGATGAAGCAACCAGAGAAGTGCCATGCAGGGGTGGTGCAACGTGCACATGGTATTATGGAGCCTATATAATATTGCAGCCAGAGGGCGCCACAGTGTCAAGGGAGACAGGCCGTTGCGAGGTGGGTGCTGTAGACAGTCTGAATGTCAATGTCTCATACAATATACACAGCATACTAAGACTCACCTTCATTGGAAGCTGCCGCACCCAGTACCGCATCCGTGCCGCAACACGCTTAAAATTGTTCTCTGAATTCAGACTCTCAAATGCATAAGTGTGAAGTGCATAATTAAGGAGTTGGACGAGAAACACTCCAGCTAGTTCATTTATTTGGTGCACGAGAACAGTGCAGGCCGAAAATAAGTGTAGTACTATGATTTGGTACAGTGGGTGCGACAGCCTGAGGGTGCGGCAAGTTGCGGCAGTGATGCGGCAATTTACCTGAGCCCACACGTGTGCATGTACATATCATTATGCACCAGTTCTGTACCAGCCCAGCTGGGTTCTGCCAAGTTCTGCCAGCCATTTTTTGTAGAGTCCTGCCCACAGCACTACGATATCGAAGCATACCAAGTGTATCCAGGACCTTCCTCGTGCTAAACTGGTGCTGCTGCCACGACCTACCCGTTGCCACTTCGATCTCCTGCACCTTCCTGCCAGTGTCGCCCTTGTGCGACCGCCTGCTCCCTCAAACTCATGTAGGCCTGGCGCTGCATAAATACTAGCAGGCGATCTATATCTTGAAGGAAACGAGATGGGGGAGCTTGAACCTTGTCAATGCCGTGAGGGAGACCTATTCGAGGTTGTTACAAGAACCGAGCAAGATTCGAGCGCTATGAACGCCTTGTTTGCTCACTGGGGAATGAAGGAACCGAGGAAGAGATAACAGGGTACCAGAAAGCGAATAAATATTGCATGCTCATGATACATCCACAGTAAATCCCCTTCGAAGTTCTACACTCTAGTACAAGTCTCACTCCAATATGGCTGCAGCTCAACAGATTCTTCATGGTAGCGAACTCGATGCCCTGTTCCCCTCCCCATCTCCCCCGCCGACCGTCCTCTCCCCTTCGCGGTACCCTGGAAGTTCCCCGGACACAGCTGCAGCTTTAAGACACCTCATGAAGGATAATCATATCAAGCACCACATGTTCAACAACGACATTCAGTGGCATAAGTGTGTATGCATCTCAATTAATGCACATTCCAGTGTGCTGATTCACGTGTCAATAAAGCCATTTTAACTATCATGCGCTGGGACTGTATGCCTTGGGCGCTAGTGGATCTGTGATCGAACAGTACTACAAACAATACAACGCCAAACAACGTCCGGTCATCGAGCCTCCTGAGGCGATCACCAAAGAAAACTTCGTCGAACATCTAGGTGTCGAGAAGTGAGTTTAAAATGACGCTTGAAAGGCCCCAACTCATTTTCTTGTCAGGTTTTATGTCGCGTACAGAACCTTCTTCATCAAGGTTATCGAGGAAAAGGGTGTCAGCGCCACGTTGAATGAATACATCTTCTCGGAAAAATATAACTTTGAAGAAGGACGAGACGCATCCAGTCAACCAAAAATGTTGGCCCGCTTCATTGGGGGTCTGACCCACCCCCTCATCCATGTAGGATACGCCATGGAATTTGGCATCCCGGGCATGGCTGCTGAAGGTGAGTGGTGTGACAAACCATCGTTAATGGATCCCTGATAAAGGTTTTAAAGGTCTTGCAATGGCCAGCGTGCATTGGTCAGAGAGACATACGTTCTTCCCGCCCTCCCTATTCAAGCATGCCAGTAGCAGTACGAGCGCAGTGGAGGAGGCAACAACTAAGCTCTCCTCGCTTTTTCTCAATGCGAAAATATCTATTGCACCTTCTCAGCTCGAACAACCACAGAGAAATCATGCATTCTCCATTCTCGCCAAGATCATGCAACATTCAGAATTCGCAATGAACAAGCAATATTATGATTATAATCGCCTGTTGTCAAAGCACGGTGCTAGTATATGGCGCTACGCTGAGCAATGGACGATTGACTTGTCACAGCCAGGCGAAATCGAACATAAGATGGAGGAATGTATTTGGGTCAACACTATCCTTTACGCTACTTGCAGATGGGGCAAAAACAAAGACTTTATAGCAGACTTCTTCTTGTAAGTGACACTAATGCGGTCATGTGCGAAAAAAAATCGCTGATTTTGGGACACTCAAGCATGCATCTCGTCACCTCAAGTCTCTTCCTTCCATCCGTGTTGTCTAACCTGCCACAAAACTCGCAAGTTATGTTGCTTCGCTCATACTTCGCATCAACTCTCGCTTGGTGGATCACACGCGGCTTCCCTCAACCAGACATTCAGGGCTTCCTCGATGCCACCTCATCTCTTTCGTCAGATGGCAAGGTCGCTAACCCGTTCCTCAACCTCATTCAGTCCACGATATTGGATGCAGATGACCATATGCTGAAGATTCAGCGCGCATTTGCACATTTTTCTTCGCTTTATGGCACACGGCCTAAGGGCTACTTCAAGGATACGGAACTGGAGGGCGCAGAAGCACTGGATGGATCGCTCTTCTTTACGGCAGCAAGATTGACTGACGAGTATATAATACGGGATGCGAAGGTCTGGGACCGGGAAGGGGCTTCTGAGCTAGATTAGGAGCGATCAATGGACTGAAGATGTACTAGGAGCACTACTCTGACTGTCCAATCGACACAGTTAAAGTTAACGCCTGCGGGAACCATACCACTACGGCGGCTTGAAGAAAGTGCGAAAGGTAGCCGAGGATATGTGTTGGAGGCCCAAAACGCTGGAATGAATATGAGTGGCAGAAAGTCCTTCCCATAGATGAGTCGTCGAGGTTGTAAACTAAGCAAAACCGCCAGGCCTGTGGGATTCAAGAAAGATATGACGAGAAGAAGAACGAGATTAAAATATCTTACCATTAGCCTGCAGTTATTCCGTCCGCTATTATCGTCGACGCATCAGTGCTGGTGCCAGGTGTACTAGGTTCAGCGACGTTGTTACCCATGGCCACATGTCTGTTCATGCGCACGTTCGGATGGCTCAATGTATTGTTGTCATGTCGAAGTAATGTCCGCCCTCCAGTGTACATAGGCCACCGGGACCCTATTACGAAGCGAGGATATTGTACTGTAATTTCCATAGTCGAAAGGGGGCTTTTTCTTTTTGGGATGTGACCGCCTGAAACCAACACTGACTCGGACTTCGTCCCAGGCGGACAAAATGCGTGGAAGAGAGTATAAACTCCTGTAAATGATTTGTACATGTCATGAATTCATCTAGGTCGTGTCATCAACTATATAGTCATCAATGAAATTTGGCAATACGTGTAAAAAAACATGCAGCTTTTTGTAGCACATGTGCAGAAAGAAATGAGGCGTGGTTAGCGTTACAAAACGTATCTGAAATCCCTGTTTTGCCTATCGGTCAAATCCAGGAATTCCTAGGGCGGATAATCAGCCTTGTACTTGAGAACGCGACCATCGGTTTGGAGAACCCACCTTGTCAACCTTAACTTCCACACGTTTCCCGTCCTCAGTGAATTTCTCCATAATATATTCTTTTTCGCTGTCGTCAACAGGTTCTTTGTCGCGGATTCGGTTCTCTCGGACGAGAACGGCACGGATGACAAGGAGAAGTGCCGGACAGACGACGTAGCATGCGCCGATCACAGCCCATGGGACGTGGTTACTGCACATTAATCATGATCACTTCGAACCTTCCTAGAGTCAGTCGAAGAAAGACCTACCGCGGCTTGTATTGTGTCTTCCACATGAAGGGACCAGCTGAGTTACCAATGCAGTAAGCCGAGAGCATAATGGCGTTAGTAGCAACCTGCAAGTTGATTTTCACTTGAGGAACGACTTCAATCACTGGCAGAGTACCTACTTTCTTCGTATGACCAGCAGTCACGCTATTGACCCACGACAATGCCAATACAAATCCAGGCACATTGACACTAGCTATGGAGCGATGAGTATGCAAACGCACTACGGATGTCAAACTCACTCAGGAACTGGCTGACGAGAAGTCCAACCTAATATCGGGTGATCCGTGATATTAGGGACGAGACTCGCAAAAGTAAGCCACATACCTTATCTGACCAAGGAAGTAGGTTAACCAGCAAGATGCCCAACCACGCCGGGACGAAGTACATAGCACCGACATATGCTCTGGAATTGGGCCGTCGTGCAGCAAGCCGAACACCAGTGAGGATCGTCAAGATTTCAATGACACCACCAACACAAGACAATAGAGTTGTCTGTAGATCGCTGAATCCGAACGAAGCAACGATGAGTGTTTGCTGGTTCGACAATGAGTTAGGCACACTGCCCAAAGCCGAGAAGAGGGCGAAGAGCCATGTCTTAGGGTCAGTCAGGGCTTCGATCATCCTATAGATATGTGTGTGGGTCACGGGATATCAAAATGGAATCTGATACACACTGTTTCATCTTGAAGTGTTTGTTTTCTACACCTGTTTGATTTTCCTGCATTAATTGTAAGGTGAGAGTTCATTTCATGTCGCTTGACAGACGTACCTTAATGCGTTGCACGGCTTTCACACGCTCATCGGGAGTAAGGAACCAGGCGTTCGTAGGCGAGTCGGGGAACAAGAGCCTTCATGAAGCGAGGATGTCTGGATAAAGGGGGCAAGGCACAAGGAACTTTAATACACTCACCAGAATGAAATGGCAAGGATCAATGTCATTAAACCGGTGATAATCATGAGCCTGCAATCTATCAGAGAGAGTATGGAGTAATGAAAATAAACGCCAAACCATTGCCATGGTTCAAATCCTTTGGTATTGATGTGCAAAGTACCGAAGCTGATGAAACCGGAGATAATTTGTGCTGGAGTTTTCTGGCTTGAGCGGGAACATTAAGCATTGCATTTCAGTAAGCGCACCAGTGCCATTCATCAAAACTAGGTTCCCCGCGCGTTTAATTAGTCGACTTTGCCGATCACGTGCGAATAGGAACTTACACCAATAACCAACCCGTAGCGTCTGTTCCGTCCGCGTGTAGAACATGGAGCTAACGATCAAGAATCCAGCAGTGATCGACCCCTCACATACGCCAAGCAACAAGCGCACAACAAGAAGTCCAGCAAAGTTTTTGCATGCTGCATGAGACGCAAGTGCAACTGCCCAGACGAATATATTGATACTGATTTATGATGTCATTGATATTCACATTGATTATGTTTTTGAAGCCTACCTCATCCACTTCCCGACCGGGAATCTTTGAAGTGCAAGGTTCTGGGGATACTCGAAGACAAGATAACCGAGATAGAATGCTGTGCCAAGCCTGAAAGATACTGTCAGGCGCATGCAAGCTCCAGTAATGCATATCTTCTCACCAATTGTACCTGAGGACAGTTAAGCTTCAGACTTTGAACTCCTAGAATAACAACTTACTCATTCGTAGTCAGTTGCGTGGTCTGCCTGATAGCACACGGTGTCAGTAACAGTTTGGCTAGTCTCGATACATAGGCCGTACTGAATTCCAAGGATGGCGGCATAACCCAAGGTTGTCTTGTCCATGAATTGAACCCTATGGGCATATGAGCGCTGATCGATGATGAATACAGTCAACCTACCAGTAAAGAACTGAACAACGATCATCAGATGCGATCATTATCGATTCAAACAACTGAGTAGAACAGTTGACTCACCACACATCAGAGGCATGATATGTCTATCGATCTTCCTCCTGAAATGAGATCAAACAATGTCGATGTGAATGTAGTTTCACAGCGCACCTTATTCTCAAAGCCTCTTCAGGATCAAGAGTTGAAGTTAATCCAGCGACGAGCTGAGCACCAGTGTCAACATCCTTGGTCGACACAGAAAGCCCTGGGTGTTTCAGGTCCCTGAGTACGACGGAGGAGTCCAGACTCATTCTGATAGGACGCGAAGGGTGTAACTAGACTGTGGACTCGGAAGTTTGAAAAGTTGATTTGCCTATTTTATGTTGTCTCTTTGCGCATCGTGGTCGTAGATAAGGAGTGCATGGGCATGTGCCTGGTCCTAGAGTCGGATGACCTGACCGAGTTTACCCAGTACTACCCCCCTTAATTGAATGTAACCCGTTGAGAGTGCACCAACTTGAATTTGCATATATGACAGCAAACCAATACCCAGGATACGGCCCACATCCTTCGAATCTCGGATCCAAAAAAATGCCGATGCCGTCCAGTAGGTGACCCACCCGAAGTGCATGCTAGAATCGAAGAGCCTGATCGGTTTTGGTGAACATGCAAGCTCTGAGCGCTCAGTAGATGAAATTCCGACGAGGGTCGATTCGGATTATGTAAGTCTTCAAGCTTCAGCGTTAACTTAGTTGAGGTTCGTTTACACTACATACCGTGACTCTCTGCTAAACGTTGCAATTGATCATTCGCTCTTAATAGTGAACGGGAAAACTTCTTTTTATTCACACGTCGTAAACGCTCAGACTCTCGAAAATTTTAGGTGCGCTTGATCGCAGATGACATTTATCTTGCGGACTGAATTTCACGCCAGTAGCTCCGTATACGGGCAATCATTAGTTCTAACCTAGTCACAGCCCTACACGAGTTCCCAAAGACAATAATTCAGCCTTGCAACATGACATCCACCGTGACCGCGATCGCATCTTTGCTGCCGACAACAACAGGGCAACTCAACACACAACCACCTATCGCACAGATCATTCCCATACTTCGTTCGACATTCGGTCTTCTGCGTGCTTTCTTGTCTCAAGCCCCGCGAGTTTTGGTCGCGCTCGCCACTCCGTTACTGATCTTCGTCCCCCTTATATCCCGTCTGCTTTCTCCGGTTATACTCGTCTTCCATATCATATTGGATGCCACAGTCTACACCCCATACGCGATCATTTCAAACGTAGCTGCCGCGCTATACCCCCTCTATGTATTCTGTGGTATCGCGTGCATCAGCGGAGCAGTTTTAGGCATTCTTGGCAGGTCTTTGGTCACGCTCTCGAACAACCTCATTGCTCCCGAACTACCGAAGGCTACTCAGTCGCTGCAGGGGTTATCGATGCGATCGAGGAAGAGAAGGAGAAAGAGTTCTTTTACGGAAGATTCATAGGCACTTTACTTTTTTGTTTCGCTGATTAGCATATGACTTGGGACTCACGAATGACGGTAATCTTGTACAGCGCAAGTTGAAGGAGTTCTTGCGCTTTATATCGTATGCGTAGCTCTTGATCGTTAATGACTCTGTTAGCAGCTATAGCCCAGCTCACGCAGTTCCGAATAAGTAAACTACAGCATGCTAACTTAAGGCTCACCGGCACCCATCAAGGACTCTAGACCACCACATGCATAATAAGAACAGTATAGCTAGCCTGACACAAGGTAGTTGGAAATCTCGTAGGGTTGGTCCTTTCAGTGGTAATAAAATAATGAGATTTAGATCGGATCAGTGAGTATGCGCTAAATTTCGACAGAAGGTCTCATAGGAAGTCCAGGGAGTCTGAAAATCACAGAATTTCCATGTAATTCACTATCCACAGTGAATATATACAACTACGTGCATAAAATTTATTCTGCAGCATACTAGTACATATTGTCTATGTATCCCTCGAGATAGCAATGATCAATCAGCATGCACATCACGAAAGGTAAAAGCCAAATAAAAGCACCGCAAAGACGCGCTTGAGCAGTTTCCCACAACGACCTTTATGATCTGCTACCAATACCCAAGTCTTCAGCGATGATCATCGCAGCCTTCTCTCCAATGAGGAGCGCCGTCGAATAAGTGTTCTGGAAGACGATTAGACGGCAGGTCAAAAATGTCCTGTTTGCTACTCACCGTACCAACATTCACTGGCACGATAGACAAGTCTGCAATCTTGAGATTGGTCACACCATAGATGTTTAGCCGAGCGTCGACGGCTCCTTGATCTGCCCTCGGCTTCATGGCACAAGTCCCGAGCTACATACGCGGGGATCAGGTGCCTCATGTAACAGTATGAAGTTCAAGCTGCACATACCGAGTGCCATGTCGTTTGCACTGGAATTCGATTGAATACATTACCGTCAGAATAGGCAATTAAACTCGAGACATACTGTAGTCACGGTGAAATTGTTCAACTGCCTCGTCATCTTCTGCAGTGTAGATGATGTCAGGCGCATCCAAGTCCACTGGCCCGGTCGCTTCTCCACAAACTGCAGCGCTTCCCTCTGGAAAACGAGGATGGAAGGCAGCGATTTCACCTCGGTAGGAAGGCATGCGTCGATAGATTTCGCGCAGCTTTTTGTACCCAAAGTTAAGAGGTACAATATCGGATGGACTGTGCGGATTATCTTGGTCGACCACATCAGCGAGAGATGAAAATTGCCGACTCACTCGTCTAAGAAGCCTGAAGTGAAGTCGATTTCTTCCTTGCCGTTCTCTCCCAATTTGATGTGAACACTGCCGACTGATACGGGGTAAAGCTACAGCAAAGGTCAGAACGAATATCACGAAGTATATGAAGAGCAGTACTGCAATAATTTCGGCAGTCACATAATTGCGAGGAGCAAGTCCACTTGACCCAAGGTATCTGGCTGTCGTGAGCATTGTCATATCATGAAAGCAGAGGATGCGCACACACCCTGCGAAGATGGTCAATATTGCAACAGCCTTGTCCGGGCGGTCCTGGAAGAACTCCTTCCACCGCGGTTCAAAAGCTGAACCCATAGATTTCAGCTCTTCGTCATCAGGACGCCATTTGATTTTCGCGTCGTTCCCACTGAAATACTGATCAGTGCGTTAAAAACAACAACAACTTGTACCAACTTTTGGGCAATAAGTGATTTTTTATTACTTTTCCATTTCGCAAGGTTCTCTACGTGTGGGTACTTGAAAAGGTGCTGAGAACATGAAGAGAACATAGTTGCTTACCCTGTAGAACATTCTCCTCCCCACGCCAGAGTCTGTCCATGGTAACAGATTCGTCAGAAGCGAAGTAAGGAACAAAGGCGCCATTGTGATCTGATTTAAACTCTTAGTAAAGATTATAGGATTGACGAATGATGCAGACCTCGATAATTTTCTCCAACGCCAGGCAAATCCACTAATTGTTCGATGCCACACCGCTTGAGGACCGCCTCGGCACCAATCCCAGACCTCTCGAGGATGGCCGGCGAACCGAAAGCCCCAGCAGAGATAACAACAAGCTTTGATGCTCTCACAGTGCTCAATGATTGATCCGCATCCGGGCAAGACACTGGGTCGTTGGTGAACTCAACACCTACGGCACGCTGGTTCCTTTCATTCGTAAAAGACATCAGAAGTTGGGCACGATTGTCATCCAAGGTACAACACTCACTCGAAGATAACACGCTTCACGCGCTTGCCGACCCATATTTGTAAATTCTTGTTGTGAGCTTGGTTGTAGACATAGTGATGGGCCGCGTCGGAACGCGTTCCTGTTGTCCCGTCGATGTACCTTATCATGCATGAAGCTAAGTCACAATAGACTAGGAGCATATGCTCACTTGAACCATGGCTGAGGTGAATTTCGTTAGTGGTCGCAGACGGATCAGGATCATAAATGGCGCACACTGTAAGTGTTGCATGTTTCTAAATCATTCGAGTCGTCGGAAAATGGCCTCTTGTGATACTTCGTGCCAACACGGATGAAGTCTTCGCTGATACCCATTTTACACCCACCAGAGGACACCTTGATAGGTCCATCGTACCCGTGAGATGGACGACCGGGCTGCACCTCGTATGTCTCCAGCTATGCACAACAAGAACAGTTCAACTTGACAAATTATACAGATAGCGCATTCGAGGACCTTCTTCATGAGGGGAATCAAGTTCTTAGATTCCCAACCATCAACTCCCCAATCATCAAAATCCGAGGCAGGCGAACGAGTGTAATTCATAACTGTCTAAGCATCAGAGGCCTGTTCGTTGTTACAACAACACCACGAACAGTTCACACTTGAGCCTCCACCAACACAATGGGCGCAGTGGACGATTGGTGCGCGACCATTGAGATTCGGTGAGGGATTTCCAATGTTGAATGTCATCGTGGTACTCGTCGGCGCCTGATGGGTGAAATATTGGTAGGGCTGAACATGCGCAGCTTTATTGAGGGTGTGTTGGCCTCCTTCGAGAATTAAGATCCTGAGCGAGGGATCGCATGCTGCCAAGCGACCCGCAACAACGCAAGCTGTAGTACCACCTGCACACAGAGGGTCATGTTAAAAGAGTAAGCTTTCTACGACCAAGATGTTATTACTCACCTCCAGCAAAAACGATATCAAACTCTGATAAGACCGGATAGGACATTGAGGGGTGCTGAATTCAAGAAGCCATACATAGTGGTGTGTCCAATTTATATCCTGGCGAAAGTGCCACCGCACGATCTCCTAGTCCAAGGCCCATCCGGAACATAGAATGTCACGAACCACGATCAGCTGAGCAGTATGTGGGCTTATCAGAGTTGTTGCGCCGCACAGAACAAGTACTACGGTAGAAATTAGAATGCTGCGTTTTTGACGCTGTTGTTGAAATTGGTAGTTGCGGATCACGAGAGCCCGCCGGGCCGCATTAATTTGGACTCGGGCACCCGTTAATTTAAAAGTTGATTGGTACGAGTCTGCCTCGAGTCTGCCATCAACCATCGCGTTCTCTCGCTTTCTTAGTATATCCGGCAGTCGAAAGATGTAGATTTAACATATGCTGCAACGTTAACTCGAGTTCGATGAACACCCGGTCTTACCTGTATTCGTGTTAAAGGATAGAATACACTAGACACGGTGCTTTGCGAGAAGGTGCGAATAGACAAATTAATATCTTTCCTGAATGTCCATTGTCGAGACACACGCTGATTGCATATCAACGATAAACACATGAAATACATGCTCATGATCATTCCTGCAAAACTATCACAGACGTGCACCAGGACTTTTCCACAACGACTCACATGGTCTACATTCAATGCCCAACTCGTCAGCAATGATCATCGCAGCCTTCTCGCCAATGAGAAGCGCTGTCGAATATGTGTTCTAGAGAGAAGGTTAGACTGTACATCAATCATCCCCGGTCAGTACCCACCGTGCCAACATTCTTCGGTGCGATAGACATGTCTGCGACCTTGAGGTTTGTCACGCCGTATACGTTGAGCCGAGCATCAATGACTCCTTGATCTGCCCTGGGCTTCATGGCGCAAGTCCCGAGCTACACACACAAGGATCAGTTATTGTAACAGCATGAAGGTTTCAGCTGTAAATACCGAGTGCCATGTCGTTTGCACTTGGTGTTGATTCAGTATTTTGACAAAACGGTGGGGATATGACATACCGCGGTCGCGATGATAGCGATCGATCGCCTCGTCATCTTCTGCAGTGTAGACCAAGTCAGGCGCATTCAAGTCCACTGGCCCAGTCGTTTCTCCGCAGACTGCTGCGCTTCCCTCTGGGAAACGAGGATGGCCGGAGGGGACTTCACCTCTGTATGAAGGCATGCGTCGATAGATTTCACGCATCTTTTTGTACCCAAAGTTAAGAGGTACAATATCGGATGGACTGTGTGAATTATCGTAGTCACATCAGTTAGATAGAATTTGCCGACTCACTCATCCAGGTAACCTGTGTCGAAGGCGACTCCTTCTTGTCCGTCTTCGTTCAATTTGATATGAACACTGCCAGCAGACACAGGATACAGCTATTCCAAAACTCAGAAAAAATCACGGGGTAGTAGATGAGGAGTCGTACTGTATAACAGCATGCAACTAAGTAATTGCGAGGAGGGAGATTATTCTTGGATGCTCCAGCGTGTCTGGTTATCGTGAGCATTCGCACGTTATCCAAAGCAAAGTATTGTGCACGCACCCCTCGAAAAGGCAAAATATTGCAACAGCCTTGTCTGGGCGGTCCTGGAAGAACTCTTTCCATCGTGGCTGAAAAGCTGATCCCATAGCTTCCAGCTCGTCGTCGTCAGGACGCCATTTGATTTTTGCATCGCTGCCACTGAAATGCTAATTAACACGCCACCAGCAATGATGGTTTCATACCAACTTTTGGGCAATGAGTGACTTGCCATCGATTTTCCATTTCGCCAGGTTTTCTACAATATTTGGACGATTAAATGGACTTGGAATATGGCGAGAACATGCTTACCCTGTATAGCACTCTCCTTTCCACGCCAGAGGGGGTCCATAGTAACAGCTTCGTCAGCAGCAAAGTATGGAAGAAAGGCGCCGTTGTGATCTCATAACTCTAAGTCAACATCATGAAATAAATGGTTGAACGCGAACCTCGGTAATTTTCTCCAACGCCAGGCAAGTCCACTAATTGCTCGATACCGCACCGCTTCAGAACCGCATCGGCACCGATCCCAGATCTCTCGAGAATGGCCGGCGAACCGAAAGCGCCCGCAGAGATAACAACGAGCTTTGATGCCCTCACGATGCTCGACGACTTATCCGCATCTGGGCAAGATATCGGATCGCTGGTGAACTCGACACCTACGGCACGCTTATCTCTTTCATGAAAAGACATCAGCAGTTGGGCACGATTATTACCCTAAGGTACAACACTCACTCGAAGATAACACGCTTGACGCGCTTGCCGACCCATATTTGTAAATTCTGGTTGTGAGCTTGGTTGTAGACATAGTGGTGCGCTGCATCGGAACGCCTTCCGGTTGTCCCATCAATGTACCTTCTCACATATAAGCCCAATTAATAACAAATAACGAGGACAAGCTCACTTCGCCCATGGCTGAAACGGATATTGTTAGTGGACTCGAACACGGGGAAAGAAAATCAGTAACGCACACTGTATGTGTTGCACGTTTCTAAATCGTTAGTATCTTCAGCATATTGCCTCTTGTGATACGTCGTGCCAACATGAATGAACTCTTCGCTGACACCTAGTTTGTGTCCACCAGAGGACACTTTGATAGGTCCATCGTACCCATGGGATGGACGATCGGGCTGCACCTCGTATGTCTCCAGCTATGCGACAACAACAATTCAGCTTGAAATCTACGCAGATAATGCATTCGAGGACCTTCTTCATGAGTGGGATCAAGTTCTTAGATTCCCAACCATCAACTCCCCAATCATCATAATCTGAGGCCGGCGCACGTGTATATACCATAACTGACCGAGTCAACGTATCAGAGCCGTGCTGTTCGGAGCAAAAATGCTACGAACAGTTCACACTTGAGCCTCCGCCAACGCAACGGGCGGACGGAACGACCGGAGCACGACCGTTGAGATGTGGACTGGGATTTCCAACGTTGAATGTCACAGTGGTACTCGTCGGCGCCTGATGATTGACATATTGGTAGGGCTGCACATGCGCAGGTTCATTGAGGGTGTGTTGCCCCCCTTCGACAATCAAGATTCTGAGCGAGGGATCCCACGAAGCCAGGCGACCTGCGACTACGCAAGCTGTGGTACCGCCTGCACCGTGACATGATATCGTTATCTCAAGGGAATCACTACAATGAGAGATGTTATTACTCACCCCCAGCAAAGATGATATCGAATTCTGATAAGACTGGATGAGACATTGAGGGGTGTTTCAAACAGGAAACCAATTGTTGGCGCGTCCAAGTTTATATCACTTACTAAAGCGAATAATCAAGGCAGCGCGCTGGCGTAAGTAGTCATACTTATAGGGGGCCTGCACACGCCCGGGGACCTTAATACCAAGAACACGTCACAAGGTTTATCCGCATTGCGGTCAGGGTCACGAGGTAGGCAAATGCTTGACCGGATTGCGATGAGCATTGTGCTCTCCCGCGTTCAGCCTACTCGGTTGTGCCGTGGTCAGACAGGCTCTGGCTTAATTACGCAGACCCACCAGGGATGCAACGACCTGCGTCCATACTTTCCGGCGCGTCGTAACAGACAAAAATTGTGACAAGGACAATCCCCTTGGAGATACTGGTTCTGGTGAGATCACATTTCAAAAGCAGCCAAACATCAATTTATTTCCGTCTGTGCCGGGATACGGCCTGATACCGCGAAGCACGGATGCTTCCGAGATTTTTGACAAGATCATCTGGCCTAATGCTGGCAGGTGCTGTGGACTTGCTGTAGTACGAATTGTGAATAGAGGGGCATGCTGTATTTCATTTGGACGTGTACTCGCTGGCAATATTTGCATTGTGGTGGTCCAAGCTCAAGGTCGACTCGGTGCAAGATGCTTACAGGAGAAATCTCACGCGGGCATGATCCAGATCACGTGATCTTATGAAGGCCGTGTGTGATGATTGATCAAATGTCCACGTCGCAAATAGTCAGCTGTACATCGAATCTGATAAAATTCTAGCAAAGACAGGTAGTGAAGAATAGAAGGAAAGCTTGTCTCTATCATGGACTGCTGGTGGAGGGGCCGGCCATGATCTGACGCCAACTCAATACGACGGCCATCGATGTCGATTGAAACACTGTTGATCAGAAGCATGGTTTGTTATAAGAATCTACGTACGAGAAGCGTTCGTAAGAACAAAAGAGTGACGACTAAGTTGGTAATGTCATGTGTGTGTTACGGGATTGATGAGATCCAGTTCTCTAACGTCAACGCCTGCAAATGACTTGTTCTTGACACGTCGACTCTGCAGCTCTCGTTTGGCAAGCCAAAGGTGCAAGAGATGTAAACAGTCCTTTGCCTGGAACAGCGTCAGCCTGAAGCCATGGTATATGGTGTTGGTAACATACGACGGTGAAGAGGCCCAGCCCTAATGAATTTCTCCACCTGCATTGTCTCCTTGGTAAGAATCCATGTCATTGATGAAAGGAAATACACACTCACCAAACAGGATCACATTCTGCCCAAACAGGAGTTCCCCGCCATGCAACGCTAAGACCCATCAATCCAGCGACGCTAAGCCGTTTCACAGGGCTCATCTGGCGCCACATCTCCTCATCGATCCAAGTCCCTACCAGAGATGGCCGCATATCGGGCGGAAGAGGCGGGCGCACTGCAAGGAACCGGCGTAAAAGCGGCGAATACTTGGATAGTCGATACAATAGCGAGCCCATGAAACTGGATATACGCGGGATAATCAAAGCACCCCCGATCAGTCGCCCAAGGGAGGTACCCGATACGCGAATGGTATTCTCGGCGGCAGCAGCAACGTCTCCTGCGATGGCCTCGCCATCGGCATTTGGATTATTGTTGGCACCATTGTTCGCAACACCTGCTCCTCTGGCCTGTTGGCCTTGGCCATTAGGCAGGGGCTGGGCGTTCCGCTCTTCGCCGTTAGCATTGATGCGAATGCGCAGAAATGGGTCATCATCCTCCAAACCAAGCATCATGCGCTGTGCGGCGTCGGTCGCATCCGGTTGCGAATCTAATACCCACCTCGAGAACTGAGAGAATAGGCGGTTATATGTGATACGAAGAGATGGATAGATGAACAAGCCGAGCAATACTGGGGGAGGGGGCCAGCTTGGAAGTAAGGGGAACATTTCCCGTGGCGTTGGTTCCAGGATACTCCAACGATTGAGGACAATGCGCTTATCACCCCGCGCGGGTGTGGAAGTTGGCCATGCGAGAAGAAGGGGAACAAGTGGTGTGACACTAGAGTTGAAAGGAAGCCGCGAGATAATGAGAGCAAGAGGAATGAGTGGAAGATTGAGGTAGCAATGCCACGGCCAATTAGTGGGGTCCTCCGTTAATAGGAGATCATACATCCTACAAACATGAGGATTGTGACTAGTTGTCCAATGAAAGTTGCACGTACTCAGCACCCAAAAACTCCTTCAGAGCGTAGGCACCATATGCCGTGCTCAGGATATACATTCCTATAAACCCTTATCAAGCTGAATATCCTCTGACAAGGAAATGTCACGTACCAGTCCCAAGAGAAACCACAACCACGGTCACGCTTGCGATGGTTACAATCTTTCCCATCGTCGAGAGGCCCTTGTTTGCTGCGTCTAAGATGCGTAGGATGAGTGGATTGTCGCTTTCAAGCTCATACACTGAGCTGCACTGCGGGCATTTGAGAGCATTTGGGGCTCGTGAGCGGTTCTGCTGTGAGGTTTGTATCCATTGCAGCAGACAGGACTCGTGCGCAACAAGTGTGCATTTACATGGATGCGTCCATGCTCGGGGAGGGTCCTCGGGTGCTAAGAACAGACAGGTCAGATAAGCGCCGGCGTGACACAGAGAGCTTTTAACATACCATCATACTGCTCCTCCTCCCTGCAAATGTAGCAGAGCTTGATCTAGACAATTGTGAGCACCAGGGCTGCGCATATTTCAATTTATGCGTACTCTAAGGTCGCTGATGGTGGGCACTCGCCGTTGTGCCATGATGGTTGGGTAAGGAATATAAGCCGCTACCTTGCTGTTCGGAATTGGGTGTCATGTGGATGTGCGCTTATACATATAGTTAGGCGGCCTAGGCCTTCTCATAATAGCTTCACGGTGACAGAAGACATCAGGGAGCAACTATCACATTAACATCTACGCAAAACGCGGCTACAGCATTCACAAAAAGTACTACGAGTAGAAGAATCCAGTCTCAAGGATTGTTTTGAACGAAAAAAACAGAAAGGCAACAGTTCACTCATGTCGCTCTGCGAAAATTTACTGCGCGTACTGATTCGGAGTGCGAGGCTGCAAATCACGATCATCATCTTTCTTGTGATCCTCCATTGGAGGAGTACGCGCGTGGTCATGCCTCCTCCTGTCAGGGGAAGGGCTTCTCCTCCTTTCAGGGCTCCTGCTCCGCCTCCTCCTGCTGTCCCTCTCCCTGTCGGCATCGCGGTCACGTTCGCGTTCGCGGTCTCTGTCACGGTCGTCATGACGGTCGCGGTCATCCCTGGTGTCTCTTTCGGAGCGACGACGAGGGGGGCTTCGAGAACGCTCACGATCACGACCTGAGCGATGAGTAGGAGAAGAACGCCTCTCGTACCGCCAAACAGAAGAAGGGGGATTCTTTGCCCACTACAAATAGGAAATAAGAACATTGAATTGCTCCCATTAAATGCTGACTTGCCTGAATACTCAAGCGAGATCCCTCAAAGTACCTTCCGTGCCTACGCCTGACGCGTCAGGCAGGTTACATGTGAGCGTGAAAGAGAGTGGACATACATATCGTAGTAGGCATCTTCAGCATGGCGCTGGCTTCGAAACTCGACGAAAGCGTAACTGCGAGACGGTGCGAGACATGTTGAGCGATAGGTGCTTCTCGGAACCCGAAACATCGAATGATATCGCAGCGCAGAGCGGCGAATACGAAGACGAAGTGGAATCGCGAGTGACTAATCGAATTGACGACAAGGCAGCAAGGCGTCGCAAGGCAATCGTCCCTCGAGTCGCGTTGACTGGACAGAGGTGAAGAAAACAAAATGGATGATTGCACTTACGGGTTCGAACTGGCGTGAGGGTTACGTGGGGCTGGAACATCACAGCGGACCAAAGGACCGAATCTAAAAATATGAGGAAAAAATTTGAACATTTCTTACGATGAATATTAAATAAAGGTCATTGATAAGCTCACCGTTCAAATTCAAAAGCAAGGTCGCGTGCTCTGGTTGAAGGATGAAATCCGCTGACGAAGAGGATGCGCGGCATTTTTGTTGGATCAGATGGTCGTGGTTTGGAGCAAAGAGGAGGCAGGGTCTATGCGGAGTGTGAACTCGTCGTATGTGTATCTGTTTGGCTTGTGGCGAGCACTACCATCAATTTTGAAGACTTGACGGTTTGGATCAGACAACGCGGTGAGTCTTGACATCAGGTATTGCTTTTTGTCGACGGTTGTGAGTCTTGTTTCTGATGGTTTTGATAGATGCCGCTCGCGTATGCACTATCTTGTCTTTTCTCTTCATAGACGATCGTGGCAGTCTACTTTAACTCGTCACCGTCAGAGGACCTATTCCTCTCTCTCTGGCAATAAAAGCCTCGTCAATTTCGCGAAGCAAGCTTCCCTCATCACAAAGGATCCTGTATGGGGTCTCGTTTCCCAACTGAAACGAGAGCGTGAAGACGAACAAATACACAGTGCTTTGGAGAGCTGTAACATATCATTACTCGACTATGTTCTTTGGAAACATGTGGTACATTCACCCAACTTGAACGCGGCAATCTCTGCAATAGAGCAGAAACAGGACCTTGCAGGTCAACTTCCTGCAGACGTTTCTGTCAATGCCCATCAGCAGCTTCCCGCGTGGGTTGCTTTCTCCTTACTCTGTCACAAAGTTCGGACTGCGCAGGATGCGCAAGACGGTCTGTTACGCCTTGCATTTGAGCACTCGTGGTCCCTTGGCTCTAAAGACCGCCCTGCAGTATTGATTCTGTCCACACACGCGTTGGCTCACTTCGACATTCTTACCCCGATGCGTAAAATCGTAAAGCAGTTCCTCACACGCGCGATTCAGTTTCCTACATTTCACTTCAACTCCCTCCTCCGCGGCCTTTCTGGTTTCACTCGCTCAGAAGAGACTGCCAACCTTGCTGTATCTCTACTCGAGGCAATGTCAGCGCGAGGGGTGCCATTATGGCTTGAAACCTACAGGTCGTTGATGCGGGATCGCTTTGTCACTCTTCAGTTGACCAAAGTACTCCACGCGAAGATGACCCATGAAGGAGTTGTGCCAACCGCAGAACATTTAGAGGCCTTCCTTCGCGTCTTTTCCAAACATGGAGCCATCCAGGATTCACAGGAATATCTCCGAGCTATCCGTCAATACTGTATAGAGCATAATCTAACAGTACCCCACGGGCCGGATGTACACCTCAGTGGTGCTGATCTCTCAGGGACAACACATCCTGCAAATACGCTATATATCGGGTCTTTGCGGCATGACCGTGTTTCTGCGTTTCACTACCTCCACACACTTCTCCAACTTGACGCTGCCCGCAGCCCTAGACCCGTCACGTCCGTCCCGGGGCCTCTGTCTCGCCACGCATCCACAAAGTTCTGGTCTGGTGCAAAGGCCAGCGTGGACATCTTTGATTGGACCACTGCACTCATTTCCGCAGCAAACGACAACCAGACCTCCGCATCCACACTTATCACGCTTTTCGAGCGCGCACGCGAACGAACGAAGCAGTTCAGGCCCACGGTTGTCACGTATACCGTCGTGCTTCGTGGCTTACTTTTCCGAGGAGCTTTCGATGAAGCTCTGAGGGTATGGAACGAGCTGCTCGATTCGGATATTACGCTTGATCGCAAGGCGCTGACTGTGGGTGTGCAAGTCCTCACTCGTGCAGGGCACCCGCAGGATGCCTTATACCTGCTGAATTCGTTCATGGACGCTCAGCGCACCTCCCCGGATCCAGCGTCCCTTCCAGATGACAAGGACGTCGCTCCAACCCCCCACCACTGGGTAAACATCATCGTCATCAACGAGTTCATGGCCTCCCTACTGCGCATTCGCCGCCCAGACGTCATCTTCCAGTTATGGGACCATCTTGAACAGCTCTATTCCGTGCTCCCAAATGAAGTCACGTTGACCATCCTCCTCAAAGCTGCCGTGCTCGCAACCAAGATGGATAATGAGTCCGTGCGGGGAACATTTGCGCACTTGTTTCACGCGCCTACAGTAGAGTCCAGTAGCCCTATCGATTCGATCATGGAAAAGCTCCAATCCGTGCATCCCCCATCAGTCGTCGGGATCTGGAGGGACCGTCGCGCGGGTGATGTAGCTCGAGACCTTTTCCGCTCTGTGATGTATGGAAATTGGAGGCAGCTCCTAAAGGTAAAGGCACCCGCCTCCGTCGTGCATTCTAAGGACGCCGAGGCTACCCCTTTTCACCCGTTGATGGAACTAGCCAAAAGTTTTGCAATGCCGTTCTCCACGCGTAAGGACTGTGATGCGGATGCCCATTCTCCCGAAAAGAAGCCATACCAATCCTATCCATCCATCGTACCCACCGACTCAACCTTCTCGGCCTATATCCAGCTTCTCGGCCTCACAGGACGCGCGTCAGAGATTTCGCTTGCACTCGCCTGGATGCGCGCGTTGCAAATAAAGCCCTCGCGGAAGACATTGTCTATCGCGCTCGTGTTCTGGGCCGAAGTGTCCCTGCGCGGTCCAATGTTTGAGGAGTGGGCGGAACGACGAAATAGGAGGGAGAGTGAATATGGGCGGCTGGTGATGTGGATGACTGAGTGGGTCGGGGAGGAGGCTCCGACAGAGTGGGACGTGCAAAAGGCGTTGAGAGCGGTGGCTAAGATGAGAGACAGTTCTTTTGGTCGATCGTGATGTATGATATTCCACATTTTAATGTCGCGTTAATTTGTTGAAGTCAGCACAGTAAGCATTGATATTAAGCTCTGAGACACCTCTTGTCTCACAACCATACATGCACATCACTAGTTGGCAGATTGTCTGTAAGCTTGACTGTTTCTGTTCGTCAGGAAACAAAGTACCGAGAAGGTTCCATTGCGAACCGAAAAGACAGTTTAAAATTATAGGTGCGAGGTCAGTGGAGATTCTGAGCCGCGGCTTTGGGCATTTCAGCATCTCAGGTTAGGCCAAGAAGGGAGACTAGGAGGTTTGCTTGATGTCACTTTTCAAGTTGCCCGTCAAATAAGGATTAACTCGGGTGGCACAATCTTGGTCGCCCAATCCTAGATGGAAATGACTATCGCGGCCTGAGAAGGAGACGGTATTAATAATATTTCAATGGATATCAGAGAGACTCACCGTCAAGTTACCGATGTCGCAGGTTCAAGATACAAAACTGAGGAAAACAGAGACTGTCGCTCACAAAGAGGATAGGACTGGAAAAAACTATGGGTTCACTGCGCAGCAGCGAACGATAACCCGAAAATCAACTCCTCAAAGGACGAGTACAAAAAACTTTGTCAATAAATGACGACCCCACATAGTCGCGGTTCTTCTCGTGGTGTGGTCTGAGTCTATATTATGTGGCGTTACCCGTTGTTATCTTTAAACCGGGCTTTATCGTGTCGACCTTGGCTCATGAGGCTGTTGGCGAGGAAGCAGATGTCAGTGTGCCACGACCGGACCCGGCGGTACTGAGGGGGCGAGCAGAATGTCCGCCGTGAGCGGGAGCGAATGGTGATAGTGATCAGAATCAGAACTGCGGTCTGACAGCAATGAATATTATTCAGAATCACACAAAGTTTCATGATGAATGTTCAACGGTAAACATGTATTTAAGAGTCTGCGAGACGCACGCGGGTCTATGACATTGTAAGGTCTTGGAAGATAAGATCGTATGTTGTGGATTAGCAGATCTCAACGGCGCCAAATATACCGTCCTCCATGAGGACAAAAAAGGTCCGACCAAGATAAGGGCTGGGCTTGAGTTAGTAGTAGATCTCATATATGTGCTCGCGCGACCCAAGGGTGAACAACAACACGTAAACAGCTCACGAACACGAGAGAATACAAAACAACAATAGTTTGTGCTTTCTACAGCAGCGTCCGCCTTCTTCTATTCTCCCGGACTCTCAAGTGGAGCTCAGACGGTACACTGGCAGTGCTCGTGGTGACGCTCGTATTAGTACATGGGATGTAATTCGCATCTGTGCCAGTCTTAGACTCTTGCATCTGCTGGTCCTCGTGTTTGGTCCTAGGGCTTGCGCCGGCGCTTGTACTAGCGCCTGGACATAGATACAGTGGTGATTCGCTAAGTGCAGCTGGAGGTGTTGGAGGCAATCGCCAGCTTTCAGTGGTTTTGAAGAACGCGGGTATAATGACATCGCCGAGGCACTAGTTGTAGGTGGTTGGTCCTGTCATCGATGGTGCAAAGGGGCAAAAGTTGTCAATGGAGTGCAGCATCATTCGTACGCAGATGGATAAAATACCGACTTTCAAACACCGATATTCATACATGTGGTACACTGCGCCAAGTTGACAGTCGATGGAATACGCCAAGAAGTTGAGCAAGTCGCCGTGTGAGGAGTGGGGTTTGTCCGAGCCTCATGCTGAAGAACTATGAAAAATTGTTCAGAGTTGTAGGGATTGAAAATTGTACATGGGTTTATGTGGGATAGAATACCGGATTCTGAGGGAGAGAGGATCTGATTGCAAGCCATGCAGGACGGGGTACGACAGATGGAGAATATCGTGGACGATTCGTGTCCCGGCGCTTGTTTGCGACGGCAAAACGGACCGAAAAATATAGTGTGTCGTCCCGGTTGAAGCAGTGCTTAGGTTGTAGGCACAATGTTTCCGGACCCAAGCGCCTATATGAGGCGATGTCGTTGTTCTTGGAATAAGCTGCATGCTGTAGACGCATTGCACCAGCCACGCACCTTGACCAAAACCATTGCCTCAGCAATAGGTAGATCTCTCGCATTCTCCTCTTTCATATCTCTTACTTCCGGCTAGGCATAACAGACGAGGAATTCAGCGACCTCAAGAGAACAACTGAAAATGAAGGATGCCAAACAGCTACCTGGATCACATCGAGAGCCTGTCAAGACGTTTCAGGGTCATGATAGAAACATCATTTCAATCGCAACTTTTTCGGATGGCAAGAGAATAGCGACTGGGTCTGGCGACAATACAATACGCATATGGAGGCTTGAGGACGGCAAGGAGATGATGAAGTGGGTGGTGAAGCAGTTGGTCGGCGCACTTGTAATCTTGGGAAACGGGAAACAGGTTGTAAGTGCTGAGGGAGAGGACCCAAGAAGCGATCCTAAAGAAGATTTTCAAGACGACGATGCTGATAAAGTGGCGTATTGGGGGTTATGGGTACGTGATGTTGAGAGTGGGAGGATCGTCGCAGGTCCCTTGGAAGGTCACACAAACATGGTGTATACTTTGGACATTTCCCCTGACGGCGAGATGTTGGCCAGCGGGTCATATGATCGCACAGTGATTTTATGGGATACGACCACCTGGCAGAGGAAAGGTCATCCTCTTGCGTGCGGATCACCCATCGAAGACATCCGATTTTCTCCGACCGGTCAACTCGGTGTTGCTACCGTGGAAGATATCCAAATATGGGACTTGGAACAAAGCAAGCGTCTTGCTCAATTCAACGGCCACCGCGGCTTTAACAATGCATTCAACAACTCGCTCACCTGGACTCCCGATGACGCACATCTATTCTCAGCCGGTAATTACAATGATCCTGTCATCCGCTGTTGGGACACATCCACCTCGAAACAGGTTGGTGATCCTTGGACTGGCCATGACAAAAATAAACACATCCACCATATCGTCTTGAACCCAACCGGCACCCTTCTTGCATCAGCATCTGACGACCACACTGTTCGATTATGGCTGTTCCACACAGGCACAGAAGTCGCCCGATTTGAGCACTCAGATGACGTGTTTCGTGTTGCATTCTCGGTCGATGGACGCTCCATATTCAGTGGCGGCGCGGACAAGAAAATCTCGCAATGGGAGATACCTGAGGATGTGCTCTCAGCAGCAGAAAGTGTTTCTCTGGCCAGCGCTAAGAACGAGGTGACTACTCCCCGCTGTGATCTCACTCCCTCGCATGCTCACACGCACTCATTCCAAGGATGGCCGAGCCAAATACAAGGTGTGTTTTCTAACCCCGGGCATATAATATACATCCTGACTCTCGATCAGATGAAAGGACTGCATAATGTATGTTGTTTGAACCCCATTCGATGGTCCCCTCTTCAATAGTGTCTGATTTACTTAGTCATACATTCATGGCCAGCGCCGAAATCGGCCAGTGAACTACCAGCACGCCACTTACTCTGCATCGCCACTCGCTCACGCGGGAGGCCCTTCATCATCTCGCTCGCTTGATGTCAGGACCTTTTTCAATGGCATTCGGCCGACATTTGACAAGCAGGGAAAGAAAAAGGAGCATCAACCTAAACGAAAAGCTCCGCGAGTCGTCGACGTTCCTCTCGGAATAGCAACACCTGTTCGTTTCATGCAATTAATCAGATTCTTGAGAACTGACCCTGTCCTTCGCTAGGGTGATGCTGTTGGTGTGGACGACGGGAATCGACCATATGTACTCTTCTTTTGCCTTTCTTGGTTCCAGAAAAAGGAGAAGAAAACAGTTCCACGGCCAGTTTATGATGACGACCCTTCGGATGACGAATCTGAGCATTCCGTTGCTAACGTTCCCATATCTACTACCAGGTAACTCCAGATGATTTGCTTGCTACATGGTTTTACTGATGTACTGCCGTAGGACCCAATTCAACGCTCCCAAAAAAGTCAAATTGAACCCAGTGACTTTCTTTCAGTCACAGCCTGAGGCAGGGCCATCTCGCCTCGCACCGCCAGTCGACAATGAACAAGAACTAGACATCGTCAATGTCTCGATGCCTACCCCCAGGTATAAAAACCTCATTCGTTTGGTCTACGGATGACCTGATGCAGTGTGTCGTAGGATCCAAATCTCCCAGCGCGAAGACATTGAATTGAAACCGATGGTCAGTCAGTCCCAGCCAGAGGCAGGACCATCTCGCCTCGAGGCACATGAAGAATACAGTCGTCGTAGTCAGTTATATCTTTCAAGCTTTACATCGTAATTACAGCTTTATTTGCCTGCGTCCGCAACCTTGAAATTGACCGCCCGCATTCGCTGAGGTTATCTGCGGCTCTTGCGGTATTTCACTCGGGCATCAGAATATCGTTGGTCATATATTGTCCTACGTCAGTTTGATACTCTTTCATGACCCGAGGGAACCACCGTGGTCAACAATGGGAGATATAGCCCGACCTTTACATTTGCTATTGCTGAAAGGTTGGGGTAGAGTCGTGATAGCATGCGGCGAAGGCTGGCCAGGCGCTAGGGAGATGATCAAAATCCGCGATGAAAACCCGTAGCAATATCACGAACAGTGAACGAAAGCCGGCAACGGCATCAAGACGGCTAAGGCCGGTGGTGTTGCATCACGGGCGCTGGTCAGCGCGCGACCCAAGGGTGAACAACAACACGTAAACAGCTCACGAACACGAGAGAATACAAAACAACAACAGATTGTGCTTTCTACAGTAGCGTCCGCCTTCTTCTATTCTCGCGGACTCTCAAGTGGAGCTCAAACGGTACACTGGCAGTGCTCGTGGTGACGCTCGTATCAGTACATGGGATGTAATTCGCATCTGTGCCAGTCTTGCATCTGCTGGTCCTCGTGTTTGGTCCTAGGGCTTGCGCCGGCGCTTGTACTAGCGCCTGGACATAGATACAGTGGTGACTCGCTGAGCTCCATTGACAAGTTTTGCCCCTTTGTACCATTGATGACAGGACCAACCACCTACAACTAGTGCCTCGGCGATGTCATTATACCCGCGTTCTTCAAAACCACTGAAAGCTGGCGATTGTCTCCAACACCGCAGATGGATAAAATACCGACTTTCAAACACCGATATTCATGCATGTGGTACACTGCGCCAAGTTGACAGTCGATGGAATACGCCAAGAAGTTGAGCAGGTCGCTGTGTGAGCAGTGGGGTTTGTCCGAGTCTCATGCTGAAGAACTATGAAAAATTGTTCAGAGTTGTAAAGATTGAAAATTGTACATGGGTTTATGTGGGATAGAATACCGGATTCTGAGGGAGAGAGGATCTGATTGCAAGCCATGCGGGACGGGGTACGACGGATGGAGAATATCGTGGACCCAGGACGATTCGTGTCCCGGCGCTTGTTTGCGACGGCAAAACGGACCGAAAAATATAGTGTGTCGTCCCGGTTGAAGCAGTGCTTAGGTAGTAGGCACAATGTTTCCGGACCCAAGCGCCTACATGAGGCGATGTCGTTCTTCTTGGAATAAGCTGCATGCTGTAGACACATTGCACCAGCCACGCACCTTGACCAAAACCATTGCCTCAGCAATAGGTAGATCTCTCGCATTCTCCTCTTTGGCGTCTCTAACTTCCGGCTAGGCATAACAGACGAGGAATTCAGCGACCTCAAGAGAACAACTGAGAATGAAGGATGTCAAACAGCTACCTAGATCACATCGAGAGCCTGTCAAGACGTTTCAGGGTCATGATCATAACATCACTTGCATTGCAACTTTTTCGGATGGCAAGAGAATAGCGACTGGGTCTGCCGACAATACAATACGCATATGGAGGCTTGAGGACGGCGAGGAGATGATGAAGTGGGTGGTGAAGCAGCGGCTCGGCTCATGTGTAGTCTTGGGAAACGAGAAACAGGTTGTAAGTGCTGAGGGAGAGGACCCAACAAGCGATCCTGAAAAAGGTTTTCAAGACGATGATGTCGATAATGTGGCGTATTGGGGGTTATGGGTACGTGATGTTGAGAGTGGGAAGATCGTCGCAGGTCCCTTGGAAGGTCACACAAACGCCGTGTTGACTTTGGACATTTCCCCTGACGGCAAGATATTGGCCAGCGGGTCAATGGATCGCACAGTGATTTTATGGGACACGACCACCTGGCAGAGGAAAGGTCTTCCTCTTGCGTGCGGATCACCCATCTTTGACATCCGATTTTCTCCGACCGGTCAACTCGGCGTTGCTACTATAGAAGATATCCAAATATGGGACTTGGAACGAAGGAAGCGTCTTGCTCAATTCGAGGGCCACCGCGGCTTTAACGATGCAGGGAACAGCTCGCTCACCTGGGCTGGTGATGACGCACATCTCTTGTCAGCCGGTGGTGGAGATGATCCTGTCATCCACTGTTGGGACACATCCACCTCGAAACAGGTTGGTGATCCTTGGATTAGCCATGACGAAAATAAACACATCCACCATATCGTCTTGAACCCAGCTGGCACCCTTCTTGCATCAGCATCTGACGACCACACTGTTCGATTGTGGCAATTCCCCACAGGCACAGAAGTCGCCCGATTTGAGCACTCAGATCAAGTGTTTCGCGTTGCATTCTCGGTGGATGGACGCTCCATATTCAGTGGCGGCGCGGACAAGAAAATCTCGCAATGGGAGATACCTGAGGATGTGCTCTCAGCAGCAGAAAGTGTTCCTCTGGCCAGCGCGAAGAATGAGGTGACTACTCCCCACTGTGATCTCACTCCCTCGCATGCTCACACGCACCCATTCCAAGGATGGCCGAGCCAAAAACAAGGTGTGTTTTCTAACCCCGGGCATATAATATACATCCTGACTCTCGATCAGATGAAAGGACTGCATAATGTATGTCGTTTGAACCCCATTCGATGGTCCCCGCTTCAATAGTGTCTGATTTACTTAGTCATACATTCATGGCCAGCGCCGAAATCAGCCAGTGAACTACCAGCACGCCACTTACTCTGCATCGCCACTCGCTCACGCGGGAGGCCCTTCATCATCTCGCTCGCTCGATGTCAGGACCTTTTTCAATGGCATTCGGCCGACATTTGACAAGAAGGGAAAGAAAAAGGAGCATCAACCTAAACGAAAAGCTCCGCGAGTCGTCGACGTTCCTCTCGGAATAGCAACACCTGTTCGTTTCATGCAATTTTATCACATTCTTGAGAACTAACCCTGTCCTTCGCTAGGGCGATGCTGTTGGTGTGGATGACGGAGTCCGACCATATGTACTCTTCTTCTGCCTTAGCTGGTTCCAGAAAAAGGAGAAGAAACCGCTTCCACGGCCAGTCTATGATGACGACCCTTCGGATGATGAATCTGAGCATTCCATTACTAACGTTCCCATACCTACTACTAGGTAACACTAGGTGATTTGCTTGTTAAATGATTTTACTGATGTACTGCTGTAGGACCCAATTCAACGCCCCCACAAAAGTCAAATTGAACCCAGTGACTTTCTTTCAGTCACAGCCTGAGGCAGGACCATCTCGACTCGCACCGCCAGTCGACAATGAACAAGAACTAGACATCGTCAATGTCTCGATGCCTACCCCCAGGTATAAAAACCTCATTCGTTTGTTCTACGGGTGACCTGATGCAGTGTATCGTAGGATCCAAATCTCCCAGCGCGAAGACATTGAATTGAAACCGATGGTCAGTCAGTCCCAGCCAGAGGCAGGACCATCTCACCTCGAGGTACATGAAGAATACAGTCGTCGTAGTCAGTTATATCTTTCGAGCTTTACATCGTAATTACAGCTTTATTTGCCTGCGTCCGTAACGACCGCGACGTTGAAATTGACCGCCCCAACGATTCGCGTCTTCATTCTCATTTTCATCTAGCACGTCGTCACCCTCCATGGCGGCTTGCATCTTTTGATCCCCTGCTTCCATGTTCAACTCGCAAGGCAGCTGAGTGGGTCTCAAAGAACTAAAGCTACCAATTTTTGGGAGGGGCATACTTACCTGCTGATATAGCTGCTGCGCGCGCCATTGCATCATGGTGCGCTGGAGGGTGGGACAGCCGGAAAGAAAATGTGGTGAGTGTGATTTCGGATGGTGCCAACAGTTATGTCTTCAGGCTTGCACTTTTTCCATCCTCCGCCCCACTACGTTCTTATTATGAAGGCGTTGTAATCAACGCATCCCTTTCAAAACTTTAAACAAGGGATATTTATTCTCTCAGTATAGCACGAGTTCGACTACAAACCAACTGGCAGCTCGGCAATTGCCTGGGTCAGTTGAAGAATCGACACGGTCACGCCCTGCAATAGATCGACGATATCTATGTCTTCCACCGCACGCCGGGATTCTGACACTATTATTAATATTTTTTTTGGTCGCTACAAGCTCCCAGACACAAGACTTCATCGTTAAACGGATCGGACAGGCAAGTGTTTCAGGCTTATTCATGATCATAACCTCACTCGTACATTTGTATGATGCGCATGAGCGGTCATCGTGCTGGTATCCGCCAGAGACCATGGCATAGGTGACACCCAGCGCCGCAAGTTTATACAGATATTCTGCTGTCCATCCTCTCCTTCACATCATCTCTCGGTCCTTTGAGATGATGCATCCAGAGTAAGTTTATTATCAACACGGTCCATACACTTATCAGAATCATATTTAGTGGAATTGAGAATCACGGGACTCTGACTGTGGTATGCATAGGGCGGTAGCCAAACGGTTGATGCACGAGGGATATCTACTCTTGATAACCTGCACACTGCCCCTTAAAAAATGAAAGTTGGAAATTTTCAAAGTGCATCCGCTGCTTGAACTCCATCCATTTCGAAGGCTATTATCTGCCGACAGCCAAGTCTTCCGAGAGATCTTATACAGCATCCACTAGCTAGAGCGACTAACATCGTCATATATGTCCCATGTGTCTGCATAGAGTGTAACTCTGAAATCATAATAAACGGGATTTTCTTTATTTTCTCAAAGACACATCGAGAAAAGTTGTGGAGAATGGTACACATACAAGACCTGAATCTACTTGCAATCGGGCCACGGATACTTGGGAGGTACAGCTGACAATCAAGCCCAATCGGTCCTGCCACTGTCTCGGCTCAGGGTGACCAACATCATTCAAAGACGTGTTCCCCATACCAGAAAAAATGCCGGATCATGCAGCTATTTCGTACAATTCCACCTCCTGAAACTACCTCGACAGACTGCATTCAAGAAACCTGCATTCACCGCCAAGACACCTCGACTCCACTTTGAACCGGACACTATGTTGCATTGCCTTGAGGTCTTGCTACAAAGAGGTCAGCGGAATTGCTACAATTCTCAGAGTTGAAACATATACAGGCGATACTGTAAAAAATTTGAAGAATTCTTTGGAGTAACTCCATCAGCAAACTAGGGGGTCATTGTACAAGATTTTACAGGCTTGTGCAAGTAGCACAAATCCACAACAACGTCCCCTCTTTACAAGCCTGTCACGGAGTATTACAATCAGTACAAATAGGCACATAGTGTACAGATAGGACATGTTGGACAGATAAGACAATGTAGACAGATGTAGACAAACAGGACAGGGTGGACAATGCGGACAGACTTAGACAAACAAGAGACAATTGGATAGACCACACAGTAATGATGCAATTGAGAAGAGTAGTACTACTAGATAACAATGTTGACATCCTCTTCGGCTGAGCCGCCGTCTGAATCATTGCAAAGTCCATTCATCATGCCAGACTTGGCCCATTCCTCCAGCATATCTTCAAGCTCTCGATGATGATCAGGGATAGCTATCAATGTATCAACAGATTTTCATAGGGAGTTGAAATCAGATCTGCACTTATCAGCAGAAAGATCTGGGACTTTGTCTGTACTGGTTTCGTGGAACCCAGTTAGAACACCCTTCGCCTGCAGAGACTGATCAGTGGTGGTAATAAAATTAAATCTAGAAAAACATACAACTGTGGCTACGAGAACAAGGCCATTGACAGGGATTGAGCGTTGAAATTCCTCCGTCAACTTCAACACTTTTTCCGTTGCCATATTAAAAATCTTGACATCCATCTTTGAGAACCTGTGATATGAAGTTCTTGTACTTGCCCTAGAAAATAAATCAATAAGATGCCACCCCACACAGTCATCACTAACCTTGGATGAGTCAGGAAGCCGAAGGTAGTCACCAGACTTTATCAGTTTAGACACCGCTTCAGTAACATGTTTCTGCACTGAGCCCCCATGCACGCTGCTTCTCAGGAAGATGCTGCATAGTTGTTTCGCAATAGAGATGATAACTTTCTTGAGCTCTGTGTGGAACATAAACAAGTCATTGCAGAGCTGATTAATTGTCAGCGAGCACATTCAGGCAGTACCCTGTACTCACCAAGCGCGACATCTGTTCACAATATTCTGGAAAATAACCTAGAGACATCAGACTGTGATAACTCTGGCAGTACGGAGGGACTTACCCTTCTCCAACCTAATGTCCTTCGAGTGATATTTCCATAACACTGCATCCAGGACTTCCCGTGCAAGTCCTACCATGTCAGAATGCTCTGGAACTGGATGCATTAGTACAGCCTGCAGGTGCATTTCCAACTTTGCTGCCTGAAGGAAAGCCTGCCAACATGACGGGTAAAATCCGAGCTTCAAGGGGTTTGCTTGTTTGTTTGTCCCCTCCGCTTGGTGCTTGGGCTGGTCACACTCATTGGGCGTAAGACTGCAAGATCGAGAATGGCCTGAAGTGAGAGTGGGGGAATGTGAATGATTTGACTGACCAACATGGCTAGGTAGAGCCCTTGATAGGGAGCACCCACGAGAGGGGGGTTGTATGCGACTGGATGATGTGGTTGAACAATGAGGAGATAGTCTGCGGGTGGAAGGATGAGAAAAGTTTGAATGTGGAGATTTAGAGCGACCAATAAGGGTTGATTGAGTCGGGGAGTGCCGACGAGGAGACAGTCCACAGGTGGAAGCACAAGATATGTTTGGACGCAGAGACTTGTAGCGGGCAGAAGGATGCTGAGGTCTATGAGCAGGACATTTTGAAGATGTCACATTTCGAGGCGCGTGCTTAGATTTCACGAGAGTGGATGGAGCACAGGTACTCTCAATAGATCAGTGACGAGATGCCTAGTTGGAGGAGATTAGAAATGAACTTTAGTAAAATGAGAACTTACACATTGGTGTGTGTATCGACGGGGAGACTTTGAGCCAGCACATGCACGTGAGTGCCTGCGAGAGGACAAGGACAAGTCAGTGTTTGCAAATTCAAGTGTGAAAGATAAATGTTACACTTAATAGATGGGTGGGTGAAGGAGCCTTGTGCCGTCCATTTTTCGCTTGGTGTTGCTCAAGGACATTAAAGACGGCTGGATCAAGGTGTTCATTGTCTGCTTCAAGTTGAGTATCCTCACCCGGGGTTCGGTCCAATTCCATCAGGTCATCATCATCGTGATTCCCATCATGACCTGTTTGCAGATCCTCCCTCGAATGCTGTTTGTCGTGTTCATCTTGTTCATGGTCTGGTTCTTGATGTTCATCCTGCTTGTCGTCCAGCTTGTCATCATGTTCGCCGTCATGTTTGTCTCGTTCGTGTTGCTGGTAGCTGTCATCAGTGTTTCTATGAAGTGTTGGAGTATGAGTACGCAAGTCGTTACGGCCCGAGTAGCCGTGACGCAAGTACGATACCATTTTCTTATGTCTCGTTTCACTTTAGTTTACCTTTGACAGTATCTCGTTGCAACCGGCCAGACGTGCGACGTCTGGCAGACATATATGATGCGCAGCAGGCGTTGTCACTCAGTGTACGCGATCTGAGGTCAGTATATCCCTTAGCGCTTAGTCCCATTCATTTAGCTCACATCCTACTTAGAGTTCTATCTGTCCTACAGGTGAATATATAGGCGTTGTCACTCAGTGTACGCGATCTGAGAGTTCTATCTGTCCTACAGATAGCGCATACACTAGGATAATAATTCCATAAGGTTATGAGCCCTGAGCTCTAATAAAGAAACCCACCGCCTCACGCTTCCCCGCACAACGATCCAAGCAACCTAGCCCGCTATGTCCTCAACAGTCCCCATCACCACAGACACCCTCCCCAGTAATGTGCCCAAGCTCAATGTCAAAGGCACGAACTGGGCAATCTTCTCGCTCCGGTTCCAGATTGCCGTCGAGGCGAAGGAGCTGTGGAAATGTTTCGACGGAACGACGTCACGTCCCATGGGGGCATCTAGCACTGCCCAGGACGGAACAGTTACCGTTGTGGGTGAGGAAAATAGTGATGCGAACTCCGTGGAGTCACAAAGATATCTACCTCGAGAGGCGAGCTAATAGATTCGTCCCTTAGGGGATTCTACTGAGGCAGTCTCTCAAATAATGAGAGGGATCAAGGAGATGGCTAGAGCCTAAGAGATGCGAAGGGCGCGCGGAAGATGTGCGACGGAAGCGCTGGAAGCGCAAGAAAGGCACTGGGGCCGCGCGGTATGCGGAAGAGGACCACTGAAGCGCAGGATGCGCAAGATAAGGAAATAGGCGGCGGCTGACAGTTGGAATGCTTCGGAGAGTATGGAATCGAGTCTTAGACTAGCCCCAGAGATGATAAACAATAACAGTGATGATATTAGAGCTTGAAGCTCGATCTGACTGAAAAACAAATGCAGAGTCCAAGTAAGGGAAAGTAAAGTGACTCCGAAATCTCTGAGTCCTCTAGATATGTAAGTTGTTACGTGCGCTCTCAGGGTATTGAGACGTAAGGGAAGCGGATAGGTAGCGCGGAAGCATAAGGGAAGCGGATGTATGTAATGCTATGTGTAAGAGACCCTGGATGTGGTCAGTGATGGTAATAAGAGTGGGAATACGCACCAACGGAGCCGGATAGACGAGACAGGACATGGGAAGACATGGGAGGATGTGCCGAGTATAGCGCCTCTATGCAGAAAGGGGTGCGCGTGTAGCGCGCGCTATGCAGTAAAGCGCGAGTGGCCGCGCAAGCCCTTTGCGACTCTATAGGCTTGCGCTTGTCTAAGGATAGTGATGAGGGCGATGGTGGAATTGGGGAATACGAGCCTGTAGAGATATCACTCTCTACACCGTCTCCCCCCCGATGCTGTTGAATTAGTGAAATGGTTGAAAAGTGAGAACACCGCGAAACACTTACTAGCCCAGAGAATCCCCAACTCCACAGTGCTGCGTGTGAGGACCTTGTCCAACGTGGCTGCCATGTGGGCAGAGATCGTGCGCGAATACACTGAGAAGGGTGCATACGTGCAGATCGACCTGCGAACGAAGTTCCTGGAGTCGAAGTGTGCCACTGGTGGCGATATATGCCAGTTCCTCGACGATCTGCGCGCCAAACGAGACGAGTTAGCTGCCGTTGGCGTGATCATCGAAGAAAAAGATTACCAGTCCACCATCATTCAATCCCTCCCCAATCACCTCGCGAGCTTCGCGTCCAGCCAACTGGCGGCTGCTCGACTCTACAGCCCAACCCAGACCATAGACCCCCGACATCCTGATCTCGTTGATCATCGAGGAGTCCGAGCAACGTAGTCGCAAGGACATTCGTGGCGGCAACAGCCGTGGCACGACGAAGGGGAAGGATGGTGAGGAAGCCCTATCCATGGCCCCAGGTGACTTCCCCAGTCGAGGACGAGGAAATGGGAGAGGAGGGAGAGGAGGTGGCTTCAATGGGCGCGGCAGACAGCGCCCGCCCTGCTGGAACTGCGGTTCCAGGGAGCACTTCAAGGCTGACTGTAAACAGCCAGACAAGTCAGCGGGCACAACGGCGGTCGTCGTGCGTGGATCTGCTCACGTTGTCGACGACTACGACTCCGAGGAGGACAGTGTGTTCGCCGTCGACTCCACGTCAGAGCTGGACTCTGACATCCCTGATCTCCTATCCCTATCCGACAGCGACGACGACAAAGAGCGCAGGACGTACGCTGGAGAGGACTCAGATTGGTTCTCTGAGGCAGGGGGAGACAATGAGGACATACCGTGCGCAGAGGATGCCATTGAGCTGGTTGCCCACGTCAGTGACGAACGCGCTGAGACGCCTGTCGTCGAGCTGTACGATTCAGGCTCGATGAGGCACATATCCCCATACAAAGATAAATTCAAGTCACTTACCCAAATCCCGCCCAAGTCCTTTGCCACTGCGAACAAGCAATGTTTCGACGCCACTGGGATAGGTAATATGATCATCGAGGTGCCAAACGGGACGAGTGTGTCGAACTTACGACTCACCGAGGTGTTGTTTTCCCCCGAGGTAGGATACACGTTGGTGTCCATTGGCCCACTCGATGCACTCGGATTATCCGTCTCATTTGCAGACGGCACCTGCACAATACGCGACCCGTCGCACGACATAGTTGGCCGCGTACCAAGGTCCTCGAGAGGACTCTATTGTGTCGTCCACGATGACACTGACAGTGCGAACTCCACAGTCGAAATGATCACCGTCATGGAACTGCACCACAGGATGGGGCATATTGCACCCTCTGCAGCTCGCCGTCTTGCAGAGAACGGCCTTGTGTCCGGAGTGCGAGTCGACTTGTCAACAGGAGAGCCAGTCTTCTGCGAGTCTTGCGTGTATGCCAAGGCAACATGCAAGCCGATTGCCAGAGAAAGGGAGGGAGAACGTGCCAAGGACTTTGCAGGTGAGGTCCATACTGACCTCTGGGGCCCTGCACCTGTCGCGACACTGGGTGGCCGTTGTTATTACATTAGCTTCACTGACGACAAAACCTGACTCACTTACCTTCACCTCCTGCGCCAGAAAAGCGAGGCATTCACGGCCTACAAGGACTTCGAGGCGTGGTGCCTTACCCAGCACAATGCCCGCGTGAAGGTCCTGCACTCTGATAGAGGAGGGGAGTACCTGGGGAAAGAGTTCAGCGTCCATCTCAAGGCCGCTGGCACTGAGCAGAAACTCACAGTGCACGACACCCCACAGCATAACGGTGTTGCTGAGCGCCTCAATCGCACCTTGCTGGAGAAGGTGCGTGCCATGTTGCACGATAGTGGCCTGCCACAGTTCTTGTGGGGCGAGGCCGTTTGCCACGCGGTGTGGTTGAAAAACCGCACCCCCACTAAGGCACTGGATGGAGGAACCCCCCTTGAGGCAGCCACAGGTAGGAAGCCTGACCTGCGGCGTGTACGTGCATGGGGATCACCAGTATGGGTGCGAGTGGAGGCTGGGAGCAAGCTGGGTGGTCGTGTCAAGGAAGGCCGCTAGATCGGCATCGACGATGCCAGCAAGAATGGGTGCCGTGTGTACTGGCCGTCCAAACGATCTGTCTCCGTTGAGAGGAACATCTACTGGGATGCCACCTGCGCTGAGGCGTTAGCTCACGAGGGGGAGGAAGAAGAGAACTCACCTGGCGCGATGGTAACACCCTCAGCACTGACAAGTTCAGCAGGATCTGGTCAAGGGCAAGGCAATACTGCCTTCGTCCCAGACGCAGCCAAACCTACCAACAACCCGTCCCAAGTCCCATCATTCCCACTCAAATCCCCAGACGACCCTATCCATCCCACCGAGAATGATCCCCCATCTAGACGCATCCGCAAACCCAGTCAGCACGTCATCGACATTGTCAATGCAAACGGTACCATACCTCGTGGTGTCCAACTGCCCTCCAGCCAGGAAAGCGACTCGCCAGCGAATGTCGAGGAAGAGGAGGCCGTGGAGAGGCTCTTGTCGATCATCGACGACCCCGATGACGAACTCGCAGGCCTCGATCTTGCGATGGCGATAGGCAAGGCGACTGCAGAGTCTGAGGCGCTGGAGCCTAGCACTCTGGCAGAAGCTAGACGTCGTCCTGACTGGGCACATTGGGAGGAGGGCATAAGGGAGGAGTTAGCTACTATCCAGGCGGCAGGAACTTGGGAGCTGGTGGACTTACCAGCCGGCGCTAACCTCGTTGGCTCCAAGTGGGTCTTCAGGGCGAAGAAGGACGCCGCTGGCAACATTGTGCGCCATAAGGCACGGCTCATTGCCCAAGGCTTCTCCCAGGTCCCCGGCATCGATTTCTTCGACACTTACGCCCCGGTAGCCACCCTCACATCCATCAGGACGGTCCTGGCCTTATCAGCGCGCCTAGACTATGAGCTGCATCAGATTGACATCAAGGGTGCGTATCTGAATGGAAAACTCACCCAGGACGAGGTCATCTACATGTGCCAGCCGCCGGGCTTCGAATCAGTTGAATTCCCCCACAAGGTCTGTCGTCTTCACAAGACGCTGTATGGGCTGAAGCAGAGCGGGAGGAGGTGGTACCAGAGACTGGTGGAGATATTGGTGGACGGGCTGGTATTTACCCAATGTGCAGTGGACCAGGCAGTATTCTCCAAGCGACGGGAGGACGAGCACACAATAGTCGTGGTGCACGTTGACGACTGCACGATTGCAGCGAGGACGATGAAAGGAATAGTGGAGTTAAAGGACGAGATACGCAAACACATGGAAATTACCGACCTCGGTGAACTCCATTGGCTCCTGGGAATAGAAGTCCTTCGGTCACGCGACAATTGGCTGATTTCATTATCCCAGCGTACTTACGTCGACTCGATCATCCGCCGGTTCAACTTTGACGGACTTAAGCCGGTTTCTAACCCCATGGAGCCAAGCTCCAAGCTCCACTCAGGTCAGTCTCCTTCCACTGGATCCGAGTTTGCAGCCATGCGCCACGTGCCTTACCGTGAGGCCATTGGCTCCCTCATGTACGCCTCGTTGGGTACACGCCCCGACATCTCGTACACCGTCACCACTGTCTCCCGTTTTTCCAGCAACCCTGGCATGGCCCACTGGGACGCCGTCAAGCGTATCTACCGCTACCTCATCGGCACCAAGGACCTGAGGTTGACGTATGGAGGAGTGGAAAAGACGCTGGTGGGCTATGCAGATGCAGATGGGAGTATGGCGGAGGGACGGAAGGCAATATCAGGGTACGCATTCCTGATTGACGGTGGTGCCGTTTCGTGGTCGTCTAAACGCCAGGACATCGTTTCGCTCTCGACGACCGAGAGCGAGTACGTGGCCGCCACGCACGCTGCCAAGGAAGCCTTATGGCTGCGCTCCTTCATCGGCGAGCTCTACGCTCCCCTCACCGATCCCACCATCCTATTTTCTGACAACCAGTCCGCCATTGCGCTCACCAAAGACCACCAATATCACGCTCACACGAAGCACATCGATATCCGCTTCCATTTCATTCGCTGGGTCGTTGAACACGACAAACTACGCCTTATCTACTGCCCTACTGCCGACATGGTCGCTGATACGCTTACCAAGGCATTGCCCTCGCCCAAGGTCAAGCACTTCGCTGTTGAACTCGGGTTACGTCCGACTTGAGGGGGAGTGTTGGAGTATGAGTATGCAAGTCGTTACGGTGAGTCGGTACGACTATGGAAGACCATGGCCAGTGGGCCATGGGACTCAGACCACACACATGGGAAGAAGGTGGTAGAATGGGTAAGGACTAGCTACAACACATGCTCGAGTATATCTATCTAAGTGCCTCGAGGCCCAGGCAAGACCCCTGGCACCCCTGGCAGACCCCTGGCCTCGGACCTGGCCAACCCCTACTGACACAACGGCCCGAGTAGCCGTGACGCAAGTACGATACCATTTTCTTATGTCTCGTTTCACTTTAGTTTACCTTTGACAGTATCTCGTTGCAACCGGCCAGACATGCGACGTCTGGCAGACATATATGATGCGCAGCTCGCGTCATTGTTTTCCCGCTGATTAGCATTCACTATATATTCACAGTAGCTATCTACCAGAGACCTCAGGCGTTGTCACTCAGTGTACGCGATCTGAGGTCAGTATATCCCTTAGCGCTTAGTCCCATTCATTTAGCTCACATCCTACTTAGAGTTCTATCTGTCCTACAGGTGAATATATAGGCGTTGTCACTCAGTGTACGCGATCTGAGAGTTCTATCTGTCCTACAGATAGCGCATACACTAGGATAATAATTCCATAATGAAGGTCTTCATCTGAGTCGTCTTGTGTGCCATTGTCGTGAGTGCCGTGCTCAAGGTCATCACAATCAGGCGTGTCTTGATGTCTATGATTCCCCGCATCTGGCTTTGCAGCCCTCTTCTGGCTGCAACCGGTCAGATCGTGACTGTCAACAGCAGGTAGCGGCTTGAACCCAAACCTGTCAGATTGTTGGGCAGTGTAGTGGAACGGACACAGAGAGCGAGCACATTGGCGTTCTGGTAGTACAACATTGGCCTTTGCAGGAGCCTGGGATAATGTTCATTGTTAGTTGAGTAGCTTGAACAGAACACTTACTCTTTTCTTCACTCTCATGACTTGCGAAGGGGCCATTGGGTTTTCTTCTGGATCACTAATCTCAACAGTGCTCTTCCTTTGCCTTGTTGGGGTCATCACTGTCTCACCAGCTTTTTGAAGCTGGGCTGCGTGACCTCTGACACCGTGATTCAATCATGCGCTCCATCGAGAGACCTCGGCATCCTTCCCGGAATTGTTGTCCAGAGAAATTCATCTGGCCTTCTTCTTGGGAGGCATTGAGGGGAGAAATCGGTGGTAGAGGTTGGCTCACAGGCGTACTTTGGAATATAGTGAATTTCGATTACATAAGACAATTTAACCGTTTTTAACACAATGTTGATCAGTAAGAGTGCGCATGCATAGACTAAATAAAATTTGGCAACAACTATGGAAGTACACGTATTGAACTAATAGTCACCGGGACTCAATCAGCTGCAAGGGTGTTCCAATTAGCATTTATGCAATTGAACCGCCTAGAATGTCACTATTTGAACACAATAGAGATGGTAACTTTCTTGAGCTCTGTGTGAAGTGTATAACCCATCACAGGGCTTATACATTAGTGAGTCAGGACGTGGAAACCTGCTTCTTCTTCCGGGTAGAGCGACGAGGGCGGTCACTCGAGACAGAGGGTGGGGGGGGAGGTGCGAATGATGAAGAAGGAGATGGTATGGATGGACGTGCAGGGTGGTTTATCCGGCTGGAACGACGAGACTGTGAATCCAGGGCCACGGCTGGAGAAGCAGGGGAAGAAGCTGATGGACTGGCAGGTGGTGTCAGTGGAAGACTCAGAAAATTGTTGATGTTGTCCAGCCCCCGTTGTATGATCTCACAAATTTGGTCATGAGAGACGTCCTTACTATTCATTATTGCATCTCCCATTGCCATGCGCCAGTCCTCAAGGATGGGACGGCAAGCTCGGAAATACAGTGCAGGCTCGAAACCCAGGGCTTTCTCCATTAGAAATTCTCTTTTGAGGGTTCCGCTAGTCCCGAGACCATCTTTGTCCATCGTCATGCAGGCTGTATGCCATCTACGGGCATTCTCGGGAGGCACCCCCTTTTTTGTCGTTAGGCTGCCGGGCCCATTGTATATAGTCGTAAATTCGAGGAGAATGTAGAAGAGCAACTCAAGGTCATCAGAGGCCCTGTGGTGGACTGAATGAGGAGTCGGAGCGCGTCCAATCACCTTGAGAAGGCGCCAGGATATGTATGGTATTGTTCCCTTCGAACATCGATATTAAGAATGAAGGTACAAAATATATCAATTTTGAACTTACCGTTCCATGCGAATCTGTTGCTCTATTATTCAGTTCGATGAATTTGGCATGGTCAAAGTCGATAAAAAAACCTTTTCCCTCATATATGATGAGGTTGTTGGGACTGAGATCTCTGTGAAGAACCCCCCGCTGCGTCGTCATCGTGTTGTGGGCTACCGGTATCTTTCAGTGTCAATTTGTTTTGGTAAATACCAGGGGAACTCACCAACAACAAGGTCAAGAAAAACATTGACCAGCTCAGGTACAGACTTGAAGTTGGTTAGTGGGAGTCCACAGGGTGTCAAGAGCATGTGACAGTGAATCTTGTTGGTGAATATCGGTGATGCTGGGAGGTGATTGCGGACATAATTGCGAATTTTTGATGTGCTGTCAATGTGCCCACCATACTCAACGTCCCAATACTTCACTAGCTGGACCACCTTTGGAACCCCATCGACCACCCTGAGAAAGTTGACCTCCTGCTCTATTATGTCTGCACCTACCCAACAGTCCTTCAACACATACTCCCGCTTATTCTTGTCCTGGACGCGATAACAAATGGTTCCACGTGAAAAAAGACCGTGACTTTTCCACAGATTAGCCATAATCCAATACACCTCACCTACATCATCTGTAACCCAACCTATGGCTCCAATTGGCATGGCACCAACCCCCTCCAGTAAATCATCCGGGTTGTGAGCAGTAGAGGAGCAAAGGGTATTGCAAACGTGAATGGTGGGATCGAAACCAAGGGCAGAGCGACTTGCTAATGTCATAGTGTTTAAGACATCAGCGAAATGCACAGCATCATGGCCAAGTAAGATAGGTGCCGAGATAATCATTCCTGAGCGGTCCAAGTAATGTGCACGAAGCTTCAAGTTCGCAATACTGAAAAGAAGAACAAACCGACACCATGGTTGTTCGTGCATCATAAGGTAGCCTTTGGTTGCAACCCCCAAAAATATTGGTATGCCATTTCCCTCCGCCAGTTCTGAGATGGTGATCTCTACTCCTGTCAGAACAACTGACAAAGGCTTCTCCTTCCCACTGCGCTCCTTCAGTCTATAGTCCAAATGGACTAAATCAGGTTTCCAGGAATTGTTGGGATCTGGAACGGGAATGGCAGAGAACTCTGAAGACCAGTATCGCAGTTCCGGTAGAACATGGAAGGGGAGTGAGTCCATTTTGGCTTTGACCTTGTTGCACATGTCATAGTAGATGCTTCTGAAGAGGTGCTCCCAATTCTTCTCTTCCGCCACCTTTACAGCCACGATCAGACATTTCTCTCCAGTCTGATATGATCTTTGCGACCAGCTGCCATCTGTCTCCATCATATCTTCACCTACACTGAGGTCTTCATCCCCCTCCTCCTCCACCTCTGTATCAGTCTGTGGTTCCTTCGGGTTCGTTTTTGTCCTCTTCAGCAGACCAGAGAAGGGATTAGTGAGCCTCCATTGCGGGTGAGTGATACCCTGTGGCTTTTTTTTTTTTTTTTTTTTTTTTGTTTCCAATTATTGTCCATTGAGAGTGGGTAACTCTATGTAGGACAGTTCTATCTAGTCTGGGGCCCCCGTGCCCCTCTGCACCTCGAAGATCGCGAATGCCCTGGAGTGAGGCGTACCCCCTCCAGTCCGCCGTTCCTGCCGGCCGTTTTAGACGCGCATCTCTGTGAAGATGAAGTGACTATGTGTACGTGTGTGATGTATGTATTCTGTGTACGGTGTTATAAACAGTAGCGCGTATTCGGAAAATGAGGGATTGGGGATCTGTGTGGGTAAAGTGTAAGTGATCGAGTACCCTGGCATCGAGCCATTGAGATCCATTTGTTCCGATTTTGATTAGGTTTGGTGTTTGGAGGTAGGTTAAGAGTTAGCGTGAGGTGTAAAGATGGGTGAAGGGATTAAATGCGTTCTTGTTGTTTAGAGGGTGGTAGGCGTGGACGGTGAGGTGGATTAAGGATATGGATTGCGGAATGTTACATGCGTGGGAGCGAGGTTTTGAACGAGTGGAGACGTGATGTTATCTATCGAGTGTGTTATCTTATAGGTTTCTTGGGGGTAGGGATTCGAACTTCACCGTAAATTGATATTAGTCGTTTCGTACTGTTTATGAACTGTAGCAGGTGTGGTAGCGCCTCCTTGTTTGCAAGGAGGTATGAAAGGGATGTAGATTGTCTTCCCAACGCGACGGCTAATGTATGGCGTTCAACTCTGTATTTGCGACAGACTAGGATGAAATGGTGGACGGTTTCGGTAGATCTAGGGCAATGGGGGCAAAATTGCGATGGGGACTTATTTAGACGGTGAAGATGCTTGTTGAGAGCTATATGCCCCGTGCGGAGGCCTATGAGAAGTCCTGTGATTCGTTTCGGGAGAGATGAGGTTAGTTTTACGAATGATCTGTTGAGTAGCGCGGGATCAAGCCTGTTCATTCTTTCAAATCTTGGGGACTTCTCCCATATTTGGGTCCATCTCGTTTGCATCTTCCTGCGGTGGTCTTGTTTGAGTGCCGATAGACTGAGGGGGAGTGTACTGTTCTTCAGGTATCGTGGTAGGAGAGCTGGGGGGCTGTTACTTGTTGGGCCTTCCGCGGCTTTCTTTGCGGCCTTGTCCGCTTCCTCGTTACCATGCACTCCCTCGTGGCCTGGTACCCATCTCAATGTGACGTCGTAGTCTGGATGGTCTTTCGAGAGCTTCAACATCATTCTTCTGAACCGTTCTCCTAAATAAGAGCCTGACATGGTGTATGCGTTTTCACCTGATTTGAGCGCTGCTTGGTTATCGATAGAGATCGAGAGGGGAAATGATAGATGGTGTTCTGTTGATATTAGCTTCGCTGCAAGGGTAAGACCTACCGTTTCTGCCTCGTAGACAGTGTGCTCCTTATCGGTACCTAAATAAAATTTCAGCGTTCTCGGTTGTCTGCCAGTGCGAAATAGAATGGCCGCTGCTCCGATTCTTCCTTCTGCTCCTGATCCGTCGCTGAAGACTTGGATCTGATCCGTGAGGTGAGTATGTTCGTCGATGGCTTCTTCTCTGGAGGGAGAGATGTGGGTTTTGTAAGGGCATACCGAGGAGGGTGGGATTCTTGCGGGTATCAGTGATTCGATCTGATGGGGGATTATGTCGAAGGATCGTGTGAGGCGGTGTAGAGATGATCTATGGGATGCGACGTAGTATCTTGCAGCTCGTCTGATCGGATCGTGGAGAGGGTGGGATTTGGGGAGGGCGGCAATACGGATGATGGCGCGGTGGCAAATGTTTTGAAGGAGGAGTGCGATGGGGAGGACGTTGGAGTGCGCTTCGAGTACATCGGAGGCCGTGCTGTTCATGGCTCCGGTCATAGCTAGGGTGGCGATTCTCTGGATTGACGTCATTTTCTTGACTATGCCTAGGGATCCTCTTTGCATTTCGTCTGATCCTTCCTTGAATGCGGGAGAGAACCAGAGGCTGGCCGCGTAGGTCATTTTCGGGATGGCGATGGCGTTGAATAATTGCCGCATGAGGCGAAGCAGAGTGCCTTTGGTCATCGTGGAGAGCCGTTTGAACTGGAGGGTGTACGCTGTGCCTTTTGCCAGGGCGTAGTCTACTTGGGGTTTCCATCTTAGTTCTTGGTCGAGGACTACTCCTAGGAAACGGTGTGTGGCGGATGGGCGGATGTTGATGCCTCTCAGCGTGAGGGTTGGGCGGGGTTTGTTCCTATTCAAAGAAAAGTCCATTAGCGCAAATTTAGACGTTTCGAAGCGAGAGTTGTGGTTTTTTGACCACTCGTATCCTCCTCCCGGTTTTTCCATCATGTTCTTGAGAGTAGCGTGCGTGTCGTCGAAGTTGTGTCCTATTGCGATTAGTGCGGTGTCGTCCACGAAAGCGAGGGTCATTTCCTTGAGTGCTTGTCTGCCTGTGGGTTGGTTAGCTATGTCTATTAAATCTGAATTATAAATTATATAGAGTATCATAGATAACGGATCGCCTTGGCCGATCCCGTTATCGATCGGAATCCATTCGGAGGTATATCCGTCGAATCGAAGCTGGGTCTTGCGGTCCCTGAGAACTTGTTCGGTGAAGTTCACAATTTCTCGGGGGATACAGCGAGCGCGCATATTATGAAGGAGGCGGTTCGTCACCGCATTGGGGAAGGCCCCTTCGATGTCGAGGAATAATGCTGAGACGACTTTGTGGGAGCGCCACGTGTTTTTGACGACGTGTTCGAAGAGGTGCAACGAGTCGGTGGTCGAACGGCCTGGTCTCCCGCCGAAGTGGGTTCTTGGAAGGAGTTGATGTTTTTCTAGAATATAAGTTAGTTGATCTGCCACTATTGCCGTTAGCAATTTGCAAGTGGAATTCAAGAGAGCGATAGGACGGTACGCCTTAGGCGTGGTGTAATTAGGTTTGCCTGGCTTACGCAGAATTACCGTAGTGAATTGTCGCCAAGGTTCGTAGTAGGTTCGATGATTGAAGACTGCGTTAAAAAGATAGAGAAGGTAGGGGGTTAGGACACTTATGCACTGTTTGAATACTATGTTACAGATTCCATCCGGGCCCGGCGCTTTGTAGGCGCTGAGGTTGGAGACGGCTTTGAGGAGTTGGGTTTTGATGATGGGTGAGAATGGGGCTATTGGGTCGGGGTATACATAGTCTGCGGGAATGTGGTCAGCTTCGGGGGGAGGGGGGAATAGGGACTCAGCGATCATCCTGCTCTTCTCGTCGTTGGTTGTTGCTTCTAACGTGGATCCGTCCGGTAGGATTTTCACTAGGGTGGGGATTCTTGCTTGTCCGCCGTCGGTGGGGGTTGAGGAGACGTAACGACTTGCGGTCCATACGTCGTTCCCTTCGAGATCCTCCAACCATTCAATCCAGTGGCTTTTCTTCGTTTCCGAGATTTCATTAGCGTATATCTTTTTTGCCTTCTTAAGTTCGGAGTGACATTCATGGTTCTGGATGCCTCTCATCTCGTATGAGGCCCGACTGAGGTGTTGGACTTGTTTTCGAAGTTGCGAGAGTCGGTGCGTCCACCACCGTTTTGAATGTGGGCACGGTTTGGACGTTGGGACGTGGCTTTCGATGGTGTCGGTGATAGCCTTGGTGAGACGGTAGGCGGCCTGTTGGAATTCGTCCTTGCTTGCTAATGGTTGGGGAGGGTGGGTAGATAATAGGCCACTGAGGTGTTCCTTGAAGAGGTCCCAGTCTACTGCCCTCCAATTCCTTCTTGGCGTGGCGTCCGAGCGTTGGGCTTCTAGATTGAGAGATAGAAGTATTGGGACATGATCGGTACAGGGACCGCGTAGCGATGGATCCGTTTTGCAGGTGATGACGTCCTCGATGGATCGTTCGGTCCCGAAGACGTTGTCGGGCCTGGTCCAGTTACCTGTACTTGTCGATTGGAGAGTGGGAATGCCCTTGGGAAGTATCTGGAGTAGTCCATAGTTAGCTAGCATGTCAATAAGCGGTTGAGAGGTGGTATAGTTAAATAAGTGTCTGTTCCGTATATCCTCCCATAATGGATGGTGACGGTTGAAGTCGCCCATCCATAACATTTGACTGTCTTCGTTTGGTCTGATGGTGTTGATGTTACGTTCTAAATAAGAGTTAATATTAGTCAGCGTGTTCTGTGAGTTACCGTCGTTATATATGTTGAATATCGAGTAAGTGCCGAAGGGGCCCGATATTTGGATTATAGATACATCGGAGGAAGGGAACGGGATTTGTTTCCATAAGTTCGTGTCAAGTTTTGTACTAATGAGTGTGATTGCCCTTGTGCGTTGGTGGGGATGGGTGAAGTGTTGGGTCGGGTATACCACGTGCCACCGGTGGTTGGCCGTGGTGTTGCGTAGGAAGTTGATATGGGGTTCTTGGAGGACCATGATGTCCCATTTTGCGGCTTCGGGGCTGTTGAGGAGGGAGGATTGCGCTATTAACGAGGTATTTAGGTTTTGCTGCCATATGTTGAGTCTGACGGGAGGGCGAGGATTGTGTCTATTCATTAGAGAGCGTTTGAGATGCGCTAGGTTCTTCGTCGGCCCAGGAAGAGAGAGGGGGAAGGTTGAGGGCTTCGTGCATTGAGGGGGTTTGGGGGCGTTGAGGGGAGAGCGAGGGTTGGTGAGATGATGATGGTCTGAATCTATTTAGGGATGATGATGGGGAGTAGGATCGTGGTTGGGGTTGAGAACGAGCGTTTTGTGTTGGCTGCAGGGTCAAGGGTAGAGGGCGGTGTTGGGAGGTGAGTACGAGGGTGGTTTGACGTTGGTTGCGTGGACGATTCGGGGGTGGTGGTGGTTGATGGGATGTTGGTGGCGGGGGAGGCGTTCTCGTGGATGGTGGTGGCGGCGGGGGGTTTGATGGTTTGTGTCCAAGGGTCCATCGTCGGGAAATAAGGCATCCTGTTTTCGGGGTGTTTCTCGTCTAGGAGGGAGCAATGGCGGCGGAATTCTGGGCAGGCGCGACTCCAACTTGTGTGTTGGTTAGAGTTGCAGTTGATGCATCGAGTTGTCCGGTAAGCGTTGCAATCTGATGTTCTGTGCTGATTACCGCATGTACCGCAAGTATCGTGTGTGGCTTGGCAGGTGCGGGCGATGTGCCCATAGCGTTGGCACTTCGCACATCTGATCGGCTCCCTTCTGTTCTTTTTCACCTCTATGCGCTCATTCTCTATGCAGATTCCTTCCCTTAGGATCTCATTGGCGACCTTGATGTCGTTTAGTTGGATCAGCGCGAAAGCCTTCTTCTGGGTGATGGAGCGACGGTGGACTGGTTTGATCCATTTGACCGATTCGATTGAGTTTTCCGGAAGGTGGTTCTCTATCTCGACTTTGCGTAGGAAGGTGTTCTGCTCGATCTGAAGATGAATGGGGAGGTATTCAGCTACGATTGGATACAGACGAGGGCGGAGCGATACTGTGTTGTTGAGTTGGTCTGATAACAGTTTCATTCCTTTGGGGCTTTTCAACCAGTTGGATAGTGCTTCGGATTCTAATTCCACTATGATACCTCCATTTCGCAGACGAGATACTGATCGTAGGTTTCCTTCTGGTTTACTAGGGTCTTCGATGTTGGTTATTGCTTCCTTCAGTTTCTTCACTGTTTCCGTTTGTGGGAGGTCCGCAGGGAATAGGTTTTCTTCTGGACTAGGATCTAATAAAATTTGGCGTGCTCGGATTGCTTCGCGGCCTAATGCTCTGTCCGCCGGTGATGGGATGTTCGTTGCTACTGCAGAGCTATAGAGTTGTCGGTCAGCTGGGCCAGGGAGGGGTGTTTGTTGGGTTGGCGGGTTATGATATTGTTTTGAGAGGAGGTCTAATTTTTCCTGGGTAACGTCTAAAGAGGGAGTTAGCGATTGGATGGCGGTCTGGAAATTTTTGAAGGAGTCGTAGAGTAGATCTGCTTTTTCTTCGATACGGTCAGCTGCCGTTTTGATATTATCTTCCTTTTCAGTATGTTCTCTTTCGATCAGTTTATGCAGTGTGGATGCTGTTTCCAAGGTTTCGTCGAGTGCTTGAGATGCGTTGTGTATGAGTGCGATTTGCGGGGAGATTGCAGCTACCACGTGATCGATTAGTTTGGCCGTGACATTGTCCTTGAAGATGTCTGTAATCTGTTTTGATGCTGATTCCGCTATGTCGCATGCTATGTGGTCTTTCAGGATATACGCTACTGCTCGGATTGCTGCTGTTACTGAGACCGGAGTGGAGCTTGACATTTGGGTGATCTGAAAAAGGATGGATATTATGTGAGTTAACGTAAATGGTTGGTTGACGTGGCAGAGGAGTTTCGATTCTAGAAAAGATTTGCCGCTGGCAGCATTTTTGACTTTGTTTGATTGGGCTTCTATTGATTCTTGTGTGAGAGGAATTCTGGTGGTTTTGCGAGTGTTGAGTCCGTATGTTGGTGTTGTTGTTGGGGATGTTGTGCGCGAAGTTGGTGGGGAGGTTCCTCCTACGCTGATGCTCCTTCGACCTCCAGGCATGTTAGTGGGGTGGATTCTAGGTTTTTTATGGTCTTTATTATAGTTTTTGGTGGTTTACGCCTAAGGCGAGAGGCCTGTGGACGGTCCTGACACTGTCGATCGCAGTGTCGGCTAGAGGTTTTCCGGGGTCCCAGTGGAGGTGCCACTTGGTGTAGGTCCAAGGAGCGATTACCCTGTGGCTTTAGCATCACAGATGAACCATGTAAGATAAAACTGTCCTTCATCTTGGCATACCTAATGCCCCGTAAATCTTCAATTTTCCGACTGGATTTTGGAATAAGGATATCAAGGATGGACAATGTACGGTTTTGTATGCCCTCCTCCCACAGAACTCGTTGACCGCCCGTTAGATCGTCATCTGGACCCAATAAAAGTTCGTGCTTCATCAACAGGTCCATGTCCTCCTGCTTCCAATGCTGAAAGTCGCCACTGGCGGGGATGGATGTTGTAATTGTGGCAAGAAGATAGCTGAACATGAAGGATATTGATGTCGATGTCATGATGATTGAGTGAGTACAATGCCTTAATAATATAGCAACAGCCCTTGGGCCTTTGCTGAATTGCTTTGAAGCGGCACAAGAGCCACACGGCATTGATTCTTTTTCCAAACAAAGATTAACCTAGATCGAGAACAGAATGCTATGAAATTTTTGATCGTGTCTAATTACTGACTATGTGAAGCATAGTAAAGGGCATAATAGAAGTCTTTTTTGAAGTACTTGTTCAAAAGAAACATTTGCAAATAATGCATAGATGTCGCCTTTGTGAATCGTGCATCTGCCACGTCTCCTAGCCAAGGAATGAGGCTGATAAATGAATGAAGTTGATGCCGGGGAACAATATTACCAATGGGAGTGCCATCAGTATACTTGGCACATTTCAAAATGATCATATCAGTGGCAGGATCGACCGAACCAGTGGTCAGAACCTGTATGTAGCACAGATATTGATCTCTCCAAGTGACGTGAGAACCCCTTCGAGGGATTGGATGCATGATAAGGTGCAATTCACATATTGCGTGACCTTCAAAGCATGAAGATTTATATGTGTTCATATCATAAAAGAATACTCACCTGTTAGACCTGATTCAGGCCAAACAGACCCTCCTTCAACATTGACAAGGACAGTGTCTTGTCAGCCTTTTGACCACCCAGGGCCAGGAGGAGATGCATGTACAGTTTGAGCTGGTAATGTAATGCTAGAATTGTGGAAAGCTGTTTCCTGAAGGCGAACAGTATACCATAGTTGAAGATGGTCAAATGGAAGGATCGGAGGACATTCAATTGACGGCCTTCTTCTTGGACCCCCACCCCATAAACTTCTCCTCTCTCCCTCGCATCACACAGCAAAAATTCTGAAAGCACCACATGCAAATCCAGTATGTTGAAATCAGTAGCAACGTCATCAACGCTAACTCCGGTGCGAGAAGGATTGTAGTTGAGGTGGATTGCTGTACCACCAGCGATAAACGTTTGAGGAGGGTGAGGAATAGCTTCATCCCTCGCAGCAAATACTTTCCTTGCTTTACTGAAGTAGTTTGTGGTGATGCACGTGTGGTTCATTTGATCTAGAAGCACAGTTTGTGGATTGTCCTGTTCCCACTCATCACAATTGATTGCCTCCTCTTCCTCCTCTTCCTCGGGAATATCTCCAGGCCTGGGATTGAGAACACGGTAATTGCGATGACTCTTGAGTGTCGTGGTGATTGCAAAACATCACAACTTTTCATCCCAATCTAGATGCCGACAGACCCGGGGGTCATAGTCATTGTTATTAGTATGACATGCGGGGTCCTTGATTTCTGAAACATGCGTGTGCTCCGTCGCATCTGCAGACCACTGAATCAGAGCACCCACGTTGCGCGTGCCAGAAGTGATGCTCTGAAGGAATTCTAGTTTAGGAATAAACCAGTTATCAATAGGCTTCTTGGCTCCCATCCGCACACCCAAAGTCATGATGATGTCCTTGTTTTCATGGAAGGCCAAAAGGGCTTTGTCAATGCTTGCCAATAAGTCGTCGTCGGGAGCAGGGCACTGCACCGAATATCGAACATCTATGAGGGCACAGATTGCGATGACGAAACAATGAGGGGCTGCACTAGATATCAGGCCAACAATGTAGCGTTGGATATCACAGTGACCTCACCCTGTGACTTGTTTGAGTTTCGAGATTCCGCCGGCAAAGTGGCAGTAACCTGTGACAGGCTGTAGGATCAAGAACCAGAAATCGAGTTCTGAGGTGCCAACAGCTACTAGACACCACTGACAGTTATGGTCAAAAAACTCCTTGTGCCAATGATGCAGTGCTTCTGACATCAGGAAGATTGAGGGATCAGCGAGCGGCCAGTCCATCCAGAATGGTGTGCAGATGCCGTTTAGCCTGTATTCAGTGCAGGCATCAAAATATGCCTCAAGGTGGGCGGGATCGACTGTGATGCTGGCAAGCTGGTCAAGCATGATAGAGTGGGTATGAGGGGGGTGCCGAAAAATATCACCAAACTGCAGATAAGAAGCCATGGTGAATGGAGAGGTCTTCCCGTGTACACAGGAAAGCATAGCTGCCTCTGGAGTGTCGATGATATATGCTGCAAGAGGCATGAAGCAGTACCAAACATTTCCGACCGGATCTGACATCATGATCCCTATCTCAGCAGCTTTCATCAACGGCTTGAGAACAATCGAGAGACATTCATGCATAAGGCGATCTTCAAGCAGTCCTCGCATTCATTGACGAGGGTATAGGTACTTTGGGATGGGGAGAAGAGCCACAAGTAGGAAAGCTTTTGAGGAAAGTTTGGTGTGAATACGCATGCGTATGTTAGCGAGTCCCAGAAGAAGTGGATGAGCAAGTCTGGCACCTGTCATGGTAGTGATATTGGTTTTGTCAGAGGATAGTACGGTGCCAAGAACTGTGGCTCCTCGGGGAAACTGAGTCTACAGGTGGCGTGTTGAGATGACAAACAAAAAAATCAACTGCTGCACAAACTTGCATTTCCCAAGCAGCATCACCCAACATCCACTCCGAGTACACCTGTATAAGATGTGCTGCTGTTGTGTACACATGACGAGGGGTGAAATTGAGCTTGTCGTGGAAAAGCAGGTTGGCGAAAAGACTCTCTAAGCATTCGATAGGGTCCCTCCAAAATAATCGAATCAGATACTTGGTGGGATAGATGGAGGGGATAACTTGACACTTCCAGCTTGGTCCACTAGGAAGCATCTCCACACGGCTTCACAATTCTCTGGTGTTGCTGAATGAAAGGCATAATTTTTGGACCTAAACAGGAGGTAAACTACTCAATGCTGCAGAGTGCGAAGACCAGTACTTACCAGTGGAAGCCTCAAAAACACATCAATCGTGGCCATGCTAAGGGGTGAACACAGAAGGAAATCACCAATCTCCCACTCCTCCTTGGATGCGAAAGGGTAGAAGAGGTTCTCCTTCCTGCATTCAGCAAATTCATCAGCATCAAATAGATCTAAGAAAGTTAGTCCATACTTAGAGTAACATGTCCCGGCACCCTCGTACCGCTCCTCCAATGACCCTTCAACCACTCTGAATCCATCCTTGCTGAAATTAAAGTTGCCATCAAAGTTGGCATGTGCAGGATCGCCCGAATTGCGCATATCAGTAGTCGGAACCCCAGCATCAGCTTGGGGTGAGGTGTGACGTGACAGCAGTTCTACCTCTGCGAACTGTGAGATGTTGACAATGTCTCGGATGGAGCTATGACAGGATGTTCGGGGTTGGCTGAGATGGCAAGTGATGCTGCTGTCCTTTGCGAAGATCTTCCCGCAATTTGGACATGTTGATACTGACATGAAAGGTTATCACACACTTCACATAGTCGTCACATGCCTCATACTCTTGTATATTGATCACTTACTACATAGTATTCATCATATCCATCCCATGAATTCCCTCAGCTCTTCTCCATCTTTAAACTCATCTACATACAGTCACAAATCATACACAAGTCCAAATTCGCAAATATTGAATGTGGCTCAGTCATGCCATCTGGGAGAGGAAGTTTTTCCTACCGCCACGCACCTTGTGAGATCCCCCTTCGAATTCTATTTTCTTCTCCATCTCATCCATCTTTGGTAGGAGGTCAATTACTAGTTAATGCAAGGGGTTGTAGAAGGCGCTGTGGCCGACCATTCTGACCTTGCGCTAGAGGCAGCCAAAGCCAAGCAAAAAGTGTGTGAAGCCAAAAAGCACCTGGCCGATTGCATTCTCAAACACTAAACGACACTTCTCAACCTCTGGCACCATCGTGCAGAGGCAGCAAATTCCCAGCTATTGACAGCAGATCTTAATGTTGGGCGCATGCACATGGAACAAAAGAAGAATGGTATTGCAGCATTCACTCACTCAGAATCCACAGTGGTAAGTCTCTTTGCTATGATTCCTGATTATCGTTGACCCGCGAGATCATTACAGACAATGCACACCGGCTCAACTCTGTACTAGCCGTCAGTGGCGTCTCATAGCATTTTCTGCAACCGCTGCCGCCGCTGTATATATTTTTATCATTTGCGCTATACTGTACCATTTCATTCAATTCGACACCTCCATGTGACTGTGACGTGTTGGGTCAATTCGACATTCCAACACTAACGGATGTGACGTGTGACATGCCTGAAATTTCGACATATGAAAACAAATGAGTGGACTGTGGCACTGTACTTGGGACATTCAACATGAGTGATACGAAGTCCCCTCGCTATTTGCACCCATCCTTCGAACCTCCTGAAGGGGTCCTGTCACAACTTCTACCTGATAGACAACTTTCGGTCCTACAATTCTTAGCCTTCAAGTTTCCTACAATCACAACAGTAAAAAACACATTCGGCCCAGAAGACTTTTTTTGCTCCAATCAACCGTCAGTCCATGACACAAGAGACATACAGGACATGCCTATTCCTCCCCCCCAAACACTTCAGATGCTTATCGAGTCGAGCATCCACTCACTACACGAAGGGGCACGATCTTTGAAGTGTCCCCATCTTATGGGTGCCATTGAAGCACGACTTCCATGCTGGGTGCTCACCTACTGGTATGAAGTCATTGCTATTCGAGCCAGCTACCTTGAACCATGGGCCCGTGCCGAAGAAAACTTGGAGAAGAGGAATCAGTCATGGAAAGATAACGAGAAGGACGAAACTCGAACCTTAATTGCAAAGATTTATTGTGCTTTCAGCTGCATCTCATGGTGTGGCAATATCAGGGGTTTTAGCATTGAAGAACCCATTGTCGAGTTGTCAAAATATGCCTCAAATCAGTGGCTCACTGACGTCCACGAGAACCAGATGCTCGAACTGCTTAGAAGGAAAGTTCGGCTTCAACCAGGGGGTCAAGAAATCAAGATCGAAAACACCTACTTCTATGGCTTCTTAGAAAAGGGACACAAATGCCATGAATCTGGAGAGTACGAGGACAGTCGGTATTTTGCAAGGGCACGAGGGATAGGGCACGAGTTAGCTGCTGGGCTTGGCAGTCAAGTTGGGTTCCTGGTGAACACAAATCATAATCATTGGGTCGCTGTTGTTCTGGATTTCAAATCACATGTTATCCTTATCGGCGACTCGCTGAATCCAGAACCATACAGAGAATTACGCACCGTGCTGCAGTGGTGGACCTCTCATCACTCTGGCCACCAGTTTACTGAATGCACACTCGACATCACTCGCCAACAAGATCTCGTCTCCTGTGGTCTTCTCTCTTTCAATGCTCTCGCACACCATTTTCTTCCCTCAACATACCCCCTTACTTCTGCCTCGCAAGTACAAAATGGCCGGCTACAAGTTCTGTTGAATGTTGTTAACCAACATCTTGACCAGGTAAGACTCCGTCACCTCATTTAGGACGAACTAACACCAACGATAGAGTTTCGAGTCTGTTGGCCAGAATTATCAGTTCTTGTTCTCATCTCTAGCAACAGGGACACAGACTCCCCTACAAGCTCAAAGCCCAGAGATGCCACTCGTCAGTGATACAGAGTCTCTTGACAGCTATTCAAGCTCTATCGAAAGTGACAATGAGACCTTCGACAGCAGTATGAGGCAAAAAAATAAGGCCTTTACCAAAGAGCATCGTCAATCTGCGATCCAAGAGGCTATCAAAGAGCAGAAGGATGGACGAGCACGAGGACTGATGAAGTTTCTAAAGCCATGCACACCAGAAGAGTTACGTGCTCAGCTACAGGTGGTTGAGGCGAAGTTGGATGATGGGTGGCAGCAGGCAGCAGAATTTCGAGCAATGACTGATGAGAGACGACGGATGAGTGTACGAGAGGGCAACAAAGAAAGACAAAGAAAGTACCGTCAGAAAATATGTGACACTGGAGGGAACAAACATAATCTTAAGGTTTGTCAATCAGATTTTTTCGCCTGTCTGCAAAAAGACTTACATATTTCAGCGTCGTACATTAGACATGACACTTCTAGAAGACCGATCACCCAAGCGGTCTAGTTCATCGATTGCAGAGTTAACAAGGCCTGACCGAATGGTCAAAGAAAATCAGTGTCAGCATAAGAAGCATTCTCAAGGTCGCAAGTGCATCCACACGAAGCAGGATGCGGTGTACCACAACTGGCACGGACCTTTTACATGGGTGCAGATTGATAATGCTGCCAAAAATCTGTCAGTTTCCTGGAGCTCGACACGGATTGTTCAGTATCTGAAGAAGAAAGATTCAGTGACCTTCAAAGGTCTTGCAAGGTCCACGGTCGAGGGCTGGATCGATCGAAGTGGCAAGCCCAAATGGACCGAAGCTGCAATTCGGATGGCAAATCTGGGAAATCATCAGGGACATTCCAATGGAGGTAAAAAAGGGATTTTCATACGTGCTATCAACACTGCTGGTTTGGAATGATGTTGATTAGTTCAGTTAGACGAAGTATCCCGCTGCTGAGAAGGCCATCATCAAACAGCTTGAAGCACTTCGTGATGCTGGAGCTGTACTTACTCTCGTCACAATCCGAGGGATCATCATTGCAATCCTCTCCGATACGGCGCCAGACATCTTTGAGCACCAAGCAAAAGACGGCTCGAAGTTCCAGTGTTCAGATGCATTTGTTCGACATTGGTTGCATGAAACCCTGCACTGGTCCGAGAGACGCACGACACGAGCTGCCCAAAAAACTCCGGATAATTGGGAAGACTTATGCGAGCGAGCCTTCTTTCGACTAGCACACGTCATCAAAGAGGAGGACATTCCATCTGGTCTCTACGTCAATACTGACCAGACTCAAGTTGTCTACGCACAAGGGTCCAACCTGACATGGGCAAAGACAGGTGCAAAGCAAGTCTCTGCAATCGGTAATGACGAAAAACGCACGTTCACAGTTGTCATCTCGGTTGCCAATGACGGCACGATGCTTCCGCTGCAAGCTATCTACCAAGGCCACTCAAAAATGTCGTGTCCAAATCCATTGGCTGCGAACTATGAAAATTGCATCAAGGAAAATTTTCATTTCGAGTTTTCAAACACAAAAAATTACTGGTCAACACAAGCAACAATGCGTACCCTGGTTGACGAGATCATTGCACCATATTTTGAAATGAAGAAACAAGAGCTCAGCTTACCACAAACACAAAAATTGGTGTGGCAAATTGACGCGTGGTCGGTTCATCGATCCCTCGAATTCCGAACATGGTTGAAGGAGAACCATCCAACGATTGTGCTGAATTTTGTACCTGGAGGGTGCACAGGCTTATTTCAGCCTTGCGATGTTGGAATGCAGCGAGTTTTCAAGCATTCATTAAAGAGATCGTACCATAGTGATGTGGTGCAGGAGATATCACAACAGCTCGCGCACGACAAGGAGAACTTGGTCATCGACAAGTGTGTTGCCATTATGTGCGATCGAAGTGTCACATGGATGTGGGACGCATTCAAAACTGTGGGGAAACCTATCATTGTGAAGAAGGTAAGAAATAAATAAAATGACTAGCACGTACTGAATCGCGATTGTAGGCATTCGAGATGTGTCGTGTTCGCGAATATAACTTGTCATACGAGAGCCTTACTGGCTTTGCCGCACGAGACAAGTTGCGAAAGTTGAAATCAGAAGACCCTCATTTTTGGGAAGAACTCACCAAAGTGCAGCCTCAAGAAACTACGGACACTACAAACACAAACGAAGATATTGAGACGGAGGTGGACCTCTATGATGACACATCATTTGACGATACCGATGTCCCGTGTGCGGTTGTAATTGCTGATATGGTGGGTGCTTGTGTTGCAGCTGGTATTGAGAGGGTGGACGGGAGGCTTGGTTCAAAGACGGACGCAGAGAGCTTGGAGTTTGAAGGGAACAACCATAGCGAGGGTAGCGCTGATGTGGCGGAGGAGTTAGGGCAGGGAAGAAGAAACAAGAAGGCCAATACTCTGTATTCCCACACGTTCTGGCGCCATCATGACGACGGCGAGACTTGAATTTGAGTACCGAGTCGAGAAACATAGTTATGGCGTAGTTAATCATGTATTAATCGCTTCTTGGACCCATACCAGGTGGCACCCCAATTAGGACCCCGGAAGCAAAAACCCAACCCACCGTGCTCAACGGCGGCAACACCTCAAGCATACCAATCAGTTTTCTCCTTACATAGATTACTAGTAAAACTCTTGCTTTAATAATGTCTCCAAACGAACTGTCACAAGAGGATACCAACGGAACAAAGAATTCCCGGCCTAAACGCGGCAACAACGCAAATTTTAGACCGTCCGGGAGATCTATTCCAGACCTACTATCCGACCCAGTTCTTTCGTCAGCAAGTAACGAACGAACACACAGCAAGATCAGAACTAGAGAAGTGTTTCCTCATCACTCCCGCAACAGAAATTACAATCGACTCACTAATCACGGCGTTACTAGATTTCACTATCCAGACCCCTTCCCTTTCAACAATGTGCATAGATATTATACGCGCGGTAGCCATACTACTGCTCAAAACAGACCACGAAAAGAAGATTAACAAAATAGCGACCGCAGTAACAGACATCATCTCAGAATCCATCAATAGACTAGAAAACTCATCCAAAAAAGATATCAACACGGAACTAGAAAATGCAAACTTAATAGCAACCATAGCAAGAGCAGAAGACGCAGCAGACGGAGTCCTCAGCAGTGTCGAAGAAATCAAAAACATCGTCAACCTATTAGCCCCCTCCCTAGACTCAGTTCAAACGCACCTTAACTCCTTCGCCACAAAGATCCCGATCCCGACTTCACCCGAACCCATCCAAACAGAAGGACAGCCCAGATCATACAGCTCGGTAGTAAAACAAACTCCACCCCAAACGGCACCCATCTCAGCCGCCCTCATTCGAGCAGCCACTAGAGAAAGACAAGTACTCTTCGATCCAACCCCAGGACACACCATCTTTCCCCCAGAATCCACCCCAATCGAAATCGCCAATAAAGTCAGCCAGACCCTTCGAACACTACGAAAAGAAGATGATCCGGAGATAGAGGTCAAAGCAACACAGAGACTACGGAACGGAGGAGTAGTGATCGAGCTAACCACATCACAAGCAGCCTCATGGGCACGCGCTCCTGCAAACCGTCAAGCTATAATCGAAGCCTTAGGGATCCAAGCGCAAATCAAGAACAGAACATTCCCCATCATAGTCCCATTCCTACCAGTAACCGCACCAATAGACAGCCACGACTGGATCAGGGAAGTAGAGACGGAAAACGACATGTCCCCAAACTCCATCGAATACGTAAAATGGATCAAACCCAAGGAACGAAGAGACACCAACCAACGGGTGGCACATGCAATATTCCACTACACCAATCCCAAGTTGGCCAACATCAATCTACGAGACGGCATTTACATAGGCAAAGAGAAGCTACATCCGAGGAAAGACAAAAGAGAACCAGTTCGATGTGTAAGATGCCAGCATTGGGGTCACGTAGCCAAAGAATGCAACGCACCAAGGGACGCATGTGGCACTTGCGGGAAAAACCATCGCACAGCAGACTGCAACGCCTACAAGACGTTCTATTGTGTCAGCTGCAAGACATACGATCACGCTAGTTGGGATAGGAAATGCCCAGAGTTCGAAAATAGATGCGCAGGAATCGACGCTAAGCTTCCAGAAAATTCTATGCCCTATTACCCCACTGACGAAGAATGGACTCAGGTACTACTCCCCCCCAAACCGCACACCAACAAACCACCTCAAGCACCTCAACCCAATCAAACCCGCCATGAAAACAACAGACCATATCAATCTACACTCGACCCCAGACGACCGAACATGATTATTAGACAGAACCAACGCGCATACACACCATCAGGACCGAACGCCATCCCAATCAGCCAAACATGAAGATCTCCGACCCCTCCGGCTAACGCACCAAACACACCAGAAGGCTGGAGAATTACCCCCACCCCCTGACGCTCAACATGATGACAGCATATTCCATACCCCCACATCCACTCCTTTACCATCCCGTCAGAACAAAACCACACGTTCACTACCCATACCCAATGTCTAACGACGATAACGAAACCGCGACCAGGATTAGAATTTGGCAACAAAATCTAAATGCATCAGCAATTGCCCAACACTCTCTCCTCAACGGACCGATAGCTCAAGATTGGGACATACTCGCGATTCAAGAACCGCATATCAACGCCACGAAAAACACTATCTCATCACCATCATTTCACGCAGTATACCCTTCAACCAGATACACTTCGGACTCAAGATCTAGAGCAGCCACGCTGGTAAACAAATCCATCAACACCAATGCCTGGCAACAAATCCCATTCCCATCACCAGACGTGGTGATAGTCCAAATTCGCGGCGACTTCGGCACATGTACAATAATCAATATATACAACGACTGTAACACTACGACAACACAAGACCAACTCTCAACATTCTTCGAAACGGACATGGCACGAATACGACCAACAGGCAGATGACCACGTCATATGGTTAGGCGACTTTAATAGACACCACCCCTTATGGGACGAGGACCGAAACGTTCAACTATTCACAGCACATTACCTCAACGCAGCGCAACCGTTACTCGACCTCATATCGGACTACGACATGGTAATGATGTTGCCGAAAGGCATCCCAACTGCTACAATCAACCGCCACCAAGAATTGGACAAGACCGGATAATATTTTTTGTACAGAACATACTGAGCAATACTTCACGACATGTAACACTAATCCAGCGCTACGTGGTCCAGCAACAGACCACGTCCCCATAATCAGCATACTCGAACTAGAAGTACCAAGGGCCACCACTGGAACCAGCATCGAACTATAGAGAGGTAGATTGGGAAGCTTTCAACGAGCTACTCGAGACGGAGCTAGCTAAACTCCCACCGGCACAACCATTGGTTACTAACGATGATTTTCAAAAGGCAGCAAGCAACCTCACCAAAACCATCCAAACGGTCATTAACGAGAAGGTACCACGATCACGCCCAAATCCACACTCGAAAAGATGGTGGTCAAGAGAACTCACGCTACTACGACGCTGAAGTAGCAAAGTTAGCTAACCTTTCATACAGAACGAGAGCAATCCCGCATCACGCCAGTCATGAAGAACATCGAATCAAGCGGAATCAATACTCAGAAGCGATCAAGCAAGCAAAGAAACTCCATTGGACCGAATGGCTAAACGACATGTCGGGAAACGACATATGGATAGCGAATAAGTACCTGACATCAACAGCAGGAGATGGAGGGCTGTCACGTATACCCACGCTAAAGCAGCAAAACAGAATGGCAGACACAAATGAGGAAAAAAGCATAGCGCTCGCCCAAGCATTCTTTCCTCCCCCTCCAATTCACTCCTCCGTACCCGCTAACTTCGAATATCCAACAGCCGTACCTGCGCCAGCCCCGATCACCGAAGACCAAATCAAACGAAGCATAGAAAAACTTAGCCCATTCAAAGCACCTGGCCCCGATGGCATATGCAATGTCGTTTTCATTCGCTGCGCAAGGCTCCTCATCCCGCACCTCCTTCAAATATTCAGAGCAGTGTTCACGCTGAAGACTTATTTCGACCCTTGGAGAGAATTCATAACGGTAGTATTACGTAAACCGGGTAAACCGGACTACACGGTAATGAAGGCATTCCGTCCAATAGCTTTACTAAATACCACTTGCAAACTACTAACAGCGGTAGTCGCAGACGAACTAACATATCTCCTAGAACACCATAATCTCCTCCCCAGCACTCATTTTGGAGGCAGGCCAGGCCGTTCAACTACGGATTCGTTACATTTATTGGAAGCAACAGTCAAAGATGCTTGGAGACAAGGCAAGTGTTACGACAACGGTCGTAGTCGGACTGGGATGGGTAAGCGAAGGACGATGGTCCTAAGCTATCTGTCGTGTATCGGTTGAACGTCAATATACCTGGTAGCCTAAGCCGTCAGGTTGTGACAGAACAGGAAGGGAGGTAAGCTTCTAAGGCAACGGCCGAAGAAGGGTTTCGTGTTCGACGGTTAAGTCTAGACGAGGGATCGGTATCGACTCAAAGACTAACGGTCTGAGAGAAGATGTATCGGACTCAAGGATAGCGATCCAAGAGTATAGAGGTTTCGTGATCAGACTCAAGAGAGTTAACTCAAGAGAATATACAAGTCAAGGTAAAACCCAGTAGAATCAAGTTAAGGAATAATAGTACAAGTGGATCGACTATATATAGGTAAGGATCACAGTGTTCAGGGCAGGTCTGGTAATCGTACAAGGGTTAGGAAAGATATATCGGGAAGGCATGAGCAGGCAGGAGTCCATGATGACCAGGGATAGGGTTCTGTGGGAACATCAAGGGAAAAGGAAGTAGGGCCATGAGGCCATAGATCAAGGGTTCAAATGGAAGCGTCTAGCTTCTATCACAGAAGGTCAGGGTCGGCGGGGATCAGGAAGTGCATCAAGCAGCATGGTGAATCGTGAAGAGGTGAAGGTGTGACGTTGTGACGAGGTGAAGGGTTAGAAAAAGATAGGGGCTCCATGTTACTGTAACATTAGCTCCGTTTCAAGATGTGAAGTCACCGACTTCTACAAATCAAAATTGTCCAGCGAGGGTGCACATCTCCGAGAAGTGTCCTGGAGCAGGGGCTCGACAGGCTAGGCAAACGTAGGAGGTGCAGGTGTTCGTATGATGGCCGTTCAAATGGCCGCAGAGTCGGCATCGTCTAGATGGTTCTACTTCAACAATGGGGGTGGAAGGTCTAGTGGGAGCTAGGGCTCGACCAACTTCAACCAATCTATCATGGAAATCTCCTTCATCAAGTGCGTTCATCAAGAACTCTGCTTGGGTGTTCAACATCAGGAGGATGTCATTTGAGACGTGGGTGGGGATGTTATCGTTTAGGAGAGTGCAAGTGATTCTGGCATTCTGCACATAGGCGTTCCAGAGAGCATCAAGCAGGGGGGAGTCGTGGAGTGTCTCTTTCAATGCCTCTAGGGCAAGGGGATCAAGGAGGTATCGGTGGTAATTCTCATGCATGTAGGGAACGATGCGAGTCGTGAATGGGATGTTGTTCTGGTGGAGGGGATTCATGATGATGTTTCCGCTGCTAGAAGACGGGAGAGTCGAAGTCGTTCTTTATAGCCTTGGAGAGTGTCGGCTGCATTCGTAAGTTCAACTTCAGGGAGCCACGAGTTTTCAGAGCTTGGATAGCCATTCCATGATACAAGGAATTTGCGGCGTCCCTTCTGTCCTTTATGAGCTAGGATGGCTTCGATTTCATACTCTTCTTCGTCATTAATCAGTTCAGGGGGTGGTTCTGTGAAGTTCGGACCGTGGATCTCTGTCTCTCGATAGGATGATAGCTCGGAGGCATGGAAGACGGGGTGAACTCTCCATGATGGAGGTAATCGGAGTTTGAACGTGATGGGGGATAAGACGTCAATGATTTCGAAGGGGCCGTGTCGTTTCGGAGCAAGCTTCTTGGAAGGGAGATGGGTGATAAGGTGCGAGGCAGATAGCCAAACTTTGTCTCCACGTTTCCAGGGTTCATACTTCTGTCCGTGCGATCTCTCAGCCATGCGTTGCATTGCAAGGTTGTGGCAGGCGAGGGCTTCTTCTCTAGCTTTCTGGAGTCTAGTCAGTCGTTCTTCTGCGGTTGGGATAGTAGATTCGGGGAATGCGTAAGGGATGCCGCGTGGTTCGTAGCCCATCGTGAGGAAGAATGGGGATGCGTTGCGGGCGTCATGTTTGCGGTGGTTGTGGACAAACTCTGCCATAGGAAGATGTTTGGCCCATTCAGTCGGGGTGTTGCGACAATAGATGCGCAAATAGGTTTCAAGTTCCTGGTTTAATTGTTCTGTCTGGCCATCTGTCTGAGGGTGGTATGCGGTGGAGAGGGCAATATCGTAGTCAAGGAGTCGTCCAAGTTCTTTTGCGAGTTTTGAGGCGAACTGGGGGCCTCTATCGGAGATAATCTTGTCGTAAAGTCCAAATCTAAGGAAGACTTTCTCGAAGAATAGCTGAGCTACTCCTTCTGCGGTGATCGTTTTGTTGCAGGGAGCTAAAATTACCCCCTTCGTAAGACCATGGTCTACCACGACCATGACTGAGTCATAACCGTCGGACTCGGGGAGGTCGGTGATGAGGTCAACAGAGACCTGGGAGAAGGGATGGGTCGATGTCGAGGGGATCGGATGCAAGGGTGGGGTTGTCGGATGGGTATCAGACTTCATTTGCTGGCATGTAGCGCAGCCTTCAACATATTTTCTGATGTAGGTGCCCATTCCGGGCCACCAGTGGTTGCGTTTAACCAATTCTTCAGTCTTGAATCGTCCCGGGTGACCTGCAGTTGCATGGTCATGATGGAGGGAGAGGATCTTGGGTCGGAGTGCGGGGGGAGTGTATGCACGGTCTTTGTAGAACAGCACACCGCTGTCTAACTTCCAGTCAGAGAGTGCAGACTTCATAGGCGGGGCACAAGTGCCATCTAACGCCTTAGTCGCAGTGTCAATGATCGGGTCAGAGTCAGGGTTACTTGCTTCATGGAAAGCGTCCGCTAGTGAAGCATCAAGGAGGTTCACAAATAGGTTGTCGGGGAGGAGTGTCATATCTTCGTTATCCGGTTCGCCGTTGGAGTGATCGGGTCTTCTGGAGAGAGCGTCAGGAGCGATGAGTTTGCTTCCAGCGACGTGATGGAATTCGAGGTCAAAGGTGGTGAGGGTGAGTTGCCAGCGAGCTTGTCGCCTGGTCAACTTCTGAGCGGATCGGAAGTAGAGGAGGTTCTTGTGATCGGTGAATATGATCACGGGATGGGGGTTTCCTTCGAGGAAATGTCTCCATGCTTGGAGTGCGCGAATCACAGCGAGGAGTTCACGATCGTAGATCTGATAGTTTCTTTCTGCTGTGTTCAGGGATTGGGAGAGATATCCACATGGATGATACAATCCATTTTCGTCAGTCTGGAGGAGAACTGCTCCTGTTGCGAAGAGCGAGGCGTCAGTTGCTAGTGCAAACTGCTTCGTGGGGTCGGGGTTCTTGAGCACCGGCTCAGAGAGGAAACATTCTTTCAATTTCTGGAATGCGGCTTCGCATCCTTCAGTCCACTGGAAAGGGACATCTTTCTTTGTCAGATCAAGGAGGGGTCGTGCGATATCGGAGTAATGAGAGATGAAGTGGCGGTAGAAATTGCAGAAGCCGAGGAATGATCGGACTTCTTTAACTTTGGTAGGTGCCGTCCAATCGCTGATGCCTTTTAACTTGGCAGTGTCCATCGCTACTTGTCCAGGGCGAATGATCATACCGAGGTAATCAATTTCTTGTGTGTCAAATGCACACTTTTCGGGTTTCAGGAAGAGGGTTTCTCTCCGGAGGATCTCAAGCACTATTCTAGCGCGAGCCTGGTTTTCTTCAACCGTGTCGGAGAATATCAGGATGTCGTCCATGTAGACAATCATCCAGCCTTCGTCGATCTGATGCCTGAACGTCTGGTTCATATAGGCTTGGAACGTTGCTGGTGAATTGCAAAGTCCAAAGAACATGACTTTCGGCTCAAAGAGTCCGAATGAGGTCGTGAAAGCGGCTTTGTGGCGATCTTCGGGGTGAATCAGGATGTTGTTGTATCCGGAGCGGACATCCATCTTCGTGAAGTATTTCGCATCACGTAGTTTCGCGATCAAGGGAGGGATGAGGGGGAGCGGGTATGCATTCTTGACCGTCCATTCGTTGATGTAACGGTAATCTTGGCAGGGTCTCAGGGATCCGTCTTTCTTTCCTACGAAGAAGAAACCGCTTGCTTGGGGCGACTTCGATGGTTCAATAAAATCTTTGGCAAGATGTTCATTGATGAAAGCCTTGGCGGCTTCGGTTTCTTTCGGAGAGAGTGGGTAGTTTCGGGCGGATTTGGGAATGTATCCCGGCTTCGTTTCAATGCGGTGGTCGACTCCCGGTCGAGATGGAGGGAGTTTGTTTAGGCCGTCTTTGGCGAAAACATCCCAGAAATCATGGAGGTGTTTTGGTACGAGCTCCTCAAAGCTCTTCTTCTTCTTCTCTTGTTCTCCTTTCATGGCAAATTCTTGAGCCTTATTGCTCGTTTTCATGTACTCTTCTTCGTGGGATTCTGCTAGAACCCATACGTTGCGAAGTGGAGAGCGGCGAGCGGCTCGTCGGGTTTCTTTCTTAGAGGTGCCGTCACGGGTGGGAGGGGAATCGAAGATCAGATTCTCGATGATCCTTACATTGGTGCCATCGGTGGCATACTCAATGAGGACTTCGTCGTCTCGAAGGGGATAGGTGGCGACTTCGTCTACCTTTGGTGCGAAGTCTACTTGGCCAACCCATACGTCTTTCATCGTGTCGAAATCTTTCGGTTTGATCGGGGTGGGTTCATCAGGGGTGGAGACGGGGACCTTCCCGCTCTTCCTGGTCTTCTTCTTCTTCTTGTCAGCGCGCTCCATGACATGCTTAGCATTCAGAGGGAGGCACTTCAAGGGTGAGAAGTCTTCATCATCAGTGTTTTCAACCGTTGGTTTCTTCCCCTTAGGCATAGGAGAACTCTTGATTGCATGCTCAGAATCGTTTTGTGGTTGAGCAGAGGCTGAGCTAGGCCAGCTCATTTGTCTTTTCAGACGTTCTCTGTACCTTTGGTTCAGGAAAACTGAACGGTTGGTAATCTTGCGGTTCTGTGAATCCAAATGGCAGATATCCGCTGATCATGTTCTGGATGAACGAGAGCGGTTCCTTTGCTTCTGCGAGTTTGAAGGGGTTCCGCGGTGTCTTTGGGCGAGCTGTCTTCTTTGCTGCTGCTGCCCGGTCGGTGTCCATGACTTCATCATCATAGTCGGATGATTCATCCTCTACCTGAGGTTCAGGTGGTGAGGGGGTGCTGTCGAAGTGGTGGTTATCATGATCTTCAATCATGGAGGTGGTGGGGGGCGTTCTGATGGTAGCCTTCTTCTTCTGGGGTTTTGTGCCATTCTTGGCGGCTTTCTTCTGCGTCTCTGCAGGTGGTGTCGTTGAGGAGGTGGTCTTTTGCTTATCAAAGCAGACCGGGGGTACTCCGTTCTTCTTCCTTTCATTGTTGATCTCCTTCTCGACAGAGAGGGATCGGGGAGTGGGTAACATGGTGAGTGTGTTGTTGGCCCAATCGATGTCAGGGGGTCATCGCGGAGAGGAAGGGTTTTCCTAAGAGGAATTCGTCTCTCTTGGAAAGTTTCGTGACGTTGAACTTGCCCCACATGGTCCGTCCATCTAGTCTGATGGCGAGCTTGCAGTACCGGCGTACTTTTCCTGCCGATGAGTTGCTGCCGTCGACGGTGGTGATGTGGAAGGGTGTGGAGAGGGGTTGTGTTGTCATGCCGTACTTCTTGACGAAGTCGGCGTCGATGAAGGAGCCGCCTGCTCCTGAGTCAATGATGGCGGTAGTGCTGATTTCTTTAGCACTCTTGGTTCCGTAGATTGTCATCGGAATCCGGAATTCGTTCTCTTTGCCGACCGTCTTGGTTGCAAGTACGGCGGTCTTTGTCTTCATCGTCACTGGGGGCTTTCCCTCAGTTACCGTAGCTATCCTGCTAGTATCAATCTTTCTGGCATCTCCTGTCTTGGTAGTGCGTGGTGCGCCCGCATTCTTGCTGGTTGCGCAAAGCCTGTCGCGGCTTCGGTGTCCTTGCTGTCCACAGCTAAAGCACAGTCCTTTCCTCATGTATTGTGCTGTCTGGCACGAGGTTAGGGATCGTCGGTTGTTCGTCGAGGTTCTGTACGAGGGGTTCATCGTGGAGGTCGACATGTCGGGGATCAGGGTGTATCTGGGTGGTGTTCCTGCAGATGGAGGAAGTCCGTAAGAGTAACTTGATTCTTATGTTACGACAACGGTCGTAGTCGGACTGGGATAGGTAAGCGAAGGACGACGGTCCCAAGCTATCGTGTCGTGTATCGGTTTGAACGTCAATATACCTGGTAGCCTAAGCCGTCAGGTTGTGACAGAACGGAAGGGGAGGTAAGCTTCTAAGGCAGCGGCCGAAGAAGGGTTTCGTGTTCGACGGTTAAGTCTAAACGAGGGATCGGTATCGACTCAAAGACAAACGGTCTAAGAGAAGATGTATCGGACTCAAGGATAGCGATCCAAGAGTATAGAGGGTTCGTGATCAGACTCAAGAGAGTTAACTCAAGAGAATATACAAGTCAAGGTAAAACCCAGTAGAATCAAGTTAAGGAATAATAGTACAAGTGGATCGACTATATATAGGTAAGGATCTCAGTGTTCAGGGCAGGTCTGGTAATTGTACAATGGTCAAGAAATGATATATCGGGAAGGCGGGCTCAGGCAGGAGGCCATGAGGTCAGGGATGGGAATATCAAGGAAAAAGGAAGTAAGGCCATGAGGCCATGGATCAAGGGTCCAAATGGAAGCATCTAGCTTCTATCACAGAAGGTCAGGGTCGGCGGGGATCAAGGAGTGCATCAAGCATCATGGTGAATCGTGAAGAGGTGAAGGTGTGACGTTGTGACGGGGTGAAGGGTGAGAAAAAGATAGGGGCTTCATGTTACTGTAACACTGGCCGACCTCTGCTTGTACATGCACATTGGTGCTGGCCAGAGCTGTGGGGATGGTACTGGCCGACCACCCAAGTGAGGCTCCCTACACACATACATCAGTACCAGCCAACAACTTAGGGCATCAGCAAAAACCTACACATTGTTGAATAACTGTATAATACTTGGCCAAGTCTTTCCATGACTTGCACTTCTAAGATACTCAAGTCCAGCAGGATATTTGACTTATGCAAGTTGATCAGTGTCAGTAGATAATGTAAGTATACAAATATATATAAGTGTTCATGTCTTATGTGATGTTGAGCATCATGGTCAAGAACCCAAGTATCTAAAACAACTCAAGAATGATAAGGAAAGTGTGGGTTTCCTCATGGTATTGATGAGAGAGCCGGCCGGTGCATGTCCAGGCCATGTACAGAAAGGCAGGCCGACACCTCAGGCATTGATAACAGAGCCGGCCGGATCAGGACCATGGTGTGTACAAGAAGGCAGGCCGACACATCAGGCATTGATAACAGAGTCGGCCGGATCAGGACCATGGTGTGTACAAGAAGGCAGGCCGACACATCAGGCATTGATAACAGAGTCGGCCGGATCAGGACCAAGGTGCGTACAGGCAGGCAGGCCGACACTTCAGACATTGATAACAGAGTCGGCCGGATCAGGATCATGTGGTGTACAAGCAGGCAGGCCGATACTTCAGACATTGATACCAGAGCCAGCCGAGCCATCTCCAGTCTAATACCTTAGACAAAGTATTATCAAGAAAGATGTTGATTTTAGTACTATCACTTGAGAGTTAGTCATTCAAATTGTACTATCTGCAAGTATAAATGGGCCAGCTCTAGAGTATGAGGTATATGCAGTGTTCCTGACCACCATAACTATCATATATTGGCTAGATAAGTCTTTGATATTATAATAGCCAAGACTGTTAAGTGACTACAATCATCTTGTCTTTGAATGAATTTTCAGCATCCAATGCAAATCTTCCCCACAAGAGCACCTGTCGATGTGTATAAGCTTGATGACCAGGCTTTGTAGCTTGTCGGTATCTTTGGTCCCATTCTTCCATCCTGTATTTAAACCAACTCACTGTCCAACCCATTTCGTGTTGGACCAATCTCAACTCCTCCTCCCACCTTTGCCATCTAGCCTTAGCTTTCAACCAATTTACCCTGTAGACTAATACCTGTCACTGCAGAAAATAGGCATATTAGATATGACTTACATTCATCCATCCAAACATCTTCCTGCGAATCATGACCATTATTGACTAGCCAAAACCAAGCCAGTCTGTCTGATCCCTGTCCATATCTGTTCTCTTCCGTCACTTCCTTGTCCACACTGAGCTGGTGTGGCTGAATGTCTTGATAAATCGTCCTCAGAGTATCTTCATCAGCCCCTAGTCTCTGCATTGAACCCCTTGCCCTTTGATACCTTCGGACACACTTCTCTATTTTGATACGGCATCGTAGAGCCTCCTGCTTTGACCTGGTTCCTGTCCATGTGGAATCTGCACTTCGGAAATGTTGACGGTAAATTATCGCTTTATGACCGAGAGCCTGCCGTAACTTTTCCAAGCAATCATTTGCTTGACCCTTTCGTAACTCCAGTTCTTCAGCTTGCAGAGTGTGCAAGCCCAGGGCTAAAGCCTCATTTCGGAGCACTGAAGATGGCATCCAAATGCCCATGGCTTCTGCAGGAACTTCCTCATCAATCTCTTCCAACACATCTTCAATATCTGCAGCCTCGCGTACTTCCTCCACCACATCTGTAGTGCAAAATCTGATGTCATCCATGTGCTCAGTACCCCCATGGACTTCAATGCCCTCTGTCATAGCATCAGCAATTTCATGAAATTTCGAAATACGTGCAGCCAGTTTTTGTCGTTTCACTTGAACTGCAGCCTTTTGAACTGCAGATGCATCTTTGGGAAGCTGCCGAATAGCTACCCTGAGTGCATCCCTAGATAGTAATTAGAAATACATCACCACCATCAATATATATGATGAAACAACATACTGTGAATCCTCTATATTGATGCCGTCAATGAGCCAAGAAATTGATCCCAACCTCCCTGTATCAGCATATTCTGATTCAGTTAATTTTAGCCGTATTTCTGCCATTGTTGGTGCTTCCAATCACCCAATCAGAATGTACGTCACAGGGAACTGAATAGAAGCTTCGAAGTGCTCACCTTTAGCTATCTTTAGCTGGTAGATGTCGAGATGTTCTCCACGTTCTTCTTTTGCCTTCTCCTCATCTTTTTCCCATGCCCTCACTTTGATGACATCCAAAGATCCTGTAAGCTCTTCAAATGGCACCCTAGTGTCTTCAATGCCCTTGTTGGCCCGTTTGTACTTTCTCAAGAGCGTCTTAACTGCATCAGTGTGAAACTGTGATGTCATTCATTCCAAATATAGGCACTTACCTATTCTGACAAGTTTTTTCCAATTTGAGTTACGCATATGATCATCAAGAATTTCTTGACGGTGTGCTTGGCTCATAGAACGTGCTGTGGGAGATATCTTGTTAAAGGGAGCCCAAAGTGTCTCCAGAATTTCCCCGTCAACTTGCCCAGCTCCTTGAATGAAGTTTAAGCTGTATCTAGCAAAACAGGCAAGTTTATGAGCGCTCAAGTGAAATTTCCCCACTGCAGCCACAATCTCAGTGTTGTCTGGGAGCTCCAATCCAGGGCAGTTGTCAACACGTTGAGTGAAGTTAAGGCTCCACTGGCACCCCACATCATAGATGATCAGGGAGTTGTCAATGTTGCCAGCAGCATGCTTAATGGCATTGCAAATGGAATAATCTATATTCATATGGCTTGAAGTGATTTTGTCAGCATGTCAAGCCCAAGGCTCGTCTTAACCTAGATTGAGTAAATGAAAGAAAACTTGCCGTTCACCCTTCTGAAAGTCCACTATGCAGTGGGGAACAAAACATCCATGCCGAGCACAAGCAGTGGCTCCGACCCCTGTAGCTCGGAGGTTGCTTCTGTTTGTGTTTGCTGCATTGACTGCCCGATGGTTGCTACACGAGGATCTCTTTCTACAGGTTCAGCCACCACTAACAATGCAAAGCAACTTGATTCACCTCTTTACTCTCCATAGCTGAAGCCAAGTGAGCTTGGTAATCTCCTGCTGTTACCATATAACCTAAACCATCTGAGAGGAAGACGTCAAGCTGAGGCTGTCGCATGTTCATGTGCTGAGCGGTAAAGTTTCCATCTACCACAAATCTTCTCATAACAAGCCACCTGCAATCAAAAAGTCAGCATCCGCGAGTTATCTGGAACCAACAACTTCTGGCCAATAGAGACAAATGGTCGGCCTTGACTGACTCTGAGCTGCGTACAGAAGGTACCGGCCAGGACCACTGCTGTGCTATGCACTGTGGGTACTGGCCGGAGTCTGGCAGACAAAGCCAGTAGAGACAAATGGTCGGCCGTGACTGACTCTGGGCTACGTACAAGAGGTACCGGCCAGGACTCAGCTGACACATATTACCGGCCAGGACCACTGCTGTGCTATGCACTGTGGGTACTGGCCGGAGTCTGGCAGACAAGGATTTCTGGAATTGACTTGCCTTTCGTACTTCTGCTCCCAAATAAGAGGCATGTTGATTCCTGGCTGCGGACAAGAAGGGCAAAATAGAGCAAAATCTCCTGCACTAGGGGGTGCTTCCATGTCATGGCCAAATCCAAACCATTTACGGTTCTTCAAGTCGCGCCAGAGTCGAGACACTCTCATGAGTTCACGATATCGATCCTACAGATGGGATTTTGCATTCAGTATGAGCTAGAATTATGGTATTGTCGGTTCTACTCACCGGGACAGCATCTGGAAAAGCATTATTTGTCAGCCGTCGGATTTTCTCAAAGAAGCTCATTGCCGAAGTCTTGCATTCCAAGGCATCAATGAGATAATGATCCAGTACTTCGAAGGTGAACGCAGTCCTAGGGCGCGTGATACTGGCGGGAAATAGTCCTGCTTGGAGCAGCTGCAGGTGATGTTCATGGTGTGATCCTGGACACCGACACCACGACACATTGTGTGTGAACACCCCAGAAGAATGTACAATAATCACAGAAGAATCTTGATCAAGGTGACATTGTCCAACTCCATAGCAAGGGCAAGACTTTCCACCATGGCCCATGTACCATATAAATCCTTGGGCAGAAAGAGTGACGTCTTCAAAGCACTTGCCATTCCAAAATTGGATTTTGTGGAAAGGCAATGACTGATGTGATTTGAGGAGACAAGGGCGACACCAGCTGTGGTCGCCAGTGCAAGTTGTGCAACGGAAGGAATTATCTTCACATTGGCAAGTCTCGCAGATGCCTGCGGTGGCAAATTTCTCTGAGTCCAAGATGACATCTAGATACACATCTCGGTGAGCGAGATACTCTGATATGAAGTCATTTTGTGTCTATGCCATTGATGAGAAACAATTACTAGTAAGCCAAGGCCTGTTAGACATACCTTTGTTTTTCTCCCTTGCTCAGCAGCCTCTTCGTCAATAACAAAGTCACCAAACATTTCCTGATTTAAATCCTCTTCTTGGATGTCTGGTGATTCTGTGTGTACTTCTTTAACTCGTTTTCTTGGGCTGGTAGTAGGCTCTGGCGAAGTTTGATACAGCCGATCAGCACAAGACTCAACCCAAGAGGGATTTCCCCTCTTGTCTCTTGTAGGTTCGTGAGCAACATAATCAACATCCGGATCCTTTTTTTGTGATAACTTTCCTCTATGTTGGAAAGAATAAGAAATAGCCTTGAGACGCTGCCTTTTTTTTGAGGACATAGTGCTTAGACCGAGGAAATATTCCAGTGTATGAGAAGTCAACCGATTTAAAATCACAAGCTTTGTCTAATCGGGATATCTATTTTCGGGAAACTACTCCTCGTCCCCTGCTCTTATTTGATCTCCGAATGGCTTTTAAACCCCCCTTCTTACCTGCCCCCACTCTATTCAGAAAATCCCGCTGGTTTGGAAACTTTGGTCTCGGTACACCAAGCCTATCGTGCACTTTATCCTTGACAAAGTGTGCAATCACAATTCTCTCCCCATCACCCCACCGTGGCACCCCGTGCTCCAGCACCTTCCCTAAAATGTAAACCATAGTGCCAGGCGGATATGCTAGCTCGGCACCCAGATCTGGCAGAGCTAGTACGGCATGATGACCTTTGCCAAGGCTCACCAAAAGGTCATAGAATGAAGGCGATGCTCCAGGGTCTCGGTGATTTGGGGTCTCTCGGTTGACAATAACTTCCAATCCAGAAAACTCCAAGGGCCAAACAACAGGATCTGAGGTACGAACCGTATCCTTCATATTAGCAACAGATTCCACACCGGCCTGATATTGATCTGGCGCAATAAGACTGGTGATAGCGGACCACAAATGTTCAGTTACGGTTATTTCGGACAACCAATCTCGGACTGCAGGTGAAGAAAGGGAGCTTGATTGGTACAAGTCATCCTGAAGCCGCTAGCCCATTTAAGTTAGTTCTGTATCACGGCAAGTATACGAATACAGAGTTACCTCATGGCGTTGCATGAATCCTCCCGGGCATAAAGTCACCCTTCCTACTCCAAATTCTCCCCCGCTTGAAGGCATGACAAATCCTTGAGAACGCCAAGGCTGCTTTGCCTTCTGAGTGGGCTTGGGCAAAGACTGATCTAAGGCAGGTCTCAGCAATTTGATGGACTGGTTGACACGATCCTAATTATAACTTATTAAAAGGACTTAAACTGTAATCAAATCAAATTCATACCATTCTATCAGGCACCATGATTTCTGGCAAATACCAAGCAAGGATCCTTCCATGCCTGTCAACAAATGTTGCCGGCTCTGATATTGAACCAAACGAAGGACAGTGGAAATATTTTGCTAGCTTATGTCTTTGGCTGTCAGCATGCGATGGATGGGACGCCTTGGCACTGTCCGCAAACCGATCTGCGTCCAAATCCGCTCGCACTATGGCAACATGATGAATGACAGACCCCCCAACCATCAAATCAACACTTACGGGGATTAACTACAGCATAGGCTATTATGACCGCAGCCCTGGTAAGTTCAATCTCGGCAATGGCATTCGCCTTGACATCACTACCAGTACTGGACAGACGTATGTCCTGCCACTTGGCCCACAATCTAGTCCTTAAGTTCCAGCTGTCAAGTTTTTCTGGACAGTGACGTGAGATTCCCTTACCTGGCTCTTTGCAGCAAATTGTCATTGATTTTGTCACCTATCAGCAACTCATACGGCGATGAATCACGCAGTAGGTCATCTATAAGCCTACAGAGGCTCTTGGACAGAATTGTCACAGCAGGATCCGCCATTTTTGGGTGGTTGGAGTTTGGAAAATCAGACGAAACAACAGAATGGTAAAATTTTCAACCGCAGGCGGTCTAGAGTCTAGACTATAAATGGTTTTAATTTACAATGTTGGAAGATCCAAATCGGGATAACTTCTAATTTGGATGGCGTCGTAATATAAGATTTGCAAAGACATACCATCCAAGCAGAGGCCTGTATTGTGAAAGAAACAGATGAGAAACAGCAGTCCCAACTTAAGTTACCTTACATCCTTCAAATTCAAGCTCAAGAAATGGCAGTCCAGACATAAAAGCTGGGAGAACCTTTAAATTTGAGCCTTATGCTAACGGCAAGTAATAAACTGGTCTGCCAGTGTTGAATATTGTGTCTTAGGCGCGATATAGCACAGTCGTGCAGGTAAATCCTTGTATCTGAGCTTTCCACCTGGGCTCAGGAAAAGAGCAATCACACTCGAATATGAGGCTTTTGGTAAGGCCCACATATCCGAGCTTTGAGACGCGATTGCTCTTTTCCTCAGCTCAGGCGGAATACCTGAGATACTGGCTGCATGCTACGGGCCTTACCAAAGATGTGATTGCTCTTTTCCTCAGCTCAGGTGGAATACCTGAGATACTGACTGCATGCTATGAGCCTTACCAAGAGCCTTGTATTCAAGTGTATCTACAGTAGAGACAAAATCTCAGGCATGAGCAATCGTGTTTCAAAGCTTGGATATGAGGATTTGTTCTTTTCCTCAGTTCAAGTGAAATACCTTACCTGAGATACCAACTCATATAGACGCAGTTCTCTTTTCCTCAGCCCAGGTGGAATACCTGAGATACCGGCTGCATGCTACAGGCCTATGCTGAGGAAAAGAGCAATCGCTGTCTCAAAGCTTGGATATGAGGATTTGCTCTTTTCCTCAGTTCAGGTGGAATACCTGAGATACCGACTCATAGACACGATGAAGAAAAGAGCAATCGCGTCTCAAAGCTTGGATGAGGATTTGCTCTTTTTCCTCAGCTCAGGCGGAATACCTGAGATACCAACTCACATAGATGCAATTGCTCGTTTCCTCAGCCCAGGTGGAATGCCTGAGATACCAGCTGCATGCTAAGGGCCTTACCAAAAGCCTCATCCCTTACTCTGATTGTCTTCTAACCGAATCTAGCAGCAGCCGCATCTATTCCGCCACATTCAAGACCAAAGACAAGCACACTGAGGGTACTCTCAAGCACCCCCTAGTTCAACAATATGCTGCTGCGAAAATTGGCAACATTCTAACTGCAGTATTTAAAAGTCACGTGACTTTTTCACACAGACGGAGCAGGGTGGTGTCTCTATTTGGTTACAAATCGCAACTAAGTTATATTGGCGGTACATCTTTCTGTCTAATTGAAGAAAAAAAACAAAGGTGTGACAAAGCCAATACAAGGCTACCGCAGAGGGGCCCTCTCTGCGGCAGTCTAGTACTGCGTAATACAGTAATAAAAAGTAGAGCGAGAAAAATATAGCCAACTAAATAACATAATCTGTGAACCGCGCTGGCAATCAGTATCTGCGAAGCGAATATCAAAAAGGTTACCTTTGAATGTCTGAACAAGCCAAAAGAAAACATATCTGTAAGCTGCCATCAGCATTTGGTCAGAGGTAACGATACAAGTTACCTTATGGTGGAGCGGTTGTCATCCCTCCAGAGAAAATACAACACAAGGATGGCGGGAGGAGGCGCACCAATGTGGACACTTAAACCTCCCAAGCGCAATGGTGGTTGAAGGAGGGGCGCACCAATGTGGACACTGAATCCTCCCCAAGCCAAGCCCCCAGTACTCAATGATAAAAGAAGGGAGGAGAAGTGCGCCAATGCACACATACATCTCCTCCCAAAGCCAAGCCCCCAGTACTCAATGGTGAAGCAAGGGAGGAGAAGTGCGCCAATGCGCACATACATCTCCTCCCAAAGCCAAGCCCCCAGTACTCAATGCTGAAGCAAGGGAGGAGAAGTGCGCCAATGCACACATACATCTCCTCCCACTCCCAAAGCCAAGCCCCCAGTACTCAAAGCTCAATGATGAAGAAGGCGTTCAGTAAAGAGATGGCTGAAAGAAAGACATACCTTAGATCTATAGGCGCCTCAATAGTATACCAAAATAACTAGAAAGAAGGGTTTAGTGGAGAGACGGTTCAAAAAAGACAGACCTTATATCTGGAGGCACCCCAATAGTGTCCTAAATTGTCTAGAAAGAAGGCGTTCAGTGAAGAGACGGTTGAGAAGAGACTTACCTTAGGTATCCGCAAATCAACCTATGCAACCAAATTAGAAATAGAATTAGAATTGAAAGACGCATACCGTGCAGTAGGGAATGAGTGCTCAGTGAGTTGTTAGCCACTTACACAGCTGCAGTCTGTGTAAGTGGCTAACAGGGTGAGCGGACAGAAGAGATGTGGTTTGAGCGGACAGAAGAGATGTGGTTTGAAATTGAACCGTGTGAAAGTGTTGCGCTGGACTTTATGTTCAACATATTTGATGTTGTTTGTTGCGGCAAATGCCGGCCCAACCACAACATGATCACATGACTGGTTGGTTTGAAAATTCGCAAAGTCCTTTTTGCTCTACCATTGGTAGTACCATTTCTTTTCCTTATCCAATGCCGCCTAAAAAGAGCAACACGGCCAAGAAGTCTTGTGGAGGTTCTGCCCGGAAACTTTTGGCACCTGCCGGCTCTCCTCCGGCGCCCGCAGGATCAAAATCGTCCACGCCATCCTTAGAGCCAGAGGACGCTAGGATTCCGGAAGAACACAGTATAGTAAGTTTTTTTTTGCTTCTTTCTAGTGTTCTGTTGACTGACTGGAGGTCAGTGGTGTTTGATCTGTCTCGATGGCGCGGAAGGTGACGTTGTACTCTTTGAATGCAACGCCTGCCCCCGCGTCATGTGCAGCAAATGCATTGAGGTGCCCAAGGCGCACGTCGATGCCGTCCAACATCCGGACGTTAAATTTTTATGTCTTTCTTGTCACTCATTGCGGACGGTTAAGGAGCCCGCGCCATATTTTGTGAGTCTTCTTTTTCTTATTCAAATGTTCTATTGATTGACTACTTAACTTTGTTCAGGGCTTCTACCGTAACGTTTTGCCAGAGGAAGGAGGAACGCCTCTACTCCCAGGCTTCCTACAGCTCAACGGCAAGTATGAGCTGGCGTCCAACTCCATCTTGGCAGCCACACCCCTCGCCATCGTCCATTTTTCCCTTGGCGGCAAGGACGCAATCTCCACACCCGTTCCACTCCTCTCGCATTACCTCGACAAGTACTACCCCAGCGGTGGGTTTCTGTACGTCGAGATCTCGTTCGACATCGTTTCGTATACGAAGATCGACAAGTACACCCGCGACCAGGTCGAAACGGTTGCTAAGCTCGTCCGTCACCTTGGCTCAACTGGTCGGGTCTTTGCGTTTCTCTCCAACCATTCGGAAGAAGACAGCGGTTGGCTCTTTGCAGGGAAGGAGGGTCAAGGTGATGGAGAGTATGTTGCGATGCAAGTTCAGCATGTAAGTTTTAAAATTTGACGCGTCAATATTATTAATTAATCTATTCTAGGTTCTCTCTACAGTGTTGAAGCCCTACGCCAGGATCCTCAAGTCCGCACACTTCGTCTTCCTGGTCTGCGGTTCTGTGGTGGCACACGAGACCCTACACTCAGCTCAAGGAGTCCGTTCTTCAATTCAACTTCGCATCTGCAATTATCTTTCCCGCAGCTCGCTTTCAACCCCTTGTCACCACTAATTTCTTGGTCGCCATGGCGGAACTTGTTGCGATTGAGCAACTCAACATCCGCACCGTATTTCCGACCCTCCTTAGTATGTCAGGCGGTCTCGGTCAACACACCAGCGTCATCCTGATGACTCCTGTCAACATTGATGGTTGCTGCAAGCTGGAACTCACTACATTCGCGCGCGCTCACACTCAGACTTCGCCTTGGGGCATTCCTATTCCTGCGCAATGCCCCCAATGTGGCTCTACCAAGAGCTGGGCTGAGAGGGTTGCTGTGACAGTTTCTGATGAGAATCACGACGCGCACGCCTCACACCAAGTCTCTGTTTGCCAGTACATCTACACATGCAAGTACACCAACTGTGGTAGCACGCAAAAGTTGCCATGCTACAAGTTTTCTGTCACCAAGCCTCCTGGGTCCATCATCAACAGTGCCAGGACCAAGAACTGCGCTTGGTTCAAGTCGCCTTCTACTCATTTTGTATCTCAGTCTTTACCTGACTCTACCCAAGGCAAGCGCAAGAATGAGACAGCGCCTCCTGGGACTGCAAAGAAGGCGCGCAGGTGAATTATGTATTTACTTGACACTGTATGTACATAATTTGAATTGATTGAGGTATCACTTTGTCACACGTGTGATTTGGTAATGACACGTCTTGGTTTGCATGCACGTGATCGCGTCTCCTTCAAAACTTCAACTCTTCGGCCTGGTCTAAGGTTACGCGACGCATACTCACCCTTACCAAAAGCTCCTGACTTACGTTTTCTTGTCATCAATGGCTGAATGGTATGCTTCTTGGGAGGGAGTACTGACTCTCCACAAAGATCAGTTTGTAAATGAGAAGAATTCCCGTCAGAATCTCCTAAGACAGATCCGCAATGAAATTGTCGCAATTCATCGCACAAGACAGGATTCCGAGGATTTACCAAAGGGATTGAAAAAGGTACTGTTTTGTTGAGTATATAATGATACTGATATAATTATTATATAGGCTATCAGGAGGTACTACCTCCAGTTCTTAACGGACGCTGATGATCGACATGCTGAGCAAGAGGTCTTGGGTGATGAGCCGGAGGAAGAACCATCTGGCGTGTCCCCTGAGGACAGAGAATTGGCGGCTCGTCCTAAGGACGCAGGGTTCTACAAGAAGGAGCTTAATGCTTGGGACGTCGCGCAGAAACTCTTCAAGCAGGAGATGGACGACTATGATAAGGAGCAGCAAAGAAGAAAGGCGTGCAACATTCTATTAAGTATAGGACTGGACATGCGAGGGAGTGGTTCAACAACATGACTTCTGCACATCGGAAGGAGGTTGAGGAGGCGAGGGACAAATGGAATAGGGAAGGTGCCCCAGTAGAAGCACAGGCGATGTAAATTGCCTTTTTTTTTTTCAATTTCTACTATAACAACATTGACAGGTATCGAAAGAAAAGCCTCAAAAAAGTTCTCGACGATTTTACAGAACAGATGCGGCGTTCTATGGGTTGCCGAGTCGTGATGTTAGTCAGTCACAAGAAAAATGCCGATCAGACATTAAGTGTCAAGATGTGAGTATTTATCCACTCTCCTCAGGGTAAAATAATAATTTTATTGTTATTCAGTCATGAGTCTCAGCCTGTCAATCACAAGAAACCGTTTAGCCTGAGTTCTCGAGGAAGCAAAGAGTGGACATCCGAAGGGTTTGAAAAATATGCCGAGTGGTCGAAGGAAGAATTTTGTAAGCTCTGTATTTTTGGGGATTGGTTCAGACTGCTCAATGACCGTGTATCAGACCCCACCAATGATGATGATGACTCCTCCGATGAAGACAGTAAAGATGGAAAAGATGCGATACCTGAAGTCATCTTGGACGAGCACGGGTTTGCAAAGCTCCCTTCCCGTAAAGGAGTGAGCCTCAGGGGGCAACAAGAGTTGGTTCGGCAAATTTTTCATGCATCTTACAGTGAGTTGCCGATCACTTCATCTGTTGATTTTAACTTGACTCAACTTCCGTTTTTCAGAAGTCTTCACTGGTAGCAAAAAGCCAGTACCTTGGCTCTCGATTGCCGGCAACCTTTTGGTGTACCTGGATCCAGACTCCATCCCTGATGGTTTCGTCGTGCAAGATCCGTCTCATTTGAAGGCGCAGGAAAAAACCATCTTTGGGGCCATTGGGAAGACAGGAAGGCCTCGAAACAGAAACTGGTTATTTTTGTCGGGGCCGTGAGTTCCCACATGAACAAGTCCCTGCTCGTCAATGCTGTCTATGTAGGCGAGAAAAAATCAAAAAAGAAGTATGTACCGGTCGACACTGATGATGAAGAGGAGGCTTCAGCGGCGCCTACGTCCACGAAACGTACAAGACAGCTGGCCGAGGCTAAGGCTTCCTCCAAGCCCAAGGCCAGCACAAGGCCCACCAAGAATTCAAGACCGCAGACCCAGGACAGCTCCGAGGATAGCTCTGATGATAATCTCACTCCATCGACAGGGCTGGTTAAGCGACCATCAGTTGGTCAAGAAGTCGTGCGCACACCAGCCACTGTGCCAAAGAAGGATCGGATGTCATTCTTACGGTCTCTCAGCAGCCACGACGAATATCTACTTTTGATTTCACGTCTCGGTGACTTGAAAAAGGTACGTTTGCGATTAATACCTGGATTGGTGAAACTTGATACTCACTTGACACAGGAACGAAGCTCTGAGGCAATGGAATGGCCCGCTTGGGCGACATGGAGTTGGGACAGATCACACCTTCCGAATAGTGTGCACTCAGACGAGCGTGAGTTGAACAAGTTCTTGGAGATAGTCCTCTCTGCAAAGATCTCTGGCTTGGAATCAGCCATGAAGGTCAGCCTAGGTCTTGGGATGCTGCTAAGAGAATGCAAGCGAGTTATCGAATATGAGGAGGACGAAGCTACCCTGAACACCCCCTCTTACCTTGGCACCTCTATTTTGAGTATCAAGACCCACGACCTCGTCATAGAGGCAATCAATACAGCCAGAGGTGGGGTTATGCGGATGCTCAAGGCGAAGGAAGGACAACATGCTGCCATTGCTGAGGCTGCTGGTGGTGAAGAACACGGAGCTGATACTGCCATTCGGACGATTTCAACCAGGGAAGAGAAAGAGGATGAGGGGACGGAAATGGAGGCAGATGAGTGCAAGG